CGATGATCTGAGCTGGCGACGATTTTTCAAAATTTGGTGTCTTGTTTTTCTGTTTATGAAGTTTACAATGATTGGCGATGGTTTTTTGTTGTTATATTTGGACATCCTGTGGCAGTTCGAGATGTCGAATGAACGCAGCGGAACATTAATTCGGGCTGCCACTTTAATGACCAGATTTTCACAATTTTCATCAGCTGCATATGGAATGTTATGAAATTCAAGATTGTTGAGTCTGGATCTGCGGTCTTGGTCTTGTTGGCGTTCTGTTAGAATATCAATTTCTTCTTCAAGATTTTCAACAATATTTTCGAGTTCACGAATTTTTTGTTATTTTTAGCAGTAACGTTGTTTAGTTCCTTATAGTTGGCATTTAACTCGTCAAATTTTTTGGAGATGAAGTCTTGGCTTCTTTTTATATCACTAACTTCATCTTTTATTATGCTTATGGAAGATAGCTGAGATTTAACTTGCTTAAGAGACTCATCAAGCGACAATAAAGATTCCTGGATGCCGATGCTAGTTGGAGTGGTGGAAGATACATCCATAGCTAGTTTTTCCAAGTGTTGCTGTATGATTGTAGGTATTTCGAGCCTTAATGTTTTAAGCAAAGTGCTTTCAAGTACAGAGACTAAGTTAGAGACATTAGATTCTGTTATATTGGTAACTGTGGAAGAACTGGCAGCAACGCGATCTGTGGGACTTCTTCGCTTTGGTGGTTCAGGAGGAGTGTCACAGGATCTTGAGGATGACATCATGTCCGTCGCTGATTTCACAGATCAAAAAAGATGTTATGTTCCAATATTGCTGCAGGCTCAAGTTCTATTCCAGAAGTTTAACATTTCAGTGACAGAAAATCCATTGAAGACTATTATATTAGTTCAGTAGTTACTTTAGCTTATATCTGCAAACTTAATCAAAACAGCAATCAGTGATACAGTTATTTCATATGAAATGGACTCACTAAATTTAAGTTAGTAAAGTTTAAATGTTTGCAGTGCTGTATGACATTTCTTCACCCATTTAACGATTTATTACCAGAATTTTAAGAGATGATAAGGCCGCTGTTCCGAAGTGGAAAAATGTCCTGTAGTGTCACGTCCTGTAGTGTCACATACAATATGCACATTATTGTGATGGATTTACAGTGTTACATTAGGTGAATTGAGCACCACATAGAGGGGTCCTTCAGCTACTGCACCAGAAAATAATATGGGGTCCTGCTGTACCATCACAAAAAATTACAGCACAACACAATGTACTGTTAATGCATGGTTGATTTGCCGTCCTGTAGTGTCACGTTATATTTTACTATATTTTTTTATATCCACCAAGTAAGTCTTGGGCGTAACTTTTGTGCAATTTTTTCCATATTCAATAAAGCAACTGATTGGACAACGAAACAAAACATGTAGCTGAAAATGTAAAAATATATTGCATCTAACAACATGCAAAATTTCTGGAATTGTCCTGTAGTGTCACTTGGAATAGCCCCTTTCAACCGAAAAGAGGAATTCACGAAAACAAAATTCACAAGTCATAACAATAATAACACAGATGTGGTGGTACTATTTTCGTGTAGTATGTAAATTTATTGTTTTGATTCCTAGTGAAAAAATATTTGCAGATTTTCTAACCGCCAAGTATATTACATCTTTCTTTTAAATATGACAAATGCTATTATATCATAACGGCCGCTAGGCGTTATCATGTTTGGTCTAACCATAAACGTAGTTAGAGTGATATTGTGTGATGTGATCCTTCGATCGGGATTCTACCACAGATAATACTTATTATCCGTTATGTTACTTGTTATCCGAATGATGTTATTTAGTATTCAAACAAACTCATTTATATAAACGTTTGTATCTCACATGACTATATAACGGATTCATAAATCTTTTTTTAGTCTCTTGTTACTCCCATTTTTGAGGTGTGCAAAACAACTTGCCTAATATAAAGAAAATCGGGTAACTTTTTTCTATCGAACTGATAAAAACTGCTATAAAAGACTTCCTTTCTCCAAAACTCGATTATTTTATAGCCTGTATCATCTCTGTGATTACAACATCATGGTGAGTAGCCATATTACTTGCACCTGAGAGCAATAGTTTTAGCATTCACTCAGTGCGTCTCGAATTTTAAATTTCAAGATAATTGAAGGTATGCCAGAAATGATTTAGTTTCAAAGCGTTTTTAGATCTGTAAAGTATGCCATAAAAATAAATTTAAAATAAAGTGTATATTCTGTTTTATCAGTTTTGCTAAATTTATTCTGTAAATATTTTCAGGGAGCAAGTGTCACAACAGCAAGAACTAATCAAGCGGTAAAAAGGTTTTTAGGAATTTTCAAAATAAGTTTTATAAAATTGACAACTTAGCAAACCGATCGTTGGATCACATATTTCCCAACACCTTAAGCTTTCAGTAAGATTGTCTATTATTAAATAAATATTCAAATAAGTATGTATATATTTTGTATCGTTCTAGATATATTTGAGTTTTGGATTTGGAATAGTTTTGATTTCTACATCACAATCCAACCTAAACACTTTATTATCCTACCACAAATTAACAAGTTGACTATCGCAGATATTGCGACCGAATGAGATGCAATCAAGAATTTTCATTGATTAGCTGGTTGGTCACAACATCGGCATCATTGTTCAAATAGATTCATTTAAACTAGCTCGTACCAATTTTATCTTACTTTCTAGGCAGCAAAGGCATCGCTTGCCAAAATGTGCGAAGCAATCTCTGAAGCTGTTTTGGAGGTGGCGAAAACCGGAGGACCATTGAATGTTAGCCATGAGATAGTTACATATATATGAAATAATTAAAGATAATTATGTTTCAACTTGAGCATATTAGACCAATATGATAGGCACTGGTAAAATCATTACGGATTGCTCAGCTGATACAATCCATATACATATGAAATGATGAAGTGGTTATAGCTGATCCTATATCCGCAGTAAAAATATACGAGCGCTCTGGGTCGCAAATGGGAAGTTTTAAATTTTTTCCTCTCCGTGGGGGGTAAATATGTGATATTATATCTTATTAAGTATTAAGCACTTTGTAATATGTTGGTGCGATTCAAATTTTCTGTAATCTGATGGCGAGTCAACTAAACGTTACAGATTACTTTCTAAAAGTCTTCTCACACGTGGTAGATTATGCAATTTTTTGTATTGATTTTCTTCGACCAGTCATTTAGAATTCATACTCATATGAAATAATGATATATATTATACAGGAGCAGCTTGTCGGGATGGCTGCAGCTGATGTGGCTAAATTGGCCGGGCAACAGGCGGGAAAATCAGCAGCTGACCTGACTAGAGTTATCCAGACGAAAAGGCTGAAACAAGGTTTATTATATTTTATTTTTAATACCATGACTTTGACATGAAGCACGACTTTCAAAACGTATTTGTAACTGATAGCGACTAATGAAGTTACTTGCTCATCTGGAGTACGGCTTCGTATAAATGTCTACTCATATCATGGTCAAGTGTATTTTTTCCATCCAGTAAAAATAGCAAACGAAATTATGAAAAAAGTAAAATTGACACACATTTTACTGGGAAGGGAAATCGCTGGGAACTGATTATCAGGCAGCGACACCCAAGGTTTGTTATCTAATTAAATTTGTAGTTGAAGTTTATAAAACACTGTTATCTCTGGTGAGTATGGTTTTTGCAGTTGTACTACCAATATTATCCACTGACACTGAGGTTGAGATTGACCCCAGAGATAAGAGATGACCAGATAGCGATAGCGAATAACCAACATAATTTACTTGCATTTTTGTAGATACGTGTAATTGGGGTTTGCTCGAAAACTGATGTTCAAAACGTGGCTCCAATTTGTTACATTGTATTTGCAATACCGCACTCTAAGTGATTATCTGTCAGTCTGGACCGTAGTTTAACAGGAATAGAACAAGAATAGTTTGTTGGCAAAGAAGACAAATCGCTGAAGTTTGATTCTTTTCAATAAAGAAATAAGAGCGCTGCCATTTATCCGAAAAACGCCTGTTTTCAGTGTCTAGTTTTCGTTTTTGTGACATCTTCAAGCTTCCTTAATATAGGGCTGATACGTGATACCTAAAAGACTGCCGTACGCAATCCTAATACCGGTACGTAAGTTAAGATACCGGTATAATTGAATTGTTACGATATACACGTGCTTAAATTGTGATAATGACGTAACAATTGGCGGCATCTACGACATAAAAGGATGAACACATTTAAATTGTTAAACGTGTTAGTATTTATTCACGGTTATAGTTTCACTAATGTTCGGCGGGCCATTTGAAATCGTCGAACTCCTGGTCTACTATATGGTGACCCGAGAAAAACGGAACCCAGACCATTTACAGTAGACCATTGTTAAATGGGATCCGTTTTTTGAGTCATCCTGTATGATTAAATCGACTTGAATTGTCCCGTTTGTAAGTCATTGAAAGAGATGTTGGCATCGTCAAATATTGATTTGCTTTGTTGCAACTCACAAAACTACATTAAAGCCCTTTTCTAGTAAATTGAATTTATACGAGGCTACTTTTATATGCAAAAATGTCTTATCAAACAACACCGCCGAGAAATAAAAGCTTTAAATTGAAATATACATTCCGAAGAATGAAATTTCTATTTGAATTGACCAAAGTGCCACGCGATTACATCAGCTTTACGAGTACAATAAAATCTAGAGGACAATTTTCATAGGATAATTTAGGATAATCCCGTGCCCAAGCAATCCCTGGCAGATTTTAAAAGGGTGGATTTTTTATTTAACAAGAAAGGGGCCGTTGTACTTTTTCACGCTGCTGATATCAGCGAACAAACTATAACGGCGAATTTAATATGATTTTTATGTCTTTCTTACATTATAGGGCCTACATTCTCATAGATTTTTCAAAAAATAAACTAAACTTTTTATATATTCTATCCCCAATATTTTATTACATTGTCATTTTTTTTTTCAATTTTAGCGTTGAACTTGAGAGGAAGCCAAGGTTCCAGTGGTAGTAACAGCAACGGGAGTTATGGATCAAATCAGTTTGTGGAGGTTTGGTTATAATCCCAATTTTTGAATAAAATCGGTTTATTGCTACCTTGCATGTTATATATTAGTGGTTACTATAAAATGGACAAAATACAACTAAGAAAAATCAAGTAAATAATCAACGTATGCAAAATGTCCAGTGATGTGCAAACATTCTAAAATGAAGGCACTTTTAACTTTTGGCAATAGTAGCTTTGGAGAGTTACAGATATACAGCGTATTAACATTTTCCGTAATGTATGTAGGGCCTATATCAATATATCATCATCAACATGTGGATAAGTCTAAACTAAGATTTTCTATTAAAATGACCTTTTATGATTCATATAGAAACTTGCAACAGACCTACTGTTTCTTGAAATTTTACGAGTTGCGCTCAATCAAGATTCGAATGATGATTCAGATTCCGAAAAAACTGAGTAGTCCCATCGAGGTTAGTAATATTCAATATCAAATGACAAATACTCTTGTAGCATTTTGTTTATTAGATAACAGGAAAATTTCATTTCCTCAAAAATTAAAGTAAGTTAAAACAACGAGTTCCAGAAATGTTCCACAAAAGAGCATTAGCCTGAAAATAACGAAAAAATTTGTTTTTTACATTGACAGCATAAGTTACAATTGATCAAACTACAAATTAGTAAATAAATTATAGTTTTTAACCACTGATAGCAACTCGCACCAACCTTTACTGGCCAATATGTTACAATACGTATGTCAAGGTGGCAAAGAGTAACAAATATCGTGAATACTGACACTTTCTTCTGCAGAAATCCAGCCCATTTATCTTCACATATATAATTCTTTCGGTAAAAAATTTATGTTTCTACGTATTACATCAACAAATACTTCGACAACCATCAGTGGGAGAATTTAAAATTATTGCCCATCAATAATAATTTAGAAATTGCTCATCCATGGACCAGGAAGGAAATGCTTGGAAGAGGTGCCTTTGGAGCCGTGTACGGAGCAGTAGACAAAAATGGATTTGAGTTTGCTGTAAAAGAAGTACCGAAGGATGGAGTAAGCTGTAAAATAATCAATTATTTTAACCAAGTTCTACAGAAGCATCATGACGTTGATTTAGAAAAGGTCCCAATAGATTTCTAGATGTAATTAAACTTTAATGGCCCAGCAGATTTATTGAATATTTTAATGGAATGCTTAAACAATTCTTTTCAAATATTCAAATAAGGCTGTACTTCAAATATTTATTTTAGGTAGAAGAAAAGTCTCTTCGCGAAGAAGTGAAAGTGTTGGGAAAACTGTCGCATACTAATATTGTGCAGTTTTATGGGTGTGCTGGAGATAATCAGAAAATCTACATGTATATGGAAATAATGCAAGTAAGATAAAATATAGAGTTATTCGTGTTATAATCACTCGTCGCGGCATCACAAAAACTTGATAGCCAGTTGGAATCATTGTATTGTTACGTAGGGTAAACATTTGATCAAGAATTAGATTGACGTCAAATATTCGATTGTGCAGTTAGACTGGAAATAATGATTTGAATAATTGAATTTAAGATGACCACATTCAAATATTCCCCTAGTCCGCAACTGGAAGGTACATTAGCGTCTGTCGAGGGTTTGTTATATCAGATAATACATGATAAAATTTAATTTCAGGGTTCAATTAAGGACATCATAGACAATTCCGGAAAAACCATTCCGCAAGGTCAGGCACGTAAATATACCAAGGATCTAGTTCAAGGACTGGTGTATTTGCATCAGAACGGAGTAGTTCACAACGACATCAAGTGTGCAAACGTTCTTTTGGATTACAACGGAATCGCTAAACTGGGTAAATCCACTTTTAACCTACACACATAGCACCATTTGTTAGCATTATTACCAATCAACAATACGGCAATAATTTTATTATTAATAATTTATAATTTTATGATCATCAATTTTAATTTGGCTTGGTACTGGAAAATAGGATTTCCAATTCATTTCCAAAAAGGGGAAATTCTACAAGCTGGATTAATACTTGGCTAACTGCGACTGTTTCTAGCGCTGACAACAATACGATAAGACAGTTAACGATTTTCGAGAATAGCCAGAATATTTCAATTTTCTCCGAATATAAACTTTGCAGACGTGCATTTAACCAACAATCATGAATTATTATTTTACCTTATTTTTTTAGCTGACATGGGAGTGTCAAAGAAACATGATCAAGAAACCCTGATTAGCTATACCGATGAGCAAGTAGGTAAGCATAAATCATATTTATGCAGTTATTTCAAAAAGAAGATTGACCTGGTAACCATTCATGACAAAATCTTTTTTCTACCAGGCACTATCGCGTGGATGAGCCCCGAAGTAAGCGAAGGACGTGATAGCGGGAAGAGATCAGATGTTTGGTAAATATGGTTACATTTGCTATTCTAATTGTTGAGTGCCATAAATGAAAATATCTAATTTGATACAGGAGTATGGGATGTACTGTCTACGAAATGCTCAAAGGCAAACCGCCTTTTGTTGATCAACTTCCCGCGATTCTTGTATACACTGTTCTACCACAGTTGATAAAGGCACTTGAGCACAGAAAACTGGTTGGTCGACAAGAAGACTTTTCGATTTCGATCAAGGTGAGCCTTTTCCATGTTGCAATTTTCTATTAGAACACCTTATAACACCACAGCTATAAGTGCTCATTTTCCTAATTTATTGTCACAGGTATATTTGATGAATGCGCATTTTTTTGTCTATTTTTTGAATGCTCGCTGTGTACAGCGGGACAACTGACCAATTTTAAACACATCTGTGTAAACATTGAAGCACTCTTTTTGAAACCTATTATGTAGTGAAATTTAGAATTTAACAAAATTGACACTCTTCTCACTTTTTTTAAAGCGGTTCTTGCTGAGAATATTCGTCAGAATGGAGGACAGGCCACTTTCTGAAAACATTGCTAAAGACGAATGGCTACAATGAAGTCCTGAAATCAGGCAACTGTACATATGCACATATTGAACTGTTTTCCATGTAAAATTTTACGTATACGGCAGTGGTGCTGAATCACGTTATAGCAGATGGAGATCAACTGAAAACATAAATGATTGACTAAAATAGGATTCGAAAGATATGAAAACGACGAATTTCGTTTGGAATTTATCACACGAAGTAGCCTATAAACCCGCTTCAAATAGTAGATCTTCAAGACGAATAAGTATATTAAATTTATTACCTGAATGTGAAGAACTGGTGGCGATATTCAAGTTCATCCCATAAGTTTTCCGTTTCACATTCTAACACATATAATATATATATTTGATGTGATCACAGATTGAGAGCTTCTTACACAAGAAACAGATTGTTTTCATCATTACTGTTTAAGTTTAATACCTGCTTGACTTACACTGAAATTCGTTACCAGATGATTCAGAAGCTATATATATATAAGTTGTAGATAAAGTTACACAGCTTTAGCAATTCATATCAGTAAGCCTGTACCCAACAATAACAAAAATTTAGCAAAACGATCAGTCTGGCGTGGGAGATTGTTTTCTACTTTTGAACAATGTGGAAACGTGGAAAAAACGTGAAGAACCACCAATGATCGTCAAATTTCTCTCTCTTTCATAGATAACGACTACTGAACCCCAAGTAGTCCATGCCGACATTCTGGCCACCCCGTGGTGTTTTTATCTGTACAAACATGTTATTTCCGATGTAGATACGCGTCGGCATTCCACTTTTCAGTGATGCCATGCAACCTAGGCCTACTATCCAGTTACGAACAGAAAAATTGCCATTTTAATGGCGTGGCTGTGGCAATGGTGTTTATAAGCTGCATAAAAATGCAAGTGATCTGAGTAAATTTTTTTTATAAACCCCTGTAAAATAAAGAAGTGATACTGGCAATGCTTATGCGGGTATACGAAGTGTGAGAAAATACAAGGCGACCGAAAGTGTCACGAAAATGGTGGGGAAGATGAAAATACAATGTAAGGCCACATAAAACAACTGGCTAGCTTCTGATTAGGAAAGTTGCATTTATACGCGTCCCAAATAATCATCGTCTGATATAACTGTATATATGTATATATATGATTGTGACATTTGAGAAATGGGTATGTTCACGCCAAAGTCGTTGGCTTTAGCCGACTGGAAAGTGCAACAGTCCAACATTCTCTTGCTATTACATTGTCCATTTAATCTAGGGGCCATCGTTAAGTTATACCGTAGGAATAAAACATTAGAACAAGCTGTATCGATTAAGCAACTCAAAATTCCTCAACCACCTGTGACAATGTGTCCAGACAGGAGAAAATACGCCCTTCAGCCGAGCCTCCGAGTAATGGTGTCTGACACCGAGTTTCATGATAGGATGAATATTTTATATGTCATTGTATAAATATTTATTATGACAGATACTATCAAAATTTTAGGCGAGTCGTGGCATAATTCTAAGATATAATCAATATGGCGGGGTGATTATGTTACAGTGAATTGAACCAGTTTCGCCACAAGCCCATTCGCTTTACCGCTTGTTAGCCTACACCGCACATTTCTATACATCTGAATGGAACTACCAAACGGGAATATAGCTTCGCCGATAATAATTGATTGGTGCAATTTGACTATTAAAGTTTAACAACAAAAATGCCGATTACAACAACTTGGCAACAAAGGCGAGTCGTGGCATAATTCTAAGATACAATCAATATGGCGGGGTGATTATGTTACAGTGAATTGAACCAGTTTCGCCACAAGCCCATTCGCTTTACCGCTTGTTAGCCTACACCGCACATTTCTATACATCTGAATTGAACTACCAAACGGGAATATAGCTTCGCCGATAATAATTGATTGGTGCAATTTGACTATTAAAGTTTAACAACAAAAATGCCGATTACAACAACTTGGCAACAAAGGCGAGTCGTGGCATAATTGGACACGTTAGTGGACATAACGATCGTTTTGGTATTTTTGTTGTTCTTGTTCTTATTTGTCTTCTTCTTGGCATCGTTATGAAAAAATCGCTTTTCTCGTTGATTACTAGACCAATTACTTTGAAATTTTCAGTGAGTAAAGATTATATTTTTCCCCAGAAGGCTATTACTTTTATTTATTCTTAAATTTTATATGAATCCTATGAGATATGATATTTCATACAAAATTTCGCGGTATTTATTTTTACTCATGGGAACACTGTTTTACACTTATTTCAAGCGGTTTCGCGACCGATTGTCTTGCTCAGTACTACAGCTACTGTAGGTCGGTACTGGTAAGTTGCCATACCGGTATAAGTATAAGTTTATTTCGACTCCATAATCAGCAAAACAATAAAATGAATGCTAAAAATAAATAAATAAAAACTGATTATGAAATCAGGAGAGCGAACAAAACCTTAGATAAGGTTTAAAACGTACAGAATGTATATAAGATGGAAGGTTTTGCCAAGAAGATGTGGTACGTGTTCACTCACCTAAAATAATTGAAATATTTCACACACGCACCCACACACACAACCATATAGAAGGTATTAAGTAAAGGGAACATAAAAAATTACATACTGGTAGTTAATAAAAAATAAATAAATAAAAATTACTTGCCACACCATATTAATAAATTTATCACGATTGCCACTGCCAAATTGATCAATTTTATAAATGGGAGTGAACAGTAAAGATAAACTTTTATAAAAAAATATATTGTCAAGCTGATTATAGATGGAGTCAAATGCCAAAATGCCCAACCAAAGTTGCCAGAATTGGGTGCATGAAGAGGTGGGCTAGACCACTTCATTGCCCAAACTAGAGCCTATTATTGCCAAATTATAGTCCAGATTGCAATAAGTATTTAAATCTATCAGTAACTTTATAATTATGAGTAATTATAATTAATTAAGGTAGAAAGACAGGGTATAGGAATATGTTGGTTGCTAAGGTTATAAGGTTTTTTTTTTTTCATTCTTAGATATTGACTTCTGCAAGGATAAAGGAATTAGCAATAAAGGAATTAGTATTGTTATTTCACAGGATCATTTCTTCATTTAAATATTGTGGCGTAATAGATGTCAATTCAAGTTTATCGTGGATGAGACATCAGCCTGCGAATTTTGTTGTTGTAGACACCATTTATATTCAATAAACTAGCCATTGTATTGATCATCACAGAAAGACCTGAAAAACAGAAAATAAATCTGCGAGTAGGATATTCAAGGGTTACATATTTGGAAACAGCACTACCCTACATTTTTGTTTAGAATTAATTATTATTTCGAGTAGATATTGAATATTAGTTATCTATCTATAAAACGCTAGTTCAAAGACCAGAGTTGAAATATGGTTGGGACACAGGGTGAATTCCTCGCAAACCATGCAGAAACTCAAACCACACTGACCATTCGTATGTTGGCCTTCACATCAACTTCACAGCAGAACCTGTACCGTAACGCAGTGAAATTGACTTATTCCTTCCGCGGTATTACTAATGCTGCAATGCAAGTTTTATAGCCTATCGTATGCGGAACGGAATATCAGACCTACAGGTTCGGTACCGGTACTGGTAGCTCAGTACGTAAGTACGATACTGGTGCGTGGTGCCGGTACCGGTGTCTTACCACAATGAAATTACCGTAACTTATTCTTTCACGGTCCTACCAGTGCAGTAATGCAAGCGTTGTAGCACTTGTAGCCTACTATATTTGTTTATTTTGATGAGAGTCTACTGGAAACAACATAAAATTTGAAAGGGAAGAATTGTTCTGTGATCAATTATCTGTCCTAAAGTGTAAACAACATAAAATTTGCAAGGGAACAACTGTTCTGTGATCAATTACCGTATATGTGAATTCAGCTCTCATCTCTTTGCTTTTTGTTACAGTTCTACTGAAAACAACGTAAAATTTGCAAGGGAAGAACTGTTCTGTGATCAATTATATGGCCTACAGTGTAAAGGTAAGATGCTGGCTGACTGCTAACTCAGTACCGCACCTACGTTAGGTACCGGTACCGCCGTGAATTCAGCTCTCATCTCTTTGCTTTTTGTTACAGTTCTACTGAAAACAACGTAAAATTTGCAAGGGAAGAACTGTTCTGTGATCAATTATATGGCCTACAGTGTACAGGTAAGATGCTGGCTGACTGCTAACTCAGTAGCGTGCCTACATTAGGTACCGCAGTGAATTTCGCTCTCACCTTTTTGTTTTTTATTACAGTTCTACTGAAAACAACATAAAATTTGCAAGGGAAGAACTGTTCTGCGATAAATTATCTGGCCTACAGTGTACAGGTAAGATGCTTGCAGACTGTGAAGTCAGTAAGTTAAGTAGGTACGGTACCATACCGCAGTGAATTTCGCTCTCATCTTTTTGCTTTTTGTTACAGTTCTACCGAAACAACATAAATATGCCAAGGAGGAAGCATCACAACCTTTCCAACAACATTCAACATGTTCTAAAATATGGTGGTCGCGGTCTCACTAACGCAAAAAATATTTGCTGGGTTAACAGCGTTTTACAAATATTTTTGCGTCTCCCACTTCATGTACAATATGATTTTTGTCTTTGCTCAATAACACAGGCCTGTAATTTCTGTAAGCTTATATCTTTAAGACGCAGAATGCTGTTTTCACCAGCTAAGTCAACAAGATGTCTTTCAGCATATGAATTTACTCTGTTTGTCCTAGATTACCATGCTAATAAAAAAAGCTATGACAGATCACGGTACTCCGATACAGGTACTATTAAGTTACCTCATATGATTTTCGGAAAATTGCTTTTCGTGTCCATATATTTGAGCATTGCTCTCTTGTTCTAAGATATAATCAATATGGCGGGGTGATTATGTTACAGTGAATTGAACCAGTTTCGCCACAAGCCCATTCGCTTTACCGCTTGTTAGCCTACACCGCACATTTCTATACATCTGAATTGAACTACCAAACGGGAATATAGCTTTGCCGATAATAATTGATTGGTGCAATATGACTATTAAAGTTTAACAACAAAAATGCCGATTACAACAACTTGGCAACAATTTAGCAAGGCGGTGCGCAGACCGAATTCGATCCCAATACGAGTGCCTAAACGTTAAGAGTGGGAATCGTTGATTGAGTGGACCGCAATAATTTTAGTGGTAGTTTAACACAAACCTAATTATGGGTTTTGTTTGCTTAAATGACATCTTTAATCATGTTATTATGATTTCTTTCATCATTCATGAATCACTGTTATGCTGAATATGGAGAACTACTGAAAATTCAAAGAGATTGGTCCTGCAGTTAAGAAGAAAGGCGATTTTTACACAAGAGTAACGAATATTAACAACATAATAACAAATCGATCCATAGGTCTATTTCGTGTCCAATAAATAGCAAAAAGCAATCACGATGGTGAAGTTTATGTAAATTTTGGCGGGGCCAAAGTTCGGAAACCATCAATTACGTCGAGTTCAGCTTCTGTTGTTTGGAAGTTTTTTTAATTGGATTTTTCTTAGATTAAAGTTTTTTTTGAATTAAAGCCAAATGCCAGCTATACTTTTTATAACATTTTAGTTGTTGAGATGAACAACGATCGTGGTTTTCATTTACGGCCAACGAGGCGCAACGATCTTTCTCGTTGCCATGGTAACGTTTTCAACTTAGATTTTCCGTTTCACGTTCAGACGTTGTTAAGTTTGGAATTTGGCAATAGCCTAGTTTGAGTATGTTAAAGGTTAATTAATGAACTATATACTGCATATTAAAGGCGGCCAATTATTTTAGTAAATACTGATTACAGAAGAAGGGCAGCGAAATAAACCTAAAATAGGATTTACAATGCATGAAGCTCAAAATGCTAAAATATTTCAAAATGCATTTCAGCCAAAATGTATCCATTCTTTTTAATCACACAGAAGATTTGATTTTATCATGATTGAGAGTACAAGGTACGGTAATACATCAATAAAGCAAAAATTGTGCAAAATTGCAGCTTCAGCTACAGTACTAGGTACTCTCTCTGTGACATCACAATTGGGCATCTTGTTAGGAGCGGAAAGTGGGGGATCAGTGTCCCCAGCAGTGATTGCAAAGTCGACAATTGTGTATTTGCAAATTTAGGCACTCAATATTTGTATTATCAAACTAAATGCCATATAACAAATTTCTTTGGCGGACCCTCCAAAAGTGCTTCGCGGACCCCAGTTTGGGAACCACTGATCTAGTATCTCCCATACATGAACTAACTGCGAGACAGTAGGCTGTCATATGATTGAGCCATCTGGTTAGCCTTATTTTTTATAGGAACTAAGTTTTAATGACTAGATGAATAATAGTCCACCACATATTAATAAAAGTAATCTAAGAAGAAACCCATATTAGAAAATGATAAGTTGAGGCAGGGTCTTACTACTTACTGAATACAGCGCGAAACACCGCAAAGAGCGCGAAACAGCGCAAAAGAGCGCGAAACAGCGCAAAATAGCGCGAAACAGCGCAAAAGAGAGGAAAACAGCGCGAAACAGAAGAAAAACAGAGAGAAACAGCGCAAAACAGGAGACGCAGTCATTACCACCTCCTGCCACGAAAGAACCACGGCGCCTCTCGCCATGGTTTTATGGCGCTATTTCCGGCATATTTACAAGGTTATATACCCGATTATAGGTCATCATGCGAAATTTTATCTACCTTTTTGGTGCTCCAGAAGTATGTGCAGCAATATGTCGCACAACCTGAATCTGCTACACACACACACACATACTATTTTCAGGTTGTGCGCCATCTTGGTGCACATACTTCTGGAGGTCCCTTTTTACCTAACCCTAACCCTAAAGCCAACCATATTCATATGGAAAATGTTCTAAATTATGGTACCCAAAATGTGTCACCAGCAGGGGCAGACCTGCCATTACAGCATTACTGGCTACATACGTTGGTTTGTGTTTTTAATTTGCTGCCGTGGTACTCCAACTCAAAACAAGGTGCCCCGAACTCATTGCAAAATTTTTTTCTGCTTTACACTGTTTCCCTCTGTTTTGCGCTCTTTCGCGCTGTTTCCACACTGTTTTGCGCTGTTTCCCTCTGTTTTGCGCTGTTTCGCGCTGTTTTGTGCTCTTTGCGGTGTTTCGCGCTGTATTCAGTAAGTAGTAAGACCGGTTGAGGCATGATAACAATCTAGTTTATTGCATTGTCGATCTTGAAATTAAATACTAATATATGGCAAGCACTGAATGCATGCTATTGTTTTTAAAAAAGCGAGAGAAGAAGAATGGTTTTTTAAGATGTACATCAGCTTATTTTCAAGCTATTATTTCATACTCTTACAGCGTAATTTTAATTTCACAATGATTTTCTGGTAATAGCCATACAACTGATCAAAGCTAATTTTTGTATACTGTGCTTACACGCTTGTTCTGGAATTCTTTCCACTAACAAGACTGGAAGATGGAGACAGTGTCAAATGGCGAGCCTAATGGTGTCGTTATGAATGGAGATGAAGATGTGCCAAAGTCACCTGGTAATTCTGAATTCTGTTGTTATCCTAATTTATAAAATCTATATTTACTAACAGCCAGATATTTTAGCATTCCGCTAATGCTATGTACTGATATAAACTGATAAATCAACCATATAAATGCTGTAATTCTTATTTGGAAGATGTCGAATAAAGGTATAGGGTTGGTATAATTTTTTCCACTTTTTTAGACCAAAAATCCCAGACATGGCTTATTTCAGAATTTTTTTTAAAGAAAATTTGTTCTGGGCAAAGTCACTCACTCTCACTCAGAAGTAAATTAGGAAACTAATCTGCGAAAAAGTTATTATTGACCACTGAAATGCAAATAGCTACTGTATCTATATAGAATGATGGCGATGAATTATGCGCCAACAAATGCTGATTGGCATGAAACTCAAGGCAGTTTTTTATGTGAAATATTCGTGAAAATTGATATGGGACATTGAATTTCACATTTCTGAAGTTGGTTGAAAAACTTTCAGCATAAATCTTTTTGTCCAGAAGAAGGTACACTGACAGTGATAATAATATTAGTGATCATGTTAACATGGCTACTGGATGAAAAATCCTAGCATATTAGCTCTGGCTTGGGTTGCAATTATCATAATATCTCTAAATTTTTAAGTCATTTGATGAGATGAACGTGTTCAAAGCTATTGTCAAAAAAAATCTCTTCAAAGTATTACTTTGTTTTAAATGGTAACTAACCTGAACTTTTATCAACCAGGTTCATCAAATGGAGAGAATCGGCTACATGGATTGGTAAGTATCAACTGCTATTTCAATCTTCAATTATTACCTATTTTTGTAACTATTAACATGATGAATTTATATAATGTATCTGTATGTTTGATATGATGTATTCATGCTTTTACTCAGAAGTAGTCTCTGAACACTTCCACTGATACTGTTTTGAAAGGAAATATTTCCGTCTGGCATTGCGTACATGATTATTATACAATAAGTGGAGTGATGCTGATGGAAGATTGTAGCCAGAGTTATGTAACCTGTAATGCCAATAATGCCAAATGCTCTAACCCTGTGGTTCTCGATGGGGGCGCCACGTTGATTTGCTAAAACTGTTGCTAAAACTGTTGCGTATCAATAGAAGTAGACACTACTTGCTGCAGTTTCATTTATATCCTGCGTCAAGTTTAGTAAACATGAGTGATTTTTTCATTATTTCAAAGGAAAATCAGGCAGAGATGAGGAAGAAGAGTTGACCATTTGCCTTCAATCTTTAGGCCCACATGTTTACAAACACATTAACGATTACAAAATTTTTTTTTTTTAAAAGGGCAGCAATTTTTTTTTTTTTGTGTTAGTGCGTCTTGAATTTTTCCTTGATAATTTGACGCAGCACCAACAAAAAGTTTGGAAGTTGCTGCTGTAACTACTAAGCCATCACATTCATGGATTTTGTTTATGGCTATTGTCATGTTGTTGAGCGATTCAGAGTGCTTGTAATCTGACTTGAAGAAACCTTTATCAGAGCATTACAATAAAATTTAAGTTTTGATGTATAGTTGAATCAAGAGTAAAAATGAATTCAATTTGTTATTATTTGGCTGCATTTGGACTAAATTGTTTCATTTGTACACTGTCAGGAATGAACTATTGAGTGTGATGTGATAGATATGATGATGAATTTATTGAACCCCATAATTTTTCTTTTGCAGTGTGAAATGGTGAAGAAATGTATCACATTGGCAGGAATAACTCCAGATATGTGGAATGATGATCATATACCTATGATGGGAAAATTCTTTTCTGATCCAAATACAAGATTGCTTGTTATTTACATTGATAAGGTACTACGTCATCAACATGGTATTAAAATCATTTTGATGTTGAACTTGAAATGACATTTTTGAATTTTAACAAGTCATAATATATGGTAAACTTAACAAAACACTGGGTCAGAAACGATGGATAAAATAGGTCTGAGCAAAATCTGGTAAAAATAATAGGCATATAAAATTATTTTTGGAGTTTTTAGTGCTCTTTTGGAATGGGCAAAGGTTTGGAATTTTTTGAAATACTGATGTTTTATAATCAAGTTTGATTGTTGTAACGAAACATGACAAAAACAGTATTTCGTTTTAGACCATAAATTTACATTTGTGAAGAGAACTCCAAATTCGATGGATTGTTTGAAAACTCATACATCAGACTTTCATAAATTATTAGATTCTGTAACGTTTCATCGGACCAAATTTAGTTCTCTTGAAATATACAATGGAATAAGTTGTTGCTTCCTGCTTCCTGACTTCGTATATACTATGTAGCAAAAATAAACAGTGAACACCTCATAATTTTGTTGCATTTATATGCTGTTTATTGTATCGGGTCATTTTATAACGACTGGCTAATACATTTTCTGTGTACGATAATTTTTACCTTATAAATTATTTTTTCCTGTAGCTTAATGGTCTGACAGTCGATGTTACAGTTCCAAATCATGAGAATGCCAATGAGATTGCTTACTTTATCAGGTATTTTGATATTTTTGGTTATTATCTAGTTTAAAATGGATATAAAATTATGGGGGCAATTACAGAGTGAGCCCCAAAAAACAGAACCAATAAATTCCTAGAATATGTTACAAATGATTCTGTTTTTCTGTTATAGTTTTTATTTTATGTAAAATTTCAAAGAAATTACTTAGTCTGTTGTATGATTCCAATGCTAATTGGATTACCCGCAATAAACAATATTTTGCAATAGTTAATAAAACAAATCACAATATTCATGAAATTTTTTTTGATACTTCATGTGGTTTACTAATATCAAACTTTTAAGATTCGTTTGTATCTATTTGTATTTCCAGCAAAGAAAAAGCTAATGAGATTACAGAAGATAATTTTCATGAAGTAGTGCAGTGGGGAAATGTACGAGGTGGATATCTGGAAGGTTTACTTCGTATCATGAACACAATCTATGCACCTATGTTCTTCAGAAATAAAACATGGCCTGACAGCATCAAGAACGATTTCAGTTCACAATTACACAGGTTTAATTGATACATATTTTATACAGTGCATATTCATGTCTTTAGCTTCGAACGAGCCTTATACAAGCCGCCACTGACATATAACGTTATGTAAGGTGCTACTATTTTTGCCTACCCAATTAATGACACCCTGGGTGAAGTAGTGGGCATGAAATCTGAAAGATTTTATTCTGTGATGCTACCACAGTTAAGTCAAACGCTTTGATTACTAGGCCATCCTCGGTGGTATGGTGCATTGTGCTAAGTGTTGGGAATATGCTCGCCCCCGCACATCTGATTACCCTGCGTGGGTTTGCAGGTTTGAATCTCACACAGGTATAATTATGTGTAAGAGGATTGCAGGACTCCTCGCCGCCTTCCTCCACCAAGTCCATGCATCTGAAAACAAATAATGATGTAATCCTATACCTTACATGGACTAGTAACTAGACGACAGGCCGCGGTTCGCCTAATAATTAAGCTGTCTTATCGACTTTCCACTCTCTCTGGATAAATATGTAAATCCTACCCTTTCCCGATATCCTATATATATACAGTGTTTAACATTAGTTAAACTAAAATTGAACAAAAAATTTTGTCGCTACCTGTTTATGTGATCCCCTGTTCATTACATGTATTTCTTTAGCTTGTTCGCAATAAGTTTGTAAATACTTTGATTCCTGTATAATTTGAATTATAATAATATGCATTGTGAATTTATAGGAACAGACTCCCTCCTGATGAATAATTTTTTTCTATCTTGAGGGTTAATTATATTGTTTAATGATAACTAGTTAACTTAAAATCGTAAGGTGTTTTACATATTATAGTACAGTGTGACCCCCCTCCTCCCCCAAAAAAAAATAAAAATAAAAATAACGCATCAATTTCTTAATTACTTCCACAAAAATGAAGAAAGTTTATTTTACATTTGTAATTCTGTTTGTGTAATATCTTTCCTAAAAGTTTCAGTTATCTGGGATCTTTTTTCTTTGATCACCAATTTTTATCTCAAAGTAAAAGTAACTTCCCGTCTTATATATCTTGTTTTCCCATGTAGGGCAGGTGTGTGGAACCAGTGGCCCGCGGGCCAAATGCGGCCCACAAGGAAATGTCATTTCACATATGTCCATATGAAGATACAATACCTTAATATGTTCACATCATAAACAGATTACATAAATTGGAAATGTGATATATTTCAATCATCACAATTCACAATGACGATATTTATTATTCTTTATTCTTTTGTTCGACAATGAACAGATTTCTGGCAAGTCTCACAGACATAAAGCACAAAACACAAGGCAAAACTGTATTGTACATTCCTAATGAAGGCCTCTCACAAGAACCGGAAATACCTGCGAAAGACAAAGAGTTTGTACAAAGGCTTGAAAGTATGGGATTGCTTTTGTTTTGCTGTTACCCATTGTTCTCTATCTGATATTTTTAAAAATATACCAATCAGAATTTTTTTCGAAGGTATGTTTGATCACATATGATGTAATCTTAAATAAATCTTGTTTGGAGAATTGTGTTTACTGCCTTTCAAACTTGGATTGCTGTTTTTATTTTCTCCTTATTGTGATTCATCATTGATCATACCTGGTATTTATTTGTAAAGTCATACTCGTAAAGTGTTGCTTTGATTTTGAAAACTTTTTATACGTCGAACAGGTGTTATGCTACCTTGTCTTAAAATTTTCAAGGAATGCTTTTTCTTTGTTCCTGTTATAACGCTCAGTCTATAATTGACTTTTTTAATCTGAGTAATTTTCTTGCAACATTGCTGCAATATTTCATTGAATAGGCACTACTTTGATTTGTATACTTTATTAAACTAGACAGACAGAAGTGAAAATCTCATGATTTTGTATATCTTCGCCAATTTTGATAAGATAATGGGCTTTTTATGGCCACTGATTGAATGATCAAGCTTTTTCAGACTTTACTTTTTCTGCATAACATAAATGAACAGGACGGAAAATTATCCTTGAAAATGCATATTGGGTTTAGATTTAGGCTTCAATATACTAGACAACTTGGGGGGTTGGGACATTCTCTTTCGGGCAAGATTTTTCAAAAAAAATTTGAATGGTGTGCGACCAGCTAAACTAGTTTTTAATTTAGTTTGATCTGGTTCCTTTCGCATTGCAATGCTTATATTTGTGTCCAATTTGTTATCTATAGCGAATCGGACAACGTGGTTCACAAAGCTATCACTTCCCGATAAGATTTGACAGCAAAGTATTTGGAAATGAATCTTGGCGTATCATACCGAAAACATCTCAACCAAGATAACTTTCCACATTTGAAAAAAGTCATGGCTTCACCTTCAAATATGGCACTCTTCGGTTACATAGTTTTTTCTAAAATGGGCGTCATATCGAATTGCTAGCACTTCCAATTTCAGCAAATTTGGAGACAAGTAGTCGGGAAAAGAATTCGTTTAAATTGGGTGTGACAATATATTTGAATTACAGTTTTAAGAAATTTATGCGGTTTAACTCATCATTTCTGCAAGGACCCCTAATGATGACGACATGAGATCAATAACAAAAAGACACTATTTTGTGCCTGCAACTAATAGCAAGCCTATGATAAATGAAGGTGCGGCTCGCGGTTTTACCCATGATATTTGGCCCGCCTGCAAAAAAGGTTGCACACCCCTGGTCTAAGCTATTATGACTTTTCTTCTTCATCAATTATTGTATTGTATCAAACATTTTCAACTGTTTCACCGTTTCAAAACTATTTATTTGAATTGTGATTGCTTTTGTTTTGATTTATTCATTATTTTGTTATTTTGTATAGCTGCAATGATTCATTGGACTCGACAAATCAAAGAAGTATTGAATGCACAAGATGCTTTAGAAACATCAGAAAGTTCCGGTCCATTAGAAGAACTTGAATTCTGGAATAATAGATGTATTGATTTATCAGGTATTTCAGTCTATTCAGTGGACATAATATCTTTTTTTTAATTATTCTTTTTCAAGTGTATGTTGATTGTCAACCATGCTTGTTGTCAGTGATGAGATTGCAAATTTTAATAACAGGTTCTCTTTTGTATCAAAATCACTAATAAGTTACATCAATGTGACATGCTTCACATAATTCTATGCTTCCGCAAATCCTGGTTGAAAACAAAAAACTAGAATGACTCGCTGATCAAAACAAAAACGTGCGAACCCACTGAATTCCACCAGCCACCACTGCCTGTAGTCCATTTTCAACTACTGATTGGCTTAGATTACTGCAAGTTGTATTGTTTTAACTACTACAAAATTACTGAACTTTTGACATATACATTTCTCTTTATAATTTTTGAACATTTCTCATTATAATTTTCATACTAATAAAATATGCCTTTAATTTATATAAAATTTATTTATTCATATTGAACATTGATTATTCCAATCAAGGGCTGTACATTTCAAACCTACAAAGTTGAATCATATTCATAAGCATGCATATTCTTGTAGTCACTGGATGGTAATCATTAGTAATTTCAATATTGTTCAATTATTTCTTTAACACAAATGGTCTTTTTAGGTCTAAGTGAACAACTGGACAAACCTGGTGTGAAAAGAATTCAGAAAATTCTCGAACTTGCAAAATCTTCGTACGTTGCACCTTTTAGGAAATTATCAAAGTTGATCCAAGTGAGAAATGTTGAATAGAAATTTTTCCAAAGTGTAACTATTAGATAAATTTTATATTTTTACTATTTGTTATGGGCATGGTGGCCTAGAGATTGAAGCGTTAAACTCATTAACTCTGTTGTCATCACAGTTTACATGTCTTGGGTTAAAATCTCATAGAGGGGTGTAATATATTGAGTTATACAGGGCTTATAATACAGGGCCTTGTTTTGAGCAAAAAGTGCCATATAAAAATATTTTATGAAGAATTTAACAAATTTCCATCCCATTTTTCTTTTAGTTTCAAATTTTGTACATTTCTCATCTTAGTGATTGCTTGTAGTTTGAAAGAGTTCTTGCTTTATTAAGCTCACAATTAAATTCTCATTAGTTGTTCTCAGTTAGCATAGAAGTGGTTAATTTTTGATACCTCATCAGTTGTTTAGTTTAGGTAAATACTTTCCTCAAAAAAGATTTCTGATTGACATTTAATGAGTAAGTTTTTCAAAAAATAAATTTTGTATCTCGATATTTCTGATCAGGATGGTTCTGCACAAGCTCAGAGTAATCTTCGCTTCCTTTCAATATTAAAAGAACCTTGTGAGGAACTCATAAAAGCAACACCACAAAAGGTTCCAGGAATTCTACCAAAACTTGTCAGTTATATTCGTGTCATCTGGTCCAATTCAGAGTTCTACAACACCAGGTAATGGAATGTAAAATTAAAATGTTCATCGAATATTTTACATTTAAGAATTCTAGATATACGAAATTTAGAATTTTAAAAAGATGTTTAACACTAGGTTATAGCTACCGGTGGTCTTATTTGGTGGTTTCACATGAAGATCATTTTTTGGGGATTGTTAGTTTACGATATAACCACAATACAGCGGTGGGCAAACTGTGGCCAGCGGCCGAATCGTGGGCCGCCAAGCATTTTCGAGAGGACCTCTGATGAATTTCAATTATTGGCAGTGGTACACAAAATGGTCCCATAAATACAACATTACAATTCAAATGTCCCTTAACAAGTTTATTACATGGTTAAATTTAAAATTTCCTACAAAATCTTGGCCGAGGCTAGCAAGGCTGTCACCAACGTGTTTGTTGTTGGGCCTTGAAATTTATTTCATTTTACCATTTGTGCCTCATTTGAAAAACTTTGCCGACATTTGCCCTAATATAAGAATATACGAGAACAAGATATTTCATTGCTTTCTCTGTTTTTGTATGTCAGAATATTATTAGAATAAATTCATTCATTTCAAAATATGAATATTTGCATAGTATAGTGGTCTAAAATGAATTTCCCCATGAAACACATTTTTTCTTGCAGTATCATATATTTTTCGTTCAATTTCCTCTTGTCGATTACTGTTATTATTTGTTATTACAGATTTTTGCATATTACCATAACCATCTTTGTGTAATAAATAAATTGAGTCATTCAAGAAAGAACAAATTGTGCAAATTTTTTGCTCAAATATTTATTTTTGTCTTTTTTAGGGAACGTCTTACTGCTCTTTTCCGTAAGCTGAGTAATGACGTCATCCGAGTTTGCTGTCGAGAGATTTCACTGGATCGAATATTTGAAGGATTTGTTAATAGCAGTATGGTGTCACTAGAGAGCTGTATTGATTGTTGTTTGGCATGGAAGGAGATTTACAGGAATAATTCAATTATTCATCACAAGTTCGTATTATTCAACGTACCCTAATTACAGGTTTTCGGCAACAAAAAAATTTTTTTTTTCAATTTGATAAGCTATTTATTTGATGCATTTACGAATTTACATTTCATTCGTTTTTAGCAGATTAATCTTGATTATTTTGTAATTGCAATTTAAGAGAATGAAATGTTGTATAAAAACATATGATTTCTTATTTATATTAATATTCCATAAAACTCATTTCTTGCAAAGTATTCCTGTTTGTTATATCTGCAATATAGGTTTGATACTGTCTAAAAATATGATAATGGTCCATCTTTATTTAAATGATCCTGCTTTTAAGAAAGTACCGTATTCGAAAAGATTATGATATGAGTGACTGCTGGCAAAACAAAGTCTTGTTTGAAAAATTTGTTGTAGAATAAAAGAATAGATAAAAACGAACAAATTAAAATTCACTTTCATGAAAAACTTTTTTAGATGATGTTTTATCACTCTCATTCTCTGAACAAAGCTCTTCATAGGCAACTGATATGTGATGTGCTAATATTTTTCAGATGTTCTATATGTAACCATATTTTCAAATATTTTACATTCTTGAATGTGTGTTTCAAATTACAAGTCAAAAATGTGGAATGTTTTTTCAATTATCTCAAGATTTTCTGACAAACGATGGGTTTTGGATCAAAGTTCAATATTTGCTCAAGTTGATGCTTTTATACAAAGATGTCGCGATTTATTGGAAGTTTGTGAATGTCAAAGACATTTTGCAAGAAGGTAATCTACTTACCTAACACAAAATAAGTAAGAATGTTTTGACCCTAATATGTATAATACATGGTGATATGAAGGGTGTTGCATCACCACTATTTTTTAAATTTTATCCTTAAACATTACATCTGACCAAAGTTGTCTTATCCTCATACAAGAAGTATAAAAAATTGCCACCTACAAAAAACTGTAGTACAACACAGGGGAGTCATGTAATCCTCTTCGTGTTCATTATTATCCCCAACTGGATGCTTATATTTTTCGAGTATAAACTAAGATCACTGAAAAATAAACATTAATTCTTCTAAATTTAACTGTTTCTACTTTTTCAGCTACATTGTATTTTTAACCACAAATTTTATATATTTTTTCATTTCACTTATTGAAATTAAAATTGGGTTTTATATATTCTGATTTATTTTGAAATACAGGAAAGATGGTGACAGAACTCCACTACCTTCCTTCTCTGGTCAACGTGGCCCAGAAATTGCTCGTAGTTTATTAGAAATTGAAGGAACATTTGATAAACATCTTCAGATATTAAGAACTGTCAAAAAAGGAATTCTTGATGTTAAGAATACATCTTGGCATGATGACTATAATAGGTAACAAAATTCTGTCTCAAGATTTTCAGTTTTACCAAATAAACATTGTTACTAGTACAAGAATACATACCGGTAATTGATATCATTGTTCACTCTTCATTAAGCAGCATTTTGATTTTGTTGTGACGAAAGTTGTTTTCTATTGAAATTTGCAGTACATTTCTGCGTAAATTGGATAACAATTATCATGCTATCCTTATTAGATCTTTTAGAAATATTTCAGCTCTCAACAGCACAGTGGGCTTTTTCATATTAGTTTATCGTTTATTAGGAGAAGATATATGAATATTCCACAAAAAAATTGAATAAGAATCATCAATATTTATATGTTTTCGCGGAATATTTTGTCAAGTGCATAAAAAGACAAACCTATCCACAATGATGGATTTAGTGCGTGCTGACGTTCTCAGCTACCTACCCACCTGACTAAAGAAAATTCCACAATTTATAAAATTAAGATTTTCATTAAATCCCTGCTAGAGGAAAGTTTATGTAACAATTACTGGTATATTGTAATGGAATTGATCAACCCTTCAAATGCATAATTTTCTCCAGCGGTTTTCAATACTATGAGCACCTATATAGTGTAATCAGGTTTGTAACGATGTGCCTTTGCTTGATGTGCCAATTCAGCGATTCCCAACTAGTAAGAAATTCAATTGTTTTGAGAGAAGAAATTTAGCTTTGTTTTTGCATGTTGTATTACGAATATTTCTGACCCATTTGTATTAATATAATATAAATTTTTCCCCCCATAATAAATTATTCGAATCACCATCTAAAGGTCCAGTGAAGTTTGGACAAGCACATAGTTATATTACAAAATAGCTACGTTCCTTCCTTCAATTATTATTAATGGGCGCATATAGAGTTTCAAATTAGGCAAATGGAGGAAAATATTGAAAAACGGGTGGGAATCACTTTGCACTTCTTCCCATGTCGCTATTTGTGTGGATTTCTATTGTCAGCAAACATGCGAATCATCAAAGCTGTTTCAAACCTTATTACATTGTACAAAAAGATTCAATCTTATTGGCATAATTTATTATACATTCTCTCCATGTTTAGGTTCCGCACAGGTGTAAAAGATCTTGAAGTGATGACACAGAACCTCATAACATCTGCATTTGAAACAGTCAGTACAGTGGAAGAAGGTGTTATGTTGTTGGATGTTTTTCAGAGCTTCTCAGGAAGAGAGTCGATCAAGAGAACGATTGACAAGAGGACAGTGGAGGTTTGTTATCACTGAAATTCAAATTCAGATACTTTATTTTCATCGTGCATCAAACATTGTACAATTAGTAAAAAATAAATAAAAAATAAATAAAAAAGTGTACAATAATTTGGCCGCAATTGACGACGGCTGCGAAAGACTATCATGTCATCGTGCCAGCGAAACCATTGGTCACTGAGTTCTGCAGCAGATTACATAAAAAAAATTAATTGAGTTAACTACGATAGTTCAACATGTGATGTTGAATGAATGCTGTTGAAAGATATAAATTGAATCGAAAAAGTCAGTCGGGATAGAAATGTTGAAACAAATTTCAAAAACTTTGGTTAATTTCAAACTTGGAGAACTCCTTTTTAAGTTGCAATGTATTTGGTACTTTTTGTAGGTTTACTCAGTTTTCAATGAAGAACTAAACAATGTTAAGAAGGAATTGAGCTCAAAAGCTACAAATCTGTTGCCATGGCAAGCCAAGTATGCAGGGGCTGCTCATTGGGCTCGGGCATTGAAGCGTAGAATTGATCGCCCAATGGAGGTAAGTGGAGTAAGCTAGGAGCTAGCTATTTTACTCGTTGCAGGTGGCTATTTCCAGTTTTTCTAGCTGGTGAAATTATGTTGTATACTAATTTTATTTTGTAAAAACTTTCTAAAATGTAGAATGGAATATTTTACCTGTAAGAAGTTATAGAATAGTAAGTATATTTGCTGTTTATCTCGGTGGGGGTAATGACGTTTAATCTTCTCATTTTATGGGAAACCATGGCCTCTTGTCTGGTTACCAGCTAATGTTGGGTATGTATTCCCTATGAGCTTTGAACCTTCGCGGATTCGTGTCGGGTATTATAAAGTGCAATGGCAAGCGTGTTCCTTAGTACAATGTTTGCACTCTCTGGTCTGATTTTACGAACATAAATATTTAGTAAGGAAAGATCTATTTGAAATAGTATTAATCATGATATATCCGCAAATCAACTTCTTTGTACATTCTAAGCTTGATTTGCCAATGTAAGAATGGCCACTTTCCCTGGTTTTCTCAAGACAATTTCTGGGTGATATCTTGCTATTTTATTGCATATGAGTACAATTTGAAAAAAATGTTTTTGAATTTGTACAATTTCATTTTTCTAGGTGTTAAACAATGCATTTTTCCTTCCTGAAATTGGTCTTGGACAAGAAACAAGAACAGCATATACACAACTTGCTCAAGCCCTAGATGAATTTGTTCGTAAAACTTTCAATGAATGGACAAGCACTGTGGATGACCAATGTATCAGAAAACTGGACAGGTCACTTATGCAAAAAGGAGCAGTCACAAAGGATATGCTCAATATGAATTTCGACAAGTTAGTATTAATATTCATTTTCATTTTGCTGTTTTTGTTTAATATACATGCTCCTGCAGGTCTGGTGTCTGGATTTTATATATATAATATGTTGGTACAACTTATATGGCTTCTAAAATTTATATATCACACTTGGTGCATCATTGGCAGGGCTTGTGAGTCAGCATACGAAATGATAATTAATATTCAAGTTTAAAATTGGACTGTCTGCTGGCACAGTGGTATTACAGGATAAATAAATTTACTTTAGTCTTGATAAATTTGTTTAGGTATCATCATATATTGGCTCTTTGCTGAATTACTAGTCGCCTGTGATTTGCATTTTATTTAGTTGAATTGAAATTCTACAAAATATTTGATTTTTCAAAACATTGAAATCCTGAAACTTACTTATTCACACATCTACAAATTCCATTAACACAGGCCTTATGCTTAGACCCTGTCATTGTAAATGTGAATTTGATTTTTTTCTCGTTTTTTGAATTTTTATCAGTATTTCTTAATGTCAAGCAACAGCCTTGTTACTCTCTTGTCACTCATTTTTTATAATCCTTTTTTTTTCAGAGACTTGCTCAAATTATTCAATGAAATTCACTACTGGGAGAGATTGATGTTTGAGATTCCACATTATGTTAATGATGTTTACATGAAGAGAGAGGAATTAAGAAATTTGAGAGAACATGTTCTTTTAGTTGTGCGGTGTGTAAATTTAATTGAATATTTTCAAATTTGATATAAAATTTCATGAATAAGACTTAAATTGGGATTTCAGTAACCCAGAAATAAACAGAACCTAGGTCATTTGAAACATATCCTAACTAGAACAAAACTTTTATACAAAGCGTCCTAGATAACTGAAACGTTTTGGTACAATCATACACAAACAGAGGTCAAGTGTTAAATAAATTTTTTTCTTTTTTTTTGAGTAAATAAGAAATTTATGAGTTCGTTTTTTTTTTTAGTCACTTTGTACAATTGACATAGCTTTGTCTGCTGCAGCATTGAATTAGTGCAATCTGATTTTTCCTAGTTTTTTGGACATTGTTTATGGATATTTGAGTGCGTTATTTTGAAACTTTAAAACTCTAGTTATGATGGTGAAATACTGTTATGAAAATTCTAGACACTATTGATAAGCAGAGGTATTTTGAACAACTTTTTCATTCACTCGGACGGAGTATTTCGCAAGTTTTGATCGTTTAATGGAGTGATTCCCAACCTTTTTAATGCATTTGTTCTTTTGTCAATTTTGTATTTGTTTGCTTCGTTTCCTCCATCAGTATGCCTATATTTCCACTTTTCACTCAATTCAATCATTAGATTTTGCTCTGCACAATTCAAATTCTTTCTTTTGCACTGTTTCAATAGCCTATGATGTGTGCATAAACATGATTCCAATTTGCAATAATGCTGAATAACTAAACAATATTAGCTACTCTGAATACAAAATATTATTTCTGTATTTCCTGATAAAAAAAATTCTTTTCCTGAATTCCTTCCTTGATTGGGAAACACTGTTGATTTTGAAGAAGGTATTATGGTCTCATGACTCCCTCCAGTCTATATCGAAAAATAATTACGTAATGTTTGTTACTGTATTTTCGGTGTTGCAATTACTGTTTCCCGTTTGACAAAACAATGAATTTCTTTTTGTTTTCTTCCTACTAACAGAATTTATATTTTAGAGATTACAATCGCATCATATCAGTGTTATCTGTTGAAGAACGAGGTTTGTTTCGTGAAAGAATTCGATCTCTTGATAAAAAGATACGACCTGGACTTTCGAAACTCACTTGGGCTTCAAAAGGAATTTCTGAATTCTTTGTTGGTGAATGTCGTGGTCATGCTAAAAAGGTATCTATCATGCCTATGTATCAAGCTGTTATATCCTAATCACGAGTAGTAATCTGTTATATCGGAAATAGGAAATTGGAGATTTTATTTTTGAACAATTTTTTTAAATTTTTGTTATTATATGAGGTATGTGATCATTTTCTTATACAACATGGTGAATGAAAATCAGCATTCTATCAATAAAATTGGTTATTTGTTTACAAAATTTTATGATGTTGATGTGTCAAATTCTATCATATATTTATTTCTGTAATATCATGCAATCCACAAAATTTAAAATAAAAGTGAACTGCATAAACTGAAGTAAAATATAGGAATACAGATGATCTTATGCATAAGCAGATGATGTGACTTGATTTTAATTCTCTCATTTTAAACTCCCTTCTTATTTATTGAATAATTGTGAATTGTAGTTTTTTCCAAGTTTCAAACTTTATTTTTGTTATTTGCCGATATCAGGTTCAAAGCATTGTTGATGATTACAAATCTGCAAATCTATCGATTGCAAGATCTTGTAGAAAGATCAGTGAATTACTCCTTGTTCATCTGGATGGAAAAAGAATTTATGAGGTTTGTTATTTATACCAGATAAAGATGATATATGACTTATACAAATTCATTTTTAAAAATTTAACGTTTTTAAGGGTGAAACTTGAAAAAGCTGCGTTGAGAAAAACTATATTTTTGATTTTTAAACTTTTTATAATTTTGGTGATTATTGCTCCAAACCAGCTCAAAGAAGTCTTTTTGTGATATTTTCAAATATTTTTTTTTTTTTTGAAAACCTCGCAATGTACACCATGTTCTAGTACTTGAGATGTTGAGATGGCAAATATGGGCATATATAGCCGCAGTTGCGTTGATGTAGATTAGACTATCATTCTTTACAGGATTTAAACATTATACCCCATGCAACATAATAAGGGTTGCTATTTTACTAACTTTTCTCATGAGTTAGTTGTGTCTACCGTACTGGTACTTAGTGTTGCAGGTTGTATAAAAAAAATGCAATGTCTTCTGCAGGATCTTGAATTTCAAGATGATCAATTCAAACATCGTGATAATATGCAGAAGAAGTTGGATGCATGTCATGCTGGTATAATAGCTACAATGAAAAGCACTTATAAAGTATTCATGTCAGATGGACCTGAAGTAAGGATTGTTTATTATTCGTTAATACTACATTCTGAGCTGCTATATTCAACATCGTTAAATATATTCTGAAGGCTTTAACTCAAAAGGGTGAAACCTGAAAAAATTGTTTTGACAAAATGGGTAAAACGTATATTTTTGGCTTCAAAACTCCTGTATCGTTTTATTAAAATACTTAATTTGAAAATGGCCTCAAACAATGAATTAATCCCCCTTTTTGCGTCATTATACAGTTGCAGTTAATTAGTTTCATATATTTTCTGTTGTCTAATATTTCATTTTCATCCCTATTATGTATTGATGCCATGTTTAGCTTTTCTTATTTAATAACCCCTTACCCCTTTGTGCAAGGCATCCTGGATTACTAAAACGTTTGGGTACAATCATTCACAAACAGAAGTTTGATGTGTTGAATAAATTTTCGTAAAAGTGATTGAGAACATTTGGGGTTCTGTTTTTTTGTGTCACCCTAATATTTTTCTCAAAGATATTTTTTCAATAATGTAATCATTTTAGTAATTTCTTCAACCTATAGCCTGGTCATCTAGTTACTGTGAATATTATTCAATATCGTCGGAGTTGATTCCGATGTCCACATTCTCATATTGGCCTCTCTACTCTATTTGTTACCCTTTTTTTGCCCTGATGATCTGGTTGACTAAACAATCTCTCTCTCTTATTTCATATTATTTAACTATCCAATTGTCTGGGCTGCAGTTTTAAAATTCACATTCATGATTTGTCTTGTTTTATATTTTTCAGGTCTACCAACACTGGGTTCGATACACAGAACGCATGGATCAGCATGTTGAAGATGCATTCAGATTGAATATCAAATGGTCATTGCAAGAAATTGCTAAAGCAGTCAGCGATGACTCAAAAACAACACCTAATCCATTGTTCAGAGTCAAAGTTGTTTTGATACCAGGCAAAAATAATGTTCCGCAGGTATCAGTTCTCCCTTAGATTTAAACCTTAGCATTAGTGACTTGTTTATGGCTATGAATATCGACTGCCAGCTCTTAATAAAAAAAACTTGATTTATCATTTTATGTTCAAGTTGCTGTAAGCTCATGGCCTAAGAAAAAAGAGAATTATTTGATATTTTGAATATCTTCATTAAGGGAATCAGATGTTTTTATTGTAAATTTTTTATTTTGATATAAATCGTAATACTGATGTAACCTAATTTACCATCCAAGTAATACAAACACTACATTATGAAGTATATATCACACCCTAACAGAAAACTGAATTAATTCAGTTATGGTTATGAGCATCTGCAACTCATATTGCATTCTCCAATTGGTTAGTATCATTACATTCCTGAAATAGGAAGAATGGACAAAGCCCTGTCCAAAGTAAATATGGACTGATAACTCTTATTAAAGAACTGCATTAAAGTTATCGTAAGCTCATAGCCAAAAAAGCTATCTCTATTCTGTATGGGTAATTACATTTGAAACTAAAATTATGATAATTATGTTCTGAACGGACTTTCCTGAAAAAATACTGTGAAGCCAATCAACTTTATAAAAAATACTCAAACATTTTTTGAATCAATGTACTTTTTTTTAATCCTACTATTTGTAAACTTTTTTTACACTTTTTCAAGGTTGAATTTTCACCAACTCTACATCAACTTGCAAGTATTGTGAGCAATGTCAGCATGCAACTCACATCTGCCATTGCTCATTTTAAAAGATTACCTGAATTGTTGACAAGAATGAAGAGACAACAATTGTTTGAACACAAAGATCCTATTTTTGCTATCATTGGTGGGTTTTGTATTATCTGGTTTGGTATATTTATTTATTTTTTTTATTTTTACGTAATTGTGCAATTTCAATACAATATTGAAGACTTTGAAAAAGTTTTCTTTTGTTTTATATTGATCATAAAGTGAACCTTTTTTTTGTTTTGTTGTGTTTTTCAATGGGTAAACGATGGATGTGCTATACTTTAGGATAAAACAATTCATTGTGCATTGAAATCAAAATTTCATATTAGATTAAAATATGTCATCGTAATTTTAATGTTTCTATGCAGATCACAGAAAAGCAGTAATTTTGTTTATTCATATTTTTAAAACATCATTTTTGATTATTAATTATTTTCCACAGAGAGAGATGATGAAACTCGTAAAATCCAGCGAACAATTCATGATGGAATGGAGAGCAATGCTGCAAGATTGGAAGAATATCTTTCAACCTGGGGTATTTATAAAGAGATTTGGGAAATCAATAAAGATGCTTTCATCAGACGATATCAACGTTTGGATCCCCCAGTTTCCAGTTTCGATTCTGATGTTGCTAGGTATTTCTTTATGTGAAATTACTTTCAAAATGCATGATGTGTGAAAATAAAATGTGGGAGTAAACATCACGGTCGAAATTTGTCTTTAGTCAAAGATGCCAGTAATCAAATTGTTGCATTTCTATGAAATGGAAAGAATTTTATTTTACAATTTTCATTTGTTTATAATTAGTTTCATATTAGTCATAATTTTTTGCAATCTTATGTGTCCAATCCTACTGAAAACCCAGGTATATGGCATGATGAAGCTTTTTTTCAATTCATTTCCAACGTCAGATTGTTTTCAATGAGACTTAAGCTATTTTGCTTCAAGCTTGTTGCTACCAATCTTCCACAATTCCATTGCACTACCCAATCCTTTGCTTTATCGTTTTTTTATATCCATTTAATTCTTTAGATAACAAAACAGCTTCAAACGAATATAATTGCAAAATAAATCAATTTTCAGTTCAGTTTTATTAGAAATCATCTTTTTATTTCCTTCTCAGATGTTTTTAACTTCAGAATTCTTGAATTGTGAAATATTTTTCCGGTTGCAAAAATACTCAGGAAGTCATCCATAATGCTGTGAAAAATAAAGATCATCAAAACTGCATAAATGCAATTACTTATTCTTTTCTACAGATACACAGAAGTCAGTAACAATGTGCAAAAGGAAGAGACAGTTCTCAACATTCAATTTGTTCTTGTTGATTGTTCTCCGCTCAAGTTTGCAATGCTTTCCCATTGTAATGAATGGCAGAATAAATTCACAACTCTTCTACAAGAAATGGCAACAGCAAGATTAACAGAATTGACAACTTTCTTGAAGACAAATGCAGAGAAGTATGATTTATAGGAATGGTGTATGACTCAAATCATGGAAGTCGTTTTGATATATTACAAGTATAAGTGGTTTCATTGAGTGGTATTCATAAGTTTCATTTGAGTATGTTTGACATGTAGTGCCTTAGATGGATAGACTTGTCATATTGAACCTTTTTGGGATTTGTCAATTTATGTTTCATACTGGTAAACTAATCTTGGACTTGATTGAAAACAAAACAAAACCACAGAGCAGTAGTTTTGTATTATGATATCAAAATCGTTTTTTTGCCAATGAAGTTTCCTTGCAAAAAATACAAGCATAACATAAAAATACAAATTCATCTCAGCGATAATTAAATCAGTTTCTTTTCAGACACAACTTGTTTGTTTTTGCTAGCTTGACGTTTGGCTCATTGTGATAAGGGATGGAAACATGCTTGTGATCGTATCACTCATTTCCCAGCATGATTTGCATGTTTGAATCTTGTGAGAGATAATTATGTGTGCAATGATTTCTGACCTCATTGCCATCATTAGGTTATTCATAAAATCACTATTCTGTTACAGCTTAAGTCATCATCATAGTCTATAGATTTTGAACAATTAATTTTACAAATTAATTCATTAAAATCATTTCAAACCAATTTTATCTTGACAAAAATTATTAGGGTTAGTCAACCTCCGAAGACATTGGACGAATTGGGAGATAGTCTTGATCTCTGGGAGAAATTAAACTCTGAGCGAACAAAAACTGAATCAAAGATTCAACCAATTCATGAGCAATTTGGAATTTTGGAAAAGTATGAAGTACCTGTGCCAGATGAGGTGATGTTTTCAATGCTTTTACAAAGTTATCAGTTAAATAAATGACTTTTAGTTTTTTATCATTTTGAAGTTTACAATGTTTTTGCGAAAATTGATGGTAATAATTTCATAATGTTTCAATTTTTGTTATTATTTTTAGACAATGCAAATGCTTCATCAACTGAATGATGAATACATGAAATTTCAACAATGTTTGTTTGATGCTGATATTATGTTGAAAAAACATAAAGAAAAATTCAAGTCCGGTCTATTGACACAAGCAGAAGAATTCCGTAAACATGTTGGAGGTCTTTGCTCTGACTTTCTACAACAAGGACCATTTACCAGTAACTTTACAAGCGAAAAAGCCTTGGAGCTCATTGGCAATTTCAAGTAAGTTAAATATATTGAATAAGGTACATTTTGACGCCACAGTTTGGGCCCCAGCTTATTTAGCCCAGCCTAATTACAGCCTTTTGTCAGAAAAATTTGTCTTAACTAACAAAATTACACTCAAGTACGGCAGATTTAAACCTTTTTTTCAAATCTTGTATTCATTAATCTTAAAAGTAATTTTGTATTTGAAAATATACCCAAACTCTAAATATGTTATTTCGAACTCTAAAGCATCTACGGTAACTCTAAATTTATATTATTGATCTTACTTTCAAATCAAATGTTTTAAAATTTGACATTTTTCTGAGCCAGTTTTTAGTTTCGATACTTCTCTGGCACCAAAACGGGAGTTCACAATAGTTCCATTCAGAGATATATTGCTCCTTTCTCTTGATTCTAATTTGTATCTGAGTATCAAATTCTAATATAGGGCTGCTATTGTTAAATTTTCATTTAAATTTTGTATTGTATCCATATTGAAAGCTAGAATAAAGTATTATTATCAAGGTATCTAAGGTCATTTTTAACACATTCTAGAGAAACCTAACTTTTTTTTGATGTCCTAGATTACGGAAACTTTTGGGTACAATCATACACAAACAGGAGTTCCAGTGTTAATTGAATTTTCTCCATTTTTGTAGGAGTAAGAAATTTCTGGATTCTGTTTTTTGTCACCCTTGTACAATAAGAAATGCATCTACCAATCCATTTTAAACACTCTGAGTTTTTATTTTTTTGTGATTATCAGGAAGAATGTTAATGATCTAAAATTGCAAGAAGTATCATTGAGAAGAGGACTCGGAATTTTTAAAATTGAGCAACAACCTTCAAAAGATTTAACCGGGCTCGATAAAGATCTGGATCATATTGAACAGGTAGAGAAGTTAAAACGATGACAAACTGTTAGTTTATTTAAACAATTTGAAATTAGTATTTTCCTCTAAAAGTCAATACCTTCCATCACTTGGAATTAGATTGTGTTCTAATAGTTTTATTCGAAAAGATTGTTATCAGTTACTGATATAAATTAATTAGTGAAAGTTTAATAATATATCAGAGGAAAATATTTTTAAAGTTTCCTAAACTTTTGTTAGAATTGAGATTCAATTTTTCGAATTGATTTATTGGCATAATCTGGTTGACAAATAAGGCTTGCATTTTTGAATATCTGATGATTTCAAAATCGAATATTTTTTTTAAATCTAATCAAATCTCGAATACTTGGAAGATATTTCAGTTATCGCAACGATGTAAATGTATGTGACTCTGAACGTATTGAAAGAGAAACAGTGATTCTCATACATCCAGACGGAAAAAAGGTTTGCAAAAAAATTAAAGAATTCACCTCCACCTTTGACAAACAGAAAAAAAACAAGATGGCAACTTTCATCTGAAAATTTTTTTATTTGCTAATTACTTTTATCTTCTTCAATTATTCTATTTTCAAGATTTGGGAATTAACGAAAGAATGGGAAGGATTATGGGACGAATGGAAAGTTGGACAATTCAAAGATCTTGTTACAGCTGATATGGAGATGACGGCTCAAGGATTGTATAAGAAATTGAATAAATTGAGCAGAGAACTCAAGGTATTTTATGGTCCTGTTTTTATCACTATTAGCATCAAATGGATATTATTTGAAGGTTTTAACCCAGAAAGGGCAAGTAGGGGAAATGTTTATTTTTGATTTTAATCTCCCGTAACGCTATCTAGGTATATTCAAATACACCAGTGAATATTGTGTAAATCTATGATTAGATACCAGCATAAAGTGCATCTAATTTTTTTTTTCAATATTTAAAAATTTTGAAATTTCAACTTTCACTTTTTTGTTTTGGAACCATTGTGATATAATAATACTTCACATTGTACTATGATTGACCAGACTCATATATACAGTTTTTCAAAATTCTCTCTATATGTACAAATTTGTCTTATTTTGCGTATAGATAGCATACATTACTCTATTATTCTTTGTGCAAGAAAGCACCAGTACTTTGCGTGCTTAAGGAATGATTTTGAGGAAGTCTTTTTAATTATCTCTTGTGAGAGAATTCTTGGTTCAACAACTGTACATTTTTCACAAAAATTTCGATTTTAAAAGTTCCTAAAAATGTGATATATTTTTGTTTATTTTTTATAACAGGATAAACATTGGGAAATTGTCGATTCATCCAAGAATAGAATTGATCAGTTTAAACGTACAATGCCACTGATTACTGATCTGAAGAACGATGCTATGAGAGACAGACATTGGGCCCAAATTAAGACCGAGGTATGAATATCTTATTTAATACCTAGTTTTAATCGACCCATTTCTAGCCAAACACAAAGTATAAAACTGAGGAGCGAATAAGAACAAAACAACCGAATTACAGACATAAATAGATACTCATAGCCTTTCAAGGAATAATAACAAATGACTAGTTGTACAAATTAAAACTTGAACACTGAATAAACTGTGATAATGTAATGTTGTTAACTATTATCGTATTAATTTGAAGAGCTACTAAATGCCTTAGGAAATGAGCTTCTTTAGTTTGGACAATTTAGTATATATTTTCATTCTTAAACTTCATGACTATTCAAGCTTACTTTACCTCAGCCTTATCAGCTATTCAAAATATTGCGAAGTGGATCTAGAATCATTAATATCTGGGTACTTATTCGCTCCAGTCAGAACATTCCCAAAGATTATTTTCATGGAATAGTAATTTTTGTGATAAATAAGTTTTTTTTTTGATGTGATATAATAGGATTGATAAAATATTACGCAGTATTTCAAAAAGCAAGGTTTTTATCATTTCACTATAAATGGAAAATTATTTGAAAAAGAGTATTTTTATTTTCGTACTTCTTTTAATTATATGATTAAACATTTTTCAAATTATACTGTTACTTCTTAATCAGCTTCAAAGGCCGTTCGATCACACCAGTGAAACTTTCACTTTGGAGAAGATAATCGAACTCGGACTCGATGCATTTGCCGAACAAATCTCAGAAATTTCTGGAGCTGCAAGCAAGGAGTTGGCAATTGAAGAGGTTTGAAAATTAGTTAATCTTTCTATTGTTGAAAATTTATTTTTAATATTTCAATTTTACTTTATTTTGCCGAATTTTAAGATCCAAGTGGATATAAACATGTTTAATAACTAGTGATAACAGCGGTAGAATATTAATAAACCAATTTGAGTCCAAAAACTGATAGAATACCTCTATTACTGCGATTAAAATATAGATTCCGATTTGTCATTTTACGATTTACGAAGCGGGAGTTTGAGTTGGGCGTAAAGGATATTGGTTTATCAATAGTCTGGTTTGCTATGATTCTGTCATGCAATTTTTTGGTTTGTGTGAATAACAATGATTTTGAAATATTTTACAGACATTGCAAGAGATTGAAAATGTGTGGGGTGAAGTTGTCATGGATATTATACCATACAAAGAAAGAGGACATTTTCGGTAAGCTTGTAATTTTGAATCTGTGGGTTTTGTAGTTCGTTGTGAGAGATTGACTTGATCAAAATATTTGAATTCACGAAAGATTGATGTAGACCTTTTATTATTATTGGCATATTATTCTAACAACAAGAGCATATAAAACTGTGTATAAAAAACTACAGTTTTACTTTTTAATTTTTTAATCAACGCTTATTCACCACGTCTCTCGCTTTGAACAAGGCCCGATACAAGCATCCACTGCTATCTAACAATATTTAAGGAGCTGTTATTATTTTGAAAGGAACGGTATCTTTCCTGCTCGAGGTTGCCTACTCATTTTATTACGCCATGGGTGGGGTGTGGGTCAAGGTATTTGAATTCAAGATGTGTAATCTACAATGCCAATACTATTGTCGCATCCTGAATTTCTCACTTTGTGTTATTTTGTGCAATAAATCGATATTATTTATCAGAAATTGTATCTTGTTAAGTGTGATTCTAGAATACTACATTCTTCACATATTTTTATTTCTAATTTCATCAACACTATTCTACAGTCTCCGTGGCACGGATGAAATCTTCCAACAACTTGAAGATAATCAAGTTACATTGTCAACAATGAAAGCATCAAGATATGTAAAAGCCTTTGAGAAAACTGTAGATATGTGGGAACGTACTTTATCTCTCATCATGGAATGTGTTGAAATGATTCTGACTGTCCAGAGACAATGGATGTATTTGGAGGTTGGAAAATTTCTTTTTCTTAAACACTGCTCAACAACATTTTTGAAGTCCAAAATTAATAAATAGACAATTGAATGAGCTGAGTATAGGGTATTATTTTTTTATTATTCATCAAATTTTTATGCTATAATTTGCAAGAGAAATTTTTGTGCCATGAAGAGTGCTAGGATAAAGTTTTCCGTTGCACCTCTGATTACCCTGCCCGGATTTGTGAGTCAATCCTTCAGGAAATAAATATGTGCAAGAAGATAGCTGGATTTTTTTGGGGTTTCGAATGGTTTTCGTAACCTCTGATCGGTTGCGACTTCCTTCATCATCAGGGAATATTTGTGAAACTATTACTAAACCTGATCCTGAAATGATCCTGTAAAACCTAAGGTTCAATTTAGCAATATGGTATCATTTGAGTAGGCCTATTATATACTGAATTATTTTGCAGAATATTTTCCTCGGTGAAGACATTCGTAAACAGCTTCCTAGAGAATCAGCTGAATTTGATGAAGTGAATGTGAATTGGAAAGTAATCATGACAAGATTACATAAAGATAACAATGCAAGGAGAGGAACTCATCATCCAGGTAGATCGCTAGTAGAGATTGTTTTCTTTTTTTTTGTCGATGAATTTCATAAAAACGAATACATATTATTGAAATAGAATAGATATTTGATTGAACATGTAATAGATTTTATTTCTTTGTGATCCAGAATAAATGAATTTTAATAGTGGCACAAGATGTATGCCGACAGATATTTAGAAGATAAGGAAAGTTTGTGCATTTCCAAGCCTGAAGCACCGAAGAATCAGTTTTCCTACACAATGTAGTCTTCCTATTCTAATATTCAAAGATTAATTTCTCTTCAGACAGATTACACATTTATAGCACTTCTGTGACTGTCACTAGCTAATAAAGCCCCACCCAACCCACGCCCTCACTCAAACATGTAAACAGATAATTATTACTAGGTAATAACAAAATGATCTCAAAGATGTTGAAAGTTAAGAAATCTTGTTCTTGGTTGCGCAGATTGATGTTTTAACATCAACATTCTAATTTTTAATTATTTTTTTTGTAAGGAATGCTTGAACAGCTCAACGACATGAACACAAAGTTGGAAGAAATCCAGAAATCATTAGATATGTATCTTGAAACAAAGAGACAGATATTTCCAAGATTCTATTTCTTGTCAAACGACGATTTATTGGAGATTCTCGGTCAATCTAAGAATCCTGAAGCTGTAAGTTTGAAATGCATTGAAAATTGTAGAACTTGAAATGTTTTATACGATGCTATTTCGTCTTCGCTGTGAATAAGGTCCTGTAAAAGGAGTCACTGATATAGAGGAAGTGGCTATTGTTGCAAGGACTGATATCTTTCTGGTTCGTCATTGCCTATTCGAATACAATAATACAATTTGATATGATAACTTTTTATTGTAGGAATCATTTTGAATAGTTATTTTTTGATGATTATTATTTCCATTAAGAAATTCAGCTATGGCTAAGTCCTTGAAAAATGTTTCACATTATTATTGGTAGAATTGGGAATTATTTCAACTGGCATTTATACTCCTATGTTCAGGTTCAACCACATTTGAAGAAATGTTTCGATAACATTAAGACATTACAAATGAAGAAAGCTGGACACGGACATAAAATTGAAGCTGTTGGAATGTATTCTTCTGAAGGAGAACATGTGGAATTTGGCAATCCTGTATTGTTGGAAGGTTGGGTTTAGATCATATCCTTCAATGTCATGTTTTTCTTCAAATAATCATTTAAATTAGGGTTATTACTAGGTATTGTACGAGATTCGAACTCAAATTTGAGTCAAATCCACGCAATTCTAGGACTCTAAGGAATTTAAGAAAGCCAGCTTGCAACTTAGACACATATCACTTGATATTCATTCTATATTGTGGCCTCTATTATGACATCACAGAATTCGAAAACCAAAAAGGCTATATTGTTATTGCTCATTTTGACCTTCTTAATTAATTATATGTTCCAAATTTTCGGCTAATGCCATCATTTCACTTTGATGTAAATCTGATTTATCTGTTGTTGATCCAAACATTCGGAATACTGCTAATTTACTCCAAAGTCCGCTCTAATAGTGAGTGTATTGAACTATGCAAGTTGGGTGAACTCCAGTGAAGGTCAATCAATACAATTTTAACTGAAATGTGTAAGAAATTGGCTGGGCTATTTCGTATCGGAAAGGTTCATTTCTTTTAGATTTAGTTGTTACCTTGCCTTAATTTTGGCTTGCACAATTTTATTTAGAGAGCATATCGATTGTACCATATAAATTATATTGTGACATTGGTGATAAATCAAATACAGCATTGCAGATATTTTTCACCATTTTTTTTTACTTTTTAAGGTCCTGTTGAAGCCTGGCTATGTGATGTTGAACGCACAATGAGATGGACGTTGAAAGAAGTCCTCAAGCAAACTAGACTCGCACTCAAAAAATTTTTGAGCAAAAGAGATAAGTGGATGAGAGAATGGCCAGGACAGGTGTGAAAATCATTTACTGAAATGAAATTGTATCAATACATCTACGCTATGCTTATTACTTATTAACTGTGCTTATTATATACAACAAATACCTTACTATCTACTACGTTGTGTCCTAGTCTCATTATTCATCCTTCATCTCAATACAAATTTCAGGTTGGCACATTGTGCTAAGCATCAGCATGCTTCTGAAACAAATAGCTGGCCTACTAATCCCATAAACGATTTGGACTGGTAACCCGACAAGAGGCCGTGGATAGCCATATGATTAAGTCATCTTATCCTCTCCCCTCTCCCCAAGAATAAATATGAAAATCCCAAATTTCTAGGAAAATTCAATCATCCAAGGCATTGGCTGACATAGGTTGTGTTTTTATGTTTACCTATTGTGAAAACTAAATGTTTGTATCTGTAAAATTAAACTCAAAGACCATTAGAACAATTCAATAGATTATTTCTGGCACTCAGGGTGCTTTGAAATGTGTTTGAAGCACAATTCCCCCTCAAGATTTTTTTTATTTGATCTCTGCTTTAGAAGATTTTTACTCCCAGTAGTTCTGTCTGTGGGTCCAACTTCAAACGGCTGGATATTTTTCACATGGATTATCATCCTAATAATGTGTGTTTCACACAAAGTCCGAATTGAAGTTTTATTTCCATGGCAGCAGCGAAAAAGCATGTCAGTTGTTGAGAAATTTTTATTTCATTCACAATTTGTCGCCATTCCCTTTTTTATCTAATAATATTACTAAGTCTGTTCATTCTCTTTTTATATATAAATAGAAAGCTAACAGTAATTAATTTTTGTTTTTCTAGCCTGTTATCACTGCAAGTCAAATTCAATGGACAGCAGATTGTACAAAAGCTTTGAACACTGTGAAAGAGAGAGGAGATAAGAAAGCTTTGAAGAGCATTAAGAAAAAACAGGTACATTTGTTTTATTCAGGTCATTCGAAATTTTGATGGTGCTCGGAGCTCTCTTTTTTTTTATGTGGCATAATTATATCATGCATAATATTCTTTTAATATCAGGTAAAAATAATATTGGAACTCTTCATTCCTCCCTCACAATGCATATATCGCTGCTTCTGTATTTGTTCAATCTTTAAGCTAGCTAGTTAGCTAGTGATACACGCAAGGCGTGCTTTCGTGCAGTCTATATAGTCTACAATATGCATGAATAGGTATAAAATAATGCTAAAAAACTAAACAATATTAGCAAAACAGCGCTTCAGAAGTATGTGTACCAATATGGAGGTAACTAATTTTGTTCACCTATTTTACATCAAGTTGTGTAAAAGGACTGAAACCTATGGGCACTTGACTAACACAGACAGTCCCCCAACTCGTAATAGAATTAAAGTGAAGAAAATCGGAATAAAATTATGGCCTACCTCTAACCTGGTACACATACTACGGGAGTACCAGCAAAACAATATTACAAACAATATTAGCTAAATACAAAGTATTTCTTTCCAAAAAACAACAAAATTATCGCTAGGGAGGATTTCGGTTGGAAAACGTGTTAAACTGTTCTGAAACACCTATTTAGTGTCATTCAATTCATTGTGCCCGGACATCTTATATCATTGAATATACATTTTGTATAAACCAAAGATGATGTTGATCTATACCAGGGGTCTCCAACTCAAAATATGGCATGGGCCACTTTTCGAACTTTATTGACGACGCGGGCCACAAACCAACAAATTGTTATTAGCATTGCACACAAAATATAGATCCTCCCTATTCTGTGCTCTTCCAAACATTTCCATGTGTTAGGCCGTGTGATGGAGACCCCTGATCTATATGAATTGAATTTTTTAGGTGTCCATGCTGAACAAGTATTCAGAAGCAATTCGTGGTAATTTGAACAAAAATCAGCGTTCGAAAGTTGTTGCTCTTGTGACAATTGAAGTTCATGCTCGTGATGTCATTGATAAATTGATTAAAACCAACACAAATGATGTCACAGCTTTTGAATGGCTTCAGCAACTCAGGTTATACTGGGACAAGGTAAGATGGTGTTCCACTGTTCAAGCATGGCAGAATGGTATTCCATTAATCCTTGGATGACTATTCTATTGTGCGAAGCATCCTAGATTACCGAATTTTTTGGTTACAACCATACATACACATAAATTTAAGCATTCATTTTTGTAAAAGTAATTGGGATTTTTATCGGTTTTGTACTTTTGGGCCACTCTGTACCTGAATTTTAAAATGACTCTTTAATTTCTAACTCGATGCTAAATATTTTAATTAGTTTGATTAGTAATATTAGTAGCAGGCACGTCTGAAATAGTAAATATATTGGTTTATTGTATTTCCAAAATTATAAGGTGTGAGGAGTTGAATTTTTAAAGTATGGCCAAAAAGCTTCAGTTTAATTTCAAACAACTGCAAAGATATAAAATCAGTAAAACCACTGTTAATCTTCTTTATCCTGTATTTGCAAATTCAAGCAAATATGATTTCTACATTTCCATTTACCTTGACCAATTTAGTAAATAATTGATATTCAAAATTTTTTTTGCTGTAACTTGATTTTAGACATAAACATAGTATTGCTTTCCATTTAGCGAGCTAGGATGGTTACATATTATTCAACTAGCCTACTCTTTTTATTATTTTCAGGATATTGATGATTGTGTAGTTCGACAAACCAACACACAGTTTCAGTATGGTTATGAATATCTTGGTAACTCAGGACGACTCGTCATTACACCACTCACAGACAGATGTTACATGACATTGACAACTGCATTACATTTGCATAGGTTAGTATGAGATTGAGGATTCCTATTTTTTAATAGAATTTGCTCAATGATGCCACTGGAATGATAAACGTGGTTGAGAGACAGGTTGTGGAAAGGTTTATGGTGGAGTATTACATGACAGGCAGGGTTGACAGGATAGATTATGACTGGAATTGAAACAGTGAGCAAAAGGTCCAATTTATGAAGCCGTGAGGCTTGCGAAGAACTAAAAATTGTGCTTTTAATAGTGTTATGAGTGCTTGACTCTCTTTGCCAAACCTCATTTTAAAAATATTTTGCATGTCCCATTTTAAACATTCGCTAATCACAGCCATTACCAAGTAGCCGGCGCTAACTGGCGAGGGGTCAATGTGTATTTTTTAAAGTTCATTGTATCAATTTTGATTACCATATTAATATACTATTTAGGAGGAAATGTTATTGGTCTGTCTGACGTATAATTTTCATCACAGGGGTGGAAGTCCGAAAGGACCTGCTGGTACAGGAAAAACTGAAACTGTAAAAGATCTTGGTAAGGCTCTGGGAATGTATGTTATTGTTGTCAATTGCTCGGAAGGTCTGGATTACAAGAGCATGGGAAGAATGTACAGTGGATTGGCACAGGTATGGAAAATATATGAAAATGACCCGCAGCAAACCAGCAATAATAATAGGTGGTAGTCTGTATTTAAGCTGCGAATATTCATTTAACAAGTTGCAAGCTATTCATAACTCTTGGCAGAAAGTCTCACTTTGATATGTTACAATTCACTTGTAATAAATTGTTATTTTTCAAATTTACGCAACAGGACCAAATTATTCTTTCTATAAGATTGTGGTAACAGAGGACTATCCAAGACTCTTATCCAATATTTCAAAATATTAGTGATTATTATATAGTCACTAAATTGTTGCAGTTAGCAGTTAGTTCTATTTTGGCCAATTTTCGATATGGCCCGCATATTTTATTGCTTTTTAATTTAAAGCATTAGCTATTTTTTATTATTTCATTCTAAATGATAGAGAACCAGGTTGGACACATGATACAGCAGGCCTTCTTTTCTACAATGGTATAATTTAGTCATGTTTTTATGCAAATTCATATTACTTCAGACTGGAGCATGGGGATGTTTTGATGAATTCAATCGCATCAACATTGAAGTATTATCTGTTGTTGCCCAGCAAATTTTGTCCATTCTGTCAGCACTTGCAGCGGGTCATCAGAGATTTGTGTTTGAAGGAAGAGAAATCAATTTAATTTGGTCTTGCGGAATTTTCATCACAATGAATCCAGGTATATTTGTTGGTGCATTGTACTGTTTTGAAATTAAGTTCAAAATTCAGGGTATTTGTTACAATAGGATTATTATCAAGTAGAGATGGAAGATTATAAGATGGCTTAATCATATGGGAAACCATTGCCTCTCGTCCAGTTACTTGTTCATGTCGGCTATGGGATTAGTTAAGAAGATATTGCGGGCATGTTGGTCGAAGGAGCCGCTAGCATTTTCATGAAACACTCCATAGCGACGAGGAGTCTAGCGATCTTTTTGCACATACTTTTCTCTCATAGGATCAAAACCTTCGCAGGATAATGAGATGTGGGATAGCAAGTGTATTCCAACCACTGAGCTGTCTTAATAGTAGGAAATTCAATCAATAAGATGGCTTAATTTAGGGTGACCTAAAAAACAGAACCCGTAACTTCCTTAATTACTTATACGAAAATAAACACTGGAACTTTTGTTTGTGCATGATTGTAGCCAAAAAATTCAGTAGGACTCATCTAAGACGCTTTGCACAAAAGTTATGTTCCCTCTAGAAAATGTTTCCATCTTTTTGGTCGTTCTGTATATATACTGTATATATATATACATTATGTTGCCAGATTCATAGAAATGTATACAGGAATCAAAAACCATTTTTAAAGTTCCATGCATATTTAATATAGCATTTAATTATTACCTCATGAAAGAGGCACTTCAAAAAGAAGCTTCAGTAAATGGAAAACAACATGCAAAGTTTTTTCATTTTTTGTCTCATTGATTACACAGTGTACCATTAAGACAATTTTTTTCTCCCCCTTTTCTAGGATATGCTGGTCGTACGGAACTGCCGGACAACTTAAAATCAATGTTCAGACCAATTGCTATGGTTGTTCCTGATTCTGGTTTGATTTCTGAAATTATTCTCTTTGGTGAAGGATTTGGAAATTGCAGGGTAAGATGCTTTTCAAGCTTATCCAATGGACAAAGGGTTTCACAAATTTTATTCTGTATGTTTCGACTGACTGAAGAAAAAATGACTTTCTCAAAGAAACAGTATAACTTCTATTATTTCTAGTTCTGTAAAGCTCTTTTTTGAGGAAGTCTGTTTTGGGTCGGATGAAACTCCTTACAGAATAATATTTGTGAAAGTTGGATGCAGGACATTTGAACCACTCAATATAGTTATTTTCGTAAGATTTATTGTAAAAACACATTTTATACCCTATTCCCATTCTTTCAAACCGGTACCTGGGACATAAACTGACTATTGTACATATCGTCGCTGTGCCGTACCTCTTCGTCATGTGTAGTGTACTGAAGTTTTATTTATATATTTCATGTCTGTTGTCCTACTATAACACAGCAGTTCTAAACTGCAGTTATACTTGTTGGGTACATGTCCCACATCTGTGTCTTAGGCCGGTAAGGTCTTGAACATGTATCCCATCTCTGTTATACTGTTCAATTATTATGTAGATACTGTTACATTTTTTAGGCAAATAAACATACATAGCCTACATACATTTTATTCCTTCTGCAATCTCGTTGCATACAAATCCACTATCACAAAGGTATAGAGAAAGGGACTACAGTCAGGTAAATGCAGCACCAATCAACCTTTTTATCTTCAATGAGTTGCTCTGTGTACTTTTTAGGTTCTGGCAAAAAAAGTGTTCACTCTCTATTCTCTTGCTATTCAACAACTTTCTAAACAAGATCATTATGATTTTGGACTCCGTGCTCTCGTCTCTGTGCTCAGATATGCCGGTAGAAAGAAAAGATCAAATCCTGACATGTCTGATGAAGAAGTAAGTGTGTTGCATCTTTCATTTTGTTTTCAGTATAAAAAAAATTCAAACATTTTATTATTTTCTTAGAATATAGTACAAAATAGGGATTTTTGAGTAAATAAAAGGACTTCTATATCAGATTAAAAAAAATAGAACATCTAATTTTGCCCCTATTCAATACATCAGTTGGTATCTACTACCAACCGTAACATTAGGAACATGAAGTTACCAACTATTTAGGAACATAATAATGGGTATTGCTAAAATGCATAGATACATTCTAAATTTGACATCAAGAAAATATATTTGAATAATATTGGACATATCACTTGTTGTCAATAATAGTTAAAGAGCTATGTACTACCACATGCCATAAATGGGCTGGTGCTCTGGAGAGTGTTCTTAGCTAAAAATAGAGTTAGAAATAGCTTCAGAAATGCTTTGTTGGTTTGAACTTTATACCTTCAAAATTGTAACATTATGTCACCCTGGTGTAATATCATCACTATGACTGATCTCTTTTTTACAATCTGTATATATTAATAAAACCAAATGTATTTCAGATCCTTCTTCTTGCGATGAAAGACATGAACGTTGCCAAACTCACAGCAGTTGACTTGCCATTATTTAACGGAATTGTCAGTGATTTATTCCCTGGAATTGACTGTCCTGTCATTGACTATGGAAAAGTAAGTATATAAGTTGCGGCCCCTGTTTTAACTGTTCAAAACGTCTGGGTTCAACGAAAGCTCTCAGAGTAACATAGGGGTGGTTTAGCAGGCTTGTAAAAGTTAAGAAACACTGTGCTAGGGAGAACACTGTGCTGAACTTTTGTACAAGGTGTCCTAGATTACTGGAAATTTTGGGTGCAATCATACACAAACAGAAGTTCAAGTATAGACAAAATTAAATAAATAACTTCGTAGAAGTGATTAAGAAATTTGAGGGTTCCTTTTTTTGGGGTCACCCTGCATTTAGTCCCATACCATGGTATAGAATATACCGTTTATAAATTTTATTTTTGCATTGAAATATTAAATAGTTCTTATATTTATAAATGAAGACTTTTTTTTCAGCTTCGTGAAGCCATCGTCACCGAATTAAAAGCGAATAAACTACAAGTATTGGATCACAGTGTTTTGAAAGTCATTCAACTTTATGAAACAAAGAATTCACGACATTCTGTCATGATTGTTGGTCAAACTGGTGTCGGAAAATCAGTAACTTGGAGAACATTGCAAGCTTCACTCACAGCAATGAAAAAAGCTGGCAACAATGACTTTAACATTGTTAAGGTCTGCTATTTGTTTCAAGTTCAAGCGATTTTAAACTGGTTCATATTTTTTCTGTTTGCTAATCACTTGATGCTAAAATTACTGTAGTTGTTTATGCATGGAATACTCTTATGGTTCAGCAGATGATACTCTAGCCCAGTGGTGGGCAAACTGCGATCCTCAGAACGCATGCGGCCTGTGACACTCAACTGCAATGACTGACTGCAGTTTCCAGTCAATTAAATATACAATATGAACAGTATTGTTACCTACAAATATTATTTGTAATAAGTCTGACAATTTAGAGGTAGGAATTAAAGGTATGCCTCATGGGAAGACATTGGGTCACGATCTGTGAATTGAAAATGCAAAATGTGTGCTAATCTTCTTCAAACTAATTGCTTTGGACTTCCGAACTCGAGGCAGAGATGATAATTAATTCGAATATTGATCAAGTATCTGAATATCTCGTTCACTAATAAAATCTTTTCAACATATTTAGGATTTCCCCATTAATCCCAAAGCTCTCTCTCTCGGAGAGTTGTATGGTGAGTTTGACCTGAGTACAAATGAGTGGACAGACGGTGTACTGTCAAGCGTAATGAGACAGACTTGCGCCGATGAGAAACCGGACGAGAAATGGTTGGTTTTTGATGGTCCTGTCGATACATTATGGATCGAAAGCATGAATTCAGTTATGGATGACAACAAAGTATTAACATTGATCAATGGTGAAAGAATCAGCATGCCTGATCAGGTTGGTCAACGTTTATTTCATTTTGCATAATGTAATGCAGTATTTTACCACCAGGGTTCCACCAATGCAATCCAGGGGTTTTGTGAGTTCACATTCAAATCCAAGAGTCTATATTAATATACATATCATTAAATACCTATTAGATTTGCCACTATCATTGAACTTGCTACCCTCACAGTTCATTTCCTTTTGTCAGTATTAAGTTTACTTTCATATTTATTAATAGTTTATACAATTTTTTTTTTTACAATCTTACAAGTATGGATGGATTTGTGAGAAAATTTTTGTTTTTGTTTTATGATTCAAATGATGTTTCTTGAGCATCTGAAATGTTTCGTTGCGATTCCACTCAATCAAAAAGATTGAAAACCACGGATGTAATGTAAAAAATGATTAAAATTAGGAAGTTAATATTTATTCATCATATGGCAAAACATGACATCTTGTTTGTATATCAGTACTGGTCAGGTGTAGGAAAATCTCATTATTAAATAATTCGAAATGCATGGATTTTTATGGGATGCAGAAAACTGTTTTTAATCAGTGGTGATGTAACCCACTCAATAAATAGGAATCCAACGTGCAAACCTAAGAAGACAGTTTTACTATGGTAAGACTTCCAGCCAAATTAAAGTTACCTCATCATATTAAATGTAGTATAAATATTGTTCAAAATTAAAATATAGTCGTTGTGTTTCTTTTAAATTGTATCAAATATATGTATTGTAGACACATTCAAGATTTTTGTGCTGATACAAATTTTTCGTTATTTGTCCAGGTTTCCTTGCTTTTCGAAGTTGGTGACCTTGCTGTGGCATCTCCTGCTACCGTCAGCAGATGTGGAATGGTTTATTTTGATTACCGAGATCTTGGTTACAAACCTTTCATTGATTCGTGGCTTCAGAAGAAAACAGATAAGGTCTTTTTTTATGTGTCTTGTAATGTTTTTTTTAATTGTCATGTGTAATGTAAAAACTGATAATCTTTTATATATTTACCTACCGTTCTTGTTTTTCATGTGATTTAGGATGTGTATTCATGTGGGAATAAATTTTTATTTAATTTCTCAATCACCATTTTATCCTTTGAAATCATTTTTTCTTTTTCATTACAGACAGTCTTTGTTTGTGTTTTGAATTGAGTTAGAATAATTGTCTTAAATTATTTTATTTTAGACCATGGTGTCTGTACTTCGTGAAGTGACTGATAAATATCTGGATAAAGTTTTAGATTTTAAAACTCACAATTGTAAAGAACTTGTGTCAATTCCTGAACTCAATGGAATTCAATCACTCAGTCACTTATTTGATGTTCTTGCAATTCCAGAAAATGGGGTAAGTGCTTGTGATATTATATAACATAAAATTTTTTTTATTTATGAATTGTTTAAATATATAAATCATTTCTTCAAGTCTATATTGAATAACATCGTCATGAACAACATGCTGTACATTTTTGTTGTTGCGTTGCCTTTTGTACCCAAAATGCCATGTGTAGCATACTCTGCTCTGGTGTTGTTGAATTCACCCCTTTAACTACTGGTATATATAATTACAGTGAGAATACCCAGTTATAGTCAATAAATAGGTGTATACTTCCATAACATCTTGAACTATATATTTTTGCTCAGGTAAATCCTCACGATGGAGAGAACTATGTGAGAATGATTGAATTGTTTTACTTGTTCTCATTGATTTGGTCGGTTGCTGCTGCTGTTGATGAAGATGGAAGAAGAAAAATGGACAACTTTTTACGAGAATTAGAAGGAAGCTTTCCCAACAAGGTACTTTAATATTGTAATTTTTAAAAGCAAATCGGAAGTCATTGTTGGTTTGAAAACTTGTTTTCACCGGTTACTGATAACAACCAGTCTAATTCAAATTTTCAGTATTTAGTATAATTCTAGAGTGCAATAGATCCCCAAATTTGCCTGTTTTCTACAATTCATGGGCACACCTTTTTTGACAATCTATCCCGATTCTCATTCGGTTGAATTTTTTCAACATTTGGATGGCAGTTTGCTAGCATTGTGGTGGCCATATTAGTCATTTGACCTTTCTGTCGATATATGTGAGAATTGCTTTCTTATTTACTAAGCCATGTATTTTATTCATTTACTCACACATGTGTTTTCGTTTCATCCTATTTTATTCCACTCATATGGTTACAATTTAATTTTAATTCACTTTTGTTATTGCGAAATCAAATTCCGATATTTTTTTCTTGCTTCATTCATGGTTTTTACATTGTAAAAATATTGTTTTAAGGACACAATCTATGAATACTATGTTGATACAAAGAACAGAACGTGGGCAAGTTTTGAAGATAAATTACAGAAAGGATGGAGATATCCACCAAAGTATGTAAAACTTTTATTTTCATTGTGCATTCATCATTTTATATGTACAGTATGTTTTATATTTTATATAGAAGTTTTAACAATTGAGTTACTTAGTAGAGGTAAGATCGGGCTAAAAAATTCCAGCCCAACCCGACTCCGGCCCGTGGGTATTAAACCCGACCCGAGCCCGACTAATTAACTGGATTTGCAGGCCCGACCCGAGCCCGACCAATTAAATGGATTTGCAGGCCCGACCCGACTAACTAACTGGCTTTGCAGGCCCGACAAATTAACTGGATTCGCAGGCCCGAAATTTCATATTTTATTTAGAAGTTCTTCGAATTGTCATTGCAAGAGGTTAGTACAGTATAGGGGAATGCTGGGACCTATTTCTTCTTTTGTGAGCTCTATAATTGACACATTCATTTGACAATGCGGAGCTAATGGATAGAGGGTAGCTAAAGGTTTTACTGGGCAAACTAAGAAATTCCCTAGCGACACACATATTATCATCAAGAGGCATTCAAAAACGTGTGTCAAATGTCCCGCTGCACTCCACTTGTGCGGCACATTAAATTAAACGAGGTATGCCGTTAAAAAGCAATGAATAAGCATCATCATCCAAAGAACTACGAAACTTTAAATTTTGAAATTTAATATTTATGAAATCGGAACCACTCTGAAAAATAGTTTCTAATAAACATATATTTACTTATAAAAAATCCAGCGATATATAAGCCCGACGCGAACGTAATGATTGTCATTTCAGGCCCGACCCGAACGTAATGATTGACAAATCAGGCCCGACCCGACCCGAACGCAATGATTGACATTTCAGGCCCGACCCGAACGTAATGATTGACAAATCAGGCCCCACCCGAACGCAATTATTGACTTTTCAGGCCCGACCCAACCCGAACGCAATGTTTGACATTTTAGGCCCGGCCCGAACGTAATGATTAACAATATAGGCCCGACCCGAACGCAATGCTTGATATTTCAGGCCCGACCCGACCCGAAATATCGGGTCGGGCTGGGGCTCGGGCTCCAGATCTTAGCTCTATTACTTAGTGAACTTTGGTGCTTAGCAGTACAAGACAAATTAAAAAAAACTAACACTGGCACCTATCTTTGCCAATATAGCTGGCTCACTTTTTACTATTCAATTGTAGTCATATTCAACGTCAATTTGAATCTTGAAAATATAGATACTGACTATTACAAGCTGATTTTCACCATATTTTTTGATTTTCAGTGCACCATTCCATCGTATCATGGTACCAACTGTGGACACTGTTCGTTATGATTTTCTGGTGACACAACTTATAACAAAAGGTGTTCCTGTACTTCTTGTTGGTCCTGTTGGAACCGGTAAAACTTCTGTTGCTCAAACTGTTCTGCAAAAACTAGATGCAACTAAATACAACACTCTGACCATCAACATGTCATCACAGGTAAAAGACTATTTCTAGAAATATATTAAAACAGATGCTATAATAGACAGAAAGCATAATTTATCGGCTGAGCTATGATGATTGGGCTGGTTAGGAAACTTGTACTCAGTTACTAGTTACTACTCCACCATCGCTCAGCCACACCACACTTCATACCAAGGTTGCAAGACATTGATTTGTCGATGTCAAACCTTTTTCAAACGTACAGCTTTCTACTACATGTAGGCATATGGTGGTTGAGGTGTTAGATTCAACATCGCAGGCTAGACATTTCAGGTTTAAATTCCATACCATCACATTATCCAGGTTGTTTTAATATGGGTAGGCAATGAAGACCAGGAATGACTTCAAAAATTATATCTCTAATATATCTCTAATATATCTCTAATATTTTATTAATAAATTTTAAATGGAGACTTTGAATGTCCTAAATATTTTACGCTTCATTTTTATAGACATATTTATAAATGATTGCTCTGTTTTAAAAAACATCTTCACAAAATTAATTAGAGACGAATTCTTAAAGATCAAGATAGATATCAAAGTGTTTTAACATTTGAATTCAACCTTCAATTTGCCTAAAGTTGTCAATTTTGTATTATTATCATTATATTTAGACGTCGTCAAACAATGTTCAAGATATTATCGAAAGTCGGGTCGAAAAAAGAACCAAGGGTGTTTATGTTCCACTTGGAAGTAAAAAGATGATTACGTTCATGGATGACTTGAACATGCCAGCTAAAGATACATTTGGAAGCCAACCTCCTCTTGAATTAATGAAGTTATGGGTTGATTATGGATTCTGGTACGACAGGGCAAAACAAGTTTCAAAATACATCAAGGTATATATATATTGGATTGTGTTTTTGTAAGATTTGGTATATATATTTTCTTGTAATTCATAATTTTATTGTTCATAATCATTTGCTTTATGTTACTGATTCACTATTGATATTCTTTTCATCATTAGGACATGTATCTACTTGCTGACATGGGACCACCTGGTGGTGGAAGACAAGTTATATCTCAACGTTTCCAGAGTAGATTCAATCTCATCAACATGACTTTCCCAAGTGTGAGTATCATGATTTTTTACAAAATCCCGTTAATTTCTTTCAAGTTAATTACTTCTGGGATATTAGGTACATTTTTATGAGATGAGTAGTCTGAGCCATTCATAGGGTATTCTGGTATAGATTAGAATACATCTAAAATTAGTCATATTCGATAAAGTACGATAAGTATGGTATATGATTTTACGGAAAAATGAGAATATTTTGTTGTTGTCATATTTGATCTATGCTTTTCAGACATTAGATAGTTGAATTTATTTAAATTCTGACACTGTGAAAATAGATATTGAAACTATTCTGCTTTTCTAAATTCAATTTCCACTAACTTACATGGTTTCTGCAAATTTCTCTTTTGAACATGACTTAATTTAATTATTAAATATTACGCTACTCGATAATAAACATGAATGAAACTAATTTTTCTTTCACCAAGCTTTCGTGCAGAGCGCTTTAGATTACTGAAAGTAATTGAAAAATAACGTTTTTCCACTTACTCCAGGAAACCCAAATCAAACGAATCTTTGGAACAATGATCAATCAAAAACTGCAAGATTTTGAAGAAGATGTCAAACCTATTGGTGATATCATCACTCAAGCATCTATTGACGTCTACAGACTTGTTGTTGAGAAATTTCTGCCGACTCCAGCAAAAATTCATTACTTGTTTAATTTGAGAGATATTTCAAAGGTATGATATGGTGAAAGAATGTGTTTTAAAATATGTATTTCGGTGAGAATTGGAGACAATAATTTGTTCTAATTAGTTACAATGTTCCAAAATAATGAAGTTATGTATGCCATGTGAATTCATGAATATCTATATGCCTTTAGAAAACTAACTATGTTACAAAATATTTTATGGTCTTTATTACAAAAAATCGACTTGTGATCTTACTAAAATTTTCTGCGGAAAAACACTTATTTGAATATAGGCATCAGATATGTCGGAAAATGAATCGAAAAATGGTGAAATTTTTTTTGACAATATACAGAGTGTACAATGTGTCAGAGTGTCGTTTTACAAATTTTGCAAAACGAATTTTTTGATACCATATGTTGTTTGTTGGTCCCCACAACTGTGTTAGATAAGATAAAAAACTTGAATAAACACTGATTAAAATAAAACAAACCTAGTTAACATTTATTGAGAACTGACTTCATAAAAAATGAAAGTGTAAAGAAACTCTAGGAACATTATGTATTACGTTTTCTGTTTACCATTTCAGGTTTTCCAAGGATTACTTCGAGCACACAAGGATTTTCATGACACCAAACAAAGCATGACGAGATTGTGGATTCATGAATGTTTCAGAGTATTTTCGGATCGTCTTGTTGATATTCATGATAATGAAGCTTTCATCGCTATGTTGAGCGACAGACTTGGAACATTGTTTGATCAAACTTATCATAATCTGTGTCCAAACAAACAACCACCAGTTTTTGGTGAAATTTTCTGCGTATTTTTAATTTTTTCAGTGTTTTCTAAATGTCATTTGAAATATATAATTCTATGGAAACATAAGAGGAATATAATACAAATATGTAGACACATAATACTGTTACCATTTCAAGAATATGAACTCAAAATTGATGTCCAAAAAATAACACGTCACGATGATGAAAACAAACCGCGATTTTAGCAAAAGGCAATTGCACACGTTATTGGAGACTTTTTCAGTTTTCAAAAAAATTCAAAAGGGGGGGTTTGACCCCGAACCCCCCTGGCCACGCCACTAAGTGCAATAATGGGCCCAGACTGCATATTGGTACACATACTTCAGGAGCGCCATTAAAACAGTATGGAAATGATAAATCGATATTTGCCCTAACAACAACTGCAACAATATTTCCAAACAGTTTACTAGTTTAATTTGTGTCTGATCAATTTCTTCAATTCAGAAAAGATTATGAATATTTGTAACATTCAGACAAAATTTCTCTCAGGTGATTTCCTCAATGCAAATGGTATTTACGAGGACTTGGCAGAATTTGGACTTGTTAAAAAATATATGGAAGACCAGTTGGAAGATTATAACATGACACCAGGAATGGTTGGAATGGATTTAGTTTTGTTCAAGGATGCTATTGAACATGGTTCGTTGATATTTTGTTTGGTCTATTATAGAAGTATATTTGAAAAATCAAAATCCGTTTAGACCTTTATAACACCTTAAAAAACATACCGGTATGTGAAATAATCTTTTCATCTAATATATATTTCACAAAATTGTATTGAACTTCTGCTTTATATTATAGTTTTATTCAACAAATTTATCATTCTAGAAATTATTAAACATGATTTCCTCATAATTAAGGAATTTTTTAGCAAAAGGTACAAATAATATATTCAAAATAGCATTTTACTAATAATATACGTATCTTGCCTGACTTTTTATTGAAACTATATTCTCGATGCCAGAAGTTACAAAGCTTTTCGAATTCAACGTACTTATCGTACTTCCTATAATACGAATTACGAAATTAAGTAAGAATTTTTAAGTAATAGTAAGCACCTTTAATCAATATGATTAAGATTGTTTTTGTGCACATGAGCAGCAATGTCTAATACTCTAACAACATGAATTTTAATGAATTCAATAATGTCATGTAAACTTCTAAACAGAACAGATTGATATTGCGCAACGCACTCTAAATTATTTAGGCACAGTTTAGTAACCAATTGCCTAGAAAATCCTAACAAACACATTTACTATTTGAAATATTTTATATAATTTTTTTCTAATTCAGTGGCTCGAGTTGTGAGAGTCATTCGGCAGCCTCGTGGCAACATGCTTCTCATTGGTATTGGTGGTTCGGGTAGACAGAGTTTATCTCGACTTGCAGCTTACGTTTGTGAATATACTACTTTCCAGATTGAGGTTACAAGACATTATAGGAAACAGGAATTCAGAGATGGTTCGTTACATTTGATTTTTTAACTGTAGCATTTTTTGACACTATGCCTTTTTCAGATGAAACCTTTTTTAGGGTGTTTTGAACCTTTTTTTTATAACATCTTAGAAATACGGGAAATTACTTCTCACTCGTTGCAGATAAAAGTTAATATTCGAATTTCTAGAATATCAAACTAACAAAAGTTTACTGTAAAAGAAATTTATTGTGATTTCATATTTTAGCTCATAGCACTGTTGATATTGGTACAGTACTTTGAATCATTTTCTTGTTTCAAAATTTTATTTTATTTCTAAAATATTTATCAAAATGTTTGCTGCCTCATTTCTGTTTTTCTTAGTTTAATAATGCTCACGAAGGTCTGCATGCATTAACTTTTTATACTTGCCAGCCTACATCAGAATTGTAGCTATCACTGCTTGAAGACACTCAATTTGAGTCGTTTTTTGGTATTTGTAATATTTTTCTTATGCTAAGTTTATATTGTGTTGAAAAACAAATGCTGATCAATCGATTGAATAAAATTTGAATAGTCATTGTATAATGAATTCATTGATAAAGCACTCTTAAACACTCAGCATTAGCACTAATATGTTTAAACTAAATTCTCCTCTATGCCAGTATGAACTTCTTTTGTTCACAGATCTGAAGAGACTTTACTTCCAAGCTGGTGTTGAGAACAAACAAACTGTTTTCTTATTCGTTGATACCCAAGTTGTTGATGAAATATTCTTGGAAGACATCAATAATATATTAAGCAGTGGTGAAGTTCCAAACCTGTACAAGGTAGTGTTTGTTCCTTATTCCAAGATTTCTGTGGAAAAAATTATCGTTGTAGAAAGAGGGTGAATAGCAAAATTGAATTTCTGACAGTCTATTTTATAATTGCCGCTTATATGACTAGTTTGTGTTTGTTGTTAATCAAATAATTCAATTAATATTCAAATAAATAACCTTTTCCATTCCCTAATTATAAATTTATATCCCCACTGCCAAACTAAACTTCCACCGAAGTGCACTACCTCCAAATACCCATTTTGCAACAAAAATGTGAAGCAAATTCTCCCTCCATGTGACCAGAATATTTTTTATCTCGGATCATAAAAACACCATATTTCCAAAAGTGTGATCGAACAGCTGTTTAATGATAGCCAATCAGGGGCAATATACAGTAGGTGTTAAACAGCCTGGGCAGTTATTTGGTTCACGTATTATTTTCACAGTTTTTCTGCTCTGGGCTGTCTTCCAGAAAACGCCAATATTGCCCCAGCCAGTAATTTGGTCAGCGTATCATAAAAGTTGTGGTTAGAGTGAGCATATGAAGTGGGAGTTATGCTATGTTTTGAATTAGGATAGATGGAATACAAGAAGTCATTTAAATGCCATCTCAATGCTATTTTGTTGGAATTTTCATAATTTTACAACTTTAATATAACATCTTTAGTCTTTCGTTCCAATTCAAATTGAACAATTATTTTCAAGCCTGATGAATTTGAAGAAGTTAAGACTGCATTGGAAGCTGATGCAAAGAAGGAAGGCATTGCTGAAACGCCTGATGCAATGTTCAGATTTTTGATTGAAAGAGTTCGAGCAAATCTTCATCTTATTTTATGCATGAGTCCTGTTGGAGATGCTTTCAGGTAATTAAAATTAATCAGTAAAATATTGTATATTCCATGTTTGATTTATATAGATAAAATACAGTAAGAGATATAGTCACTATGCTAAATATATGATTATGTCAATAAAATATAAGATGGGATTTTCATATTTATCCCAGAGAAGAAGAAAGACGATAAGATGGCTTCTTGTCCGGTTACAAGTCCATGTTGTGTATAATAATAGTTATCCGGTTATTTGTTTCGGATGCAAGGTGATCTGTTAGATCTGAACTAGTCTCTTGACAAGTAATCACTCCCAGTAAATGTACTCACTTTATTTTGTTGGGATATATGCACAATCTCTTCCTTTTAGAAATCGTATTCGACAATACCCAGCATTTGTGAATTGTACAACAATTGATTTATTCACTGAATGGCCCCACGATGCTTTACTTGAAGTTGCAGAGAGATATCTTGAAAGTATGAATCTCGGTTCTGCAGAAGATGTAAGTTGAACTTAATTTTTATAAATTTTTGCAAAAATTGAACGTAATAAAATGAAAATTATTTGAAAATATTGCAAAGAATGTGTTCTCTTCTATATGAACAGTCCACTTTTTCTATAGTTCAGTTAGTTTTCAAGATATATTTTGGAAAATAGGGAGATTGTATCCCTTTTTATTGGTAAATATAGACTTGTTTCATTCTGTACCAGAACTGAAAAACGGAACACTTGATATTTCAGCTTTTTCTGCATTATATTTCTGATACAAATACTTAGCATGTAGTAAATTAGACAGCAAAAATATAAAAAATTGGTAAATGAGGTAAGACCTATGAGTTACAGTATGCAAAATTACTCCAAATGATGAAAAACTAATCTGAAGTTTTCAAATACCCATTTAAAGTTATTTAGTAAAATCTATACATGGTCAAATAAAGGTACAAATAGGCACTATATAATGATGTATAAGGGGAAATATTTGAATTTTGGTAATTTCATAAAATTTGGCTTCTTGGTATGAAATGTCAATATCAACAAAAACTATTCATTCCTCCTTTATTATTCAGTGCATCGGAAATAAATAACAGGTTAAATATTCTCACATGACATGGACTGATAGGCAGAAAAGGTCGTCTCATCCGCTTCCCTTTTCCCTCAATAAATATGGCACTCTTATCCTGTATCAATTTTAACATGGCGCGCTAACAGATTATATCTGTAACATTATAAATTATAAAAATTCATTATGATATTTTTTAGATTCACAAAAATGTGGCAACTGTCTTTGTGACAATGCATCGTTCTGCTGTTGATTATTCAGAGAAATTATTGTTTGAATTGAAGAGACATAATTATGTGACACCAACTAACTATCTTGAACTTGTCTCTGGATACAAAATGTAAGATGAAAACAATATTACATTATTCCAAAGTAATGTTCATGTACGATTCAATTGAATAAGTGGAAGCGAATGAACTATGTTGGATTCGTAGAATAAAAATATTGGGTTCAAATCTCATTTCCATCACCTTACTAAGGGTGTTATAAGTTGGGTAGGCAATCTAGAACTAAAATGATTTCGGCCTTTTCAAAATACAGTGACTGCTATGCACAGAGCTTCATTTTGGTTAAAAATATTGTTATATGCATTATAAAAGAGAATATAATCATGTATCTTAGTTATTCTTTCCTTAATATCATTTGGATTAGCATAAATTACCTTATAATTTAGCATATTTGCTATTCTAGTTTAATGAATATTATTTCTTTATGTATATTATTTGGTGATTTGTACACTTAAGCTTAATCATGAAATAAAAAAGATTTGGTAATCTTTTACGTTACCTCAATGGTTTTGAACTATAAATATAATGTAAAGTTAGCATATAGTGCATATCTAGTTATTCCCATATGAGAAATCCTATCCTTCTCATTTGTGAGTTTACATATTTTTTATTCTTAGTCTACTTGCTGAGAAGAGAAAAGAGCTTGGTGATCAAGTTAGTAAATTGAGAAATGGATTGTTCAAAATTGATGACACAAGATCAAAAGTGGAAGCTATGTCTGTTGAATTGGAAGAAGCTAAAATCAAGGTAATTAAGAGTGAAAATAGATTATTTAACTTGCCTTGGTGACTAATATACTTTTTCTAACATTTGTCTCGAGAGACGATATCACAAGAAGAATCTGATTCTAACAGACTTTGCCAAACGAAATTAATAGATGTAAGACATATGTAAAAATTAGTAGCAAGTTAAATGAAAAATATTGATTCATATTTACATGTCAATGCATAACATGCACTCCACTATTTTGAAGGCCAAATTCAAATGTGAAAGTGTGTATTATACAGAGAGAAATATAGTATTTACAACGGGCACAATGTAATAAATTTGTATGTTTCTATACACAAAATTAGTCATAGTTTATTTCACTGTGAAGTTCTTTTAATTTGTCTTTCTCCAGGAATAAACATAACATACAATCTTCTTTTCAACTTTTTGTAGGTTGCCAAGTTTCAGAAAGAATGTGAAGAATATTTAGTTGTAATCGTTCAACAAAAACGAGAAGCAGATGAACAACAGAAAGCAGTTGCAGCTCATAGTGAAAAAATTTCTGCTGAAGAAATTAAATGTAAACAAATGGCTGAAAATGCACAAAGAGATCTTGATGAAGCAGTACCAGCATTGGAAGAAGCTATGAAGGTTAGAAACACTTGCTATTGCTACTTAGGGTTGTTATGGAGTTAGCATATTTTCATTGATATTAGAGTCGAATCCAGATTTTCTCCTAGTAAGTCTTGAGTCGAAGATGAAGTAGAAATTTAGAATTCCTCAGTGTCACAAGTCTTACTCTAAATTCCAGACTTTTTAGTGGTAGTGATCGAAGTCCACAATTTGATGGAAATATTTTTGATATACCTCAGAGTGTGAAGACAGTGTAAAATTTCTTCAAATCCACAAACCTGTTTAGTCTAGTAAAGAGAGGAATTAGTCATCCACCTGCACTAACAACTATCTAGGATTCACAGTTGGGCAATCCATATGAACATTCATTACGCACCGCTGATTACCAGAGTGTGTTCATGTGATTATGCACAATTCTTGAAGTCCGTACTTTGCTGGCTTTAATCTGTTCCCCCTTTGGATTGCTCTATGCACATAGTATATGAAACATTCATTTGTTGTTTTCATACCTTTACTTGGAAAAAGGTAGGCAAGGCAAATAGAAGGCTACTATGTTCTGAATAAATAAAAGCTTTCCTGCTTGACATTGTCTAACTATTTTATTGCACCCTGGGCAAGGAGGAGAATGTCAGCTTAATCAGGCTTAACGTACTAATCACTGACCCCATAGGGGGCAGGGCAGTTGGCACATCACGCTAGGTCACACTATTTATTACGCTGTGCGGGTTCTCAGGTTTAAAACCTGTGGGAAATAGTTACGCCACACCTCTGATTGCCCTGTGCAGTTTCGAAAAATTCCCTCGGAGAGTTGGAGATGGGAGATAGTTACATGCGAAAGAATTGCTGAACTCCTTGGCGTTGTAGGGAGGTTCATGTCTTATCAGCTTCCCTTTCCACTGAGATGAATATGAAATTCCTATTCTTCCTAAATTACCAGAAAAACTTTATTATAGGTGGCATTTCTTATCAATACATAGTTTCGATAATATTCTTAAATGTTCGACATTCAGGCATTGGAAGCATTGAACAAGAAAGACATCACTGAAATCAAGTCATATGGTCGACCACCAGCTCTTGTTGAAATGGTATTGCAAGCTGTTATGATATTGAGAGGAAGTGAACCGACATGGGCTGAATCAAAAAGACAACTTGGTAAGTACTTTTGCAGAATTCACGGTCTTGTATACTGAGTCGTATACAAACGCTGTTGCTAGAATAATCATTTCGGATAGTATTTTCAGTAACATAAAAGACAGTATTCTAGCACTTCACTAGATGTCAAAATATAATTTGGTTTAATGAAGAAATGAAATATCTACACGTTTGCACAAAGTTTTTATTTTGCTCTCTATCTTGTTCTAATAACAAGCTCATATTATGTCTTCCTGGCATGCATTTTTGCTATAGTGTTTAGGTAAAATATGTTCTTAGTCATGAATTTCGGACAACCATCTATTGTTTGACATAGGTTATGTCTTTAATGGATTATGGAACTTTCAACATTTATAAGCACTAACCAATGTATCAATGATTTTGTGTCCCACTTGTAACGGACTTGCCCCCACTCTTATGGGTTTTAATATATATACAATTTTACGCAAACGGTTAAAATGAACATATGGAACAATTAGGCAAGAAGAAAAATATCACAAGTGTATTGGCGCAATTGTGGTGCCAGTGGGACAAGTGTGGGACAAATGGGATAAGTGTGGTACAAATGGGACAAGTATGGTACAAATGAGATAAGTTTGTTACAAATGGGATAAGTGTGGTACAAATGGGATAAGTGGGATACAAATGGGACAAGTATGGTACAAATGAGATAAGTTTGGTACAAATGGGATAAGTGTGGCCTACAAATGGGATAAGTGTGGTACAAATGGGACAAGTATGGTACAAATGAGATAAGTTTGGTACAAATGGGATAAGTGTGGTACAAATGGGATAAGTGTGATACAAATGGCACAAGTATGGTACAAATGGGACAAGTGTGGTACAAATGGGACAAGTGTGGTACAAATTGGATAAGTGTGGTACAAATGGAACAGGTGTGGTACGAAAGGGATAAGTGTGGTACAAACGGGACATGTATGGTACAAATGAGACAAGTGTGGTACAAATGGGATGAGTGTGTTACAAATGGGATAAGTGTGGTATCAATGGGACAAGTGTGGTACAAATAGGATAAGTGTGGTACAAATGGGATAAGTGTGGTACAAATTGGATAAGTGTGGTACAAATGGGATAAGTGTGGTACAAATGGGATAAGTGTGGTACGAATGGGACAAGTGTGATACAAATGGGATAAGTGTGGTACACATGGGATAGGTGTGGTACAAATGGGACAAGTGTGGTACGAATGGAACAAGTGTGTTACAAATGGGACAAGTGTGGTACAAATGAGATAAGTGTGGTACGAATGGGTCAAGTGTGGTACGAATGGGACAAGTGTGGTACAAATGGGATAAGCGTGGTACAAATGGGATAAGTGTGGTACAAATGGGATAAGTGTGATAAGAATGGGACAAGTGTGGTACAAATGGGATAAGTGTGGTACAAATGGGACAAGTGTGGTACAAATGGGACAAGTGGGATACAAATGGGACAAGTGGGATACAAATAGGACAAGTGTGGTACAAATGGGATAAGTGTGGTACAAATGGGACAAGTGTGGTACAAATGGGACAAGTGGGATACAAATGGGACAAGTGGGATACAAATGGGACAAGTGGGATACAAATAGTATAAGTGTGGTACGAATGGGATAAATGTGGTACAAATAGGACAAGCGTGGTGCAAATGGGACAAGTGTGGTGCAGATGGAACAAGTGTGGTAAACAATGGGACACGTTTGATACAAATAGGATAATTGTGGTACAAATAGGATAAGTGTGGAACTTTTGGACCACAGCATTTTGGAGACATCCGATGTGTAAATGGCCATTGTTCTCTCCATTATTAAGCTATTTTACTAAATTTGTTTTGCCCCGGTATAAATGTTGAACTACATCTTATATAAAAGAGGAATAAGATATTCATAATCTTGATATTCTTTGTTGAATTCTCATCAATTAAACAAGGGACAATTCTTATTTTCAGGTGACCAGAATTTCATCAAACAATTGGTTAACTTCGATAAGGATAACATGTCCGATCGAGTCTTGAAGAAGATTGGCCAGCAATATGTTGCACATTCAGAATTCCATGTATGCATCTTTATTGTATTGCATATTCCATCTTTATTCCGTCATGAGGCAGTTATATGATGCTAAGATCGAACCTTTCCTGAGTCCTAATTAAAAAATTTACATCGACTAAGCCCCATTCATGAAATACGCTGAAATTAGCATTTCACAACAAAATGCGAGAAATGAGACAAGGCGCGAAGCTAAATTTGTCGATGTGTGACACGAATATTTATCTTGGAGCTATTCAGCGGAAGCCAATTAGAGGCAATATGCTACTGCTATATAATATTCCTCGTCTTGTTTTCCCAATTTGTCTTTTTTTTTTCAAATACCGATCCTGGGTGCGTGGGTGGCCTGAAAATTGAAATTTTCATTGCAAAATTATTTCTTTGAGAAACAATTAAATTAAAAATTTCAAATTATAAAACTGTTATCGGTTATACATATACGATTCATTATTCACAGCCTGACAATGTTGGAAGAGTGTCAACAGCCGCAAAGTCTCTCTGCATGTGGGTGAGAGCAATGGAAATTTATGGTCGTATTTATCGTGTAGTAGAACCTAAACGTCAAAGATTATCAATGGCACAAGAACAACTTGCGGAAAAACAAGCGTCCCTGGCTGAAGCTCAACGCAAGCTTCAAGAAGTTACTGATAAAATGGAACTACTGAAGAAACAGGTTGATATTAGTTTTTAAGCTTTTACAAATACTTTAAATGTTCCTAATTCTTAAAATATTTATTAAAGTGTTTTGATGCTTCGTTTTTGCTTATCTTGGCTTTTGGAAGTATTTCCATGTTCTTTTTATACTCCCAACCTGAATCAGCATTGTAGGTGTCAGTCCTTTTTTTTTTATATAGCCTAGCAGTAAAAGCGTTAAACTCAACCGTGTTAGCATAATGGGTACAAATCCCACCGAACCGAACTGGAAACGTTCCGAACTTTCCAAATAACAGTACCTCCTTGAGCATTTTCAGAAAGCAGTGGCTGATTATATAGAGATTCTTTAGTCTTTCGCTCTAAACATCGTAAAGGCTAAATTATTGTGAACTGAAATTGTGTGATTTGGCTGTCATTTTTGTTCGTAAGCCAAGAAATAGAAAAATATTTAGATTGGTAAATATTGTTATTCTCAGTATGAGGAAAAAACTAAGCAGAAGGAGGAACTTCGCAGGAAAGCAGAAGAAACTGAAATTAAGTTGGACAGAGCTGGAAAACTAGTATCAGGTATAATATGTTATATATTGTTATATTTAAAGTGAAGCATATATGTGACGGTAGACATGGGCTAAATCGTAATAACTGTGCCTTTTCATCTTGTAGAAAATAATTCTATTACACAATGTTAAATTTTATGAGTCTATTTAATTGAGTACGTTTGAACTCAGTTATAAACATGAAAACGTTCAGGTCTTGCCGGTGAAAAAATTCGTTGGGAAGCAACAGCTGAAAAACTAGAAGAATCTCTCGGATATTTAGTGGGGGATTGTTTGATTGCATCTGCATTCTTGTCATACATGGGTCCATTCCTCAGCAATTATAGAGAAGAAATGGTGTCGAAAATATGGTTAAAACAGGTAAATTATACCAATTTTGAATAAAATATCTTGTTGAAATGTGTACGATTGTGGCATTATGGCTTAGCTGTTAAAGGGTTAGAGTTAACGGTACTCCCGACGTATGTGTACCAAGTTAGGGTTAGGCCATAATTTTATTCCGATTTTCCGAACGAAATTATTTACCTCCATATTGGTACACACACGTCTGGAGCGCCCACTTAACTGTGTTTGCATCGCAGGCCACATCTCTTGGGTTCAAATACTATGTGCCCGCCCATGATCTCTTTCATACAGAAAATATTTGTTTGTATGCCATTTGCTAAATTGGGTAGTTTATAACATACCTATATTATGACCTTTTGGCATGGTAAATTTCAGCATAGTTTTAGTGAAAAATTTAACGAAATACAAAAAAAGTGTTGTATGAGAATCTTATAGAGCATTTGAAGTGAATATATCCTATCGCAGAATCATGATTTATGTATAAATTTATTGAGTGAAATTTGACCATAAAATCTTTTAAATATCCTGTATTGATATTTCGTTCATGTTTCTTCCAGGTTCGAAGTTTAAATATACCATGCACTCCCAGTTTCACGTTTGCTGAATTTTTATCAAAACCAACAATTGTTCGAGACTGGAACATACAAGGATTACCATCAGATTCATTCTCAACTGAGAATGGCGTCATAGTAACTAGAGGAGATAGGTATTGTCAAGTTTTATTGCCTTCAAAGCAGATTTTTCACGGTTTTACTGAAACAGTTAGAACAAAGCATTAACATGTACAAATTAGATAACCAATTCAATAGTTTTTCCTTACGTTTTCATCAGATATCAGAGGCTGCTGTTATAAGGCCTTGTTCTGAGTTAAAGGCATGATAAGCAACATATAAAAAAATACACCAATGATTTGGTTTCTGCGACACTAACTACTTATCCTTCTTCTATGCTTTTGTGGATCTGTATGCATATAATGCAAGGATGCTGTAGCGAGAATAGCGATGAATATTCTAAGTGATTCAACCCTCTGCTGCACATTAACACAGATATATTTTTGTAATGTTTCGTCAAACGATTTGTGTTTTGAAAAATATTTGTGTTAGTGTGCAGCAGGATTCTTGAATCACTTAACATATAAAAAAATACTTGTTCAAATGAACAGATCCTTCATAAAGTCCCTGCATAACAGCTTTTGTACTTCCAATAAAACTAAGCTTATAAGTAAGATAAAAACTGGAGGCTGTATGTGAAATAATTGTGATAGAAAATACAATATGTTACAGATTCATTCTAGAGAATTAGCTTCAAGCAAGACACAGACTTCACATCGCTAAAAAATTATACTTTTTTGAAGGAAGTTGTTTTAAATTATTTTCATGAACTAATTATGCTAACCGTACTAATTCTGTCATACTAAAAATAATCTATCCTTCAGATGGCCCCTTATGGTTGATCCGCAAGGCCAAGCGATAAAATGGATCAAAAATATGGAATTGAAACGTGGTTTGAAAATTATTGATCTTCAACAACATGATTATTTGAGAACATTGGAGAATTCAATTCAGTTTGGAACTCCTGTGTTACTGCAGAATGTACAGGAAGAATTGGATCCATCACTTGCTCCTATCTTAAACAAAGCTCTGACAAAAGTTGGTGAGTATGACTTCGGCTTATTTTGGCCACATATTCCATAAATCACAAATGTATGAGATCAAGCTTGCTGCAATATGAGATTTCTAGAAACTTTTAAATTCAGATAGAAAACTGGACTATTTTGGAACACATCTGAATAACAAAATTCACTCGTAGGTCGGTGCATTGCGCCCTAATAGTCTTACGGAGGAGTGTATATTAGATAAATAGATAGTTGTAGGGTAACTAAAGTAACAACTGTTTACAGCTTTTTCTACTGGCTGGATTCTAAGGCTGGATTTGGACTAGCTCTCCCTGGGATAATATAAAATCCTATCTTGAAAGTGACTAATTTTTATGTGTTTTTAAGACTGATTATCACTTTAAACAATGGCAGTTTAATTCTATTATCCAAATCCCATTTTTCGTATTCTTCCTCACATTCAATTGTTGTTTCTTCATCCAACTATTTTCTAGTGGCCAACTTGTCATCTATTTCAGTGTTCCCCAGACCAGTGATGGATAGCACAGTCTTATAATGGGTGTTTGATGAGTTTTGAATGGATTGCCAGACTTAGTCTTGCCTGGCGAGTAATCACACTTTTCAGGTTATGATCTATCTTGAAAGTGTTTATAATCCAAAAATATCTACATATATGTATTTTTAGTCTAAATCGCCCTCGCATAAAAGTTAAGTTTGTATGTTATTTAGTATTACTGTATTTATGAAAGAATACCAATTTGTTTTATTTTGTTATTTTATTTGATGATAACGGTTTACTGGGTAGAAATGTTGGGAGCCACTGATTGATTTGTATGTGATTTTAACTTTCTATGCAAATGCACGTGATCCTTCTTGAAACAAGTTTGATATAACAACAACTCATTTTTTATATTTATAGGCGGCCGCACACTGATTCGTCTTGGGGATAAAGAGATTGATTTTAACCCTGATTTCAAGTTTTACATCACAACTAAATTATCAAATCCTCATTATCCACCGGAAATTTCGACAAAGACTTCTATCGTTAACTTTGCTGTGAAAGAACAAGGTCTGGAAGCTCAGTTACTTGGTACTGTCGTCAGAAAAGAAAGACCCGAACTGGAGGAACAGGTAACCTTAAAAATTTGTTGATACTCTGTTCTTATCACAGTATCCACATCTTAATAAATTTTTGACATTCTAGATACAGGGTGTTCATAAAGTCATGAATTTAATTACCGGTAGGTAAAATAGCTGTAATGTGCTTCATGCAACTATTGGTGGACAATAGTTATATATATAAAAGTGTATTAGATGTAAATTATTAAATCTTAGTGTATTAGATCTTGAAAGGAAAAAAATTCAAATATATACTGGCTGAAACAAAACAAATCTGGTTAGGATATATTGAGAACCGACTTCATTACAAAATTGAAATTAAAACAGGAATTGATGAACACCCTGTGTTTTTCCGCTACAATTACACCACCCAAAATTAAATTAAAATGGACATTATGCACTAACTAAAATTAAAACTAAAACAGGTACAGCTTCAAAACCCACACCAAAAGATGGCTCCTGTCCAATAATCACGGAAAATCAAAAAAGTTTATTTTCAAAAATGTGACATGTTCTACTTTAGTTTGGGTGCGGGGTTATTGCCTTGCCATCAGCAGAGGTGTTCAAATACCAATTTCTTACGGCCTACTATTTTGGTCATTATATGATTTTTATTGCACAACAGAAAGATACATTGGTCATCAACATTGCCGCTGGAAAGAAGAAAATTCAGGAATTGGAAGATGAAATTCTGAGATTATTGAATGAAGCTCAAGGGTCATTGTTAGATGATGAACAACTAGTCAACACTCTCCATTCATCAAAAATAACGTCTGCTGATGTCACAGAACAACTTGTCGTTTCAGAACAAACTGAGATAAAGATTGATGCAGCTCGTGAAGTTGGTTTCGTTTTACATTTTAAATTTTAAAAATTCTTTTCGCTAGGTTAGACCGATAATCGTTATATATATGTACAGGGTGAACCAAAAAAAATATCTTCTGCGAAAATTAGGAAAATTTATTTTGCACTGAACTTATGTTTGTGAATGAATGTACTCAAATGTTCCAGTAATCCAGGATGCTTTGTGAAAAAGTTAAGTTCTCTCCAGAATATGTTCCAAATGACCTGTTTTTTGGTCATCCTGTACATGTTAGAGTTATCGAAAAAAACATGATTTACTGAAATTTCTACACAAAATTTCATCATTTTCTCATTGTAAATGATGTGATGAATTTCTATATTCATTTCAAGTCAAAAAAAAACTTGCTCAATCCTAGGGCAAATCACAAAGTTGAATTTTCCTGATTATCAGCTCTGTCTAGAAATTATTAGCAGACCCTTAGATAAAGAAGTTAACAAAACACGTAATGTATCAACTATTCATTACAGGGTTACAGAGCTTGTGCACAGAGAGCTTCTATCTTATTTTTTGTGTTGAACGACATGGGAAGGATTGATCCTATGTATCAATTTTCATTGGATGCCTATATTGATTTATTCAACCAATCGATTGATAGAAGTCAAAAATCACCAAAACTTGCAAGTCGTATCGAATATTTGAACGAGTATCACACTTATGGTGTTTACAGGTAGACGATAAAGTTGTAAAATCATATTTCCAATTTTTTTTTTCTAGGAGAAACGAAACGATTATTTTAATCATTTTTGAAAATATTGTGTATAATTCAGATAGATATTGTTGGCAATGAGTATACTGGTAATAGCATAGTATTTAAATCATTGTCATCAAATTTTCAGAGAGTTATTATACGTGTTATCTTGAGACGGCTAATTGTAACTTCTGGGTACTTCCGTAGTATGTGTACCAGGTTAGGATTAGGCCATAATTTTATTCCGATTTTCCTTATTTTTTAATTCTATGACGAGTCAGGGGACTGTCTGTGTTAGCCAGACCTTTAGCCAGGCCAGGTTTTAGACCCTTTACACAACTTGATGTAAAATAGGCAAACAAAATTAGTTACCTCCATATTGGTACACATACTTCTGGAGCGCCAACTTTTGTTAGAAAGGCATACACAAACGTATTCATATTATTTTGAGTCATTAGCATACCATCCCATCCTAGATGTAAGAATTTGGGTAAGCGATGTAGAAGAGATGAGATTATGGGTAATATAAATTTCAATTGCTTTCACCCAAAAATTGGGGCTCATTGTCTACAGCCCTTTTTACAATATTAGTATATGAATATGCCCCATGAAAACTATCGATAAACTACATTGATTCAGAAAAAACACTTTTGTTATTTTAGATTCACATGTCGCGGACTGTTTGAAAAACACAAAATGTTGTTCAGTTTTCAAATGTGTGCAAAAATATTGGAAGCAGCTGGCAAATTGAATATGGATGAATACAATTTCTTCTTACGTGGTGGAATTGTAAGTTGATTTTGTTTAAAATGTTCTCTCATGTAAACAAATTTTAAATCACAGAAGCAGTGAAAGTTCGAGAAGATGAAGAATTTTATCCCAAAATGAAATAAAGTCGAGTATTTTTACTCCTATAAAAAGTAATGTCTAGTGTTATTAAAATACACTTATTCATGTGAATTAAGGTTATTATATGGGGTTTGTTTTACATGAAATTGCTGAATGCAAAATACTTACTATCACTTTTAAAATTTTATAATGCAACGACCTGTTTTTCATTTCCCTACACACAAAGCACTCAGATTTCAAAAAAGGTGGCATCCTAACGAACACTTCACTGACTTTAGATTTGATTGTATTGATATTCTTGAATATAAAATAAGTCCCATGCATGTAGTGGAGTCGGTTTTATTTAAAAACTAACTCTGAGCCACTTGCAAAAGGATCTGGTTTTGCTAAAATCCCAATACTTCAGCTTTTAACTCTGAGAAAACCAAATCTTGATATCGAAAACTTCGTTGCAAGCCCTATTTGAATGTCTCTTGCGAATGCTTAGTCAACTCAATGCTTTTTGAGTTTCCGCCTCTGGATAGTTTGAAAGTGAGACCACAATTCCAATTAAAACAATATTTCCAAGGTTCTGGACAGAGAAGGACAAATGGACAATCCATGTCCACAATGGTTGGCTGATTCATGTTGGGATAACATCACTGAACTTGATAAATTAACCAATTTCCACGGTATCATGTCATCATTTGAACAACATCCAAGAGACTGGCATACTTGGTTCACAAGTGCTGAACCTGAAAATGCTCCTCTACCTGGTGAGTTATTTTGAATCCTTTGTTGTTGTCTTTTAAACCTAGGATCGTAAAATCGAACTGCGGGGAATGTGAGCCCATGGTCAACCCATGTATATGACATAACAACCCTTTTATCATGATTTACCCATTGCTTTGATATGGGCAGTGCAATCGTGGTTTATTGGTCATTTCTTAGATTGTCTTCAATGTTGGCCTAATCCACTTTGCTTCAAGCTTGTTGTTTACCAATCTTGCACGCTTTCGTTATGTTACCTCCGAAAATAAATTAACCTGAATATTATAAAAGTATGAAACAATTTAAGCAAACAATAACTTCATATTCATTTAGTGATTAATATCAATCAGGTTAGATGTTATTGAGTTTGATATTAGCAGATACTTCATTTTTAATCTATTTTAAACTTGTAAAATAGATTCATAAACATATTAGCATCAGCAATTTCAATAGAATAGGTTTCATATTTATCCTGGGAAGATAATAAGACGGCTCAATCATGTGGCAAACCACAGCCTCCCGTCCAGTTATCAGTCCATGTCAAGTATGATAATAGGTAATCAAATATTTTTTTTAAATGCACAAACTCGGTGGTGGATTAAGCCATAACCACCTACAACAGCGTGGAGTCCAGTAATCCTCACACACATAAACATCCTCCCTGGATTCAAACCTGCGAACCTGTGCAGGGTAATCAGAGATGCGATGACAAGCATGTTCCTATCGCTTAGCATTATGCAAATCTAGGATGTAGTGAAAATGCCTATAATAACAATGAAAGATCAGTTTTAGGACTGATATGATAATATAAAACCCTATATATCGCCTAAACATCACATCACCAAATAAATTTAAAAACCCTGGTTCGCTTATTTATTCACCAGCACATAGAAATTTTATATTCCTAATTCCAATTCTCGTTACCAGGTGAGTGGGACAACACGTGTAATGAACTGCAACGTATGTTGATTGTTCGATCTCTCAGATCAGACAGAGTGTCGTTCTGTTCTACGAGTTTTATCGTAAATAATCTTGGAGCAAAATTTGTTGAACCACCAGTACTTGATATGAGACAAGTTATTGATGACAGCACAACGAAAAGTCCACTTATTTTCGTTCTCTCTCCTGGCGTGGTAATTTGATTTCATGGTGGTTTTCTGTTCATTCAATCCATTCATCTGAAACAAATAATAAATGACTACTGTAATTATTCCTATATTCGACATGAACTGATATCCAAACAAGAAGCTGTTATATGCCATATAATTAGGCCGTTTTATCAGCCCTTGTCTACCCCGAGACAAAAAAAAACTTCTAACCGCAGCAGAACGGGACAAGATACCACTTTTTTAATAATAATTCTACTTGCCAGTTGGTACTAGAGATGTACCGATACCACTTTTGTCGCCGATACCGATACCGATCCGATACCAGCTAAAAACGCTGATACCGATACCGATACGCCGATACTACAAAAATGCCGATATTACCGATATACCGATACTATGTAATTATTATTTAATTAGGGGTGCTGTGTAGGGCAGACGGGTTAAAACAATGGTCTTTGAGCGTTGTTCATAGTACACATTATTTCAGATCGAAAAAAAGATATATCACATAATATGAAATTAATGTTTGGTGTTTGCTTCAACTGATTAAGATACATTGTACAGTAACGCTAGTAATCTCGGTGTTCAATTAGGAAACTCATAAGCCGGGACACGTCCAATTTGAATTTAATGTTAATATCGCGACTTTCGAATATCGTTATTCGTGTTTAAAAGAATATCAAATATCACCCACACATTCTAGCGCAGCCGTCCTACGTTCAAATTAATAGCATTTTACAAATATTTTATTTCGTGGCTAATCGTAATCGTCGACGCAATAAGTCAAAGCCAACATGAAAGAATATCAATTAGCACCGACAAAAAGAAGGCCTACCTATAACCGTCGAGGATGTTTTTTTACTTTTACCAGTTTATAATATTTTACAATTGCTATCATATATTTTGAGACAGTCTGGGGCTAGGCGGTCATGGCAATATATCTATAAAGTAATTGTGTAGTTAAACAAAATTAAAATTAATACCTGCGTAGAGGGAATAATTGTGTCGGAATATAGTTTATCGATGTCGATGGACTAAATGACACTCGTACTTGACGACAAACAGTCAGAATTTATACCCGTGCCAAAAGTCTATGTGCCGTTAATAAGGACCCCAATTCCACTGTATGATTTAAAACTGGGCGCCTAATTGCTTTTTGTTATGTGCTGTGTTGATATAATTCTTCATTATTACTATGTAATATTAAAAATGTCAATATAAAAATTTAACAACGAAAATAGCCAAATTAGTTGAGCTAGTTTGGCTGATAAATAGTTAAAAACACGTGAATCCGATTCTCTCGCGGGGGTGGGGACATGTAGGGTTCATAGCTCACGATCTCTCCGGACAAAAAATAAATTGAAAAGTAGTATTCCAACTAATCTTTTAAAACATTCTGAGCCATATCAAAAAAGGTAAATATATCGGAAATATCGGCCCTGATCTAACCGATACCGATACATGACCGATACCGAAAAAATGACCGATATTGCCGATACCGATACCCGATACCGATACATCGGTACATCTCTAGTTGGTACACCATCCTTGGGTTCAAATTTTGTGGGAGATTATTATGTTTGAGAAGATTTCAAACACTCTCAACATTTGTGGCACACTTCTCTTAAATACCTAGTTTTGCTTTCAATTTGTCTCCATTAGTTATATTATGCGTCATGTTTATTATTAAATAAAAAAAAATGACAGCAAAAAAATAAATGCATTATAGTCGAAGAATTAGAGAAATTAAAGTCAAAGTTCCTGTTACCAGTTCATGTTGGGTATGGTATTAGTTAGTCAGTTATTTGTTCCAGATCAAGTGAGCTTAATACTTGCGTAATATCCAATGTTTTTTTCCTTCACAGGATCCAACCAGCGGTCTTCTACAACTTGCTGAACAATGTGGAATGGCTCACAGATTCCATGCGTTGTCATTGGGTCAAGGTCAAGCTCCTATTGCTACAAGGTAACTGATTATGTGGAGTTGGTAGTCCATTTATTTCAATACAAAATCACAATAATACGATAACTGTTGGGATGTGAATGAAACACTTTTAAATGTTTTAACAGGATGATTAAAGAAGGAGTAAAAGATGGAAACTGGGTTTTCTTGGCAAATTGCCATCTGTCACTAAGTTGGATGCCTCAGTTGGATAAGTTGGTTGAACAATTACAGGTGGTTATCATTTTTATATGGTGTCTTGGTGCCTTAAGCTTGAACAATGCTATATACAAAGCCACTCATATGTAAGATCCTATTATTATTGTTAGGCTATTAAATGAAATATACAGAAATTAGTAGTTAAAACATTCCATTTGGTGTTTGGATATACTAGACATTTAAACTTCGTCTGATTAAGTGTGAGAACACTGTCCATTGGCTAATAACATCATATGAACATATATGATTAAGATTTCCATATGTATATTCCATGCTGAAAAGGAAATATTAAATGACATATTCATTTGGCGGGCTTTTGAAACTCAAATGATAATTGAAGCAAATTGGCTCGGAATTGAGAGTTGAGAAGCAGTTGTCTACCATAATGATTATATAGTTCTATTAGTGTATTTTTCCAGAATTTGAATTCACATGAAGTTACCAGACAAATAGATTTTTCTGTAATATCTTGTCCTGAAATTGCGGTATTTTGCAGATTTTCTTTATTAAATAAGTTATATTTCTCCTGGTTAACAGATTGAAGAACCAAATCCAGATTTTCGTTTATGGTTGAGTTCATCTCCTCATCCTGATTTCCCTATTTCAATTTTGCAAGTTGGAATAAAGATGACAACTGAGCCTCCTAAGGTATGTTACTGATATTTACTATTCTTCTGAAAATTAGCAAACACTGAAGTGGGCAAATAGACAGTTGAAATTTTCAGGATATCATAATTTTTTTAAATGTTTTTTTCAGGGATTGAAAGCCAACATGAAGCGTTTGTATCAACTTGTTACCGAACCAATGTTTACTCGATGTGTGAAGCCTTCTAAATATAAGAAACTGTTGTTCTCACTGTGTTTCTTTCATTCTCTGTTGATAGAAAGAAAGAAGTTCTTGATGCTTGGATGGAATGTATTGTATGGATTCAATGATTCAGACTTTGAGGTACATTTTTTGTTATAATGTGATGTCATAATCACAGCACAAGGCAATGAATTTTAGCATAGTTGATAAATCGATTCAATAATCAATAATATATTCTGAAAATTTTCTAATATTTCACTTGTAATATCATGTGTTGTAAGTTTAAATCTTTGAAACAAGAAAAAAAATTCAAAAATTCCTATCTTGAATTTTGGTACTTCCTATGCTGTACTTCACACCATCGCATCTCTGATTACACAACCTAGGTTCGCAGGTTCGAATCCCATGCAGGGATAATTAAGTGCGAGAGGATTGCTGGACTCCTCGCTGTCGCAGGGTGGTTCACGTAACCACGGGTCAGTTACAGCTTCCTCTACCATTAAGTCCACACATCTGAAAACAAATAACTGGCTAACTAATCCCATACCCGACATGGACTGGTAACCATGGTTCGCCATATTATTAGGCCATCTATAGGCTTTCCTCTCCCTTGAGATAAATAGGTAACTTCTATCCTATATCATCTGACATACACTGTGCATGATGAGATCTTAGTCAGTATATTTATATTATAAAAATTGCTATACTTGAATAAATAATAATTTTTACATCTAAGCCAGTTAAAGTTGTTTAGATTTCTGACCATTAACAAAGCGCCCTGACCTACTATGTCTCAACAACCAATATCTTGTCTTGAAACTGAATGATTCCCCAAATTGATTTAGTCCAAATATCAGTCAGTGACCTGACAAACGATAACTATAATCATTGAAAAAAACATTACTAGCAGAAAAACATAAACATACTAGAACTATACCAATTTACATTTAGATTAGACTTTAAAAAAACAGACAATCCTTATTTTAAATATTCTTAACCCAATGATTATACACCACAAACTAGCTTTATGAAACAGATATAAACTCAGCGAAATTACAATTAACCAGAGCTAGAAGCAATCAAGTAATCAACTAATTACAGTGGTTTACATAACCGCTGGTTGTTTACGACTTCCTCTGCCATCAAGTTGACTCATCTGAGATGAATAACGTGCTCAACATGGACTGGTAACTGGATGAGAGGTCGCAATACGCCAAATGAATAAGCAATATTATCTTGTTTTGATTGATATTTTTTTCCTCTACTTACCGTATTTTAATTCTCTGTTTTATGTTCCTTAACTATATACAGGTGTCTGAAAATCTTCTTTCCATTTACCTTGATGAATATGATGAAACACCATGGGATGCTCTAAAATACTTGATTGCTGGTGTCAATTACGGTGGTCATGTGACTGATGATTTTGATCGACGTTTGTTGCACAGTTACATCAATGATTGCTTCAATATGAATGCTATTGAAACTACCTTTTTCAAGTGAGTTAAATGTATTGTTCGAATCCTGTTGGGGATAATTATACGAGAGGAGTGCTGGACTTGTCGCCTACGTACGGTTGTTCGCATAACTGCTGGTCAGTTACGACTTCTCTCCCCTTAAGTTCATGTATATGAAAACAAATTACTGGCTAACTAATCCCATACTCGGCATGGACTGGTAAACGGACATGAAGGTGTATATGGTTGAGCTGTCTAACGGCTTTCCTCTCCTTCAGAATAAATAACAAAATCCAATTCTTTTGTTGTAATAATGGTTTAAGGTGAATGTATTCAGATATAAATACTTTCATATAGTTTGATGAGACATATAAAAGAGTGTTTTAAAATTGAGTTTCTGTTAGTGACTGTGGTTAGTAATATCAACATCAACCCAGTAAAAATTACCGGTACTACTTCTTTATACTAATTTGGTTGCTTCAGAGTAGTCAACGCATATCACTGTTTAGGCCGCTAGGATTCAAAAGACTATTCTGTGATGTTGTGTGATTTGGCATGTTGGTGTAGTGGTTACAGTGTTGGCAAGTTTGTGGTCTAGTGTTGGGTGTAATAAATTGGGTAGGCAATGCTGAATTGGAGATATTTAGGTCTTTATAAATAAGAATAGTTCATTATATATGGCTTGTGCATAACAAGAAAAATTACATTGTGGTGATAGATTTTTTTGGGTATTTCGTAACACTAGTATTGTTATATGATTTATTAGTCTCACCAATGTACTTTCTTCTCAGATTTGACATATCCGGTATTGCTTGAGAATGTCAATTAAAATTACAGTACATTGATTAGAGGATGAATTTTTGTTAATATATCATTGTTGTATAATTCATAACCTTCATCAATTTGCTATATTTCATTCTTTTCCAGGCTCTCGAGTCTCGACACATACTACATTCCTAAGGATGGACCAATGAACACATATAAAGAATACATCAGTATGTTACCACAAGTTGATCATCCTGAAGCATTTGGACAACATTCTAATGCAGATATTGCATCACAAATCACGGAAGCAAGAAACTTATTTGAAACTTTGTTGTCATTGCAACCAAAAGTAGCAACGCAGGCAGGAATCAGTCAAGAAGAAAAGGTAAGCAAAATATTTCATGTAGATCAGGAGTGGGCAAAACTTTTTTTGCCAGGCCTGCATCCGGAATATTTTTTTTGCAGAGGGCTGAACGTGATGTCATAGTTGCTATTACAATCCGCTATAATAGTGTCGAATCTAATGATCTAATGATGTGTCACACAAAATGCTTTGGCAGATCGCAATGGCACATGATTTGCCCATCCCTGATTTAGATAGTCTATACCAGGTGTGATGAACCTATTCGCAAGCTACTTGGTTAGTTTCATTTGAGTTTGCAAACTGCACTTTTCTTCTTAGTTGTACCTTCGAACCTTTTTCCCTAAATTTGGGAAACAAATGACGCCCATATTAGTTAAAAGATTGAAAGATACACAAAGCGATTCTTATAGAAGTTGATATATATTTAATGAGTTGTTTTGCAGCTAAACAGAGACTCAATTGGTTTCCTAATTTGTTGCGATTTTCAGCAATGAATTGAATGCTTTTTGCTCAGTTCTACTCAACTTCTCAAAATAAATTTATATTTTACCTAAAATAAAGAGTTTACAATAATCCAGGCTATAATTAAATTCAGTTCTCATCAAAAAATAGTATAATTTTTTATTTACTATTTCCCCTCCAGGTGTTGGATCTTGCAGCAAATGTATTGAAAACACTACCCGAAGAAATTGATTACGAAGGAACGGAAAAAATACTTTCCGATGATCCATCCCCATTGAATGTGGTATTACTACAGGTTGGTATGAACTATGTATTATGTCTATGGTTTTTAGGATGCTGCCGGGTGATGCGATGAAAATGTGTTAGTAAACAACAAGCTTGAAGTGAAGTAAGTTCAGGCCCCGCTGCAGAAGATATGAAATATGATAGGAAATCTTCATGCTTCATTACAATGCTATACTTAACATCTTTAATTTTTATTCCATGATCTTAAAGGTCTTACTGTAATGTTAATGGTTTGTGAATATATTGAATTTAACAATACTAGTTTGGCAATGAAGGATTAGGGAGAGTGGCTCATTCCGCATTGTATATGCATGTTTCCTAACTTAGTAAATGCTGTACTTTTCCATTGTTTGTAGCAGATTCAAATGAACAAATTTCTCTTTTGCATTTTAGGAAATAGAAAGATACAACATATTACTTCGAGTTATTCGAACGTCTCTCGTTGATCTTGAGAAAGGGATTCAAGGTCTTGTCGTTATGTCATCTGATTTAGAAGAAACGTTCTCTTGTATATTTGAAGCAAGAGTACCTCCAATGTGGGCAAAGGTATATATTTTATACCAAACTATGGCCGACTCAGTATGCCAATAGTAATGATAGTTCTGTATTTTAAATTCCTAATAACAATCTGTTAAATTAGCATAAATTTGATATTTAGTGTGAACTAAATATTTTAGTTCGGCGGTTAGCCAGAACCAGATAGGAGGCTGTGATTCGTCATATGACTAAGCTGTCTTATCGTCTTTCCTGGATATTATTCAGGATTGCAGCATACTCTATCTGGACTGGTAGCATAGGATCCTCATTCTTATAGGCTTACCTCTCCCCCCAATAAATAGAGAAAATCCTATCTAAATATAAATTTGAATGCAGTTACTTTTACTTTTCTTTGTTTGAATCCAGTTACGGTAAGCATTAAATATGAACGATTCTTGTCATTGAAATATTCTAATTACTTCAGGCATATCCATCATTGAAACCATTGGCAGCGTGGACTCGTGATCTTGTATTGAGAGTCGAACAATTTGCTAAGTGGGCAGAGACAGCTCATGCTCCTACAATATTCTGGATGTCTGGTTTCACTTTCCCAACTGGTTTCTTGACTGCTGTTCTACAGACATCAGCTCGTGCTAATGCGGTAATTTGTCTTTTTTTGCTTGTTTACTATGAGAATACTTCAGTTGGCGCTCCAGAAGTGTGTGTACCAATATGGAGGTAACTAATTTTGTTCGCCTACTTTTTATCAAGTTGTGTAAAGGGACTGGAACCTATGGACAAGGGGTATATTCACTTGGCTAACACAGAGCGTGTATATATAATATTTTCTGGCCCAATATATTAAGGATATTGGTACACATACCTGGAGCGCCATTTTTTTGCCTTTACGAATAGTTTTAACCCATTATCAAATGTCTATCTATCTTATTGATAAACCTGAATTACACAATGGAACGGGAAATAAATATTACTAAATCCTTGGATAATATTCTAGACGTGTTGGTGATCATATGATAATCTACACCTCGTTCTATGTTTCTTGTACTGCTGGGTTCATATGTGGCACGTGCCACAAGTATGCTTGAATAAGACGTTGTGTTGCAATACAAATTAAAAACATTCAAATTTCCATTCCAGGTGTCTGTTGATTCATTGTCTTGGGAGTTTATTGTTTCCATGGTTGATGATAATCACATCACTGGGCCACCAAAAGATGGTGTTTGGATCAAAGGTCTTTTCCTTGAAGGTGCAGGCTGGGATAAAAAAGCAGCTTGTTTGGTTGAAGCAGCACCCATGCAACTTACATGCCCATTACCCACTATTCATTTCAAACCCACCGAAGCCAAAAAGAAATCTGGCAAAGGTATGGTATTTATCTTAAATGTGTGCAACCAGAAAAATATTCTTGTTTGTTTTTGGTTATTTCTTATTGCCAGTCAAGGTGTCAATGACATGACAAAATGTTTAATCTGAGGTAAATCAACCAAATTTGGTTGTTGCTTTGCACAAGACTCCAAATTGACAGGATAACATAGCAAACTTTAGCATATGAAACTGAATTTCCTGGCAATTATCACATTCATTATTAAAAATCTGTGTGGTTAAGACTTCACTAGCATGACTCATTGAGTCTGCAATTATAGAATTTCTAAAATCCATGCTTCGAATTAGAAATAAAAGGCCATTATTTTCAACCATTTTTTTTATTATTTGTTCATGTAGGAATGTACAGTTGTCCATGTTACTACTTTCCAAACCGATCTGGTACGACTGGACGAGCATCCTATGTAGTTTCTGTTGATTTGAAAGCTGGATCTGGCAACTCTGATCACTGGATTAAACGAGGAACAGCCATTCTGATGTCTTTGGATCATTAAGCCATGGAATTGATAAAATTGTACAAAAATTTTGTGTGTTTTTAGACCTTTTTAGTGATAAAATAATTTCACATAATAAAATAGAGTTTTCACTTTTATATTTTTGTGGTTTAACCTTTAATTCACCACTGTTATTTTATTGTCGATCAAGAATGGTGTGGATATAAATTCAGATTTACCTCTCCATTTGTGCTCATGCCATTCTTGATTGATCCATACATGTATTTATTGATTATACTGACTCTGTGATTGATGGAAAATGTTCCTTCTTTTTAAGATATTTACAAATATCATATATTTGAATAAAATGTATATATTTTCATAAATAATTTACTTGGTTTATCTCGCTTTTTGGAGGATTAGATAATAGTGCGGTATCGGTACATTGTATCGTGTCCTGTATACGAATTCCTGGTTGTTGTTTGCTAGGCCAAGTGTTCAGGTCAACCTTCCAGTTGTAAGGACGTTATGGCGGCATTCGTCAGTTACCCAATCTTCAAATTGTTTTAAACGTCTCCATCTTCAAATTGTAAGAATGAAGTTTTCTCTTGTACCGATATGGAACCTATTACAACAGGTTCCCTTCGTTTCGAAAAATGTGTGTATGTCATTAGTAAGCTATATGACAGGCTCCACATGAATCTAATACATAACTTTAAAATGTAGAGTACAAGCACGTGGCCCATTCTATCGCAAAAACATTGAGGGGTTCGCTGATTATCACGACTTTTCAACGTGAACGCTTATAAAACGTTTAGCTAGTTAGATATTCTCTTATTGCAATTCCAAATAAATGATCTCAAAATGTCCTTTCAGCGACCCTCTTTGCCAGAACGAATATTACAGAAATGAAATATTCTTCGGGGTTGTCTTTAGTAATGCTGGTAGTAACTTTCGTATTTGTCAATATGAGATATTTTTGAATAACGAGAACACACCTATTATGAATGAATAAATAACTGTATTCGATGTCTGTATATTGTTAGTGCATATAGCACCTATACACGTGCGCTGATGCGATCGCCAAAGCCAGCGTAGCACAAAATATGAAACCATTGGTGTTTAGGGTGAATTATTATAAATGTAAACGAGAGACCCCAAAACTTTAAATTGTCGTTTATTCATTGTCAAGCTCAGGGTATAAGTCAAGTCTGAAATATTTGATGAATTGTTATTGAATATTTCGAAATAACGGCATGACACATTGATAGATTGCTGTGCATGAGAAGAAAATATTTCGTTTATTCACAAAAAATGTATTTCAATCCGGTCATTATCAATAAAATCGTTGATTATACAATATAACCAACAATTTTACAATTTCGACTTCATACACCATTGCATATAGGTGTAGTACATGTTTTAATATAAAATAGCATTTATTCTAACGTGCCATGATTTGTATCTCAACATACGATTACTTGACGGGACGCGTCAATGAATGTTAGAGCAGTGGCGTAGCATCCACCCCCGCAGCGGTCGCGGGAGGGCCCACAGCGCAAAGGGGCCCAAGCGGTTATAATTTAGAAATTTAGGCCGCAAAACCAGAAGCTGCATTGCAAAACCAGTAATGCACATCTTATAACTTTGACGTTATTTTTGCTCAAATCGCTTTTATTTTTTCCTCTCAGTGGCGCACAGAAACGCAGAAAACGAGCAGAAGAGGAAGCACGTATGAAAAAATTAAAGTAACCAAGTTAAACGGCAAATTTTAGGTTACCAATGCCTTTTAATAGCGACATGTTATGCTTTTTGACGGAATAAAAAAGCGTTGTTTTAGCTTATGTCCGAGAGTTTTTAGGGCAGTGATTTCCCCACACCCCCCCAATAGGGGGTGAACACCCCCCCTAAAATTTCAAACACCCCCCCTAATTTTGAGGTGCGATTCCACACTGTTATTCCCAAGTGCGATTCCACACTGTAATTCCTAACTCAATTATAATTGTATTCAAATATAACGACTATGGCATTTTTATCAGTGTAGAGGAGGGGTTCCAAACAGCAGTCTGCGGGCCAATTACGGTCTATCCTTACATCATTATCACAGTTTAAGCACGTTTATTTCGTAACAATTGAATTATACCGGTATCTTATGTATACGTATGGGTATTAGGATTACACACCGCAGTATTTTAGATATCAGCCGTATATTAAGAACGCTTGGAGATGTCACAAAACGAAACCTAGGCACTGAAAACAGACGTTTTTTTAGATGAATGGCAGCGTTTTTATTTCTTTATTGGAAAGAATCAAACTTCAGCGAAACAACATTATGCGCCATTATGATCAGTTGACGCGCGTATTTCAGAATTTAATTCATTGCTTAATTCATACAAAAGTCAAACAAACATGTTCAAAAAATGTGAAATGTGTAACAAAACAAGCCATAAGTAGCCATTCATACGATGCCATATGCTAGATGAGCAAGTAACTTCATTAGTCACTATCAGTTGCAAATTAATTGCTGAAAGCCGTGCTTGTTATTTATTTCTCGGGAATTCTATCATCTAAATATTAGGTGCTCCCGAAGTATGCGAACCAAGATGGCGGACATCGGAACGTAACATGGGTAACAGGTTAGGGTTAGGCGATAATTTTTTTCCAATTTTCCTTATTTTAGTCCTATTATCAGTTCGAGTTCGATCAGTTCGAGTCTCCCGTAGTATTTATACCTAAAATTATGGCCTAACCCTAACCTAGTACACATATTACATTCCGATGTCCGCCATCTTGGTTCGCATACTTCGGGAGCCCCAAATATTATAATTATTAATTTCATTACATAACAAACTGCAATGCTAGGTGTATCTAAAATCAAGCTTAGAGCCTATTTTGGAGCTTATTTCTCAAAATTTTCTCAGGGCGCTTAAGCGCGCCTTGAACCCCAGCCGTGTCGTCGCGCACTTTTTCTCGCTCTCCTTTTCTGGCCCTACAATTTTATTCTGCTATGTATTTTGGCTCGCCGTCAATCAACTTGGGGAGCCCCTCATGTACATCATTTCTTAAATACATACCAATTTTTTTAACGATACAAATAGTTTCATCGCTAATAGCAAATTATTTACCACCCCCTAAATTTCGAAACACCCCCCCCCCCCTAAAATGAAAAGCTGGGGAACATACTGTTTTAGAGTCATTTCCACGAAAAATTGCTACGCCACTGTGTTAGAGACACCCCTGTCATCGGCTTCTCGCAATGTTGAATATTCTGCGTTGGTTCAAATTTTATGCGAGAGGATTCCTGTACTCCTCACCGTCACAGATGAGTTACGGTAGGTCATACACTCATACTTATTCACTGGTTACCTCTTTTTCAAGTTGCCAGATTACTATAAATCGATGGTAAAACGGTTTGGAATTTTATTATAATTTGAAAATAATCAGCATGCAAGCGAAAGAACAGCACATAAAATATTTTGTGTAATAATAATAACAAACTTCGACAATTGCAGTTCACACCTACAAATAGTGGCAAACTTTTCTTGGCTCGGTTTTTTTCAAAACAAAACTCAAACTAGAAAATCGGAATGCTTCAATTCTAAAATAAAAAAAAAAAATAAAAAATCACATCGCTTCCTGTATATCATAACGAACTTTTACGCAAAACTGGTGAAATTCCCATTATTGAAGCAGGTGGATATTGTCTTTGATTGCTCTGTTTGGTATTTTCGCGAGTATATTGCCTCATACAGTATTGTGATTCATAATGAATTCATTTCTTGTGTTCGTTGACGTTTTCCAAAATTCGCAAATACATTAGTGAGACTGTCGTTGTTGTAGACGCCAAAGACAAAACATTAAAATAGAAGACAATCCAATTAACGGGCTTGAAAACGAAACTGGATATTCTTATAAGACAAAACAAGATGCATGTCAGTAACGATATCCAAAACATTGCCTTTATGCCAGGCCTATAGAAGTGCACTTTGTAACACTCGTACAAAGCAATACAAGATAATACCCCAACAACACTGAGTCCGAACACATATGCAGTGGGATGAATGATTGCCAAGAAAAATACAGTCACAGAAGCGGCAAATACTAAACGGTTTCTTTTCGGGTACCTGAAAATGAAAAATGAAGGAGTCAGGTATGCGCCGTCAAATTCCAAAGTAAAAAGTTTTTTGAAAGTATATAGTATGCGAAAGATAAACACACCTCAATTATAGGCAGATTCGACCTTCTTATCTCGTCAACAGACTCCCGGGACAGTATGAGATCGAACAGGAAATAGTTTAAGGTTGGATATATGAGAAGCAAGTGTAGTCTAATAAAGACTAGATGCATTTTATAATAGGAATCCAACTTACCAGCCTCGTCGAACATGTCGGCTCCAAGCTATAATCCATCCTAATAAAGGTAATGAAGCCCAGTCAGAAAATGCATTCAGTCTAGCAATTCTCTTGAATAGAAAATCATTAGGTAGTGTAATATCCGGTAGATGATTTCTGTAATTCAAGTACATTCCCACTGACTCCATGAGAGTTAGGCCAATAAATATGAAGAGAAAGAAGAAGTCAAGCACTGTGATTTTCTTATGCTGAGTTTTTCGCCAACCACGAATCAGGATAACTGCTGAACACGCTGTCAGCAACATATGAACTTTGCACCATTCGGCAGCCCATACATCAGAAGATCTAATCAGCATGGAGTTTATCCTTTCATCATCGCGATAGGATGAATCGAATAATCCAAGTTGTAAGGTATAATAGCTAACTACAGCATATAATACCAAATATACCACTCCAAAAATCAATATCATCTTTATCACTATGTTCTTCAGTGATATCTGCTAAAATAGATAAAACCTTGAATCGTATTGGAACATTTTGAACTAGTCTAAAGAAAAATGCGATTTTGGTAAGGGACATATGTGATAAGTTACAGAGGTAATATTTTGCGCACATAAAACCGTCCTTTAAAATTAGTATACTGACATAATATTTTTATTATCTAGGATTATATCAGCTTGTATGGTGATTTTGGGAACATGTCCGCCTTCGGTTGGCCGTCCATATATATATATATATAGTTGGGAATATACATTTTAGGGAAAGACTGCGAAGACAATCTGCGAAGCAGTGACTGACTGACTATTACTTATGACTGATATATCCTATTTCATACTCTACTGTCCGTCGTTGCTCAGACAATGTTTCCCTACTTCCCCGCTAATCATGCTGTAATCGTTTACAACTTCTTAGTATTATTAGACGATGTCGTTCATGTAGAACTATCAGCACTCCATGCCACGCATATTATCCAGACTATACAAATATTACGACGTGATTTGCAAACATCAGCAAACAACACGACGACTAAATCTGCCTTCTCATCGTAGTTCACCGTTTTACCACAGTCAACAATTGCCGAGCGTGGGACCTATATAATGCAAACTTCGAGTTCAAGTTGGCCTTGGAATACACCTATAAGTTGAAACTACGAAATATAACGGTGCTTTCGCCGAATTGCGCTATGCTGGGTCCAATGTTGGTATTCCAATAACAAAGTTGATAAACATGATAGTGTTTTCAGATAAATTAGGTGACATTGCCATATACTCGACGATCCGGAAGCCCCGAAAAATTGGGTTTATATGGTTTTTGAAATACCCAAACGTAACGAAGTATGATATGATGATAAGACTTGTCGCGATAGCAATAAAGGTCGAGCAAGGGTAAAAAGGGCCACGTTGTAAGGCAGCCTAATCAAATTCTACTGCACCGGAATAATATGAGATGTTAACCAATTGCTATAATAACTCGCGCGAATGCGAGCGAAAACACACTTGTTTGGTAGTAGTACTCCCAGACGACTCGAAGGCAACAATCGAAAGAATATATAAATATATTTATTTAGATAAAAATAAGTGCAAAAGAGAGAACCACGGAGTAAACGCGCTCAAAAAACTAGATCTTCAAGTGCAGTTGCGATTAGTGTTCAGTTTAAAAATTTGTGGGGGTGCTATAGTGAAACCCGCCAAAATTCGTCATCTGCATCGTCAGAAGACGACTCGTAATAATCGTCTTCTTTCAAAAAGTCATACGCAGCTGTTCGCAGCGCACTCGTTGGTTCTGTTCCTTTTCTGTACTGTTGTGGCACATTGGCAACCTTGCCAGGCGTCGCCTGTTTTGAAACGTCTTCTGGTCTCGGCTCCATTTCAGAAGATGGTAAAAGTTTTCGTGGGGAGTTTGGAGCTGATAAAAACTCGCCTTCGCCATCTGTGGAACTACTTATTTTTGACACTGAGGATTGAGGCGCGGTTTTACTGGCTTTTGAATATGATAACTGCTCTTCTATATTCAAAGCCCTTTTATCGACTTTGTTTTCATTGTCGGTACTCTTCTTTTCGTTTTGTGACTTGTTTACTGGAATATCGTTAACGCAATTGCCATTATGTTTCAGTGACTTCGCATCATCGCTGGATCCCATGACTTCGTCAGTGAGAACAGAATATTCTCTGGAAGAATCTGTTCCTAAAGCATCGTCAATTTCTGATGTACCGACAGAACTGATTCTCTCTTCGGTCAAATTTGTCCTCGTTCTGGGACTGCCACCGCGAACACTAAGAAATTTGCAAAGCGATTAAATATTTATATTTGCTAAATTTTGGGTATTTCTAATTACAGTAGCTACACTCAAGTGGCTACTTTGAGGACATTGTAGAGAACAGAGTATATATAATACGCGGCACTGACAATAAATGCCTCATATATTATAACATGATAATATCAGAATAAAGAATGGTGTGTGCTCCACCTATTTATTCTATTACACAAATTCACAATTTAAAGTGAGATTAGCGTAGGAACGTTACCAACTGATCTTTGAACCCCATTCAACTCATTTTAGTCAAGTATAATCTGTTGATTATATCTAGGTCTTGCTCCTTCCATTTTTTGATGATTGATTCGGAATAAAATTACCTATATAACACTAACGTGAAATATCGGTTAATCTCACTTATTGGATTGACTTTGTCGGAATTTTGAAGTTCCAGGCTGTGTGTTGCATGGTGGACTGTTAGGTGGGTGGCTTGTTATTTGCAATGTTCCTTCCAATCTGGTCATATTGAGTCTACAAAAAATGAGAGTTTCCCAGAAAATTGTGAAAATGAAAATTCTTGCTTGATTTCTGTGTATATTAAAGGTCTCACCTCTCTCTTTTATATAACAATCTTGAAGGACATTTTAGCTTCTGAACTTCCTTTGATGTTTTGACTGGTTCAGATGCTGCCGGGGTGACTGAAATTAATAACAAAAAATACACACATTTGAAAGGCAATATTAGTTTTAGAATTGCCACTAAAAATAACAGTATACGCAATCATTGAGTGTATTTCTATGAGAGTTTAAATTTTGTTGACTTCAAAAATGGGAGTGACCACAATACTCAAACAATCACTGGTGAGTGGTGACATATGTTGAACTAAGAGTCGCGGGAAATATTAATAATGTATACCGATAATAGCGACTGTCCCCTGTTAGTATTTTTAGTAAAGTATATAAATAAGCCATAATGACTCATACCAGAAGATGATGTTTCAGGTGAGTTCGTTTGTGGAACATTCACAACGGATCTACATTCTTGTTCAATCGACAATTCTCTTCTTCTGTTTCGTCGATGAGCGATCCATGCTCTTGACCGGTACCTTCCTCGACCTAAATTAAATGAAAGTGAATAAATGATCATAAGTTTTCAAAAGTATAAAGCATTAGTGTAATTTTTACTACCATTAGCATAGGTTCTCCCGTTTGTTCTTTCCTCCCAAGTCTCCATCAAGGCGTCCATATGCTCGTTTTCTCTCCTAAAGAATTCCTTTGTACGTTCTAAAACGCTCACACTCGCAGTGCTGAAATGTTATGAAGTATGAAATTTAAGTAAAGTTATAGATAAAAACGATTAACATACGGATTTTCCCTCGAGGCAGTCAAAGTAGAGTAACTAACCACCCACCTTACATCTCCCTGTGTAAAAACTTGTTCCTCACTAGTGCTATGTGATTCCTGTGTTGTTGTGGAAGACAACTCATTCCCACCATATATTGACGTTGAGAGCTCGTCGATTTCCGAAGACGATGATGATGTTACTTCTGGAGCTTCTACGTCCGGGGGTGGTGTTCTTGAAAGTCGAGGCGGGATCATCGGGCGGTGTGCCGGTTCGGGATTCATGTTGACAGTTGTGTGGCGTGTTGGAGTCGTGGGAAACCTACGTTTAGTTGGTGTATGAGACGATTGCTGCCGGATACAATGAAGTCCACATCTATGTTTACGAGGAGAATGAAGAGATTCGTTTCTGCATGTGGGGCTTATTTTCATATTCGAGTCTCCGGCATTCAGATGGCACGTACAGTTGTGATCCTGAAAGGAGATGATATGAAAAAAAAATTATAAATTTGGAACTCTATTATTTCTATGCATCTTAAATAGTTATTATATTAATGTCAAGAAATGTGTGTGGTTTTGGTATTTTGAAAAACTCTTGGTAGTCCATGTATACCCAAACGCTTCACACAATCGAATACAAGTGAAAAATACATTGTCGTCAAAATTTTAAAATATCGTTTCAGAGTTTTCATTCAGCCCGATTAAATAAGATCAATCACTAAAACTACCACTGTATTTCAACGGCAACTAATTTGCATTACCGGTTGCGGTCCTGTGCTCGGTCCTGGTATATCCAGAATAATTGCTCTATTGACGTTTTCGCGCTTTCCCTCGTTTTGGAATGAAGAGAATCCTCCGTCAGTGTTTCTTTTTTCTGGTGTAGGCGTGTTTCGTGTTTTAACACCAGACGTCTTAGAAGATGAAGGAATTGCATCGGAGTCTCTTCGTTGGCATGTGTCAGAGCCAGGCACGTTTGTATCCATCAATCGTTGAGATTTTGGTACATCTTTCACATTTGTAGAACTTAACCTACAATCTCTATTTTTCTTTTCTATAGCTGATGTGTTTTGCGATCGTGCTCCCGATGTTCTGGGAAACGAAGGAATGGCTTCGGGGTTGGTATGTTGAGATGTCTTCTGGCCAGTTCTGTCCAAAACCACCGATCTCGCCACTGGCGTTTTAAGCGGATTGTGTGCTGAAATTTTCTCTTTCTGCGCTGAACATAATACATCGTCTTTGGTTCCTTTTTCTCTTGGAGATGTGAATTGTGTTGTCTCGCTTGGCGTGCTGGAAAATGAAGTGATGTATTCATGGTGTTTTTGTTGAAAGGGTCTATTATCAGCCATGTTCGGAGCCACCGATCCTTTTTTTGGATTTTTCCGTGGACTTGGTGGTACGATTTTCTTTGCTCGTGAAGAAACAGTGCCTACGTCGATACCTCTTCCCCTTTCTGTGGCGGCTGCTTTCGGCATTTTGCCATCTGAAGATTTGGCCATCAGGGGAATCACTTTCAAATCCGGTTGCTGAGGAGTACTAGGGCCAGGCATGCTCAGAACGATTGGTCTCGCTGTTCGTGATTTCTGTGGATTACACTTATCCGGATATGGAGCAGTTGTACCTTTATTTGGTTGCCTTTTCGTGGTACCCTGGAGAGCTTTTCCCTCTTTTACACGAGAAGATGGATATATCACTTTTGAACCTTCTTCTCTGTTGGAATTGTCGTATGAATCACGTAAAATTTTAACCGATGGCTTAGTGTTAGAATAAAATCGACCACTGATATCGGTTCGAGGAGTGAAAGATTGATTCTTGGCTACTGTTTTCGATTTGTCAATCTTCAATATGTTTGTTTCTTCACATTGAGCTGACTTGTAGTCTTTCTTTTTGTAAAGCAAATTGATCTCGTCGTTATCTGAGTCACTGCTTGTCACAGGTCCTCGACTTGGCATAAAACTGAAAGCTTGTGCTTGCGCTTTCTTTTGGACGCGCTGTAGCTGATTACCTTGGCACCATCCACACAAGCAATCGCAGAACATCCTGCAAAACTGTAACTGTGAGTGGGAAGATTCCATATAAAATATAGCATAATTACCACTCATTAAATAACAAGATCTATTTGAAATATTTTTGGATTACAGGAAAAAGGACTCATTTCAACAAAAATCTATGTTGAACCACACAGTGATATGTGTCTCTGGTTTTAGTTATCTCGACTGGCTAGGAGGGTACCTTATGATGGTTGCAATCATCACTGCTTTTACGATACGTGCATAGGCTCCTGATGTAACCCTTGGGGAAAAATGAGTGGAAGACACTGTCTCCATGCGTTTTACTTTCTATAGTTTTGTTATGCATTGACATGCTGAAAAGGGGTTGGCATAATAAGTGCGATAATTCTTTTACACGTACGTTCTCTTCTACATTTACCGTCTACTATACCTACTTGCAAATATACGAACAAGGACACATGAGTATAGAGAGAGCGTCACACAGACGGGTGAACATGCTTTTGTTTCCAAGTGGTTTATCACCCATCGGTAGTTTTCTGAAATAGAAACATGTGAACGAATAACTGATGTTTTGACCATTGCATAATTTTTCATCGAGCTTTTTCAAAGAGTTATGTGTCAACCATCTGGAATATCTAAATTCTAAGAAATTGTATGCTTACATTTATCTACTATTATTGAAAGTGAATATTTTCTGATCAATTGTTGGCGAAAAAAACTAACCCAACGTTTGTATCCGTTTGTTGACAACGTCAAGGAAAAATAGTCTCTACGTAAGCTTACCCTTCTGCAGCATTCTGAGCCGCCGCTTTCGCTCCAGTGAAAATTGGATGACTTTTGGCAGTGGATTTCAGTTTCTGAAAAGTTTCATTGTTTTTCACTTTCGTGAAAACTTTGCTCGATTTTTCCTTGATTTTTCTTCCCATTTTCATCGGCATACTCTCTTTTTCATCGCTGTCGTCATCACTGTCATCATCACTGTCGTCATCACTATCGTCATCATCATCTAAGAGACTTTGCTCTTCATCATCATCTTCGTCAAACTCATCCGATTCTTCCGAGGTTTCGGTCGATGGCGCTCTACGTCGCCCAGCGCTTACCCCAGGTGTCTTTTTCTTACTTTTGCGGTATTTTACAAAAGAAGAAACAGAATTGAAGACTTTGCGAAGAACACGGGACCCTCTACGTTTGCGATTGTTTGCAGGTGGTTGTTCTGCGAAAGTCTGTTGGAATTTTCTCATCTGCTCTGGGTCTTTCTCCATTTTGTGATATCGGTACATTGCTTCAACATTAGCCCTGTTTACAAATATAGAGGAATTCGTCACTTTAAGAGAAATAAGAGAAACAGGAATTTAAAACTGGCGCATTCCAGATACGTTTATGCCAGGGGTCGGGAACCCATGGCTCGCGAGCCATATATGGCTCTTTTGGTGACGGCATATGGCTCCCAGAAAAATCTATTATTCTAAGATTAAGCTTACTATTGTTACTAGACTTCAAACTATTTTATGGCCAAATTTGGCAAAAAATTCCCAATACGTTTGACAACGCGGGACCAGCGCATGTCTATGTTATTTAAGAGAATTACCAGACAGGCATTGTGACAAAACATGGGGATTCTGGAACATATATTGTGACATCACAAAGCGATAGAGTTTTAAAATACTACGGAGATGCCTAAACGAAAAAGGGTGATGAGTATCGTAGGTTTCAACTTGGGCTGCATGTGAGCAACCGTTCAAGGCCCGCAGCGACAACATGCAGCATCAGAAGTCACATTAAATGTATATTGACATGGAATGTGTTGACTTTTGAGTAAACGTTTCAGGCCTGATTAAGTGAAGAAATGTTATATGGCTCGCACGCAAATGCAATTGAAAATATGGATATTTTAGGGCTCTCTTGACCAAAAAGGTTCCCGACCCCTGGTTTATGCTGTAGGTCAAATTTTTGAGCTTGCTGCCGATTGTTTGCTCGTGGTCCTATTTCATTCATATTTCAAAGTATAGACATTTTTCTTTTGGTGAGAAAATCAGAGAGGATAGCTTAATTAAATAAAGAACCACGCCGGTTACCAGTCCCTGCCAGGTATAGGGAACAGTTTTATATTCGTTGCAGATGCATAAACTTGGTGGTAGAGGAAGTTGTAATTGACCAGCGATTATGAAACCACCACCATTACGACTGCGAATATTCCAGCAATTCTTTAGCATACATATAATCGATTGATATGTTTACCTAGATAATTTTTGATTTGAATCGCAGCAAAGCTTACTTACATTCGTCTATATTTGTTAGCTCCACAAACACACATGAATGCCATCATGATAGTAACAGCCAGCAGTATCAAGACTGTTGCTGTTGGTCCAAGACGCATAAAGAGTTCTAAATAAAAATATATGTTCGATATGTATAAGAAATACTGACTGAATAATTTTTGAATGATATGAAATACAATACACAAAAAAGTGCCCCGAGTGAGGATCGAACTCACGACCTTGAGATTATGAGACTCACGCGCTGCCTACTGCGCCATCGAGGCATATGTAGCAGAGGATGGTTTCGATCCATCGACCTCTGGGTTATGGGCCCAGCACGCTTCCGCTGCGCCACTCTGCTAGGAACGTTATTGATACAAACAAGCTATATGAACAGCGGCTCTATTTTGTCTCGAATTATAACGCACGCGCCGCGCCTTGCAACTCATACCGCGAAGACGACCGAGTACAAGGCTTGTTGACTTGAGTTGAATTTGATATTTATTATTGTAAGGATGGATAGATAATCAATTGATCCATTAAAGTGATACGAATTGCCTAACGATGCTCTTTAACCACCAGTCGTGTAAAATATATGAATATAAGATGCTCCAGTGCGGATTCGAATAGCAATGATATGTATGTGAACAGAGTAATGATAATTATAGGCGGAAGACGAAAAATACAGACACATAGATTATAGAACACGCGGTATGGCTGTTTGGCCTTTTCAAATAATTAATGAAAAATATAATATTTTTATAAAAACAATGTACAAATTGATAAATTAATAAAAGATAGCTTGTGTGCTGAATGCTAATGTCCTAAAAATATTGACGTGACCATTGACCTTCACTGGTTAGGGTAGCTTTTGGCACTTCAGTGTATGTATAACTTCGCAAAGAGAAAAGTCTCATTAGATTAGGTGCGCGTGATCTTGTAAATATTATTGTTAAACAATGACTATAAAATTCTTTACAAAAAGTTCGTTTAAGTGGCGATTGGGCCACGTAAACATACCTATTTCTAATTTATCAATATTTACAAGTATTTAATATCTCACTTGTTAGGAAGTCGTCAGTTGTATGATGCCACGGAACTGAGCTCGAATTTGCTGTGAAATTCGATGTTTCTGCAATTAAGCTTTCATTTATCGTTTCGTAACTTATGTATTGATCTTCTGTTGTTGGCTTAGCTTCGTTCTTCAAACTGCTGGATCCATTTGCTATGTTTGTGTCAATAGTAGACTGGTTATAGAAGCCAGTTATCGACGAATTTTTACTTTTGTGATCTTGTTGTTTCGGTGTTGGATTGGTATTTTGTGTTTCATGGGATGGCTTCGCCAAAGTTGCGTTTTTAGAATCTGCCTCAGCGAATAGGCCTGTTTGCATCCTTTCCTCCGTTCTTAATCTCTTCTTTTTTTCAACGTCGCTTTGACCTTTGGTTTGCTGTCTTTTCATATACGCACCGATCCCACTCTCTACTACATTCACAGGTTCTGATAATCGGGAGGTTGACACTGGCGGCTCCATTTTGCGAGGTTTTGCATTGCTATCGTCTTCTGGGGCATCTATATTGAAAATAGACATCAAACTTGCATCAGAAAATAGGATGAATACACTGAATAAAGTATCCAGACCAAAAACGCCAGTATAATTCGCCAGGGTGAATTCACATTTCGCTTTGCTGAAATAACGCTGTTCACCAATGGTCAATGAAGAGTTTTTTGATCGGCAAGGAAGCGCACCTTTGTTGTGGTCTAAAACTATCGATACACGAAATGTTAGTGACAGTAGTGTAATGGATAAAACCACACATTGATATTGGTCTGATTCGTTCTGAAAATTATGTCTACGTCTGGATACAACCTATGAGTGAAAATAACACGGGAAGTATGTTCAAAATGATTTATTCAGAGAACTGTTAATTCAAATTTTGATAGGTGATCCTTAAATTCAGTTTGATTTAAAGAGACGGAACCATATTTGCCCGAATATGAAAATATTGTCGGAATTAAAGCGATTTGTTGAAGGACTATTATAGAGCATACAATACAGAAAAAAAACTAATTTTTATTTTAAACTGGTCAATGTTGATTTTGGACTCCAAATAAAGCAACAATAACATCGATATATATATATATATATATACCTACATCATATGATTTGCTTAGATTAGACTTTATTGTCATAGAGGTATATTTTATAGGTTTCAATAATTTACCTGAAAGTCGACGTTGAATAATTATTTCTAGACTCGTTACTGGTTTGTGACCTTGGTAATTAGCGGTGATTTGGAAGTGGTGGCTGATGAAAGAACCTCTATAAATGTCGGTTTCACTGTTCGCTATTGCTTCATCGTCAAGCAAAGGAGCAATACACACAAGTTTATTCCTGGCAGAAATGAAGTGTAATTAATTAAATCTTAAAGGTTTAACTTTAGGCTGGCTATTTTTGTAATTTACGTTGGTAAAATATGTCATAATAAAAACTGAGATTTTGTTTCAAAAGTCATTCAACTCAATGTTTTAATTTACAGCGTTTAAATTTCAGCTATTGAAAATTACTGCGAGAGAAAGACGAAAAATAATATTTGCTCATTTTGTACTGATAACAGGCGTACATGTTCGAACAGTCGGGTCTCAAAAACATGGAAGTTTTTGAGGTATACTCAGACCTGTAATCGTAAACATATATAAGGACGCCATATGCAATATTAAAAATAGTGATATGCTAAGAACAATTTTTGAAGTGTATCATGATAACATTTACAAGTTTAAAACTAATAAAAGACATAATTAAACATGTATGTGTGAAAAAACACGACACTTTAATTTGCCAGGGTGCAAAAACAGTTGCAGCATAATTTACCCTGAACAACGGAAATATAATTGACTGGTCATTGGTCAACGGTATTTCTTTAAAGTAATAAACTACTGCGTAAGACAACTATTTATTATTACATTTATATAAATTATTTTTGGGAATAAATATTGATTTACAGTGTCACATCAGTTTGCAACATCATCTCTTACCGACATTGCTGCATCGGAATTCGGACACCTTTTTCAATCAACCGATACCACGTGATATCCACATTCCAGGACGTATCATATGTCGTTTCAGATGCCGACCATTTTTGCAAGACTTGGTATTGTTCTCCCTGCTGCCGATGAACCAATATTTCCATTTTGAAAGAATCAACTTCAGATCCAACGAGCGCGATACTGTGCCGGGGTCGGATTATGCTCAAGCACGGTGCAGAATCTGAATAAAGAATATAGCCTATTCATTAGGATTATTCCTGGTTGAACAAAACCATAACAAGACCATAATTATATAGTAATTCATCTTCGCGTTGGGGAACTACGCTACAGTTCGAGTACGCGAACCGTGCTATAATGGTGGTAACATGCAAAAACGAGTAACCGTATTTTAATTCAAAATAGCTCATCGAGTTGCTTAATTGAGTTCAATAACAGAACGATGTACGAGCGCGAGTTAGAATTGCATATAAATAGTCAATTGTAGATATTATACTCATGAATAGATATGGATAGGCTTTGTATAATGCAGCGTGATGCTTTCTAACTAAAAAAGTAAAACTCACCGGCACATATCCAGTTGACGTTCATCACTCGAGTATGAGCAGCTGTTGCAAAATGCTTTCCATTCAAGGCAAACATTACACTCATAACAATAAGCTTCAACATCAACATTATTTTCCCATGCTTTCTTTCGCGAGTAGCAGGATTAGCTAATCCATGGTATCGACGTTAAATTCATTACATCTTCAGGTAAATATATTCCTGACGCGAGCTGCAGTCAATTTATCCAATTGTTTACAATTTTGCTTAAAATTAGTTTCGATGTGGGAACAATACTCTTATGACGTCACTCTGGCAATATAAACGAAGATCTGTATTGCGTCACAGAAGCCCAAAAATTATACTTCGCAGTCAAAAGAATGGTTCAATAGCGCGCCTCAGAAAGATTGTTTTTCATTTTTGTCTACATTACGGTTGAGGATTTCGTTATGGGTAAGCTGAAAACCGGTCCGCCAATATCAATAATTAAAGCTAGCAGAGGTGCACAAAGTAACTTAACTAATTTTTATTCAACTTCTTACCAAACTTCTCACGGGGATGATAATTTTATTCCGAAGCCTGTGAAATCTGTGGGAACCGGCTACAAGGCAAATTTCAGGTCAGTATGTGTTTGTTTCATTTGGGCGTTTCACAACTTTATGACGATGACATTTAGTCGACAGTTAGCCTACTAATTCTTGCAAAGTGATATAATAAGGGCATGTAACAGTTGTAAAACTGGAAACAACATATAGACGGATCGCAGTGATTTTAAATACAGATTTCACATAGAAAAAAGTTTGTATATCCGTATTTCTCATTAACTATGAGCCAATGGGTGCGAAAGCCACGAAGGCAACCACTTCGGCAAGTTTCAGATCTAGTATTTATATATACTGTATATGTTTCTGTCACAAACAGGCCGGACATTTACTACACAACGCGACTTGATCAACTGGATAATTTAGAATTAGGAAAAGACCTGAAACAAAATTATGAAACTTTTTACATGAAACAACATCGAGCATATACCACGGGATCAGATGGGAAAGACAAGCTTCCGCTAAAGTATGAATAAAATAAATCATACAGAGTATTTATGCAAGTTATTCAAAATTTTAATGTAACAATTTACTATTAGGTAGATATGGCAGTCTAGGATACTTATCGCTACCCCTACTGATGTACGTTCTTTAGTAAATGGTACAAAATATCGGGATGCCTTGCGTAGCTGTTTAGTTTGATTGTAATTGCAAAATTTTGACAAGCACTGTACTGTTTACATTTATATAAATAACTTATATAGTAGGCCACCAATAAATTATTCTGAATAATTTTCGTGAGATATATTTCATGACATTTTTATTTTAAGAATTCTTCCTCGTAAATCTGGTTTCACTCAACAATCTCCAATAACATACGCTGATTCCAAAAATGTTACGATTGCTAGAGAGGGGACGATGACAGGAAATGTTTATAAATCTCTTTTGAGGAGGTAAATTTGAACTTGAAGCTTTTGTGTATATTTCTATGCTTGGGCAAAGTAGCATTTTACAAGCTATTTGAAGATTTTTACCAAAATCCCAGCAGATAATATTATTTTTAGGATTTCAGTCGTTTTCATCAGTTTTTTTTTTCAAACGAATTAACGCAAAAAAAATGATTTTCGAGTAGCACGAGTCTTATTTCCTGACCAGTTCGAAATTATTCTGTCAAATCTTTCGTTCAAACTTGACTGACAACTTAGGCATTTGATTAATGAATTAAGTGAGGATTCGTTTTATAATTAATAAAATACACATTCAGACTACAAGAGAAAAGAATATCACATCTAGACGACGGATCCTTGATTCCAGAAACCGAAACAACAACTTGCTATTTGGGAAAACCAAGCGAAAGAATGAAAACGCATTTAAAAGTAGGTACTAGGTATACTGTTTATTTCAACACCTACATTCTGAATACATGGGTGTTATTAAATATTTAGTTGGAATGCCAGCATATTTTTTATCACACTTATTAGCCGAGTTTTAGGACCGAAGGTGTGCACCATTTCCGAATATAGGTTCAGACTGTTATTGCCTTGTAGAAATGTAATTGTTTGGTCCTAAAGAAAAGGTCCATCTGAAGCGTTTTTACATGATAATTACCTTCGGATTTCAGGACGTTGGATTCATGGAACCGTCTGGATTCACTCACTATCATCATTTCGATCCAGTATTATATCTTGGCAGGGCACCGTTTGATGGAGCAAGATATGGTAACAGAACTTTGAGGTAAGCTTGTAATGATATTGAAACAGTCAAGCGTACACAGTCGTCAAAATGATCTGTCGTGGCTAAAGGGAATAATCAATTTTAAACGTCATCATTTCCAAATATCTGCAACCTATAGATGGTGTTATTATAAATGCAAAGTTGGTTCGAATTATTGAACATTTTTATACAGACCAACCGGAATAAGTGAACATCAAAATCATTTTGTACGATGGCCTACCTTAGAAGGAACAGAGATGAATGCTGGTGTGAGAAAACGGGCGAAACGCGACACAGGTGAATGGAAATACGTATTTTGTCTCGATGCGCCATTTCAGGATTTATTAATGTTGATTAAATTGGAAACAGTTAACTGACATTTTCAAAAGAAATTTGGCCAAGGCAAGGTCACGCTAACTCGCTCAGAAAAAAGAAAATTGATAACTAAGCAAAGTTACGTGTGATCACTTTTAAAAGTACCAAGCTATACTGAGACTACTATAAAAAATCAGAATGCCGCGTTAGTAAATAGCGTTCGAAGCGAGACTGAAATCTGTCCATTTCATTGCGATCAGAAAACAGCTATGAGGCAGTTACACAAACTGAGGTTCTTTGAACAATTTTATGCATGGGTGGGAGCTCACGGCCAACCATGCTTGGTGGCGGAATACTGTTTTGAAGGTACAGGTTGCGAAAGTTCGAAAGCATAATACCTGTAAAATAAACACCACGACGCCACATTTCGCCGATGACAAAAATGACAGTTCGGACGTCAATCATATTTCATGAATTCGGTCAAGGAAGTTTTGCACGATAACGGGATCCCCGTATAAAGGATCATAAAGCGTTAAAGTCATGCGACGCACAAGAAATCAGCTGTAATGCACTGGCCACGTGTGTTCCTGATGACAATAATCGATTTGTGGGGCTTATATTTGCCTTGACTGCGATTGTTTGTATTTTATGTAACGCAATGAAGTGTTATTGCTATTTTTAGGTTACAGCTTTGAAACCGCGAAACCACGATTTGTTCATCGCAAAATAGAAGATGCTTTTACGAATATAGGACAAATGCCTCCACCTGTTGCTTCTAGAGTGAAGAAACAAGATCCGTGTGAATACGTGAACTTGACAAGAGGCGGCGATCATACAAGGTGCTGTAATATGCTTTTTTTGTTAAAAACGCGTATTTTCAATTGTTAGTTTTGATGCTTTTGGTATATAAAATACAGATATATATATACATATTCAAAATACTGTATAAGAAAAGTTGGTACTCCTGGAGCATGCGCACCAAGATGCCGCACAGCCTGAATTCTAACCTGGTACACAACCTGATTTCACGTTGGACGCCATCTTGGGGCGCATACTTCAGGAGGTCCGAAAAGTTACTATTGTATCTATGTGGAATTCTCGGAAGCAAGTCCGTGAATACAATCGAAGACGAGAGAACTTCTCACCAATCGGCAATTTTACGATCCTGCGTTATAGTGATCATCAATACTTTAAGATCGCGTCCAATTTTATGTGCTATGCGGTGCATGCCAGCGAGTGGTCTGTTCTACTCTTCCCACCACACATAATTTAAAATTATAATTATGTTAATTTGTAGACTCATTCAAAGTTCTCGTGCATTACAGTCTTGCAAGAAGTAATTTTCAAGGACAGCAGCGACCCCCCAAGAGTCCAAACCATAAGTTGTCACGAGTTTCAACGGGACATAAAGAACTGACTGGATTTTCCACAAATAACGAAGGCCACGTCGCGAAAGTCGACGACAAAACGCGATTTATATCCCATTATGATGTTAAATTTGGACCCAAGCAAGGTATTATTTTTGCTGTATGGCTCGCGTAAATGTCATATCATATTCTGTTTTGATCATGTATTATTATAATCTATCGCTTAATTTTTTTAAATCTTAGTATGTTTGACTCGACTAAAACTTTTTAGTTCATATATATGTTCATAACATTGATTTTCAATCTAATTTTCAGCTGGATATCCCGGTTTTGCCAAAGTATCGGGATTCGCGAAACAGACAAACGGATTCACAAAGAGTACAGTGGTACATTCATTTGGAGATGGAGTTTCCTTTAGGCCAGAAAATTTACGGGCGCTTCATCCAATCGCAGCCAAAGTTGTGAAGCATGACAACCCGTGTTACATGGACAACACGAGAAATTTTAAAATAAGAGACTGCGTTAGAGCTTAGTTGTTTTCTTTTTCGTATGAATCGCAAATTATATAGTTTTACAACATTGAAAACTACACCCAAGCGCTAAAGTGTACAAAGTTTTTCTGCAATAAAAAAAGATACAAAGAGGGCGGAAAATCGTTGTGCTAATTTAGGGCTGTAGAATATCACTTTAGACATTTTTTGCGTCCAGAACGATCATATAGCACAGACCTGCACAACTCAAATTATCACGAGGGCCGCAAGCAGAAATCTGAAGGCCCGGCGGGCCGCAAACTTTGCCACATACATATTTCACGAGATGAACTACAAAATAATAATGGGAAACAGTTAAATCTAATGAAACACTTCCCTTAATTGGGGAGCTTAAAAATATGAAGAATCTTATTTTCTTGAGTGAAAACAAGGTGCAGTATTTTTGCATATGAGAAGGCAAATATTTATTCAGTGGTTCATTTACCTTGAAAACCCACCCTTCATTTTCAATATCCCATTTTTTTAGAATTAGGTGTTGCGTGTTGCAGTATAAACTGACTGCAGGAAAATATTTTACTCAGGTTCAGTTTTGAAAAATCCAAATATATGTATGACAATTTATTTAGTCATATCGACCCTTATTGGATATTTCCATTGTAGGCTAGCGCTAGACAACCAATCCGTTTAGTAGCAATAGATCTTCCTCTGTTGTATTTTTTATTGACTGTTAAATTACATTTTTCTACACAATCTGCTCCAATTTATTCGAAATTTTACAGTAAATAGCAATATCTTTTGTGCGAGAATTTCTGCACCATTCATAAATGAAGGAATTGTTTTTTAGGTTCTAAATTTGAATCAGAAAAGAAACTTCAGTTTCATAATCTGCTAGTAAAAAATAATGGGGTTATTAATAGGTTGCTAATATGCGCTAATAGGTGGGAGATTGTATACCGATATTGTTTTAAGCGTGTTTCAGGCTGAACACTGAGATATCTAAATCAGGGTTTCCCAATCTGGGGGGCGAGGGGCCGAGCGACGAATTTTAGAGGGCACACCAATTTCACACAGCGTTCGATATTTGTTGAAACTAGTGCAAAACATAAATCTCACGATTTCGAATATGATCGGAGTAGCGGCTCGCTTGCCTAACAATGCCGGCCTTGATTGTTAGACCCGAGAGGTGGTGTGTTTCCAAATCACCCGAGGGCCGCACAGAAGTATCTAGCGGTTGTGCAGGCCTGATATAGCATAATAATTTTAGCAGGGAAATCAATGAACTAACTGTCTATGTGACGAAATTATTTTGTCATTACCCATGCGTATTGCGTTGTAATATAAGCAAATGGGAATGTTGCAAAATCAATTCCGAATGAATGAGCCAAAATGACAGAAAATAGTCAGTAGCCGCAATGTTGATCAATAATATACACCACGGACGATGCGAGGCAATTCTTGCCGATGTTCAAGCATAAATAAAACACATTTGGTGCATTTGATTACCGGCTTGCTATCGCATCTGGGACGATGACATCGCTGTCCTTGAGCTTCTACCTCAGAACAATGAAGACTTTTGGTGAGGTAGTAACAGTGTTGGATAGAAGTCTGGTAACAATTAATTACATTGTTCGGGAAGTCGGAAACAGCCGTCACGATTGGCGGAGAAAAACCAGTATTCCCATGAAAAAATAAAAATCCAGCGGAATTTTGAATAAAATATCAGATGTCAAATTCAGGAATAAACAAAAGTAATAACTTTCTGACGACAACAATCTTTAGTCACTGAAAATTTCCAAGCAATTGGTTTAACTTTATTAGTTAACGAGAAAGCGATTTTTTCATACGGAAACAACAACATAATATCAAAACAATTCATAGGCCTATTTCGTGCCCAATGGGCTTTTATAATGCACATGTTTTTTGCGACAGCCATTCGGGACGAACGCCATAAGTCAGATTTTTCCGATTTCTAACAACAGAAATAGCTTAAATTTTATCGTTGCGACCGTTATGTTCGAAACGGTTTTCATGTTGCGCCAAATCACAAAACTTTTACTAATGTTCTGCTTCACCAATCTAAAATACGGGATAAAAAAATGAGTCTGTTCAACCACCGGTGTTGTAGTTGCCACGACTCACAAGTTGTTACCTTGTTTGAGATTGGACGTTTTCGTGTTATGCATTTCGTTCGCAGCACTTCGTTATGCAGCAAGTTCGACAGAGGCGTCGGGGTAGTGTAACTTGAGAAACACTGCTGTAGCATGCTCCGAGGACATCCATCCAATTATATTTGTTACACTATGCCTAATTGGAATTCAAAACGAACCGCTAAAGTTAGACTTTCGCACTGGCCTAGAAATCCCTTCCACGCCATCACCATGTTTCTTCTTGCGCGGACTTTTCTGATTGGCGATGTTTAATAAAAATAGTATTCTAGGAAACTTATTATTTTTTTCACGCCACTAGCTGGCAATATTTTGCAGCGCGGTTACCCGTCACGGTAATTCAATGCCAGTGATTCAATCACAAAGAAAGTAGTTTGCATCTGCAAGCTTGAACGCGGTCCAGGGTGTGTTCACAATCTTTCATCGAATTTAGTCTCGATTGAAAATTTTTTTACAAAAAAAGGCAAAGGTTCCCAGAGGCATTGTAATTCATCATATTCAAAACAAACAAAAAGAAACTCAGTATTGAACGTTTTCTCACAAGAAAAAAATAAAAGGACTAAACACTCAAAACAATCCAGATCTTAGTAAGTTAATTGCTTTCCACGTGTGAAATATAATTTAACAAAAATTCCTAACATTCATGAGTAGCAGCTTAAACCTCAGAAGCTAGTCAAAAAGTAAAGTTGTACTACAGCTCGGAGGGCATATTAAGTATGAAGTCATTCAAAATACAGCACCACACAGGATGTAATACAACATTTCAATAAACTTACAGTGGAAAAGCAACCACGAGAAAATAGAATAGGTAAACGATCGAAAAGAATAATTTTGAAGCACTCGTTTGTGGTGAAATATTGCAGGGAAAATGAAGCTTCGCTACCAAGAGTAAATCACAGAAACCTCAGGGAAACATTTTTTTCCATTTGAAATTAAGAACGACAGCAACAATGAAACCACTAAATAAGAATGGTATAACGACAAATTACAGATGGTACGATTTTATATGGTTTAGTAACTTATCATTCAGCAAGTCAATTCTCCAGAAATTTGGTGGCAAGTCACCTTCCTCGAAGAAATCGTGCGATGTTGCAATTTAACATGTTAGCCACAATTACCATATTTTTCATGATATGCGACAGCATAATTACACAAACTATACCCCTGGCGGAGAATAACGTGAGAGTTCCAGTTGACCAAATTTGACTGAATAAGATACAGAAATGTCCCATACAAAAATCTACATTCATTAGTTATTAGACATGCAAAAAGTTGACTAGCATGCAAATACAACAATGGGGGTGACTAAAAATTCTGTAGGTCATAGTAGTGGTGCTTTTGTTGGGTATGATGTTGAAACGTTCCTATTTCTTGCCCAAGCGCAAAAAGGGCAGCGGTTGTTTAATAGGGTGGAATAATACTTCATAACAGCCTCGATTTATCTGGCGCTAATTTAGTTATATGCTTAAGAAGATGTTTTCTTTCTAATAGGTGGTATCATTAATCTATGCAAAGCTACAAGATCAGAAATTCACAACCAGATCATGCTTGATTTGCCATGCATGCCTGTATTGGCCATGCTTGAAGCAAGCATAACCAGGTGGAAATTTTCGACCAGTTTTAATCTAGGTCTAAAGTCGAACACAATATCGTAAAAAGTACCCATAACCGAAAAGTCAATTTCACCGATGACTTGAAAAAAGAGAATGAGCAATCGTGCATCAGCTCAGGTGCAGTAATAGTGATGAAAGAGAGTAGAACAAACATATTATTCGCAAACTGTCCGATGAATCATCAAGAATGTCGGTGGATGGGAGTCGTGTTCGATCTGCAATTATCCAGATCCTTCAATAGCTGGAGCAGGAGCAGATTCTGGTTGACCATTATGTTCAACAGCTCCCTAAATGACATGAATATACGGTTATGTACAATATATTTTGTTGATACAAATTTACGCACACAAAATTCTATTATAAAGCAGGACTAACTAGGTACTTATCTATCCATGCTTATGCACCGGTGGGATACGTATGCACATAATGCAAGGATGCTTTAGCAAGATTGAACATAACTACTAATCTAAGCAAGTTCTTGAATCACTTAGAACGAAGAAAGATTACTAAAAATGTCAATTATTCGATGACAAACTAAAAATATTATAGCTGTTACTGACTTTCAATTCTTTCAAATTTTTTTGATATATGAAAAAAGTGAACTAATATTGGAAATGAGAATATATTGTGAATTTCAACATAACATTTAAATGTCCTCCATAAGGATATTGATAGTTAAATAAACAGTTTCACTACTGAGTTGCCACTACGACAATTAGCCTACCTTCTCAGGATCTCCTTGTTCGCCTTCGCCTTTAGGACGTCTTGGACCTTTTGGCCGACGAGGTCTGTATTTACGAGGTGGACGGTTGTTTCCATCCTGTTGAACTTGTCCACCTTCTTCATTGTTTTCTGCAGCTTCACCATCTTCACGAGGAGGGCGAGGACGACTGAAACATATCCAGGAGCAATAAGTGTCAAGAATGCATTAATAAGAGATATGCTAAGCCAAACAAGACCAATATGGTGTTTAAATTAGACTGTAATCACAATGAATAAGGTGAAGTACAATACAAGAGAGCATAAGAGGAAGTGGGCTTTGCTTCTTAGCGAGATTGTCCTTTCATCATTGACTATGGCAAGGCAAGTCAGTTGAATTGGCCTAAACACATATCCGCATTTTACATAAATCTGGCCCAGGGATGGACAAAACCAAAAAATTTACAATCCCAAATAGATACATTATGACTACATAGACCAGGGGTGTGCAACCTATGATACAAAAGGGCCAGATACAAATTACTCTATGAAACCAGCGGGCTACACCTTTAACATACAATTCTAGTATTTGCAGGCACAAAATTCTGGTTATTGGCCTTTTAACATACACGAGCTCGAGTATAAGCTTTGCAAAGCATCCTAAATTAAAAGCTTGTTTCGCGGCCGCACCTCATTCAAAATTGGCACTTCCCCATGGGCCGCAGGTTGCACACCCTTGACATAGACTACAGAAATATTATTTTAAATTATAGCCAGGTAGAATAATAAGTATAATAGTATAGTAAAATTTGTTAGACTATGTGAAACTAACTAATGTCAACCGAATGCACTCGTTGAAACTTGTTATCGGGTTGACGCTGTTATCTTACCGAGGTCTGAATCTACGTCTTCGTGGTGGAGGTGGACGTTCACCCCCTTCTTCGCCATTCACCTGGGCCTCACCGCCCTCTTCACCTTCTCCCTCCTATAAATCAAATAATGAAATATTAATACAGTACTCCACAAGAAAAGTAATGCAGTACATTGCCAATGAATATTTCGAAAGAAAAGACAATTACTTGTGGATTTTTTCTTGGACGACGTGGTCTTGGACGTCGTGGGCGACGCTGTTCTCTTTTTTCTCCTTCGCCTTCTTTTTGCTCTCCATCTTCCTGGTTTTCACCTTCCTATGACATTCGAAAACAGTTATCTCAGCAACTGAAAGAAGTTCCATGGGAACATAAGTATATATTCTACATCCACACTGGATATTCTTTAAAAGGAGACAAGTTATCACAATACAGTGAAAACCAGGCAAAACAATATACCGGTACCTCTATAGTTCTAAACTTCGGTGTTTGAATAAATTCTCATTTATTCAAATTTTGAAAGAGCATAACTAGAAAAGCAACCAATACTACAGATGTAAATGATAACATCCATCTACAATTTAACTTATAAATGATGCATAAAACTTTGGTTTATGAATCGTGTTGAAATATTGTTTATTCTCAAAACAACCGATATTAAACACCAGATATTTCAAAGTACGTTAAACAAGTTGCATGCATTAGTTAAACTGCTTATGATGCAAGCCTAACACCATTCATGCGTTAAGTTCAAACACCATTTAAAATGAAAATTGATATGCCAAGATAATCCACGTTGAAAATAATGAAAACATGGGTCTGTCAATGATTTCAACTCTCTGGGATCGCAAGTATAATTTACGTTTCTTAGAGAAGGATTTATGGCTTGGGCAACTTCAATACCTACCTCTTCACGTCTAGGACGTCGATTTCGGAACCATGGGGGACGTCTTCTGTATCGTCTGGGAGGGGGTCTGTTCTGTTGTTCCCCATCTTCATCATTACCTTGACCCTCTTTTGAGTCGCCCTCTTCACCAGTGTTAATATGTCTCTGGAGAGGCCGAAGAAATGCCTATAGTCATTTATAGCTTTCTATTCTTAATTTTCAATTATGCCACTGCAATGGCCCCTAAACCAATGTTTGATACTGGGAGAGATCTGGATTCATATTACTGATGATATGACATGATAATGTGACGATTTAATGAGTCATGCATATATTCTCATGGCGATGCCTAGTAGGCTATTGCTTCCAAACCAGATAGCAAATACAAACATGTATTAAAACAGAAGCGACTAAGGCTAGTTTTCACCGAACTATAAGAACTGCACATAACATATTTAGTAAATTCACCTAACAGAATAACCATGCATTAACGTTTGCAAAGCTGATAAACATCAGACAGACTGGGGATGTCCCAAAATTTAATGCCGACAAAATGGAAAAATTTGAATTATGACAGACAATAATCTTATTTAATTTGATTTACATTTCACTAGATTACAGTCTTACTTGCTTGGAAAAGACATGAAGTAGGTACACAAAGAGGAAATAATATCATATTATTATAACAATTACTACCCCACTAAGCTGGCTTCAAAGTATAAATAGTATTTAGTGAAAAATATCATGCTATTTCAATGTGGTCATATCTCATGAATAGATCTTTGCAAACTTCATGCATTGGTTTTTAGTCACCGCCACTTTCTAATTAGATACCTGGGGTCTTGGACGACGACGATACTGTGGACGATATCTTCGGCGGTCGGCCGCATATTTGCTGCCTTGAACCGGAGCACCCTCTGGTCCCGTAACGTTTGCAGCTTCAGGTAAACCCTTGTACAGATAATGAATTAATTGAAAAAACTATAAATAAACAATGGTAAATAAATAAAGTAATAGTAGTAAACAATTTAGAGCAGGCCATACCTTTTCCCCTTCAACAACATCAAACTCTACAACTTCGCCATCCCCCACACTGCGGAGATATTTCCGTGGGTTGTTTCGAATAATTGCAGTTTGATGGATGAACACATCTTCTTTGTTATCATCACGGTTGATGAATCCATACCCGTTTCGAACGTTAAACCACTTCACAACTCCTGTACACTGGGTAGCTAAAAAAATAAACACAAGTTAAATAAATAAGTGGAAAATAAGATTTAAAAAATCATCAAACAACATTGGAATGTGTGTCAACAAAAATACAGCTGCGGGAATAATTCTTCTAAGACACACCAATGTATAACATTTAATAAATAGATACCAAACCAGATTCCTCGAAGTCTCAAAAAAATCATTCACAAACCTAGGTAAGTTGCTTAATCATAAGCAAGAATAAGTCCATTCAAAACAATATTCCTTTCGTGTGATATCAATTTAGGTTCAGTATAAAAATGCCATAGTCAATATACAAGGTCATGATTATGTTGGACTTGATTTTTATCCAAAATTGAAACTTTTATCTAAAATTAAAATCTAACTCCTAGTTGGGAATTATGTGGAATCATTGAACGACTAACACATCTGATAACAGACTTCGGTAAATACTAGGCCTAATAAAGTTATAAACCTATCATGTCTGGGCAACAGGTACATATGGCATGGGAATAGGGTGGCTTTGACCATACTGCCATTACTGCATTAAGATCACAAAGTCTATGTCCGATCTAAATTATACCAATATTGGGAGATCAGGAGATGTTTAGAAATTGGAATAAGGTTAAAGACAAACATTGAAAGTGAACTGAATGATCATTGGTCTTGGTATATATAAGTACAGAAGTCCCATATCTGCATATAACCAAAGTACAGAAGTATAATAAAAGTACTAATGATAATAATCAATTCAATGCAATTACTACTGAATAAATTTTGGCATATGTGGTTTAGACCCTACCACTGCCTGAATGTTGCATAACAGTGTAAAGCAGTAGGTTATCTATAACAGTATAATGTTATTTACCATGTCGAAAAGCAGAAAAAGGGTTTATATTCCATGTTTTTCATTAACCATGTACAGACTGACAGATGTACCAGTATCGAGTCTCATGTAGTTTCGACCTAACATACTTCTAGTGGGCATAGCGTACCAAAATCTTCATGTGTCAATCCTAACCCCCACCTGACTATGCTATTCAAAAATTAAGTCACTACGACATCACAGTGATGTAACGGAGCCCTTCAAACTATACGAACTGTCATCCAAGACGTGCAGACGAGCACCCAAAATCAAACAGCTATTTCTCTCGTTTTCTCGACGCGACGATCTCAATATGAGAGAGATCGATGACGTTAGTCAGTTCCTCATCGTCTGCGCCAATGCCATTTCGGGCAATCATATGTCTGTATGTATATTTGGCAAGCTCTATGACGTGATTGTGATGCGGTAGTGACATAATTTTTGGATTGCTTAGTCAGATACCGGTAGGGGTTATGATTGACACATGAAAAATTTGTCATGCTACGCCCACTAGATGTATGTTAGGTACGAAACTACACAGGCCCAAGGTACCTATCCTATTGTATAGACCTAAACCAGTAAACTTATTTTAAAATTTTTAAAATTAGCCTAATTGTGTTGATACAGTGACAGTTGGTTATTTGGTGATGGCAGAATTCAAGAACTGACAAAACAAAAGCTCTCAAACTACAAAGTCTGAAAGTGCAGAAGTGAATGCGTTTTACTGTTTTAAATTAAGAACCGCAATTTCAGCTTGTCCAAAGACTGCAAGATAATATTATTCATGCAGCATAAAAAATCAGAACATACGGTAATAAAGGCATAAAAATAGACGAACTAGTTCGAACGACAAGCACCGCAGAACCAATTTAAACACATTCAATGCGAATTACAGGTTTCAAAATATGACAAGTTTAGAACATAATAATCCTATAAACGTACCCAGAACTTTCTTCTCGGCCTTTACAGAATCAACTGCGTGGCTTTCTGTTGCTACCTCGGCGTCCGACATGATGTTTCTACGTCTAATTAGGGCGATGTTTTTAGATCCCCGTTACACCTTGATCCGCGATACCCTTCCTGCTTCAGCGTCGCTAGATGTTAATGGGAGAGCGCACGGCCGTTGCACGTCACCGAGAGCTTTAAATAAGGAGAAAAAAGAAGCCGTTAACAAAAACAAAAAAAGAAAAGTTACAACGCGACAGCTGAATGGCGCTAAACTCGAAGCAGCGGCTGTTTTCGCCCCTGAAGATTACAAAGAATTTATCACAGTACGAAATCGCAATTAGTTCAAAGGTTTTGCATCACATCACAAATTTTATAATATTTCACTTTTTTTTTCAATATTTGCCTGACTTTTTCGGAGAATCAGGCATTTAGTTTAGGGTTATCATATCTGCAAAGACAAAATCCCTGACAAAATTTAATGAGCCACATTGACCAATTTTGCAACCAAAACACGTTATACTGTACAGCAGAGCAGAGGTACTCAACTTCCAAAGTAAAAGGGGTGTATGCCGCACATTTGAGTTTTAGGCCAATAGGGTCTTGTCTTCAGTATTTATAATTACTTACTCTTTTATATTGCTTTTACGAGACGAATAAACATACATACATACATTTTAACCACAAAAGATGCGACGGGCCACAGAAAATTATTGTCACATATTTATACTATTGAATTTATTTATTAATCTGATACTGATGTTTAATATGTTTCTTGAATTCATTTTTATGCATTCTTTGGTTCATCAAAGATCTATGCGGGCCGCAAAATATGCATCGGTGGGCCGCATGAGGCCCGTGGGTTGAGAACCCCTGCTGTACAGTATTATGGTATAAATTCACGATGTATCCAAAGGCACAAGCTGTCGTCGCTTTCTCGTGAGAATATAATAAATACAGAACAAAACGAAAAGAGCAAAATTGCTGCTTAATCTTTACCACTAGTGACTAAACCCTAGCTCGGAATAATGAAGTTTAGGTGAAGGTAGTTCAACCAAAATACCGATTACAAAATGCTGGCAGTTCAGATCATATGTGACATCACAATTATCTTAATGCGACGCCATCCGTGTTGCACAAAAATGCTAGAATGTGACAACAATATTATCAAACGGTTGTCATAGTTTTAAATGATTAGATGAACAATGAAAAAACATGGACACTGGTGTGAATACCTCAGGCCGCACGCTACATGCCGTTGCGCGTGGAATTTCCAACATTTGGGATACCATATTTCATATTTATCCTGAATATAGGGAAGTTGGTGATAGCGATTAATAATTCATATCAGGGGTATGCAACTTTTATTACAGGACGGTCAGATACAAGTAACTGGGTGAAGACACGCGCCGCACCTTTATTTAAGATAGCCTTTCTAGTAGTAGTTACAAGCACAAAAAATTGTTTCTTTTTGTTATTAATTAATCTTACGGAATTGTTAGGGATCCTGCAGAAATGGGGAGTCAAAACGCATAAATTTCTAAAGAAAAATGTTTAAATTTATTGTCTCACTGACTATAACATTGTGTATTTTGCAACAGGATTTTGCTAGCTTGTCTTACTAATATGACAGTGGCACTCAGTTACTGGTATAGTCTCTGCGACGCAAAGAGATTGGAATTGCTCGCACGTACCAGATTAACTGAACCAGTGGTTCTCAAACTTTTTGAAAAATTATGCATAACGGTCCCCTTTCAATTTTTCTAATGACTCGCGGTCCACCAAAGAAATGAAAACAAATAGCAACATGATATATCAAGCATTCATCTATTGAATGGCAAACAGTTCAATGAGATGGATGGGCCTGCTTGGCTCCCACTAGTTCTTCTACCTTGAGTTATGATTTGGACGACGCAACTCTCATAGCGTGTCTCACGTCCATTCTGTTTCAATATTTTGTTTTGAGCGAGTAACGTAGAAAAAGCTGCCGCACATTCGAAAGTTGTTGCAAATGGAATGAGCATTTTTAGTGTCATCTTGGCAACATCGGGATAGGACAGTGCCACTGTTTTTTTTTTCCTTCCAGAAATTATCACAGCAAAACCAAATTTCACATATGAATTGTTATATCTAAATATATTTGTATGGCAGGGGGCATTTTTAAATAATCCCGAGAATATTTACAATCAGATGCACACGCCTTCCATAAACAATACGCTCCGATTTACAGTAGCCTACTTGCCACGTTCACCGACGTTTATTGAGTAATCATGTCTTCGGTAGAGCGTGTCGTGCGTTGGAGGAAGTATGACATCAGGATTTTACTTCAAATCAAAATGCTTCTGTGCCGAGGTTAAAGTTGTCTTGCGGTCCCCCCAAAATTGCTTCGCGGACCCCAGTTTGAGAACCAATGAACTAAACTAAAACACGTTTCGCGTGCACGCCATTCCAAATTGGCACTTCTCCCCGGACCGCACAATTTTTCCTTGCGCGCCGCAGTTTGCACACCCCTGATTTATATGGCCGATCATAGCCCAACATAGCATATATATATATATACTATGTGATGGAAGCGATGGAAATTTATGATAAAACCAGCTATATCAATATCTGAACTACTGTAGCCATGATCAGACAAGGCTGCGAATATAGGATAGAGGCCGCAATAAAATAAATAATGTTGTCATCAACTTAAATGAAATCGATCCTTAGCAATGTAGTTGGGATAGAGCGTTATAAATTAACGTAGTTGTTTTTCAGGTTGCAAATCTTGTTTTATTGTAGCGGGTGTAGATCATATATTTTCCGGAGCAAAAAAATCAGTATCATCTGATGAAACATCAAGGGAATTTCCGCTTCATAGTATGGTGATCCCCAGTTTGGAATGGCCTGGCTGCGCTTCTGTTTACCGTTACGCAGCTTCAGGCAAATGCTGTTACAATGTTTATTTTATGATATAACAATACAATTGATCTCAACGCATTCGCAACGTCTTTCGGGAGTGCATGAATCCAAGGGGCGCAAAATCAGTAGTAGAGGGAATCAGCCGGTTCGCACCGGTTCAAAAGAACCGTCTCACGAAATTTTATGAGATCAGCGAACCGGTTAGCATTACATGACTTTTGTAACAGAACCGCCTGAAAATTCGATATTTGTATATATGATGGAACCGGCTGACAAAAAATTTGAATCCCACCACTGCGCAGAATGTCTCGGGAGTAAATGCCATTTCGCAATTTAGTCTTTCCCGCATATAATTCTCTCGTAGTAAAATTCCCTTCCAAACTTTTTGAAACGATTGTAATAAATAGATCATGTGGGCCTAAGTGTACTTTCATTACTCTCTCTCTCTCTTACACAACGAATACAAATTTTATGACTGGAAACCAACGACTAAGCAGGGAACTGACCAAAATCTAAAGTAAGATTTAAATCAAATTTTTCATGAATGAAACCCCACTTAGTGAAAAATCTTTTAAGTTTTTTAATGTGGGATCTAAATATACCTTAAACACGCTTAAACAACGTTTCTAAGTTTAGACATAAGAAATTTCAAACCAGAACTGAGACACCAAGAGACCAACACAGTTTTTGGCGCAACCTGTTTCTAAAGTACAAAAAAATTGGTGCTCCCGAAGTATGCGAACCAAGATGGCGGATATCGGAACGTAACATGGGTAACAGGTTAGGGTTAGGCGATAATTTTTTTCCAATTTTCTTTATTTTAGTCCTATTATCAGTTCGAAGACTAGCCAAGAGCCTCCCGTAGTATTTATACCTAAAATTATGGCCTAACCCTAACCTAGTACACATATTACATTCCGATGTCCGCCATCTTGGTTCGCATACTTCGGGAGCCCCAAAAAATTATATATATATATAGACATTTTGCAAGCATAGCTTGGAAAAAGGTTCATCATATCAAGAAGCAATTCCATGAAAGTGAGTGTTGGACTGATTCGGTATTCGATTAGATTTATTGTTCTCTGACCCCCAAGTCAAGAATGACTACTCGTTTTTTAAGATAAAAAACGGTTAAACTCTCGGAATCTGACCGCTCGATGATCTAATCACTCACATCCATTTCAAATTTTTGATACGATTGGAGTGTATATACCTTTCTGGTCAACTGAAAAACGTAATATTTTTAATATATATATATATATGCCAAAATAATACACGAGTGCAAAATGGAATATCAGGTATAATACTCTGGATTTACACAACATTCATTGACTGTCGAACGACATTACGGACGAGTCGATTTATCAATTTATGAAAATCGTATTGGTTGTACATTACCCTGGATAATAATCAGGTGTATTGTAGCGAATGTGGATTGTAACTATTAATGTTTTTCAACCACCTTTGTATTACTAGTATTTTGAGTTGAATCAAAATGGGTCATTTTAGCCATTTCCCTGTTAATGATTTATAGCGACAAGCCTTAGTAATACTTACTAAGAATTACTGATTGGATTCAACCGCATAGCTGTATTAGAGTTTAAGTGTATACTTCAATATATCTGTTTTTGGATTCAATTGTGCAACTTTACAATATACGAACATTTGGCATTCTTATTGACCCCCGAAGCAATGCAGATCGGGCTTAGACTCTATTAACAGGTGATTCACCACATATATGAAATGTTACCATTTGAACAACGTAATATTAATTTGACTGATTTTACACTTCGATTTGTCATCTTTCTCTAATTCTTTTATCTTCTGCTCTGTGGGTCCAATACGATATTATCGCAGTATTTATTTTCCCCTTGATATATGTGCCTATTGCGTCAGATTTCGGCTGCGACTCGTTTTTCGCTACACACTCCACTTCTGGTAATGAGCTTGGGAAATTGCTTCCAACGATGAAGTAAACAGCAAAGATGGCAAAGGATCATTTCCAAATATCCAGCCAATTATTTACCTGTACCAAGATACCAATGACCAAGGAAAAATACAGTCAGACTTGTTTTATTATTATATCAACCCAACCACAAACTAGAAAAGTACTTCGGTGTTATCATATTTATTGAGCTACAATGCTGAATTAGCAGCAAAACATTGTCATAACCCCAAACAACATAGTAACCCAGGTTGCGTTTCATATTTTACTTGTGTTGTGGTAAACAATCAGTAATCTTCAAACGAGAAACTGAGGGACAATTCAAAAACTAGACACAGAGGTGCACTAGATGCCCCAAGTAAAACTTGAGGAGAGTACTTTATCTGGTATCTGAATGCTGTAGAAAATCATGCTATAGCAGCAAGATAGTCTTTAACTTCAGTAGGAGCCAATCTATGAAAACCATCTTTATCACAAATTCCAACTTCTATGTTGTCTTCAGTCATCTGGCCTTCAAATGATTCCTTCAAAACAAAATTCACCATTCACCAGTATATTAAGCTTTAAGGTTAAATTTCTCTGAAAACATTTTAAACTCACCTTTAAAGTAAGAATGGCTGTATGAACTGCATCTTCCAGTTCTAATTCTTCATTATATCTAAAGAATATGTAAAGCTTTGATCACTATAAATGCATATGCAACTTAATATAAAGATTTTTCAAACAAGCACTACATGTTGCAATAAAATGGACAATTCTTAGAAACATTGATGAAAATATTACAATGACAGTACCACAAATTAACTCACCTTTTTTCAAGAAATGATTTCCCATTTAAATGATTTTTTCCAAGAGCTGTTGCTTTCCACGCAAAATATGCACCCTGAAATGTGATGTATAAAATGTGGTGAATTTGTTGTATGAAAACTCATAGAATCTAGTTTACTTGTCACATGAATGTGATTCAGATTCCACTACCACTAAAGTGCTGAGACCCACTAAAACTGTGAATAATCATAACGTCTTATTTGGAAAAACTAAAAATCCACTTTTTACATACACAAAGCATGAGTAGCAATGCAATTGCAATATATGAACACAACGAAGTGTTATAGTAGGATAAAAATCACTATTTCGTTCTTAACTGCCAATCCATTAAATATTTATTTTCGAACTAATTTGAAGTAGTCAAATTAGTCTATTTGATCAAACAAGTCTTTAATACAAAAAAAAAAAATTAAAAGTAACGCACTGATGGATCACATTGAAACAAGTAAGGCCTGTCTTGATCTTTGTCCCATCCACATACAAGTAGAGAAACTCCAAAAGGTCTGACACCTCTGTATATGAAAGTAAGGTAATAAATTGATGGTAAGCACTAAGCAAGTCTGAATCTCTAAGAATGGAATGGTTTTTTAAAGAATTTGACTGCTTTAAAACTTGAACAGCCAATAGGTCACAATTAATATTACAAGCCATAGTAATGAAGATGCCAATTCACAAATTTTTTTCAATGAAGATGCTGTTGTGACAGTGGTGTAGTTTATTAGATATTGGTAATTGACACAAAACTTGGAGTTAATAAATTAATAAATGAATAATTAGTAAATTTATTTAAAAACAGGAACTTCCACTTCAAATAGCTGAGGCTAACCAGTTAACAATGAGAGTATAGAAGTTTTGAGTCAAACAGAGGTTGCATCGGAAAATAACAGGTGAATTTCCTCAACCCACACTCTTTAGAAAAAATATAGTTGATATCAATTAATGAACATAAAAGTACTGATAATTATTATTTAATTGAGTAAATTATGATATAGTTCAGAATTCAGATAGTTGGCTCAACCATTTGTCACTTCAAAAGCATAACTATTGGTTAAGATACCCCGGAAAATGTCGAATCACATGGAAAAATTACTTAATTGCAAATAAAAAAAAGTGGTTGAACTCACCCAGACTGAGTATATTCCTGCATTACTGATGCAACTCTTTGAACTAATTGTGCGGTTGGTATTGAATCTTGATACGTTACATTATATGCTTCAGCAAGTTTTCGTGCTTTCTTAACCAATACTCTAGACATGATAATGCATACACAATTCAGCTTAGAATAGCTTATGCATGGATATTCGAATTTTATATTGAGTGAATAAATGATTTAAAAATATAGTGTGAATTCGATCATATATAACAAGATATATTTTCAATTTCACATCAAATAGAATTTTACGCAGATCAAATCTTAGTTCATATATAGGTATTTTTTATTATGGCCATAGTAATAACACTTAGTTTGATGGTATGGACCAGGCCTGCACAACTCAAAATACCACGAGGGCCGCAAGCATAAATTTGAAGGACCGGCGGGCCGCAAACTTTGCCACATACATATTTCACAAGATGAACTACAAATCAAAATGATATTGTGAAACAGTTAAATTTAATGAAACACTTTCATTACTGGGGAGCTTGAAAATATGAAGAATCTTATTTTATTGAGTAAAAACTAGGTACAGTATTTTGCATATGAGATGGCAAATATATATTTAGTGGTTCATCATCCTTGAAAACCCATCCTTCATTTTCAATATTTCTTTTTTATTAGAATTAGGTATTGCCTGTTGCAGTATAAACTGAGTGCAGGAAAATATTTTACTCGGGTTCAGTTTTGTAAAATCGTCCCAAATATATGTATGACAATTTATTTAGTCATATCTACCATTATTGGGTATTTCCATTGTAGGCTAGACAAACAATCCGTTTGGTAGCAATAGATCTTCCTCTGTTGTACTTTTTCGACTGCTAAATTACATTTTTCTACAAAATCTGCTCCAATAATTTTGAAATTTTACTAAAATAGCAATATCCTTTGTACGAGAATTTCTGCACTATTCATAAATGAAGAAATTGTTTTTTACGGTTAAGTTCTAAATTTGAATCAAAAAATTACTTCAGTTCTATAAACTGCTAGAAAAAAATAACGGGGTTATTAATATGTTGCTAATATGCACTAATGGGTGTGAGATTGTATACCGATATTGTTTTGAGCATGATTCAGTCTGACTACTGAGATATCTAAATCAGGGTTTTGCAAACTGGGGGGCGAGAGGTCGAGCGACGACTTTTAAGGGTTGCGAAGGGCACACCAATTTCACACAAAGTTTGATATTTATTGAAACTAGTGTAAAACAGAAATCTCACGATTTCGAATATGATCGGAGTAGCGGCGCGCTTGCATAACAATGCCGTCTTTGATTGTTAGACCCGAGAAGTGGCGTGTTTCCAAATCACCCGCGGGCCGCACAGAAGTATCAAGCGGGCCGCATGCGGCCCGCGGGCCGTATGTTGTGCAGGCCTGGTATGGACAATCTTGATCGAATATTCAAAACTCAAAAGTGCTCACTTTAACACATTATTCTGAATAGCCAATGATGGCAAATTTTCTGTATTCCAAAGCTAACCTGTAATCTGGACCCATCCCGCTATAAACCATTCCTATATGCTTTGTTACAGCTTCAACTTTATGTATGCTTCCTTCATCATATAAAATTGATTTCTGTTTCTTCTCGGTTGCAATAACAACTCCGTTCTGTGCTTTTATGCCAACTGATGGTGAACCAGCAGCAACTGCATTGAGGGCATATTCGATCTGAACCAGCTTGCCACTGGGACTGTAGAATAAAAAAAAATGGTTGACTAAATTTTGTGTATATATTCCGAGGAAAAAATTCCCAACAAGCTAGGCCTATAATAAAATATTTCTAAACGTTATTTAAATAATTTATTTCAAAAACTCCATAATACTGTAATACACACAAATTAAAAATAAGGAAAGAATTCTGCATTCACAAAAAAACACAAATCTTGTTAAACAAGGCTTGGGCCAGAAATAAACACACAAAAAATATGCAAATGTATTGAACTTTCGGGCTGTTGTACTTTTAGGGCAATAACGCTACCGGTAATACTTAATAAGGATTAAGGACCAATTCAATACAGCAATAAGATTAAAAATGTACAGACAATGTAATTTACTATCAGCAGTAATAATGCAGAATTCACTGGATTAGTGTACCGGTATTACTGTATTAATTACGGATAAGGTTTTCATATTTCACTTATTTATCCCAGGGGGGAGAAGAAGAACGACAAGACAGTCGAATTATGTGACGAACCACGGCCTCTGACATTAGTGCATTAATAAACAGACGTGTGACCGAGCTAAAAAACCAACACAGCACCGGGACGGTACCGGTAACCTTACAATTTATGCAGGAAAACACACTACAGACTAATCCTTAAATATGACCAATATCGCCAACTTACCTGAAAGTTGTAAGCGAAAAACTGTATCGTTCAGTCATCGTTGGTAACCACCAGTTTTACTTAGTAACTCCGATAGCATCAAAACAATAAAAATCTTCACTGAAATTCAGAAATTAGAGCAGTCTGTCGTAGTCATTAGTCAGCATAAATAATATGACTCATCGATTTGAGGTGCCCTCAACCATGACGAAACTGAACGACACATTTTGAAGTCTTCATCTGGAGCAGTGGATCCCAAACTTTTTTGTAACATCGCCTAAGAAAGTGATTTCTACAACTTCATCCCACCCCCCCGGTACGGGTACTACAAAAAATGTAGAGTCAGCAACTAATATATTACAGACCAAATAAACAAGAAGACAAATCATAGTTCATAGTATAGTGTTTTTAATGAGATGGATGAGCTTGGTGGTCTTCAGCGAGTTTTTATTTCTTATATTTTCAACATTTTCGTCAGTCACAACCTCAAATCACCCCGTTCACTGATCGAGAGGCGATTTCGTTGTATAGTGTCACGGCTGAAAACCGGTAGAACTGCGGAAAAATTCATTTCCGATTCCTCATCACGTACCATGGCCTCCAATCCAGTTACCAGTCCATAGAATTAATCAACAATTAATTTGTTTCAGATTCATGGACTTGATAGTGGGGAAAAATCAGCAATTTATTTGTTTCAGATTCATGGAATTGATGGTGGGGGAAACCGTACCCGATAACTAGCTAGGGGTCGGCAACCTTGTCTCCGACAGACCAAAATTAGGGGTTTCAAGTCTTGGCGGGCCGCACATATTTTTTGAAAGAGCCGGAACAGCGAACCAAAGACTGCGACAATTCTCAACTCAAGTCAGTCGTCCTATTAAATGAAAAAATTACAAATGGCCTTTAATGTGACACTGTCTTGTTGCTGCATGATGGCTTTTCGACATCGGCGGCACACTGAAAACCCCTTTTCCGCCATATAAGAGGTCCGAAATAATCCAGGGTTCTACCTCTTCAAAAATTGCCGGGTACTTGCCTGATGACCTGCACCAAAATACATCATAACGATCTTCGGTAAAATACATCTTCGATTCCTCACCATGTACCACGGCCTCCAGTCTGGTTAACAGTCCATAAAATAAATCAGTCATTTATTTGTTTCAGATTCGTGGACTTGATAGTGGGGGAAGCCGTAACCGATCATCGGATACGGCCAGGGGTCGGCAACCTTTTGTCGCTCTCGGGTCAAAATTAAGGGTTGCAAGCAGTGGTGGAATTCATTTTTTTTTTCAGTCGGTTCCTTCACAGAAGCCATATCTTTCAGCCGGTTCTGTTACGTACAGAACATTGACAGTAACCAGTAATGCTAACCGGTTCGCTGATCTCATAAAATTCCGTGAGGCGGTTCTATAGAACCGGTGCGAACCGGCTGAATCCCACCTCTGGTTGCAAGTCTTGGCGGGCCGCACATATTTTTTGAAAGTTAAGGAGAGAACAGCGCGCGAAGACTGCAACAATTCGAGAATTCAACTTAGTCGTCTTATTAAAAGAAAATGACATTTAATGTGACACTGTCTTGTTTCTGCATCACGCTTGATAGCTGTTCAACGGCACACTGAATGAAGCCAAGATTGGAACATTTTCTAAATGGGCATCACTGATCCTAGTTTTCTGCTTGTTCTTTGTAATGTTCATATTCGAAAAATAATTGTTTGCACACATATAATATGTAGGCCAACTTCCCAACATCGAAGTGAATTTTTTTGCATGGTTTGTCAAATTGTAATATATATATAAAGATTTTTTCAAGAATATTCATTTTTATAAAAATCAGGCAGTGGTGCATCTCTCGAATAGAATATGAATTATATTTCCTCATTACATTGCATCTCAAGGAGCTCCATTTGAATATTTTCTGCGCTATTGAAACCCTGCACTCAGCATCAACTTTTCTGCGTGTTGCCCTTTGCTAATTATAATAAAATTGTAGGCTCGTTAACGAGTGGTTGTTTACTAAATTGTTGGGTTTTAATATAATTTAATCTAAACGTGTCTTACAATAAATTCTGTTACGTAAAAATATAATCTACTCCTCGAGCGTAAATTGTAAAACTCATTCATTGTCAAAACCGCCTTTTTGTCGCTATAATTCAGTGAAGCGTCGCGAGCCGGATTATTTCACTCCCCGGGTCGTAGGTTCCCGACCCCTGGCCCTGGGCTACGCGAACTCTCTTACTGCGGGGAGGAGTTCAGCAATCCTCTCGTGTGTGATTATCGCCCACGGGATTCAAACCTTCGAACGCACGCAGAGTACAGTAATCAAGTGCACGATGCGCCAGCCGCTGAACAAAAACAGGTTCCGCAAAATTGCCCCCTTCTGTATCGTTTTTGTCCACCGGGAGGCGATATCGCCCACTTTGGAAATCACTGATCTAGTCTATTCTAGAGGATGTCTATTTCATTACGGAAAATGTTCAATAGACAGTACGGTATTGAAACTTATGTACAAATACTTTGGAGAATGCCCTTTTGACACCACATCGCTAATTTAGTTTCACAAAGTACAAGGTTCTGAATTCGACGCCGGTCTTTAATTTAGTTATGTAGAAAATCGTAGCGTTTAATAAATCATGTACGCAAGTTTCTCAGAGCAAGTCCACGGCTGACAAAACGGGGCCTCTGGCCCGGTCACAACCTTGCCAATGCTCCATGCAGAAACATAACAGCGGGAAAAAGGGTGCATGTATTTACTAGGCAAATCAAAGCATGTATGTTAGCGGTTTCTCACTTGTTAGAGTCAAAATGTTGCCTGCTCATAGGAATTAAAAATATACAACGGTGTAACTTGTTTTACAACGTGAAATATATTTGCATTTTCAAGAGTAGTAGCTTCAGTTTAGTGGAAGGATTTGTCCAGAAACATTTGTTTTAACACAAGTTTTTTTATTATTATTATTTCTTGAACGTACACTTCTCGTATATATCAGATAGGGCAAGGGTCACCAAACTACGGCCCGCGGCGTAATTTTATCCGACCCGCAATAACTCGAAAAAATGGCTATTCGTTAGTGTTTGGTTGTGTTTGGAAAATTTAAGTATGAATGAAATAAGTCAATCATCATTTGCCTCCTTAAGAGTTGTAGTTCTAATAGTAGTAATGAAAAATAGTATAGAAATAGCTGTGACAAAATAGACGAAAATTATCTACCGGTGCGAAACGTTTTCCGCGAAAGATGCACTCGTATACTTGTGGCGCGTGCTTTCGACGAAACTGTTTACGTTTCTTGTGCTGAAATGAACGTCGAATGTGCATGTTGCGCTAACAGTACTGTGATCCCTCGCGTACTGCTGCAATTTCACAAATCACGCTAACTTTTGTACTGCCCAAATGCGGATATTCATGTGGGTATGTTACAGACAAATTAAAGTTCACCCGATTTAAATAAAAATTGCGCCAGTGGATAGATCTGAGTGAAAATAAAAAGACAGTACCAAGTTTATAAAAAACGGTCTGGAAATAACGAAGATATCGGAATTTTAGGACCGCCCGACATGCCAATTTTTTCCATAAGGATTATATTACTTTTTGGATAATAACTGTAATAAATATGAAAAAAGAACCCATATCAATCTCTAATCTTTCGAACTGCGTCACATCTATGGAATATTGAGACTATTTCAGGATTTTATTCTGGCAACGGCCATTGACGCCGCCGAAAGTTCGTCGCAAATAAACGCTGGAGTTGTGCATGTTAGTTTGACAGTGGTTCATTGTGAGTAATAATTATAGATGTTCTGATAGAACAAACTTTATAAAAATTGGTAAGTATCACGTTAGGAAGGAAATACACTCGTTCACATAAATTTTATTGGTGTCCGTAGACAATATCAAAATTTACACTACGTATAACTTGAAATTTATGCGTTAATGAAAAAATCAAATACCAGATAATAGTTGTTCATTTTATCTAACTTATGTCAAAACTTCATGGAATTCCAAGGTACCGCAGGCAGTCCGTAGTCGTTTATATGAGCGGTATTCCAACGCGGCGTAACGGTACATAGCGGACGTGATGCGTGCATATTTTTTGGCGCGAAAAAGTGGATTTTTTAACATTCTTAATTCATGACAGCAACGTTTTGCTAACAGCTAAACTCAGGATAGTTGAATAGATGTAGAAATCTTGTTTATTTGTTTTCCTAGGATGTTCTCGATCTATTAAACATTTATAAAGGTTTTGCCAGTTTCCCCGATTTTCCCAATCTTCTGTGTGTTCATTGTTTACGTTTTGTGTACGATTTTTTTGCGGGAAAATCAAAAAATACTTATATATTCTGCGATAGAGATAAAATTTACTATTCAAGTCTTCAGAAATGTAGAATATATTTATTGTTGAATGGATTGCCAAACTTTCGTGAATTTATTGTATTGCATTGACAAAAATATTTGTCCGGCCCGTTTCAACACAGTTGAGTCATACCCGGCCCGCGGTCAAAAAAGTTTGGTGACCTCTGAAATAGGGCTACAAAACCACGACTCGCGCTAGAAAATTTTCTTTCTAGTTAAATATACTACACATTAATCATCTTGCACGTATTCGACTGGCGGTGATGGACATACGCTTTTCTTTTAAATAGGTTGAAAGCTGTAAAAAATCACGACTTGCCAGAACACTTTCTCTCTAGTTGATACTGTACGCCCTCTTCGCAGCAATGCTCCGCGTATTCGACAGAGCGACCGGCTGTGGTGGACGTTTGTGGAGTAGCCTACACTTTGGTTGTACGAAACGACCTGGTCTGCACGATTGATACTGATAGAATTCTTCCATGTCAACCGCCTATCATTTTGATATCTAAGTTGTATTTTGCACTGTTTCACGGTTTAGTAAATACTTCACGCTTTGGTGGATTTCTCTGAAAATCGTATGGATCAGAATCGTGAAATACATTGCCCAACCAAGTTCGTTATTTGTTCGAATACTCAAAGTGGCGATATGAAGCGAAAGTGACCTAATATGGAGGATTGGAGGCTACGGATATTTTTTGCTTCTGGGAGCAGATAAGCTCACTGTAGCACTGAAGACTGCATGGGGAAATAAAATAAACTGCTTTTCAAACAAAGGGAAATATTTTCCTAGTTATATTCAAATACTCACTATAGCATTGAAAACTGCATGGAAAAATAAAATACCTAGTTGACTGCGCCTTGGTGAACACAATCTAGTCGAGCAACACGGTTGTAATTCGCATATTTTTGCTTTATTGCAATAAAACAATGATTTTCATCAGGATAAAAACATTTATAAAAATTTTGGAACTGAGTTTTAAGAGTAAAAAAATCAAAACATTGCGCATCCATACGTATCCACAAATAAAATACTCTCCCCGGGAGCATAAGTTTTAAAACCACGTATATGATGACCGCACAATAAATAAAATACGAATACGACATTGATTTGAAGTCGTGGACTTCATTGACAAGTGATTTCCTCCAAGCCTGTACGCTTAAAATGGTATATTAATAATCAAAGATCGGTGAAAAACAGCAGCACGCGTGTGGAACGTAATTGCAAACTATTACGTGAAATAACGAGTGACGTCCAACGTGACGGTACAGATTTCAAATCGTGATTAAAAACTACCAGCTGAAAAATTTCACACAAGGCAGCCGGCATCAATAATAAAAAAATCTATCTACAATAAAGTGGCTCATTTATTTACAAGGCCATTTCACGCAAGCCATAATACATATGGAAAACCAAACCTTCGAACTATCGGTAATACAAATCAATACCTCGAGTTCAAGAAGCATTTTTCAAACCAAATTATTTACAACAAATGTACATATTTTCAAAACCAAGCAACATAGAATTTAAGCGTTTTTCGCTTATAAAATTTGATAGAGCTAATGGTAGCTCAATATCAAGGCACATCTATAATAAATAATTAATAAATAGCATACAGAAGCTAGACAGGCTCAAATTCTTAGTAGAAATAGTAATACGCGCATAGAAATAATAAATTTATATATATGAAAACGTAAATTGTATTTAATTAGAGGTTACTTCTTTTGAGCAATATATTCTGCTAATATTCAACGAATCGTTGCGGAATGTTACCATGGCCTCCACACATTGCCATCTTCACCATAATAACCAGTTAAATATGCGGATTCCTCTCTAACGACATGACGATATTTGAGGTTACCACCATACTTCTCTGGAACAGATTCGTCGAAAATCGCAAAGTTACCACGCTTTCTAGAATCTGCTATAGGGCTGGAGGCAGCACGAGGTGCTCCAATTGGATACATTCCAGGTAGAGACGATCTGGATATCTTTGGTTTTATTCTCAAACTCAAGTCATCATTGTTGTTGTTCGTCGCTGTCGTACCTGAAATTGCATTTAATGAAACACTGGGTATCTTGAATCAGTGTTTAAGGATATTTTACGAGGATACATGAATGAACAAAACAAATTGTCGTACAAATAACAAGTTTGATAAAACGTTGAAAGATCATCACCATACATTCTAAAATAATTGAACTAGGAATGAGAATACCCAGACCGCCACGATATGAAAAGCTTACCTGTTGACGCCGTACATGCAGAACTGTCAGTAACTTCTTCTTTCTGCTGTTTTTGCAAGTCTTTCACCATATCGGTCAATTCGTCCAACGGGAACGATATGTGCGATTTACCAGCAAGTCTCTCTTCTTCCAGGGCTTTCAGAATGTCCGAAAGGGTGTTTTCTAGAAGAAATTCAAGTTATTCTATAACAATCGATAGAGTGAAGGTATGTGGCAATTATCAACGAATGGCGTCAGTTGAAACCCAATGTTAGCAAATTTCCTAGAAACATTAAGCACTAATGAAAACAGGAGGTACTTAATTTAATTAGATAGTGATGCATTTCATGCACCGATTTCTCAATATTTCCTACCTAACACATAAGTTTATCTCATACCCTCGCAATCAGCTTTATTTTTAGCAGAAGTTGACGAGGCAGGTCCTGGAGGAAGAGGCTTTTTGAATTCACTAATTCCTTCCAGTCTTTCGAAAGCGTTTGTAGTCCTGCCTTTGGTCGGAGTAGAAGTTAGCTGAGGGGCAAAGTTACTGCTATAACGAACAGAATCCGAAGTTCTACTAACTGTGCCTAAAAATATAATGTGTAAAGTAAAATTAGAAAGAGACGTAAGTAACAGTTAAAAATCTATTAGGTTTTTTATGTTGGTTAGGCCATGTTATATAACATCATTGTGGCCTTGTTGAAAGCCCCCCAGACACCTGACCCCGGAGAATGGATCCATAACGTTACGCTATAACGTAACGCGTACGAGACTGGTGGTCTACTGAAGACTTTGCATATATCGAACATTAATCATTCCTGATTATTGCAAACTTCGAAACTTATATTCTTAGGTGACTTTTACAGTTGTTATATACCTACCCTAGAACAAAAGATACCCCGGTTACTGACGGTAAAGAAAAATCATGCAATTGATAAAGTGATACTGAACAATGAAAAACAGCGGTATACTGGGGAGAGTTTGTAATTAAAAGGTTAATTTTCTGGATACTCCGCGCGTCTGTAGCCTAACGACGCAACAGTCGGTCACGCATAATAACATTGATGAATAGAAATTTAGCCTACAGAGATCACACGCTGTGAATAACGTGCTACCCCCATATTCATATATAGTCTTACCGATTATGCTTTAATGAGTTTCGATTGTACACATGTTTCATACCTTGTGTAACAACGGTGACAGTCGTAAGAACCTCCGTGGACGATTTTTCAACCTTCATTGCGTCTTCACGCTGTTTCAGGAACGAATGATAAACTGATAGAGCATTCATTTCCGGTTGTGGAACATCTGAAAAAGTGCACCATAACTGTGAAAAGTTTTCCCATAATATTATTCAGTATAGCATGACAGCAAGCTATGTTCTAAATCGTCACCCATAACATAGCCATTGCACTTGCCATCTGATTATAATACAAAGACTAATACCTCTAATCAGATGATTCGTGCTTTATTCATATTCAACCAAACACATGGTGCTTCATCCTGTTTTTCAATCGTGGCAATAAGTGAACTATAGATTTGGTGCTATGAATCTGTGGATATCACGACTAGCGAATTCGAATTATACTAGCCATCGCACTCTTATTATTACCCTGCACCGGTTCACAGAATCGAATCCCATGGATGATAATTAGGTGCGAGGGTATTGCAGGATTCATCGTCGTCGTAGGATGGTTCACGTCATCGCTGTTCGATTATGGCCTCCTTTGCAATAAAGCACCCAAACATCTGGAACAAATAAATGGGGGCCAACTATTCCCACACCATACCCGACATTGTCCGCCATCATACCTTCCCTATCCCATCCATCAGTTCTGGAATGCCATAAATGAGTTAAGAAAATGTTACCAACTTCAAGAAAATGTTACTAACTTTTTTCGAGGCATGCTTGAGCGGTCTTCACCGTCCCTTGAGCAGCGTTTTTCAGCAATGACAAGCATCCAGCATTATTTTTTATTTTTTTGCCCTCGATAGAACGACGCTTCAGACGCTGACTGATGTTTCGCCTTCTAATAGACCTTTTCGCATCTGAAATATTCGGCACCAAGTAAATCTATATTCATTATATTTTAGATAAATACATGAGAAATGTCGTCCTCGTATTCAAGTCACGCAACTTTCTCAGTGCTAATTTTACCTTCAAATTATATGCTAATATCATAAATTTTACAGTGATCCTTACCTTTTCCCTGACTCGTATTGAGACAATACGGTGGAGTCGAATAACCGGCTGACGACGACGTCAAAATTGGACAACATCGGGACTTCCTCGCATCTGTATTTGCTGAAACATATCAATAAGTATTCGATAAAGACATCTATAAACAATTTGGGATTTGACCGAAATGGATGAAATAAATTTGATGGAAATGACGCCAGCAGCAGCGGGCTACACCATTTAAATCGTTTACGCGAATCACCTAATATTAAGTAAAATAAACAGAGTATAATACAATTACTATACAATACAGCATTGCGAAAAGTATTGTTAAAGCGTTCACTGATGTATCATCACCAAATATAGATTATATTTATATATTGAAGAACATTAGTATTAAAAATATTGGCAGTTATGAGTAGGAGTTCACAAACTTTGGCAAGTTTTAGTGATCCAGCCGAGACGGTGCTTGGTAACGTATAGCTTAATGCTTTTAATACTCAGGAAGGTAGTTTAAATTTGTACAATACCAGCCAAGCGGGGCACTCTTTTTTATTCACATAACTCCGTCGACTATTTTAGTTATTTACTAGACTAGAGCAACGCGTCAAAAATGGCCAAGTACAATTGCAGATGAATTTATTTACCCGGAGTTGATCTCTGCTGAGTCGAAGCTCTTTGAATATTCAATGAATTAACCGGGTCGTATCTCAGTCCTTTAACATTGTTATCAGCAAACGACGACACGGATGTACCAACATTGTAATAACTTTGGAAACTAAAAAATAATTCTTATACCTTTAGGAATAACTTGGAATCTAATTTAATATTTTGAGTCTGTCAAATAAATTATGTTTGTATCATAAGGTTATCTCTGGTGAATTACTATAGGGGTGCACAACATTACAAACAAATCCTAACTATTGAACATTACCAGTTAGCTTGGCCCCACGCGATTGCTCTAGCAGCATTTTCATCTTGCGGCTTGTTTTTCGGAAGGGCTCGAAATGACGATGGAGGTTGCACCTGCAAACAATAAGTTCAGGATGTACTTGCACTTCAAACCGTAACACAGAAAGCGCCGTACTTAATATTACTATAGTATAGGAATTTGTTTTTTTTATTAATTCTAAAGCCAGTTTTAAAACAATAGCTTGTTTTAAATTTTTCTTCATATTTCCTATTGAAACACCCTTTGCATCGCCCCGTAACTACGGCAAAACGACGTGTTTTAGCAGCGGAATAGTAATTTGAAAAATGTAAGAAAAAAATTTGCTTTGTCTTCCATTCTCATCGCGTAGCTTTATCGCCAAGTTAGTACCTATACCAAACTCATAAGTTAACAGCAATGCTTATTCGAGATATCAGAGAAAAGCTATAATTGAAAAATGAAAGATAAATCCTGAAATCATGGCTCACGTGCATGCTAAACACAATCAAAAGCAGGTGGATAGGAGCAGAGGAAGGGCCATAGGGGCAGCCATTACGGGCGGCAAGCTGTAGAGTTCGCGGTGGAAGAAGTTACCGATACATTTGTTGACAGTAAAGAAGCGATTGGACATGGAAATAGGTGATTTGCTTTTTGTCCATAAATGAGTTTGTATATTTCCCAAAAATATTTTTGATAAAAACTCGCCCTGGGCGGCAAAAAAGTTTGGCACGCCCATTGGTTCGGCACGCCGCCTCAATCTGGCAATACCAGTGTGTTAATACAATGGAGGATATACTTGGATGGGTTGTAACTTACGAAGGTACCTAACTACCTACGTAAGTTCAAATCCCATGACGGATGTGACAATGTGCGATTACAATGTGACAAATGTCGTCCATTATTGCGTTATAATCAAATTCTTTGTAGGAGACGCGTTTTTTTGCACTACGACGTTGTCGTCATATCGAAACTACGTTCGGCGCAAACGTTACAGATTACGTCATCGACAACTCATTTCATTCTAAGACGGATTGTTTGAAATTCAATCCAGTCTCAGCCACTCAGATGAGGCTGCAAGGAAAGGGAACGTTCGGCGCAAACGTTACAGATTGCGTCATCGACGACTCATTTCATTCTGAGACGGATTGTTTGAAATTCACTCCAGTCTCAGCCACTTTTTCGATTAGCTACAACGACATACAAATTTAAAGAGCACTGTTCAAGACAAGAAGTACCACTAAGTAGCATGCATAACAATAAATGGCTTGTAAATTTTTGACATAATCATGTTGATGGTATATCTGATGTTCATATTTGTTTTTGTTTATAATGCGGCTCTTCGCAGTAATAAAGTACGAAAGGTCGCTCTTGGTCTCTGACCGGTTGGCCACCCCTGGTCTATTCCAACACGTGGTGAAGTGCTATGACATGAACAGTGCGCTCCAGCTTGGGAAGGCGTATTCGATTAACATGTACCGGGTAACAAGTAGAAATTTTTTGAACAAATACCCAATTATATATCACAGTATTTATAGACGGTACAATCTTGGCAAAAACTGTTTGGTGTCTCTACTCTATGACTGTCGATCATTCGAATGTATATTTATTGTATTACTTACCATACGAGATCTTTTCGCTTGTGCATGAATATGTTCCGACGGAGGACACGGCGCTATTCGTTTCACTGGGATATGACGTGATTGATGATCAAGTGGAGAATTGAACATCTGAAAAAAATATGACCAAAATTACCATATAGGTAGCTCTATTTTATGAATACATCACCACGATATGGTATTTGTGATTTGTCGCCTGTATCAATTCTTTCCATGTAGGCCAGTGGTTCTCAACCTTTTACTAACCGCGTACCACTTTACTGTTTTTTACTCTGGCCGCGTACCACCAAAAAGCCCCCTTTTTGACGCGGGGAACAATGGCACAAGACACGCGCTATATATTTTATAATGTGGCACTACATCCTTAGTGACCTAATTTGCAAGGTGGACGAAAACATGACAATCTCAATTCCTTCGTGGACAATAGCAGGCGAGGGCGATCTCTAGAGACTGGACTGGCCGATAAGACGTTTCTCCGACCCTTGACCCTAGAGAAATTCTTCCTATACAAGTGGAGTCCCAGCTATTGCTGTCCAGCTATTGCAAAAAAAAATTATACTTATTTCGAGATTGTTTTGATGTGTTGGCGCTCATAAGCTGATTTACGTGTTTGAAAACCCTTATTTTTATTAAAATTAATCAACCATGTGCCGCTTACAGGCACTGATAGCTTAGTTTAGAATAGTCTATCGCAGCATTTGCGAGACTCATTTTTGATTACAGCAATTAAATTAGTGCGAAGACATGATGACATTAAGATATTTAATTCAAATTTTTTTTTGAAACGCAACTGAAAACTGACAAATAACACGCAAAACTACAAAAACGAAGCAATGTTTATTTTATTACTGATTGTTGCTGGATACGGAAGTAAACAAGGAAACTGATGCCCGGAGAAACATTCATAAAGGCCGTTTAGCGAATACATACAGTATGGAAGATAAAGCGTTGTCGGCATATTTTGGCCAACTCAAAAGTTAATTGTTGCAATAAGTTAAAGCTGCTCGCGTACCACTTGATTATCTTCCTCGTACCACAGGTTGAGAACCATTGATATAGGTCCTGAAATCAAAGCCTGATTAATCAACAATGTTATAGCCATTGTCTAGATGCCCCTGGCACCAATTTCCGTTGGCCGACAATATTCTGGACAATACTACTGCAACGACTTTGTCGACTTTAAATTGATAGGTGTGATTGGACACGACGATTGTTAAAAATGTTCAAAATGCCCCATTTTGTATGTTCAGAATTCAATATTTCAGTACTCGGGCCATTCCAAGCAAAAGTTGAATTCCATCAATTTTTCAAAAAGTGTAGTGAAAGTAATTTTTTTTATTCCTGATATCAAAAAACATTGAAATTTTATTGGACTGCATTCATTTCATCGAACAATTTAATATTTCACCCAGGTTTTTGATGGTTTATAAAAAATGGCCTGAAATGTAGAAATTTTGGTATAATTGACATATTTTGTGATAATTCTTGACACAAAGTGTTTGATTGTGTGGTACAGTTATTTCATATGAAATTGACGCACTGGATTTAAGTTAATAAAGTTTAAATGTTTGCAGTGCTGTAGGACATTTCTTCACCCATTTAACGATTTATTACCAGAATTTTAAGAGATGATAGAGGCCGCTATTTCGAAGTGGAAAAATGTCCTGTAGTGTCACGTCCTGTAGTGTCACATACAATATGCACATTATTGGCATGGATTTACAGTGTTACATTAGGTGAATTGAGTAACACATAGAGGGGTAGTTCAGCTGCTGCACCAGAAAATATTATGGGCTCCTACTGTACCATCGCAAAAATTTACAGCACAACACAACGTACTGTTAGTGCATGGTGGATTTGCCGTCCTGTAGTGTCACGCTATATTTTACTATATTTTTTTTTATCTATTAAGTAAGTCTTGGGTGTAACTTTTGTGCAATTTTTTACATATTCAATAAACCAACTGATTGGACAATGAAACAAAACATGTAGCTGAAAATGTGAAAATATATTGCATCCAACAACTTGCAAAATTTATGGAATTGTCCTGTAGTGTCACTTGGAATAGCCCACTCTATCAAGTTGTAGAGTCGGTAGCCGTAAACGAAATCCATATCCCACAATCGTATCGATCCTACTAATTTGCTACCGTTAACTTTGCACTTGAGCGTGGTATTTAAATCTCGCTTTGACAAGATTGTCCCAGCTATGTCAGCAGAGTAAGATTACTGCTGGTTAGAACAAGGCAATTTCCGATGAAATACTTGGCCTGGTAAATAACGAAATAAAGTTCAAAAAATACTTACAGTGGTTCCACGGTTAAAGTACGATGTAGTCATCTTCAGAACGAAAAGATATATCCTCTTCACAGTTTGGTTCAAAATATAATATCATATATATATACAGCAGAAAGGTAGCTTTATAAAACCTCAATAACGAAAACGATAAACAGTATTAGCGTACAAGAGGCAGGTTTGGGGTTTCTAAACGTGGCGCAAGCGATTCCGGAACGTTTGCCTCAGCAACTGTCGGAGGCAATCAAATGATTACATGTTTATTATACAATCGGTGTGTGTTTGTTTGTAAACAAATAGTGCTGCCGTAATCACTATTGTCTGAAATACGAATTTGACGTATTGTTGGCCTGGTGCAAAAACCTTCGTCGTTAAAAGCACAATAAGTATATTTGCTTATATTCATTATGCATATTACATGTAGTGATGGTAAAATTGGCGTAGTTTGAATGGTTTCGCGCCAAGTAGACCTATGGTTCAAAAAGACCCTGTTTCTGATCTGACAACTCGAATGAGACATATCAGGTATAAATTGAACTATAGTAATGAATCAGTCGACCAGACAAATTTGGCGAAATATTGATGGTTATATATTAATTTTGGGTGTATAAATGTATTATGAGCCTTTTCCATCGAAAAAGTCATTGAATGGTACAGTGGCTTACTTGGATGGTACTAGTACCGAAAACAAAACTAGTAATCGCCCTCGTTTCCTTTTTTGAAATATCTCTTTTAAAACTCATAATATTTAAGATAAATCCCACTCTTTACACTCGCTCCAACCACTTGACAGCCTTCAGGTTCAGATAAATCATTTTATCGTCTTATCGAGCAACATAGTTTTCCTGAACTGTGAAGTCCATGAGAACATTTTTATACTTTTGAAACCAGCACGTTTTTATTCATTTCTCGTAACAAAAAGGCATGGCAATGGGCTCAAATACTTCTTGTCATTCTCAACATATTCACGATGATGCATGACGCACCATACTCCGCGTACGGCACGCGGGCCAAATTTGGCCCGTTGGGTAATTTAATCTGGCCCTCTTGATGCTGCCACAACCAAATTGAATTCAAATTGAGATGTTTTAGCTAAAAATAGATCGAGGGATTTGCTGAGATTGCGATTAAATTTAGTTTTGGCACGAAGCATATTGTTTTTTTCACCTTTGCTTTGTGACACTATAAATATTGTTTATAAAATCTAGCGTTTTATGTCACACTTACTTAGCCCGCCAGTTTAGGTGGCCGACATTTTTGGCCCCTGGTTCAAAAACCTTGCCCATCACAGGTTTGTAAGAATGAAGTATTGGTATGGACGAACAGATGACCTAGAAGTATACCACTTTACCCGAACTTCATTAATTTCATAAGTCGAATCTACAAATGATATAATTCGCATGCCACTACATAATATTTATGTCCTTTCCATAATATACATATTCACTCTTCTACTTCAACAACTAGGAAAAATTTAATGCAAAAGGTAAAGAAGCAAATAAACACACAATATAGATTAATAATTCTAAGAAATAGTACGTCATAATCCTTCATCAAGGTATTTATATTTACTGTATTTTAAAGGCACGTTATCCCAATTACAATTGCTTGTACTTCCTTTCAAAATAATGTTTTATAGCGGATAACGTGATACAGAATGTGAAAATAGGAATTGTACAGACGGAGAAGTTTTCTCTTTATGTAATATAAGATGATGTGCTGTTAAACTAAGTTCAGTGAAAAAGGTTTTCATTGATTCCAGTGACTCGAAGAAATAATTACATTTGGAGCTTATATTTTTAACCAGCACACTCAAAATCCTACCTGATATTTAAAATTCTATTTAAGATTATGTCCCAGTTTTACTTTGGGTTGCCATCACTAGAAGGAATTTGTTATGATGAATTTGATATATAAATGACAACATTGAACCAAATCACTGAAAGTAGAAAAGTAATCGGAAAAGATAGTCTGTTCAAAAAGAATGTAACTGTGGACGCGCTGTTTCCAAGAAGTCCTTTTCTTTGTAAGTGTATAAGTCCTGCGACGGAAGATTGGAAGCCAGCATTTGTATCCAGGCTCACTGCTGTGTGTTTTCTCTGCATCCTTTTGTCTACATACACGTCTTTGGAATCAGGCCCTGCTACCACGGCTCCGACTAACAGCTAAAATTAAAATATGAATTGATGAGAAATAATTCGACTGTAAAATTATAATGTGACATTGCATCTTCTTTTGGTGGTTTCTACAAAATGCAGCATTGTGAGTGTATTCATTAACGGAAGGAGTAAATTAATCGAAATTGCAAATATATACTTTTAACAAAATTATTAGGATATACCTGCTGGTTGGGTGTTCCAGTTTTCATGTAAGAGAAACCGCATGGAAGTGGAACACGAGGACACGAGCTTGCTCTGAAAATACAAATATTTCAATGAATGTTTTAAAACCTCAAAAATATATGAATTATGGCAGCATATAGTGTTGGATATATCACAGAAAACCGAGGAAACTCAAGTAATTCTGTTTAGAACCCAACCAACTCCATCATAGAAGTATTCGACTTTTCTTTAACTAAATGGGACATTTTTTCTGATTACTAATAGAGATTTATGCACTTACTTATGATACGGTTGCTGTGGAAAGTTATCTCCATATCCAACTTGATATCCTTGACCAGAAGATCCTAAAATGTAGTTGATTTGATCACGTGCAAAGAATTTCCATGACGACGAATCCGGATGACCTTCGAATTTTTCACTCGCAAGTAGTAGAATAAATGCAACATTGGCTGAAACAAGATGAAATTGCAAAATAAAAGAAAGTACATGAATATGTTTATTTTGCTATGAGACAAGTAAGACCAACATACTGGTTAGCGCCAATAGCAGAGTGAGAAAAATTGTTGGTCAAATATCTTCTTCGTAGGAATTATTTGATTTTGAAGACAGTCTAACAAACTGTAGCTTTTGTAACCATTGTAAAAAATAATAACCTCATTGATTGAAATCATATAAACACTGTTTTCCCATTGGCTGTGTACGTACATTACCAAAATGGTTGTATTAGTATATTAATTGGCTGTATATGCATATTTAGTTGGCGCTATATGTATTTTTTTGGCTGTATATGTATATCATGTTACTAACCACACTTGTTTTTCCAACAAAATGTATGCAGAGGCAATGTAAAAATACCAAGCAACAAACCTGCGTGCTTTGTCGGTGGCGACATTTGGTAGAACAATCCTTTTGGCGTCTTTTTGGCTTTATTGACAACCCAGTTACAAAATTTCACGAGTTGTTCAGGATCTTGAGTTTGTTCCGCCATGAATAGATGAAGAGCAGCCTGTGGTTGTAAAATATCATAACTTGCTTATTTCAAATATTTGGGAAATTTGCAATATTTCTAATGTAAAGAAAATCCTTTGATTTAGACCGAACAAACAAACTGAGAAAATTAGGAAAACATGTATTTTTGTCTTTTAGTAGTTTCTGTCTTTTTATTGAAATACTTAGGTGAATACGGCTTCGAACTATGATAATAAAACCAGTTCGAAAAGCATCCTTTTTGTGATTTTTTCAATTGATTTATTTTTAATTTTCAGCATTCGACCTTCTGTCTTAAAACCATTGGCAAATTTTAATGTATATATGTTTCATGCTGGTAGTTACGTCTCCACGTCTATTCAGTTTTATTACTATTTGTGATTTGTATTTGAGAATGCAAAAGGGAGACGATGGTTTGCTGATTGAAGTTTCATAAAGCATTCGTAACAGTTAAAAAGGAAACAAACCGTTTTATCATCATATGAGAACGTCTTCGGGGTCTTTAATAGATGATTATTGTAGATTGTTTTTGCACTATTGAGATACTGAGTGTCGCCTGTAGCTTTGTAAATCCACATTGCAGCCCATGCCAACTCGTCGTGATATCCAGTCGAACTGATAATATTAATAAAATGTTGAATGAGTAACAAATAAATTCTGGATCATATTTTACTTTCCTATTCAACAATTTAGTGTTCACGGACCCTTTTGTATTCAGATTTTTAGAAAACATGTCCTAGAACAGTGTTGCTCAAAATGGGTCCTTGACTCTTCTGGGGGTCACATAGAGGTTCTTCGTGCCACACAAACAAAGGCCTTTATTGGTTACCATTTACGATCACTACATTAATTTAAAGTAAATGTATTTTTTATTTGTTGAATGTAGTACATTTAGGTCTTTTTCTTTCGTTCGTTGGATTTTTTTTTATTGGAGATTACACATAAAATACGTGATGGAAACGCCTTAGAAGTAAAACTAGGTGTATTTGTAGAAAATCAGGGGCCACAAGTGTTGAGAATCTTCAGAGCGTAGCCACGGATTGTAAAAAGACTGCCCTAGAATTAGTGCATACTTTGAATTTAACGAAAAAAACAACCTATGAGCATAGTTATGTTCCTGTATAATTATACAAATTGTAAAAGTGCGACATTTCACAAGTTCATTGGAAACACTGAAATCTATCGGCAAAGTATCACCCCACAATATTAAAATATAGCAATTGATGTATGCATATTTGAAGGTATTTCGATATATCAAAATTATGTAATTATTTATATGTAGCCATTTATATTGCAAGGCTAGTGCGATGTATTGCTATTTTAGTTTAATTCAAGAAGTGAGCGACAAGAAGAATTATGAAGTTCTTGCATTAGATTAGGTATTAAAGAACTTAGGTCTGGGGTAAAATGATGATTACTGGGCCATGATGCATTTACTGAAATGTATTACTGATACAGATTTGTATTCAGTATATATAATTATATATATATATATATATATATATATACGCACTTGTAAGTACTGATGGAGTTAGGCTGAAATTTGGTGTAAATTCCTTCATAAGTATCAGCAAATGAATAGAGCAATTTCGCTCGGTCGAGCAGTTGTTTGCGATAATCTGAATCTGTAATTTAAAATAAAAATATTAAAAATCGAGTTAAGGTTATGCACTAAGCAACCAAAATCACTAATATAAGCGAATAAAGTGTTGTTAATGTAATTTACAGTTTACATACTATAATATTATTATTCTTTTTAAAACAAAACAAAAATTCAGGCATGAAACTATGAATTATAAACTTACAAGTTAACAACTAACATAAATAAATAACGCTAATCAAGTTTGTGACCAGCTGTTCAGCAAATATGATGTCTAGAGACTTTAAAATTGGGAACCGACAACAAAAATCGTCTGCTTGATGTAGTACAGTGGTTCTCAACCGTCGATCCGCGTCAACTTTTCTGTCGGTCCGCCAAATATATTCCAATTTATATCTCAATTGCAAAATGCAAGGCAATGCTGGCCTGCCCATTTATTTTGTGCGTTTTAACTCTTATTGATTGAAGTCCTACGCCCATTCAAGCCTTGAATGGCTGGATGTTTCGTAATGTCCACAACATCATAACAGCGAACATCATTACAGATGAGTTCGAGGGCACGTAGTAGTCTACTTGCCTTGTTTAATTTTAAACGGATTGGAAAGCTCGCACATTCGATAATTCGACAGTATAATTTAGGGAAACCTTCGGATTGTTAAGTCTTTTGCAACGACTATTACATCGTACAATCTCAACGCTGTTGTGAAACCATCGATGATCAAGCTTCTCCGCGATACCACTTCGATGTCGAAGCATAAACTTTGCCATTGTCACAGTTTTGGATATCGCTTGAAAACGGATATCCTGAGCTCAGTGACAAAGCCACTAAATTACTGCTGATTTTTTGTACAACTTACTTATGTGAGAAAAGCTTTTCATCTTTATTTCTCATCAAGACCAAACGGAGAAATCGTGTGGATGTCAACGCTCCACTTTGCCTTGCAAAAACTACATTAAATCCGCTTTCGACACATATGATATCAGAAAGACAGCATTAAATTTCTCATGAAATTGAATTGACTGCTTTTGAATTGCATACTTTTGTCGCAATTACATTTGTTTTAATTATGCTATGACATTTTGCGTTGCCACGCCGCCCCGCCAAATTAGTTTTGAAATTGTACCGGTCCGTAAACTAAGAAAGTTAAGAACCACTGAGGCACTGAGTAGTAATATTCATTGTTCAATAAATGAACTTATTTAGTTAGTTTTAAAATTACTCACCAATCAAATCTTCAAATGCCAAAGAAACTGCAGCAAAAGCAGCTGCCATTTCGCTTACAACATCTGCACCTGGAGTTTTATCAGTAATCGTTTGTACCGGCCTTTTTGTTGTATCATTGATATACTCTGGCCTGTCCCAAGTCATTGTTTCGAAATATTGATCTCCCACTTGAGATACAATAGTAGTTCTAAAATGAATCAAAAATTATAAAATTACAGGCCATTTTAGTTGTTTGTATGTGAGTTGAGATGGTTCAAAACTACAAACTCGTCGATAATTGAGTCCAAGCCAAAGAAGAAAACTTTGTACATTTAGTGATAGCCCAATCATATTGGATTAAAACACCAAATGATAAGTACATTAAAAACGATGTGTGGACGGTTTATTATCAAAGTTTGACTTTCTAATTTAAAAAAAACTTGAATTAGAAGAATGTAGGCAACAGCAGACTAAGCATACAATTCAGCGTCATAATCTTTGCTTGTGAATCAGTGTTTAAAACAACAGCAACTTCAAAACGGAGACCGAAGACTTATCGATCGAAAGTTAGGGTATCCCCCAAAACAGAAACTGCGTTTTCGATTCATCCTATCTTACCCCATAGCGACACCGTGTATCCCATCACTAATTAATTGATAACTCGCTAATTATACGACATAAGTCATCCAAAATCAAAAGGCTTCTGGTCCGAGATATGATGAATGCACATGCAAAACCAGATTGGAGCAGATTCAACCTCGTTTTCGTGAGATATCGCGTAACATACGAAAGTTTCTAACAGACAAGCAGACAGACAAACAAACAAATAGCTATCAACATACTTACCGATCGAGATCGATGAGTAACAACAATATTAGTTACTATATAATGTATACTTACTCTGAAATGTGACACTTCATTAAATAGTCAGTTCCCCACTTGATACCACCCAGGACATCGAACAATCTACCAGTTGTATTGTATGCATCGGAATATTCAATCGCACCCCAAGATAGTGTTGTGATCGTAAATGCAAGTGGAAATGTATATTTCACGTAATCACCGCCTAAAATGTAACATGACGATAATAATTATACAGTCATTTGCATATAAAACACATGCCTGTTATTGATATATATATATGTTTTTATTTAATGTTTTGCCGAGTATTTTTATTGCGGAAAAATGCATGATATTATTTATTAGTTTTCTTGCTAACCCCTTTCACCAAACAGAGACACACGGGCTAACTTTATGTGCCAGTTGACCTATGTTGCTATAGTTTCCAATTAACTTTGTCGCTGGATTTATTTATTATTTTATTGAATGCGTAAAGTTACTTCACAAGCCATATTCAAAAAACTCGGATTATGCCACACAATTTTGACATATATAATGGAAAACAAATGCCTACCGTCGTAATATCCCCCAACAAGATCTTGCATTATTGCTGTCCCATCATAAACAGCAGAATCTGATCTCCATGGTATTCTTCGATCAACTTCTAAATATCCAGATCTGTGGAAATTTTAAAATAAATAGTGTGATTCAGAAAAGTGATCCCTTAATTTTGAGAAATCATTTGAGTTACATTGCCAAAACCATTACAAAAAATTCTTGCTATTACTCGTTTAAGTGTATCATGGTCGATAGCATTGTTTTAAAATCTGCCTTATATGATTCATCTCAATACTATGAACTTTTGAGGGTACTCCCGTAGTGTGTGTACCAGGTTAGGGTTAGGACATAATTTTATTCCGATTTTCCTTGTTTTAGTTCTATTACGAGTTCAGGGCTGTCTGTGTTACCCAAGTGAATATACTCATATTGGTGTCGTATAAACTATATATATATGTCGTATAAACTCATATATATATATATTCATAGGCTTCGGTCCTTTTACACAACTTGATGTAAGAGGGGCGAACAAAACCAGTTACCTACATATTGGTACACATACTTCTGGAGCGCTCTTTTGAGAGAATACAACTTCATGCAACGGTCATGGATAGGTTTTGATAATTGTAAAAGTATCGATGTGTATGCGGATGTGTAAACCAGAGAGGACGGGGTTAGCGCTAGGAACTGATTCTATGAAAATGAGATTAAACGCATAAAGTGGTACTACAATTGGGACCACTTCGACATCTAATTGAGATCGCTTTAATCAAGTGAGCTCACGTATCAAAGTGCTTTATGACGCTGAGATCATACCGAACTGGCACAAACGTATCATTCAAACCTCTGCCTTTTTGTTTGGTTTTATATCACGGAATATATTTGTATATTTTACCTTTGTGCTTCATAGAATAATATGGAGTTGTATAACGCTTTAGGATAATCATAAACTATTTCTCCGTCTCCTTCTTTTTCTTCAGAATCCTCTTCTTCGTCCATTGTATCTGAAATCAAGAAATCATAATAAATATTTTGAACATGAACTGAATTTAGTATGTTAATAATATAATAAAAAGAGTGCTGGGATGTAAATATATTTGGATACAAAAAAGCTCTCAAATGTTTCAAACAAGGAATCCATATAGCACATCCACACGCAAAAACGTTTAAAATGGTAGCTAAGATAGCGTTAGGATCACTTGATGTAATGTCTGTGAAACAATATATTAAACAGGTATAAGCGTCCGACGTGAAGTGGCAAACAGGAGTTGCACATCTACCTAGTTGTTAGTAAACAAACAGTGTTCGCTCTAAAATAGTGCGTTGTAGGGTCAGCTGTACCGTCCAAGTGAACAACGATATTGGCGTAGTTTTGAAGCAATATTTCGAAAAAATTAAAATTATGTATATTTTCACCTTTTTATTGAAAACATCAAATATTACCATCGACTTACCATTTGCTGTTGAAATTCGCCCTGGTTTATCTAGTTTCGGTCGATTATGTAACCCAAATACATGGATGTCCAAAACAGCAGCAAGCGCTGACTGGTATCTTTAAAATAAACAACAAAGTAAAGTTAGAAATGATGAAATGAAAATTTACAACCGTGGCCTCAAAGAAAAAATTAATGTAAACGAATTTATCGTTCATATTGTATTGAATTTCTTGTGAATTCACAGTGAATTGTGTACTTGTGTCCGCACAGACCAAGATGTGAATATGCTAAAATTTGTTCATATCATACCCGGCGTTATAATCCATCGCAACGCTACTTTGTTCCCGCTTTTCGATTGAGTTGTAAAAAGTATCGGCTTCGCTTGGTCCCCCGACCAATGCTCCATACAATACATGACTGAAATGAAAAGCAGAAGGTTTGAAAATATTTTGTTCCATTCTTACCCGATCACAACATCAATCAGAATTAGCTTTGAGATTATTTTGAGTAATCTACTTACGCATTATCAAAGTTAGCGGAGAATGCGGGGCATGGAGCTGGAGGACTTGGGCAATAACTTCCTTCATGGAAATACTTTGTGGGAGAATTTTCTCCGAAACCAACAACGTAGCTTCTTCCGGTTGATCCAAGAATATATCCGATTTGCTTCAGAGCAAATAGCCTAAAAAATAGAATTTGCTCATAGAGTTTGAGTTTTCAAATTGAAAAAAATAAATGACAACTCCGGTCATTTATTGCCTCCATCTTTTCTATATAATTGAAGTCAGTTAGCACAGTAGATGGAAGCTTTTTACGTAAAATTCCCACAAAACATACCTGTATTGCTCAGAGTTTATACCCATTTCTGCAGCCAATGAACAAATAAACGCAGCATTAGCAGCATATCGCAACGGTCCCCATTCTGCGACAAACAAAAGTCCCATCTGGGTGTGAGTAGATTTTCCCCCGGGCAGACACCATTGACAGAATCTAAAATGCAATAATATAAATATACAAAATGTGAAGGTAAGTCAAATATTCCTTTGGAAATTTTTCTTTCTGTTTCCCAAATTAAATTTACAACACTTACGCTCTGACTTGAGTTTTGTAAATTTCCTTTTTCGTCATTTCAGCCAACAGCATCTGGACTCCAACTTTTTTGTCGTCCCAGGAGAACATAATTGCCTGAAAGAAGGGAATTTATTATTATTATTATAATTATATATATATATATACCATAAGCACATATTATAACGTACGTACACAAATATTGATAACGTACGTTCAAACATATGCAGGTGAAAATGACAAGAAAACGCTTTAGTATAAATTCCCTATATTTAAATTAATAGGGCCAAACGTAACGTATCATTTATGAAAAAATTTACATTATAGTTTAGTTTGAGCATTGTAGTGCAGTGGAAGTGAGTTGTCAGGTATTTATCATATATGAAAGCCATCTATTCTACTCCTTCCTCAAAATAATTTGAGGCATATCATTCAGAAATTTACAATGTATTATTTGAGGCATATAAACCACTTTTAATTTCAAAAAATTACCTGGCTGTTCAATTTTGCTGATTTATATATTCTCTTAGCTTCTCTTAAAAATGCATTATCTCCTGTCCTTCGATAAATCCACGCTGCCGCCCATGCAAGTTCATCTTTGTAACCGCTATGAGATCTAAATATAAATGGAAATGTCTAAAATTGTTTTCCTCTCATTTTGGAGTTTTGTTTTGCATTGAGTGAGGTGATCTGGGGCAGCGCGACTATTTGACTATTAAAGCATATATAGATCATCCGTGACATTGACCTATACCTATAGATCCAGCAAAGCTATATAGAAGTTAATACTGGAACAATATTGTTTTCTCTTTGTCATCCCGCATGGATTTTCGTTTTAGACTAGCAGTGGGAATACCACCATTTGAATTTTATCCGCAAGATGTGGGATTTAAATTTGTGCCACGGTTCAAGTTTTGTGTAAGATAAATTGGAAGTGGTGAAACAATGAAGAGAAGTATTTGGAAATAGGTTACTAGTCTAATTTGTTCTAGCAACCAAATTAAAACAACTCTTCGCCGACTTGCAAAATTGCAGTTCACGTAATGGCTTATCGGTTTCGTCTTTCTCCGCCAATCACGTTTGCGGACGCATTGCGCTACAACTTGAGATGGCGTGTATGGGCAAGTCATCGATATTTGCGGCGTTTTAAATGCAAATAAAAGCGATTGACAAGTTTTTACATTCATTTTTCTTGTTTTAGTTTTAGCCTATTTAATACAAAAATAAAAATCAAGTAATACAGCCATATTGAACAAAACAGACAATGAAAAACTTGATTTTAAAACAATTCTTTTTGAACAAATCACTATTTAGAGGAAATAAAATACGAAACTAATATGCGAAAAAAATTTCCTAAAAGCTGAACGTTGTCAGTATCATGAGGTGTTAATGGGACAATGGAAATAAAAAAAAATCTAGTTTTCTTTCTGGGTATAACAAACCTGTATGCGGCTTCTGCTGGTTTGATATAGTCGTGATATTTTCCTCTGTAACCTCCGGCAAAGTCATAAAGCTCTTTTGCATTTTTAATTAAAACATCTGAATAAGCTCTGTCAGTTTCGTAAAACACAATTGACGCGGCTGCCAATGCAGCGGCTGTTTCTCCTATCAGATCACTACCTGAAAACAGCAAAATAATAATTTAAAAAAATATGTAAATGAATTTTAGTAAATTTCGTATATGGTTCGCCCAAAAACGTATATGTATATGTGTAATCTGGAATTTGTCTCTTTGTAGACCCGAAGTTATGAAAAACAGAATGTTATTTAATTTCTATCCATACGTCACAATGGGTAATCTTCTCTAGGAATAAAATTGAAATTTTTGAAAACCTGCTGTTTACCTGGTTTTGTTTCAGTCAGAACATAAGATTTTCTTTTATAGTTCATTCGTTCTGGTGTTCCAATATATCTCATATCACTGCTTTGATCGCTAACCTAAAATGAATACGATGTTATTCAATTTCAAATCTCACATAGAATAAATCAGTAAGAATAAGTTAGGAAGTTTGGTTGAAATCGGATCATCATTTTGGATATTACTTTACGTACTACCAGGATTTTGGAGTATCATATACGTATTTAAAACTGAAGAACCTATATTTTTAGTTCCACCCAAGTTTTATGTGATATAGTACGAGTATATATCGATAGCTTGAAAAAACCTTCGACCACAACAACACGAGAAATTCTTCAATTACATTTTAATGGGTTCATTATCAATATATGATCAATTTGACTCATATAATGTTTTCAACGAATTCAGACTTTATATCATTTTGTGTAGATGAAAAATGTCAAAAATTATTTAATATTTAAATCTTATTTTTTCGGTAAAAATCCACAAAAAAATATATTTCATGCGTTTGAAATTTAAGCAAGCGTGAATAATGTTCTGAAGTGTGGTGTACGTACTTGACCGTAAAATTCTGTTGGTCCAACGCTGCACTTCAGAAAGTAATCCGTGGCCCATCGAATAGTTTTGAGAGCATGATCGAGCTGGCCTATTGCCTCGTAGGTTCTTCTGTAACGAATGATTCCCCAAGAAAGGATTGTGGTCGTGTATGCCATCGGGAAGCCGTATTTGATGTATCCTCCGCCTGTGGATAAAAACCAATAATTTCTTAGTTCAAATAAAGTGGCAGAGAAAGTAAAATTCAATAAAAAAAATTTAAAAACTGATTTCATAAAATAAGAATAGAAACTCTTGGTCAGACCGGCGCACAACAGTATTATTTCCCCCTTATTCGCACATTTTTCGAAAGTTGCGGCATTCTTCTGCATGTAATTTGATTTATGGCTAATTTACGATAAAAACATTTTTAACTGTGCTTAATACTATTTATTTTAAACGTACATTCAAACGTACATTATACAAAACGCATATAACACCTATTATGTTAATAAAACGCAAGAAAAAGGTTACGATTTGAGATAGATTGACCAAGTAATTATTTATCCGTTCGAAAGCGAAACGCACGTCACAAGTAAAAAGCATGTGTCGAGAGAAACAAATTTTTATAATTTTACGCCATTTGTGACATGATGCTTTAATTATACGGTTAATCTTAGTAGTAATCAAATAGGGAACCGCCAATTTGTCACACAATATTCAATTAAGTTAATTCCCAGACCGTGACGTTAAACATGTTTTACAGTCCGATTTTAAGAACTGTTTCATGTTAATCGGTGCGGTTTCGTTTAGTCAACGTACCCTTTAGTTAGCATTATATGTATACGGGTGGCCCAAGAGTAGATGGTGGCCCAAAAGTAGGTATATATACAGTTATTAAACTATTTTATATGCTTTGAAGCTACTTGCAGTTCACTTTATGTTACTTGTTAAGTACCACAAAAATTGCTTATTTTTTTAGATAATAAACCTGGTGTGAATTTTACATTAGTTTTCTAGCTGCTTGGAAGGTGATAAAAAATAAATGAAATAGCTGTATACCTACTTTTGGGCCACCCTGTTAGAGCATTGTAATCGTCTGATTTTGAATATATTCTTTGAGCAAGCTATAAGTTTAGAATGATAAAATTGGATTTGAATTCGTGAACTGATCATTCTTGATTCGAAAGCTGGAAACCTTTTATGACATTTACTCAGTCTCATCTTCTCAATGTCAGTAAAGATTATAATTTATAATGCTACTTTGACTAGGAAAGATCTTGAGCCATCTATTTCTCTTGTTCCCTAGTCCCATTAGCTATTTGCACGGTTGGCGTTTTTATAAACAATGTTTTCTTTTTCGTTGTTGGCGAAGAGTTACGTTTATACAAATGTATTATTCCTGTATATAGTTTCACTTTGAGACTACATTAAAAAAAATTTTCTCACCATCGTAATATCCTCCAGTTAAATCATATCCGACATCCGCCCCGTCATTAAGGGCAGAATCACCTCTCCAAGGAATTCTGTGATCATACGGCAATTCTCCAGATCTCTGAGCTTCGTAGAATAGCATTGATTTGGCAATGGCGTTGGCGTAGTCATAACTGAAAAAAGAGGTGACATTTATGACTCGTTGCTATGCGCTTTCAATCGTACAACAAGATATGACCGAATAACGAAAATAGTTGCTTAGTAGATCCGCATTGGCGCTATATCATATTTGCATTACATAGCGTGCAGAAACAACCACAGAACAAATACCGGGGAAATGAATATAAGCGCATTTCTTGCAATCGTTATTCTAAAATTCTTTTTTTTTCTCACGCGTAAAGGTTTTCAAACGGGATACGCGTATACTGTCAAGATATGCATATATGGTCGATCGATAGGTTTGTATGTCAGTCTAACATTCGTTCACTGCCGAGGGTTTTATATATACATTCAATGTATGTTGCGTGCTCTTTGTGTAAGCATTAAACCGCCGTAATAAAATTTCACGAAAAAGTTGTAGAATCTTTTTTCAATCCATTCAATGTTTACACTGTGTTGCTCATCCGAATATTGCCATATAGCCTCTGGCGTTCCAAACATGCTGCTGATAATATTCATCAGCTTCGATTATACCTAGGATTACAGACGACATAGGATTTGAACAATTTCAATCGAGCTTCAGCAACAATATAAATTAAACAACAATACAAAGTCGAAACCGCAGCCAGCAAACGCCCGATTTTCCAGCGAAGATCCCATGCTTTCCTACATTGAAATCCTTTGCAGTCCTAATGATTAAATGTCTCTCTAGCGCGTACTTTTCAACCTTTTTAGCGGTGCTGAACCTCGATGAAACATTTCAAAGGTTTACATTTATTAATATAGACTCTAAGATTTGAACAGGAACTAGCGGAACCCCTGAACTGTACTTATGGAACCCCGTGGCGCCGCGGAATCCTCGTTGAAAACCACTGCCCTATCGTCAAAACTGGATTATAATATCAATGATTACAATGATATGAATATTTATACGAAATTTCAAAACAAACGTGTACACAGGCTGTTATTTCAAATACTGAACGCGACAAACAAACCCGAAGAATTATTCACTGAAGTAGGCCAAATATGGCAACATGTTCCGATACATATAACGTTTAAACAAAACTATATTGTTTGCTGATTTCAAACTCATACCCATCGTTAATTCGCAGTTTAATTCCTGTGTAAACGACTCTGCAGAAGATAAAATAACTTACGGTGGTTGGTGGTGATACTTGATTGTAGGGAATTCAATATCATGATAAGGACGACGACGTTGTGGGGGACCACGTGGTGGTATTCCCCCGGTGTCTTCCTCACCCTCACCTGGTGCTGTTGCTCCCCAAGGTGGACCGAGATGTTCTAAATACAGAAGGGATGCGTCCAATGAGAAGGTATTGCAGCAACCGTGATTCTAATCAGTACCGATGTTAGTTCTTTGTAAGTCATAAACTTGCGATAGCAACTTATATTTTTTTATTACTGCATCTTTCGGCGTTTGTGGGTAGGATGTTTCAAATATGTATCGCATTAATCAGGAGGGACTACAGTTTTATAATTTAGGTAATCTTTACATGCATATTTATCTAATTATAATATTTTATTCTTTTAATTTAAAAGTTAATATTAGTTCAACACTGAGAAAGCACTATATTTCTATTTGACTGCAATTATATCATTTCAACTTTTACAAAATTAAATTATGCACCGAATTTGACATAATAGAAAACTCTGTAACGATTGATTTGAATAGTGGAGAGAAATATGTCAGATATACCTGCGTCAAAAAAAAATAGAAAGCTAATACAACCAGCTTTTCAATCATGTCAGGACGTTAAAATCGGGTGGTTAGATTGCGTATTGATGCTTTATAAGCATTGCTGTAGCGGCAGCAATCCAGTTTAACGATTGTATTTTTAGATCAAATGCCTTAGGAAATAATAACACACCCGGAGGCACTCTTGGTGCACCAACTGTATTTCCACTTGGTGCCCAATTAGGAGGTGCTCCCGGTATTGAAGAACTCGGCGTCCAACGCGGTGAGGTGTTTACATTTTCCGTTGGTTGAACCGGAGGTGATGTGTTTCCATGTGGTCGCCATCCGGGTGGTGCTCCAGGCCAAACTGGTGGACCCAAGTCTCCACCTCCTGTACGTATCAAAATTACGTTTTATCGACGAAAAACTATTCTTTTTATTTAAAGGAAATTGATTCAAAACGAGATCGCGCGTTCCCACTAAGAAGTAATCATATTTACTTACTTTGTTTGGATATACACATTAAATATTTAGGAAAACAGTGATACTTTGTGCAGAACGATTATTTCGCAACTCAACCTGCAGATGTTATGTCTATATCAAAATTCGCACATATAACGGATTCCCTTTCACAAAACGCATTGATGATTTTTGTCGACTTTTATATGACAACTTTTGTTAAAATCGTCATATTTGTAGTCGAGTTGGAAAAAATTGTCTGTGACAGTTCATCTGACGATGTTACATCAAAAATAACGAGCAGTAATTGGATGAAAACTTTATTAAATTTAGTTTCATGTTATTCCCGTGTTCCTGGGCAGTAAGCATCTTCAGATACATATCCCGTCACGTCATGTATAAAACATATATACTTCTTTGCCTAGTTTAAAAAATCGAAACTATTTTATATCAATATATATATATGTCAATTATATTTACCTGTATTGACTGGAGGATTTTGCTGTGATCTGGATAAAGTTAGAACACTCATAAGAATAGTATATTGGTGAAATCTGATCATCATTGTGCACTTGTGACAGATGTTAACTTTTACAGTAAATTGTTAGCCTGATAAAAATATGATAAAAGCATTATAGCAACATATATTAATAATATTATAGCGAAATGAATAGTTAACGAAGCAATCTTTAGATGATTGAAGACACTTCATGGACAGATAATATGAATGGACAGTACAGATTAATTCTACATATATATTAAATGTTGCATTGAAGGAAGTAGACTGTTTTTCCAGTCGCGTCTATGTTTCTGCTTTTTGATTGACAGACTGACTGCTTGTGTGTAATTATATTCATGGCAAATCTAAAAATTCTACACATTTTTCTCATTGAACTCAGGCTTTATCATACTACAGTCAACATTACTGACGACTTATCATATACACTCACATGCCCCATTCCTAACTCGGAGTTACTGTAATGTCCAGAATCGAGATAAACATTATTTCTGATCCTCATCTTCTACGCACACTTACGGTAGCTCCATGTAATTTTTTATGGGAACCTGAATGTGCGAATGGAACCGGTTAGAGAAGGCGGTACGGCATAACGCGCGTTCAAACTATGCCTGGAGGCGTTTTAACTATCAGATAACTAACGCCCGATTCGGCGTTCTTCAAGTCAATCTGATATCTTCCCCAATTATTGAATTATTCTCAAAATCGTAAAATTTAGTTATGAGTAAGTGAAATCATCGTGCAAATGATTTGATAATGCTAATAAAAATGCTCATAATTTTAACGGATACACCGAGTTACTTTATTCGTTGATGTCAGATTTCATCCATAACAAAGCACGTGTATAAGTAATCGAATTTAAATGGACTAATTTTTTAAAGTATTCACTGTATAAACCGGACTTGTTCCGGCGTGTTGCATGTCCACCCCAGACCTGACAAATGTCGCAAATCTAAGAAGCTGCTTTTATAGAATCGTGTTCGGAAAGGAAACATAGAACGAGTGATCTTGAAACACTGTGTGTGTCACGTTTATTCATAACCGTTACGATTTTAATGCTAACATCGAAATTCTAGGTATATATACTGCGTTTATTAAATATCTTTTTAAAATCATAAAATAATATTTTGCATTTAAAACAACGGTATGTGGTTTAAAATCTTTCTAATTTTTCAAAAAGGTGAAATTTAACGACCATATTTAAAAGTATTGTACACAGACGTTGACAGTGTCGAAAAAATAATGACAAAATCTATAAAATGCATTGCTTAATAATTATCTTCTATCAAGTATGGCCATATATCTACTCTGTCTCAAATTTAATCACGTTGACAATAGTATGCATGAAAAATGTATGTTCCCTGCGTGTATAAAAGCAGGCAGTCAAACAAGTAGAAGAAGTAATTTAAAGTGCGATAAACCTATAATTAAGTCTTTCCGATTCACATTGTTTCCATGTTTATGTCGTAACTTTGAAGTACGTGTTACCACACTTCAGGATTTAGTGTATTCTGGTGCCTCGGGTTAGTAGACTACAATATTTTTAATTAAGTCGGAAATGTCGATAAGATATCTGGTGTATGAGTCGCTGTCATTTCATAGTCAACCCACGTCATTTGATTTATATTGATGAAATTACAATGTTCACAGACATTCCCATATTTCATTCTTCGTCTGTATTTTTAGTCTGAACAAAATTTTAAATTGGAGCTTCCGGTAGAATGGAACTTCTCTGACAAAAATCATTTACTGAATTAGTCAGAATCACTGATGTGCACCACGAATCAGCTACATTGCGATGAATATCCACAACATTGCAATATATGAAGAATGCTTATTTGTTCTGACAAATGCATTTTTGTTTATTATATTTTTTGGTTTTTGTACTGTTTCTAATAAAATTGTCTGGTTATGAAAACGCCTCTTTTGTGCCTGAGTTTCTCTGATATCCATATGCACAACGTCAATCCACACCCTATAATCTATAATTGAACTTGTCATCAACCGGAAAGGATCGGGTTATTTATTAATGAGGAGGTTACCAAAAATTACTTGATTATTGAAAATTTATCAAAAAATAAGTGACAATCGACTACCTATTAGAGCAAATAAAGTTTTCCGGTAATATTTCATTCAACGTCGTTGAATCGGATTATTTGACACGGAGTTGTTGTTGTGAAAATATTGCATTTAGAGACTTTCAGAGACAAAAGTTTAGAGACTTACGGTAGAACAATAGATCTTTTCTCTGGACACTGATTTCCTCGTTTTTTCACGTAACAATGCCTATTTAGCAAGAAGTCAACGGCAACGTTTCACAGTTTTTTAACCATGATTGTAAACGGGGACTCTCTATCTCAGTTTTTCTGTGTTATCGGTTTTTAGTTAGCTTCCGAAATTTTAGTGTGAATCAGCCGTCAATCTATCGTGAGAAGTATTGTAGTTTAATGCAGTTGTCAAAAATGGGCACAACTGAATAAGATATATATATATACTGAACTCGCAAAATTAGCTGCTATACTACATTTTTGTCAGCTTCTTGAACACTCTGTAACAAAATGGTAAAGTATAGAAAGAATTTTTTGGGAATCAAGGGTTGGAAAAGATCCATTGGAACGCAGAGCTCGGAAAAATATAAAAGAGGTGTCGTTGTACAAGACGCTTCTATCTCTAACTGCTGAACATTTTTATCAAAGTGAGTGATTTGGTTGTTGGAGGTAAAAGTAATTTTTGTCTCCGACAAACAAGTATAAAATGATTGACAATTAGGAAAAATGATTCACAAGTCAATTCAGCTGTCAAGAATCTGAAGTAACACAGTTTTCAGTACATCGATTGGCTCAAATACCAGTACAAGCTGCAACGATTGTATACACAGAAAGACAAATAGTCTACACTCTCGGTATGGTCTAACAGGGTCTTCCTAAACCCGAAAAGTAATAACTGAAATTTCGTATGGAGGAGATTGGGAGACTATTTATGATACTGATTGATTAATTTTACGGAAATAGGGATTGGTTCGCAGATTGGTGAACTGTATGTCACGTGTGGGTAAGCCGCTACCACAAACTTCAACACAGGAACAAGAAGGAAGAAATAATTTGCGCCAACACAGAGCATTGTACTGATGGCCGCCGAAAAAACTCTTGATTTTTACAATTCCATGTGTTATAACAAAACTTTTCAAATTTGAAATGTCTTACTCGTCAATGTTAAATATGAATTATATGTATAGGAATGACATAAGTCCATTGTAACAATTATTTTAGGTGTAATATATTGAGATTATGTGGGTTTCAAATAGAAGTTCTTCTTCAATCTAAAACCTTGAGATAAGATTTATTATGGTACTGAAACCAATACATAGATTCCAACGGGCAGCAACATGGGTCGGGATGCAGTTTGTGCAAACTTGTCACTTTCTAAGTCTCTTCGAAAACTTCGTAGCTTTTTTTACATGAAGATATCCTTCAAAGTATATGGGTACACATTCGTTGTTTAGCCTGCAAGCTAATACAAGTTTATGTGAATACAAGTGGTCTGTGAAATTAAATGATAGAACACAACTATAGAATATAAATATATGACGTCCTTCAATCCGTCCACTTGCGGTCACATGAAAAATACTCATAAACGCGATGAGAAATGAAATCTTTGATTTACTATAAAGAGTTCGATATGGGAAAAACCCAAAACCATGCGCCTGGTGAAGATCATGTTTAATCAGTGTTCTTTGGAATTGTGATTTCAGAACATGTTGACATTAGGTTCATTACATACAAGACGCCGATAATAGCAATTGACTTAGTTCTACCGGTGATTGCAGTTAACAAGAGAAGATTAACGCAAATTTGATACTTGGTCCATTACGTACAGAATGTATGAATCTTGTCTTTGTCGCAAGACCAACAAATTTTGTCACTGCAATCAGGTTGATTAAGTTTTCTTTTACTAGCTTTGAAGTCACTAATACTTACGAAGGCTATAGGTAAAGACTAAGAATAATTGCTTAACACTAAAATTAACAACGTGTACTGATTGTCACAACTATAGTTTCACCCTTATGCTCTAATATGTTTACTCTGTATCTTCACTTTGTTTGAATTTGAAATACTTTCCATCGACAAACATATATAACTGTTTTTTGAATCGGCCCCATATTCACATTGATTATGTCACTGCAGTAACATTTGTAGATAGCGTATGAGTATGAGTCAGGTGAAATATATAGAACAGAAAGTGAATGATAGCATTTTACTTCAGTATTTTATATGCCAATACTGAACAATACTATTCTTTATTTGGACAAGAAATATTATACACAAAACCATTCAAAAGCAACCTAAAAATATTGTTTATCAAAGGAATCATTGTATAGAACTTGTATAAAACTTTTCAGTGTACAGAAGCATTTTCAAATATATATATTACAATTATTGTGAGACGCACTGCAACAAAGGAATATCGAGCTGTTGCTATCATAAGAAACTTATTTTATAAAAAAAATGTTTAAGGGAGAAAATTACAGAAAGTATTGTAAAAGTGCAAATGCAGAAAACAGTGAGGATATTACGAGAGAATATTAAATAGGGGCAATTTACAAACATAACTTTCGTACAATGATAAATACAATCCTTTTAATAAACAAGAGAGCAATGCTCAAATATATGGACACGCAGAACAATTCCCCAAAAATCAAATGCGGTGACCAACGACTAACATACCGGCGGTGACTTACCAGTACCTGTATCGGGGTACCGTGACGGTACATGGACTGTCATAGATATTTTAGGTCCTGTGACAATTGAAACATCAGTTGAAATATCTCGTGATATGAGTCAATTATGTACCGTATTATCGGATCAGGTACCGAACCACAGTCAAACATTTCACATAAAAACGTTACTAAATAACATGCGTCAACTTAACACCAGCCGAATCGGGGTACAATTTTTGGTACAGTGACTGTCATAGCCGTTTAGGGCTGATGGACAATTCGACTACACGGACAATTCACCAGGCCTAGGGTGGTGTAGCCAGTCTGCGGACAATTTCATTCAAACCGCTATAAAACAAAAACCAATATATCTAACCCGTTAATTTTTTCACCGTGGGTGCATTGGCGTCATTTATTCTACACGCTAAACCTCGTAATAACTTTCTACGACAAAGGGTTAAAGCTATACAAATCCCCAAAGTACGGCACAGTATTTGCGACCGAACGACCAGTGTGCGACCACGGATTTCAAGCCTTGATCATCGTTTCTGCTGCGTCGAGACTATCGCATACGCAGCCATACAGCAATCAAACAGACAAAACACAAATCAAAGATGGTTAACACAACTCTACCCACCTGCCAAGTTTCATCTTTTTATCTCTTGTTGTCTTGTTGTATTCTCTTGTTGTATGGATTTTCAAGCTTTTGACAGCTACGAGTTAGTTCAGTGTCACCGCGCTGTGTTACGGTACCAGAACTACTCTATCTTTAGAAGTTCCTGTCTTGTGACAGCGTGAAAACATTGGGCTTCTAATTGCATTTCTGACCGTCATATATTTCAAGAACACGGTTATTTCGAACAAAACTCGTTAAATTATAAACAAAGCACCACATCACAGCAATCAAACAGACGAAAACACGGTGGTCGCAAATGGTTGACAAAGATATTATCGACGTATCGGAAATGCACACCCCCTATTCCCCCTCCTTCAAACGTAGAAACGCGAAACCTTCAAATATGGTTAAAAGAAACACAACTCTACCCACCTGCCAAGTTTCATCTTTTTATTTCTCATATTTGTATGGATTTTCAAGCTTTTGACAGCTACGAGTTAGTTCAGTGTCACCGCGCTGTGTTACGGTACCAGAACTTCTCTATCTTTAGAAGGTCCTGTCTTGTGACAGCGTGAATTGAAATTGCAAGATGGTCCGTTGGACACAAAATGGCGTCCGATATCCTTAGAACGTTTAGTGACGTCATAGCAAACAAAAACAAATCTTACAGAGCTAACAGAAATATTTGAAATAAATAAAAGTAATAGCCTTCTGGAGAAAAATTTCATCTTCAACCACTGAAAATTTCAAAGCAATTAGTCCAGTAATCAAAGAGAAAAGCGAATTTTTAAAAACGTGTCAAAGAACAAGAATAAGAACAAGAACAACAGCAACATAATATTGAAACGATCGTTATGTCCACTACGTGTCCAACTAGATTGCAATCTTGTTAGTTAAATGAAGGTAAATTATTACCTGCTAGAGTAAGAAACTTCAAACTCAGTGTTTCTGTTTTTGATGCACAATGTATAATGATCGTCAAAATCGCGGACATCAGCCACCTATTGCCAATGACCATGCATCAGGACAACTTGTATATCAAGATGCGACTGACGTTTCGACTGTCGGTAGTGATATCTATGCGAGTGCAGATACTATAAGAACTGGTAAGTAAATATTTTTGCCAATATTACCAACTCATGCCTCCACATTCTACAATTGCAACATTTATGAATTAGAATGCATAAAAAACCAAAACTTTTGAGGCATTCGAAATTAAGAACAATGATGCCAATATAATTCTATTCGAATTGATCAAACTTCCAAAAAAACTTTTTTTTATATATAAATTACAAAACTAACAGCTAAAGTGAACTGAATATGGACACTTTCTAGGTTCTACTTGTAAACAAACCAAGTCTTTTTAAGCTGTTATTTTAAAAAACTTAGAGTTTAAAACTTAACTTAAGTTTTCTATGATTTCAGAATATATGGAATTCAGCAATGAAAATTGATTAGACGAATTTATAGTCTGATGTTTTCTGCGTTGCTGCAGTATACAACTAGAATAACCAAAAATCTCTGAATATTCGAATTATGTCTTCAAGTAAAAGGAATTGGTATATTGATAAAAACGCTCACAAACTAATGATACATTTTCAGGTTTTTCTTCTGCGATGTACAGTACGTCTCTAAGTACAAAAATAAAAAAGCGATTCCACATCTTGTATGTAACAGCAATACTGGTAGTTTTATCGATCTCCATTGCTGGTATTGTCATTTCAGTCCAGGTAAATGTTTGTTTGAATGCTGCGGATCCGAATCTTTTTTAGTGATCTAGAACGATATTCTACGTTATTTTATTGTGAGGGAATTATAGTTTGTAGCAGAATTTTATAAATAACAGTTTATTTTCTAAATATGTACTAAAATATATTTTACAGGCAATGAACAACACATTTGATAACAGCAACGGTAAGATCATGATGATTTGTTTTATAATGATTTGAACGTTGTATTTGTTTTTCTCTTCTAAGTAATTTCACGTTCACACGTTTTAAGAAACCTAGACAGAATTTGGGACTTCAAGAGAGATTTCAAATTCATTCAGAAATAAAATAAAAGTGTAAAATTGTTATTAAACCTTCATGTTTTTGCTATTCTGACACAAAGTAGATGCCGAACTGTTGTTGTAAAGTGCCAATGTTATCTCCTTATTGGTACCAATCTAAATTGTTCATCTTGATTTAAATAGTCAGATAACAGATTTTTGTACAATTAGCAATAGCAATATTGAGTTAGTCATTCACCTTCGTGTCCATATATTTGAGCGTTACCATCTTGTTTCTTGTATAGCATAAACAACGTTCAGCACGACGTTAACCATAGATTAAATGGAATTTTCCGGGTCCAATATATTCTGGCCAATTTTTTAAATATTGTAACAGAACACGTGATATAGATAGTAAAATACAGTTAGTAATCTAGATCTGGGGAAACGAACCTATTTGCTTGCGCGGGCCATTTATCAGTCACCGCTGATTGAGCGGGCCTCACAACTTTTTATTCATACTACCGTATGATACATGCTGATTTTAATCAACAAAACGAACAAATGCATCCATACAGGTATTTAAATATATATTGCAGTATTAAATTAAAAAAAAACATCTAATAACTATTTTGCTTATTGTTTGCTTCACTAAGCGCTTTATATTAGGACAAACTTGCGATTTGAAAACTTCCAACTGCATACTAAGATTTTCATCTGTCAGTCTCGACCTGTATCGATCAAGTTCTGTTTTGAGTGCGGCGTCATCTCACTCGGCGCGAGCTCCGCTCGGCTCGGATGTTCGAGAACCGAATTTCGTTCAAATACCGCAGGATTTTTAACACGAAATTTTTGGTTGGCCACCGGGGTATCACTGTACAATCAAATTTCATTGTACTGAAATAAATAAATTGTAGCCTTAGATATTTCATCGCAGATTGGGTGGCGGCATTGTAATAGAGCGGAGTCAGCGATGCAAGAACATATCAAATTTGTATAACTAATTCTAACTAAATAAAATCGGGCAGATTGAATTACTTTTCATGGCCGTGGATTGCAGTGATATTTCATAGTAATGTTCTCAATTTGTCGACGCAACCGCAGGTTACTTTAAACTTACAATTAAATTAATAAACAGGAGATTATAACTAGACTCGTATTGGTCGTCAATGGAATACTATCTGCAACTGCAAAATTATTACTCGACAACATAACATAACCATAAAAAACAATATCGAAACATTATTGTCGAAAAAGTGGGATCTTTCCACAAGTGGCCTGCCCAATTGCGGCGACAGTTGCATGGAAATTCTCGGATTCTTTCTCCTCACTTGGTACTTTCAACCTATGTTTTATCGAACTTTTCTTTACGGATGGCTTTGTGTCGGATAATATTCAAAATTCTTTTCGATAATCCCTCCGATAAGTTTTTCGGGATCCTTTGTACAAAGCTTCCGCACAAAATAAGAAAAAATAATAATTAAATTCAAATCCCCTAATCATTCCGAACCCGCAACTGGATAATTACTAATTTGTTTTTGCAGAACGCGGTGTTTTTCTCGAATTTTATATTTTTACATTAGTGGTTAGGGATTAGTACAAAATATCCGTATTTTGCGAGCCTTCGGATACAGAAATTATAAACGAAGGCTTCCATTGTTTTAATCATTGCCAAGACAAGGGTCATTTTGATCCATTGTTAAAGGTGTCGGTGATCCAACAAAACTAGATGTAGCCTATCGTTGCCAGTATTATAAATAACCCTGGCGCTCCCGTTTTCTTTGCACAGTTCCTAAAGGTTCATGACTTTACGACAAACACAATGAATCGCACGAAATTTCTTGGCGGGCCGCAGGTTCGTCACCTCTGATCTAGATGTATATGTGACGTATTATATCCGAAATATTCTAATAATTTGGAATATAGAGTAACTTTCATTTGTATAATTTTTAAACATGATAAATTGCAAAAATGAAGAACTCTTATACAAATATAATTTCAGCAATATCGTCTATCCAAGAAGACGTGGACATTATCAAGTACACATTGGGTGAGGTGAACAAAATGTGTGATTGTTGAACGATGGTATTGCCGTTTGCTTATTAATTACAATACCACCCGTTTCACAGGTATGGCAGAACCAACTGTGGAACCTGAAACATCAAGTGCGAGCACGGGAGCGGTGATGACAACTGGGATACTCAATAATAATATGAGTGATGGTGTACGTCTGGCTGGGTCTACAGAGCCAGACAGGGGAAGAATAGAGGTTTTATATAAAGAAGAATGGGGAACTATATGTGATACATACCTCGATTTTAACGACGCTCGTGTGATTTGCAGGTAGGTTTATATACAGGGTGTCTAAAAAGTAAGTATATATACACTTTTAGTTTTGATCTACTTTTCAGGTAATCATCATAAGGCGTTCACTTTTTCAGAAAACATAGCATGGATAACTAGTAGAATTTAGGGCCTGTTTACATTTTTCATCAATTCTGAGAAATATAAGCAGAATAACCCAAGAAATGACGTGCAAAATTGCTGCTTGGCAAAAAGCATATAGTTGAATCAGTATGTCAAACTTACTGCCTCTTTAACAGAGAATTTGGAATTAATCCGGCTCTGAATGTTTAATGTGCGTCAGGGCGTCCGCTCCTTGGTCTTCCTGATCTTTGTGCATAAACTACAGATCCAGTTTCCATGCATTCATGATGAATTGCATAGATTGTTCGTCGTGTAGGAGCTGAATTAGATCCAAACTCTCTGTTAAAGAGGCGCTGAGTTTGCTTTACTGATTAATATGCTTCTTGCCAGCAATTGCACACCTCATTTTTTGGGTTAAGCTCCTTGTCATTCTGTGGGTTGACGAAAAAATCACAATTAAAAGTGTATATATACTTACTTTTTAGACAATCTGTATATGTTTTAAAACCAAGGTTTAAAAGTGGCAGCAGTGATCAGATTGACATTTGTGTGTCATATATATTCTTTGTGCAAATAGAAAGCATTGGTCAAATTGAAGAAGGTATTCAATATTCACACTGATGTAGTTCTTGATATGCAATTACAATAGTTTCTAACAAGTTTATGTTGGAGTTTCATTTATTTCTGATTTCAAGCAAAGATAAAAAAAAAAAGCTTGTGAGTGCTGGTAAAATAGAATGATTCGAAGATGCTAAAATTTAGTTCTGATTTAAAGCCGTCTTTTGCTAACTTGCAATTGCAAACATGCTAAATTGTTCTATCATGTGTTTCGTTTACACTACAGGATGCTGGGATATGAGTACGCAGCGTGTGTTATGGGAGGGTCAGCAACTGCTAATGAGTTTGGCTCGGGTACAGGAAGAATTTGGCTTAGTCAAGTGCAATGTACAGGATACGAAGAAGACATAGGTTTATGTCAACACGAAGGATGGGGAACTGTTAGTTGCGGCCACGATGAGGACACTTCTGTGTGTTGTGCCAATTAACGTCGCAATTTTAGCATTGTTAATTGCAACGACGGCTATATCAATATATCATATTATTTTATTATATATAATATTGGACACGACGTGGGATTCGTTTTATACTTTTAAGTTTTGTGCGATGATGTCTTAAAATTAAAAATTGCGCACTGTTCCGCGGTTCCGTGATCACATCTCAGGGATCTGGTGGTTAGACTACCGGTACCGTAAAAGATTTGATACTACTTTGTTCTTGCTTTCTTGTCCGTGTATTTGATCACTGCTTCCTTGTTTTAAATCTAATTATAGTTTGTTGTAAATAGCTCTCTCAGGAGGCACTCGGGCAATGGCGCTCATGTATTATATTCATCCCTATTTCCAATGTCTTTCAAAGTACTTTTCCGCATATATTGGACACGAAATGTACATACAAATTGCTTTATTACTATTATGTGGTTGCTGATCATCATGTTGTAAAAAAATCGTTTTTCTTATTAACCACTGGACCAATTGTCAGTGGAAAGATTATTGTTGTCAATAGAGGAGTATAAATTTTATTTATTTCAAAACTCTCAGTGGGCTTCGTGGTATTCGTTTTTCTATATGGGAAGCCTGTTTAGGGAAGTCACCAAATTAAAATTTATTGCAGGGGTTCAGCGATCGCAGGTCAGAGGATCTCGTGCTCAGCAAAAGTCGGAAGTTTTTCTATGGGGGAGTGATTCGGATCATTTGGTATTTCATTTCACGTCGAACCTAGAAGCTTGAATCATTGTAACAGGCCCCGGTGAGTTATCGTAGCTGTTTCACAGTTCCAGCTTCGTTCAGGATACCATATCGTCACGCTAATAATCGAATTGCGTAAGTCATTTTTAGCAGTTCTGAGAAAAATATAAAAAACTTCCTAATGATATTGTTATGCCATTGAGAGTCAATAATTTGCCATGGTTCAATTTTTTGATTGTAGCCGGATTTAAGTTAGTTTGTATGACGCAGTTATGTGAAAAGAGAAAGTCACTTGGCTAATCCTCGAACTCGTAATAGACCTAAAATAAGGAAAATACGAATAAAATTATGTCCTAAACCTAACCTGGTACACATACTACGTTCCGGTGTCCTCCATATTGGTGTACATACTACAGGAGCGCCTAGTTGACTGCATCGTTCTTGAAAAGATGTGGAGGGAGAACAAAAAAAAACCGAAAACGAGATAAAGAACTACACTTATGGAGCTTCAACATTGTCCGCAACAGATATCAAACACCTAGAACATCGCCTCAAAACCTTGTATTGTAGAAGTATTGTAGTTTAATGCAGTTGTCAAAAATGGGCATAATTGAATGAGATATACTGAAGTCGCAAAATTAGCTGATAGTATACTACATTTTTTGTCAGCTTCTTGAACACTTTGTTACAAAATGGTAAAGTATAGAAAGAATTTTTTGGGAATCAATGGTTGGAAAAGATCCAATGGAACGCAGAGCTCGGAAAAATATAAAAGAGGTGTCGTTGTAAAAGACACTTCTGTCTCTAACTGCTGAACATTTTTATCAAAGTGAGGGATTTGGTTGTTGGAGGTAAAAGTAATTTTTGTCTCCGACAAACAGGTATAAAATGATTGACAATTAGGAAAAATGATTCACAAGTCAATTCAGCTGTCAAAAATCTGAAGTAACACAGCAGTACGTCGATTGGCTCAAATACCAGTACAAGGTGCAACGATTGTTTACACAGAAAGACAAATAGTCTACACTCTCGGTATAGTCTAACAGGGTCTTCCTGTTAGACTACCGACCGAAAAGTAATAACTGAAATTTCGTATGGAGGAGAATGGGAGACTATTTATGATACTGATTGATTAATTTTACGGAAGTAGGGATTGGTTCGCAGATTGGTGAACTGTATATCACGTGTGGGTAAACCGCTACCACAAACTTCAACACAGGAACAAGAAAGAAGAAATAATTTGCGCCAACACAGAGCATTGAAATGATGGCCGCCGAAAAAACTCTTGGTTTTTACAATTCCATGTGTTATAAAAAAAACTTTTCAAATTTGAAATGTCTTACTCGTCAAGGTTAAATATAATTTATATGTATAGGAAAGACATAAGTTCATAGTAACAATTATTTTAGGTGTAATATATTGAGATTTCGTGGGTTTCAAGTACTCGTTTAATCTAAAACCATGAGATAAGACTGATTATGGTACTGAAACCAATACATAGATTCCAATGGGCAGCAACATGGGTCGGGATGCAGTTTCTTCGTAGCTTTCTTTACACGAAGATATTCTCCAAAGTGTATGGGTACACATCCGTTGTTTAGCCTGCAAGCTAATACGAGTTTACGTGAATACAAGTGGTCTGTGAAATTAAATGATAGAACACAACAAGAGAATATAAATATATGACGTCCTTCAATCCGTCCACTTGCGGTCACATGAAAAATACTCATAAACGCGATGAGAAATGAAATCTTTGATTTACTATAAAAAGTTCGATATGGGAAAAACCCAAAACCATGCGCCCGGTGAAGATCATGTTTAATCAGTGTTCTTTGGAATTTTGATTTCAGAACATGTTGACATTAGGTTCATTACATACAAGACGCCGATAATAGCAATTGACTTAGTTCTACCGGTGATTGTAGTTAACAAGAGAATATCAATGCAAATTTGATACTTGGTCCATTACGTACAGAATGTATGAATCTTGTCTTTGTCGCAAGACCAACAAATTTTGTCACTGCAATCAGGTTGATTAAGTTTTCTTTTACTAGCTTTGAAGTCACTAATACTTACGAGGGCTATATGTAGGCAGAGGCTAAGAATATTTGCGTAACACTAAAACTAACAAGGTGTAGCCTACTGATTATCACAACTAGTTTCATTTTTATGCTCTAATATGTTTACTCTGTATCTTCACTCTGTTTGAATTTGAAATGCTTTCCATCGACAAACATAACTGCTTTCTGAATTGGCTTCATATTCACATAGATTATGCAGTAACATTTGTAGATAGCGTAGGAAGACATATAGTTCTGTACATTATTTGAATCAATATTATTTTCAAGTATGAGTCAGGGGAAATATATAGAACAGAAAGTGAATGATAGCATTTGACTGCAGTGGCTTTACTTAATTTGGACAATAGATATCATACACTCGATCTGTGGATTACCAAAGGAATCATTGTATAGAACTTGTATGAAACTTTTCAGTGTACAGATGCATAAACATTTTCAAATATATATTACGATTATTGTGAGATTCACTGCAATAAAAGAATATCGAGCTAGCGCTATTATGAGAAACTTATTTTATAAAAAAAAAATTATCAAGGGAGAAAATTACAGAAAGTATTGTAAAAGTACAAATGCAGACAACTGTGAGGATATTACGAGCAAATATTAAATATGGACAAATTACAAACATAATTTTCGTACAATAAAGAATTCAACCATATTAAGAACAACAAAAGAAAGCAAACTAGGTTGCAATCTTGTTAGTTAAATAAATGTAAATTAATATTTGCTAGAGAAACTTCGAACTCAGTTTTTTGGTTTTTGATGCAACAATGTATAATGGTCATCAAAATCGCCGACATCAGCCACCTATTACTAATGAATATGCATCAAGACAAGTTATATATCAAAATGCGACTGACGTTTCGACTGCCAGTAGTGATATCTATGCGAGTGCGGATACTATAAGAACTGGTAAGTAAATATTCTTTGCCAATATTACCAACTCATGCCTCCAATAGAAAAACACATTCTACAATCGCAACATTTGTGAATTGGAATAAATAAATCATTAAAACTTTTGTGGTATTCGTATTAAGACCAATGATGCCAATATAATTCTATTCGAATTGATCAAACTTCCATAAAAACTTTTATTTTACATAAATTTTTTTGAAAAATAAAACTATACCAACGACGGCGAACTAACGTGGTATAAATATGGACGCTTTCCGGGTTCTACTTGTAAACAAACCAGTCTTTTCAAGCTGTTATTTCGAAAATCTTTTTTTCCCAAGTTTTCTATGATTTCAGAATAGATGAAATTTAGCAATGAAAAGTATTTAGACAAACTTAGAGTCTGAAGTTAAGTTGTCAGCCTTAAATTTTGACTTGGTTCTCGGGTAGTCACCATAGATCGTTCATTTCGTCAGAAAACATAGTATGGATAAATAGTAAAATTTAGTGATTGTTTGCATTTTTCATCAACCCACAAAATGACAAGGAGATTAACCCAAGAAATGAGGTGCAAAATCGCTGTTTGGCAATAAGCATATAAACCAGTGAAGCAAATTCTGCGCCTCTGCGCCAGATAATTTTAATATAATTCGGCTCTGAATGTTTTTATCAGATCGTTCACACCTTGGTCTTCCCGATCTTGTGCATCGGCTACAGATCCAGTTTCCATAAATTTACGATGAATTGCATAAATTGTTCGTCGTGTAGGAGCCGAATTAACCCGGATTCTCTGTTAAAGAAGCGTTGAGTTTGCCTTACTGGTTTATATGCTTCTTGCCAAACAACAATTTTGCATCTCATTTCTTGGGTTAATCCCCTTGTCATTCTGTGGGTTGATGGAAAATCCAAACAATACCTAAATTTTACAAATTATCCATACTATCATACTATGTTTTTTGAATAAATGAACGATCTATGATGAGTAACTGATAAATCAAATTTAAATTAAAGGTGTATACTTACTTTTGAGACACCCTGTATAACTGGAGTAATCTCTGAATATTTCAATTTTGTCTTCAAGTAAAAGGAATTGGTATAGTAATGAAAACACTCACAAAATAATGATACATTTCCAGGTTATTCAACAGCGATGTACAGTACGCCTCCAAATACAAAAATAAAAAAGCGATTCCACATCTTGTATGTAACAGCAATACTGGTAGTTTTATCGATCTCCATTGCTGGCCTTGTCATTTCAGTCCAGGTAAATGTTTGTTTGAATGCTTCAAATCAGAATCTTTTCATTGATATAGAACGATATTCTATGTTATTTTATTGTTAGGCAATTTTAGTTTGTAGCAGAATTTCACGAATTATAATTTCTTTCCCAAATATGTGCGATATGATATTATTTTACAGGCAATGAACAACACATTTGATAACAGCAATGGTGAGATACTGATGATTTGTTCTATACATGATTCAAACCTTTTATTATATTCTCCCTTCTACGTGATTCTACTTTCATATCGTTTTTGAGAAACCTAGACAGAATTTTGGACTTGATGAAAGATTTGAATCAAGTCAGAAATAAATAAAAGTGTTAAATTTATATAACCGTGTCCCCCCGAAAATAAGACTGGGTCTTATTTCAATTTTCTTCCAAAAAATAACACTAGAGCTTATTTTCGGGGGATGTCTTAATTTATCAAAATCAAAATTACAAAGTAGAGAATCAATACATTTTCGAATATACAAAATAAAAACCGATCTCCAATTACTTATAAATAACACGTTTCTATACAAAATAACTGCAAAACATAGATTATCAATCATTTAAAACGAGTAGGCGTGATTTATTGCTATCAACTGAGTAAAAAAAAATCATTCGCGTTATGAACTAGGTCTTATTTTTTAGGGAAAAATTTACATTAAAATCATTTTTAAAATGCAGGCTAGGTCTTATTTTCAGGGTAGATCTTATTTTCGGGGAAACACGGTAAACCTCAATGTTTTTGCTATTCTGAAACAAAGTGATTGCCAAACTGTTGTTGTGAAGAGTCCATTGTTTTGTTTCACTTTTCTAAAATTCTCCGAGTATCTGCTCAATATGTAATTCCAAATGTTTACTATTATTCTGCTCATTGTGCCACATGATATTCCATTGAGATAGTCCACCATCTTGCGTTAAACCCGCTGCTCAGACAAGGTTACGTTATACTGATACCAATCTAAATTGTTTAGCTTGCTGATTTGAATAATTATATATAATACCTATATACCAGATTTCTGTACAATTAGCAATAGAAATATTAGGTTCGTCATTTTAACTTTGTAACCATATTTGAGCATTACTCTCTTGTTGCTTAAAAACTCAAACCACGTTCAACATGGCGTTACTCAGAGATTTATTGGAATTTTCCGGGTCCAATATATAGTGGCCAATTATTTAGCAAAACATGATATAAATAGTAAATTACTGCTAATAATCTATGCGTATATGTGACGTATCATATCCGCAATTTTCTAACAATTTGGAATATAGAATAACTTTCATTTGTATAATTTTTTAATGTTGAAAATTGCAAGTATATATAAAGAACTCTCATTCAAATTTATTTTCAGCAATATCGTCTATCCAAGAAGACGTGGACATTATCAAACACACATTAGGTGAGGTACAAAGAATTGTGTGATTGTTGAATGAATACTTTTGATTGTTTGATTACAACTATCTGTTCTCACAGGTATGGTAGAACCAACCGTGGAACCTGACACATCAAGTGCGAGCACATGAGTGGAGATAACAACTTGGAAACACAATGAGGAGACGAGTGATGGTGTACGCCTGGCTGGGTCTACAAGGCCAGACAGGGGAAGAATAGAGATTTTATATAAAGGAGAATGGGGAACTATATGTGATACATACCTCGATTTTAACGACGCCCATGTGATTTGCAGGTAGGTTTATATATATATTATTAAACTAAGGTTTAAAAGTGACAGCGGAGCTTATTAGATTCTAAAAATATTTTTTAATAAAAGATCTTGAGTGAAAAGAAATACGCATTGGCTGTTAGAATGAAATGATTCGAAGATGCTAAAGTTTCCGTCTGATTCAAAGTCAGCGTTAATTCACTAGTAATCCCAAGCAGGCCAAATTTTTCCTTCTCTTGTTTTCGTTCACAGAATGCTGGGATATGATCATGCAACGTGTGTAATGGGAGGGTCAGCAACTGCTAATGAGTTTGGCTCGGGTACAGGAAGAATTTGGCTTAGTCAAGTGCAATGTACAGGATACGAAGAAGACATAGGTTTATGTGAACACGAAGGGTGGGGAACTGTTAGTTGCGGCCACGATACGGACACTTCCGTGTGTTGTACTTATTAACGTATAACGCAAGTTCAACATCGTTAATTGCCCTACCAATTTCTAATTGAGTTTTGAAAGTCTTTCAACATATTTTTTCGCCCTGACATTAGTTGTTGATATCGAAATAGTATTCAATGCGTTTTTAAATGAAAACAAACTCATCTCTCTACCGATTCAACGTTAATAAATATTCAACACATGCTTTGTAAATTTCACTTCTGAAATTTTCCAAGGGTAGAAAAGGGAATAAAGATTGTGAACCCTTGGGCAATTGCTTGGTTGTATTTGCGCTCATCATCAGCATGACGTTAATTGACTGAACTGAACCATTGGACACGAAATTACATATGAATTGTTTTATTACTATTATGTTTTTCTTTATCTTGTTATATAAAAAATCGCTTTTTTCATTAACTACTGCATCAATTGCTTTGAAATTTTCAATGAAAAGAGTTTTGTTGTCACTAGGAGGCTATAACCTTTCTTTATTTCAAAACTCTCAGTGGGCTGTGTGGGATTTGTTTTTATATCTGAAGTTATGTTTCGTGAAATCAGCAAAACTATCAATAAAAATTAATTGTAACGGTTTAATCGGTTTAACTTGTTTAATTACTAATCTCCTGACTGACTCTCTAGATTCGATTACCCGAATTATATTCATTCTGTTGTTGGAAAACAATTAGTTGATATTATTTGACATTTTTTGACGTCATCTGCTGCTGAATACACCAATGAAGGTGTCGCTGACACGATAATTAAATCTAGAGTCTTTCGCCAATTGCGACCCCTCGTCAATTGCGGTCGAAATATTGTATCTTTTCAATTAACACATTTATATGTTCTTTTGTTCCACTGTATAGGTATAAAATCTTTCATGCACGACAAAAATAAATACTTACAGCTTATTTCCTGATCTAACTTTTGCAATCTGATTATGGTAATTCTGCCTGTAAATCTGTGCTGTCTCTGGTCGGGTTGAAATTGTTTCTCAGGTCATACCCTTGACTCTCATAGGTAACTGCATCGTTCTTGAATATGTTATTGGACTATCTCAGCGCAATAACTTCAAACCGCTAAAGCGTTATCATAACTAAAACTATATTTCAATGGCAATATTCTAATATTACTGTTTATTTCTGCGTTTCCGCAATGACTTTTGACTGCCATTCTTGGGTGGAACGAAAATAAATTTGTATAGCGTTGGATAAATACCGATGTGGCGCGATCAACTGAAACAACCCTGGCTATCGTAGTGTTACACACTCTCATTGCTTATCGAACCAAATGGTATCGTCGATGTCATAGCCTATCACCGCTGTATTTAAAGGGATTCTCGACCAAGCCTTGCCACAAATAAAAACTAACCGAATTACATTCATACTCCAGAAGTAAGTTCTTTTAGTCACGACAGCGGGTTAACAGTTATAATCATCCGTGCAAGGTCAAATTTTAAACTGGTTGTAGAACACAAAGTTTTAATCGTTATATACTTCCAAAAACGATCATTGATTTTCAAGCTGATTAGACTTAGGATAAGAGAACTTTGCCGTTGTAATCTGCTGAGCATTTGAACTCATATAAAAGACAGAGTGAAATAGCAATGTTTTTCTATTGGTTACACCAAAATATTGCCGACAAGTGTTAATAGGATGAATTTATATTCTCCATTTAAATGAACCAATACAACGCAATTAATTCGAATATGGCTTGCTATTAATAAAACATACTTAAAAAATTTGTAAAAATACTTCTGATCAAAAGGAATTCGGCGTATCCGTAAGGAAAATAACTGATAATAATTGTATAAATGCAATCTTGAAATTCCTAAAACAAATTTTAGTGGATTTTTATTCGCTAACAGATTACAGTTATATCTTTCATGCATATAGGATCACAGTGTATTTATACAGGGTGTCTCCAAAGTAAGTATACACTTTTAATTTTAATTTGCTTTCCCAGGTACTTATCATAGAGCGTTCATTTCTTCATTAGTAAAGCAAACTCAGCACCTCTTTAACAGAGAGTTCCTACACGACGAATAATTTATGAAATTCATTGTGAATTTATGGAAACTGGATCTGTAGTTGATGCAAAAAGATCAGGAAGCGGACGCTTCGAGGAAAACATTCAAAGCCGAATTAATTTCAAATTCTCTGTTAAAGAGGCGCTGAGTTTGCCTCGAGTTTTTTGGAAAAATGAACGCTCCATGAGGAGTACCTGAAAAGCAAATAAAAATTAAAAGTGTATACTTACTTTTAAGACACCCTGTATTTATCGCAAGGTAACAGCCGGTGTGCCAGATTGTTATATATATGTATATAAAATACACTAGTAACAAAATGTTGCGTTCATGGAACATTCCGCCAACGTAGGAAAACAAGATTATTTTCTTAGGAAATGGGTCCGGGGAAATGTTCAGGTTATTCAAATGATACATTATACATTTTGCAACCTCATAACGATATATTGCGAGGTATTGTATTTCTTCGTCGAAGGCCGAAGATACAGGTTTTGAGTATGATTATAGAGAAATAAATGCAGTTTTCAGGCTTACACAAATTCACAAAATACTTTCGTGGCTTTTAGATGAATAATTCTTTCAGGTTACCAATTGTTATAGGGGAATTCGTCAAGAACAGACTGATATAAAACACAATTGAAAAGAACCAGACTAAAGTCATGAACGTTGGACGATGACGAAATCTGACGACAATCTACTGACGGCTTTTGATAACGATAGTTTTATAACATGTAGTCGGATATTTGACATCAGAAGCCAATTGCACTTGTGAAATTGAACGAAAAGTGAAATTTTTTTCATTTAACGAACAACAATAATGAACGTCACTTGGAGTTTATTATAAGGTTTGTGTTCCGTCAGTTACCAACGACGATTTTGTAAATTTAACCTGTTTTTTGTTTTGTTTTACCTTGCTGTTAAAAGTACCATCTTTTAGTTTAAGCTGCTGAAAAAGTTCGTTATTGTTATTATTATTTGCAACACAGTTCGTGGATTGAGATAGTTTTCGCAATATACCAGGTCTGGTGTTGACAACTTGTACATCACTGTTAACAGAATGTATCTGAACAATGTGTGGTATTTCATCCACTTCATTAAATTCCTCTAAAAATGTTTTTTCTTCCTGCAACTTCAATACACAGTCTTGTTTTGAAGAAAACTCACTGGAAAGAGGTTTTATGTTTGTTAATGATTTTGATCTGCGAATCGGAAGTTTAATGAAACTCCCTAGGCGAAAATTGCACTGGGAATGGAACGATGCTGCTCTTCTGCCATTTTTTCCAAAACCGGGTGAATTAAATAACTTTGAAGACATCTTAGAAGCTGATGCATCTGGGCCTCTTCTTCGACTCGAGTACAAGATTATAATAATGCCTGAAACGAGTCCGATTGGTACGAATACTACCAAAGTCGAATATGTATAAAACCATGGAATTTTACGCATCCGTCTCGACTCCCATCGATCAGGGAGCTTAAAAGTAGAATAAAGAGCTTTGAAGCCAGTACGTGCATTACCACCAGTTGATAAATAACGCAGCTTTGCTATTGCAGATTGAAAAACAATCATCTTTGTGGAATTTCCACAAATTGAAGCAATAGTTCTGTTTTTTGGTTTATCGATATTAGAATCAACAATAGATGTTAAATTTGCCTGCTCTTTTGCCCAAGTAATAAAATTTTCTAGGGCCCCAGGATTTGCTGTTCTATTCACTGTGGTAGAATAAATTTCAAGATCAGTTTGCAATGTTGCATCCACTTTTTCATAGATAATCTGCATGCTAGAGTTGCTACGCATCTGTAGGACTTCACAATCGCTGATGTTCACCTCGAGTGTTCTCAGATACCCATATAAGGTATCTTTTGGTCTTGTGAAAACCCACTGACAATCAACAATTTCAGGCTTTAGAGGTAATCCGGTAAATACAGGTGAAGAAATATATGTTTTGGAATCTGCATATCCTCCGCATCTGTAAGATTGAGTATATATGTATAGACTATAACCATTTGCATGCACGCACGTCTACAGAGCTCAGGCTGAAGCAAATTCCTGAGTAAATCAAGATCAATTTTTCTATTTCAAAATTGCAAAACACATCTGTGATTGTATTTTATTGCCTCATTATTCAGCAAAACCATGATAGCACATATACATCATCATTAAATTTCGTAGCGCAGCGAATTTAAATAATGCAATTGTATTCTGTACTCACGTAAAATATACGAAATCCATTTGTAATGGATTGTTGCCTTTATTTTTATATTCGAGCAACAGAAATCCGCTTGTGGCTTTGGCTGGTTTTAAGAACGCCCAATCCATCGATACAAAACCATCAGACCATTCGAGAGACGAGATTAGAGGCGAATCATCTTTCCATCCATCTCGAGCGTCCAATTTGAAATAATAGTCGATGTCTTCATCCATACTAAATGTTGTATTTACAGTCGACAGCCCAATCTAAAAAATGAAAGTCAATATGAACAATATTACGGCAGTGTGTAGTTTGAAGTCGTCATATCATAAAATGTTAAAAGAACGAACGAAGCGCATTAGAATACATTTGAACCTGATTTTTCGAAATATTATTCTTAAATCTCTCGGGAATGCAATCAACTAATAACATAGAACAGTCATATTTATCTGGCATGGCTTAAATATCGCATTAGCAAAAGGTCACGAGCTGATCATGGCCACCATCAAGAAAATTTTTAGTCGTCATTCCAAACTACCTAACCCAGGGTTATGAAAATAGATTCTTTACCCACCGAGAACGACACGATCAAGAACATAATATATACTTGATATCTCTATGCGAATATATCTATGTTTGTGTCGTTAAATATCATACTTACTGTATTGTGAACATCGTCCGCCTTCAATAACCATCTACAATGTACTGGTTCGTTGTTGGTGTTTCTTGGTATCGAAAGCAATTTTGCTTTACTTCCTACCCAATACGACCCGCTGCAGCCGGGATGGAATAGTGAGGTAGAGTTTGGAGTTTCAGGCAAAGAACGAGTCGCATTTGGTTCTAAACCACTTCCATCTACAACTTCAGGCTCTGCCGAGAAACCTGAAATGACAATTTGTCCAGTCTGATAAGAAATAGGGTATATCAGTGTAGTATTTTGTATTGATCGATCTGTGAATATGTCATTATTAACTAAATTCTCATCGCAGGATAAAAATAAAAGCGTGACACCATAGTACACCAATATGAGCCGTATAATGTATATATATATTATGTAACATTCAATTCTTGCAAGAAGCTGGTTCATCTTTAAAATGACATCACATTGGGAAGCGTGGGCGTTGTGTCTTCTCTAAAAACTAAAAACGCAAGATTTATAGTTTTATACAACGGTTATATTTCTGTGATTTCAGTTTAGGACCACACATTATTTTCCCCAGCCTTTTATTTTGGGGAGTGTTTCCAAATTTAGTGGGTGGTAGATATTTTGTTATCAATGATAAAACCATCTGTAACTTATAAAAATGTGTCATGTATTAAAATGATCATCTTCACCGGTATATGAGCCACTAGAACCCCTAGTCACCAAAAAAGGTATATAAGTAAGTTTAGGATTATAATGACATAGAAAGTCTAATAACAATGGTGCACCATTTCAGGTATATTCATTTCATTTCATCGCCCTAACCGAATTTAGTCCCAAAAGAACTTTTTCAATCTAAGTCCATTCTTATATAATATATATTATAAGGTCGGATATTATATTATAAAATATATGTGTGTATGTGTATGGCTACACATCCAGTGGGCATTGTGTGGCAAACTGGATTCCTAGATAATGAAATTATGCGTTGCACTCACTCATCGATATCAAAAATAATTGTTAAAATAAAACTTTTAACCGAATAAAAATGTCTTTCATAAGTGACATTTTTGCTCATAACTACGACGTAATTGTATTTATCCAATTTGTATTGATCCATGGAAGAAATAAAAATATACTAATTCGAAAAATTTAGATTTTTCAAAAATTTAATCGACGGCTTTGGTCAGTAATTGACAGCATCCTTGAAGAAAGTATCACGAAAGACTTTTTTCGCATACACTCGGTGGGTCTGTCTGAGAGACAACACTAGTATATCAGACGCAAATTTATTATATGAAGAGATTCAGTGAGAATAAGCTTATTGTAAGGAACATTTCCGTGGCTAAAATTCATCGTAATTTGTTGCGTGGGAACATGGTAGAGATGATTTTTTACCAAACATATTCATCATTGCAAAAGTGAACTACGCTCTTCCGATGTATAAGGGCTTTATTTCAGAACTTTTTTAATACAAGGGTATGCCAGCAAAGCGCTGAAAATACAATTATTATTGAAAACGGATTGTAATAGGCATATCAACATTTGCTCATTTACGAAACACATGGAATCCATTATGGTCCATACTCGAATTCCAATGAAAAGAAGATTTATTTATTTTTGTAGACTCGGCTTACAATTTCAATGCGAGATAACACATAGGATAAATTATTAATGACGTTTATACTACCCAGTCTAGAGGGCACATATTATGAACATTGAAAACAGCAAGAATTAGTTACATCAATATAGTAATAGATTTACACTCCCGTAGTCCAAATCGTCATACGCAGTTACTGCGTAAATGTCCATGGGCCATCTAACCAATAGAACTTGCAAATATGAATTGCAAATGAAATTTTTTACAAGAGATTTTTTTATTCGTTAAATGGACCATCGGTGCATCCTGGTCAAACCCTAGTCATGAAAGTATTACCAGTCCAACACCCGAGTCATTTGGCAATGTCACTCGTGTTTTCAAGGCACAAACAAAATCAATCTTTAAATCAATAGTGTTTGGCCTAAGTTTGATTTCATACGCATCTTTGGGTTCAGTGTTGAACCAAACTGACTCATTTACACCACCAACTCGTTTGTCAAGTTTTTCTCCCAGGAAAACTGAAACTATTAAAGCACTTGCAAAAAGCATTTACAAAATTTGACTTTTCAATGACCTAATTACAGATAAAAAGTAACCATAAAGGATAAGTCATTACTCAAGTATTAATGTTGATCTAGCATGTTTTATTAAAAACTTGTATTTGCTGTATACTAACATTAAAAGGCAGAATCGTAAATACGATTTTAGCGCATTTTGTCGGGTTCAGAAAATTTGTTATCGAAAAAAGGTTATTGAAACAGTTCCCTGAACCCTAAGTAAAATTCAGATTAATTATCTTATTACACAGATCATTTGAAATGACAGTACATCAGTCGAAATGGAGATAAATTGTGTTTTCTAACTAAGCTGATAAATAATGCATGTAAACCACTTTTGTTCGGAAAACAAGAAGTGAAGCGTGAAATACGATAATACAAATATTAGCAAAACAACGAAAGAATATTGCCAGATTATATTGTAATAGCACATCCGGTAAAGAAGTTGGCGAGATCGAATGGGTTTACTTGATATGGGAGTGGTACGATAATCAATGAGCCCCGACGATGTGAAGTTTTTATCCATGCAAACAAAATCGTCTTCTGTAGTTCACCAAGGAATAAAACTAATCTAATAATTTGCTATTAGACAAACGTTTTTTCACGTGAATACGAATTCGAAGTTATACAGTACGGCAAAGAAATTGGCAAATTTGCATAGTTCAAATATCTGTTATCCCTAATCTCTACCAAGCCACAAACAAAACTAGTATATATGTCTAGTAACCATGGTTACATGAGCTTAATTTTGACATAACCTTCCATCGCCGCAGTAGAACCAAAATACCTTGTTAAATTTTTAGGGTTTTTAATATACTCTCATTTTTGTTATTTTCAGCTCTATACTCAAAACCCTACAACTGACACAAGAGCCCTATCTAAAAGCAAAACTGAAACAGTTGCAGCTTCGAGACCAGGGTCAATAGATGGACAATGAACCACAATGACATAGGATCAAAAAAGTTCATTTCTGAAAAATGTGCCATAAATTACTCGTGTTTTATTGTCTTTTTAACGCTAACCTTTGATGGGACATTTATTGGTTATAACTTTAATAATAACTTATTTACATGTTTATGAAATTTGATGATTCAGATCTTCACTCGCACTATAACTTCTATTGTATGCCCTCAACAACAAAAACATCTGAAAGCAACAGGCTATTTTTGAAAATGACATAATATTTTGTATTTGTATGAAATATATAAACAAACCGACCAGCGTTCGCAATTGTATCTGCAATTACATGCAGAATAAATAAGGATATTCACGAATCTCTGCAAATTCATATTATGCTTTATAATTTTTTAATCGAGATGTTTTCCAGTATTGAAACCATAAATGTTATTTGGGCCGTAATAGATGGAACAGCTACTGGGATTTGTCTATGATGAGTAAGTGGATTTATTCGGTTGTTGGTACACCAGTAGTTAGTTACTGCTCAAATCACCACCGCCTGGTTCTTTGAAAATTTTTTTATAAAATATCCACGGTCGCATATAAAGGCTATATGAACGAAATTTTCTAAGAATCTAAAGATTTTTGAACGTAATAACGTTGACACAATGGAGAAGCGCACAATGGGCACCCCGCGGTTATGTTCAATAAATTTTACTTACGCTAGTAAAGCATTATCGATTGTAACCATCGCTTAAACTCAAACTGTGAAAATTTCAAGTTATTCCATTGGCGCATGACAGTTATTACTTTAGATATAAGTATTTATCCGTATGCTTTTACAATTAAAGCACTACTTAACAACGACGCGCACTTGATCTCTTTTATATCGGATGCATATTTAAATTAGAAAAGTGTCCAACGCACAATGAAAGGAAATCCACTGGTGGTTACTATATAAATATGCATCTATTTCGAATCATTCGAAGTCTCCTCAATTACAATAAATTCCAAACATAGGAAATGTTACACTTTTTTTCGTGTTGATTACATATAAAAGCTTTGAATTTTTTTACCTGTTGCACATTGATTCGAGATTAACCCTAGATTTCTAAAATTTATCATTGATTCTGAGAGACCACATAGTAACGGTATGTCATATTCACTAAGCCGCCGTTTTCTGTGGAAACTATTGAAACTTTACAAGTGAAGTAGAGCACTACAATTGCGGTAAACAGGTGTGCGAATAATGAAACATAATACGGCATATTAAAACACGGAATTTGGTGCCTTGCAATAGCCTACTAGTCGCCTACCTTAGTGACTATGTTCGTTTCGCAGCATGTTAACGGCATGTAAATCGTAACACGAATGGCCCGTTTCTGGTTGAACTGCAGTAATTAATAATATCCTTCTTTTCTTTCGGTAAAATCCTAATATACCTAAATTTCCACGAATTTAAACATTGCTGGGTATTTTAACAAAAACTCACCAAATAGAACGTGTACTGATAAAATGATTCCTATGATGTTTCTGAAAGTATGTTGTTGCTTTCGAGTTTGCCTATATCTTCTGTTCATTGTGGTTTGTAGTTTCCCTCGGAATCTGTTTTACATGACTTGTCGTAGTTGCGAGAATGTCGAAAACGGATTCAGATACGTTATCTACATCGCAAAGTAAGCTACAGGCTATGTTAAGTTTTATATATACTGCAAACAAAACAAAACGTGAGAAAATCCGCATATTTCTGATAACACGCTAAATAAATTTTTGGAATTTGAAATGAAGACGGAACGGAACGTTCGTCGTTGAGTTATCGATTTATGGTTTAGCCGTGTTCAATTCAATTAAATAAAAGAAAGCCAATATGATAAATAAAACTTTTCTGGTGGTAGGTACAATAATCAGAATTCGTGGGCTAATCTCGAAATAAAAATACTAAATTAGTAGTACTGTACTAATAAATAAATAATATTCATAAATTTATAATATCCTGACAAGACATAGCTGTCTATTTTGTTAATGAAATTCGCTAATGGTGTACCTGTATAATTGTACATTTTTGCCCATCAACCGATAAGGGGCGTTCGTTGTAGTCATTTAAATTCAGCGATGCAATCAATACCAGAATGATTGCAAGGTAGAAAACGTTTCGAGGTTTGTTCGGTATCGATCCATGTTTATTGGGGTGAACTTTATATTTGTGAATCGGGCTGAGAGAGAAAACTATTAAATCAAATCAGTCCATGAGAAATGTTATGCTATCGTTAGATACAGATTGGTTGGGTATAGAGGAATTCGTTTATTCGTTTTTTTGTGTCCAAATGTCCTCGTACACTTGGTGATTAACAACCAAACTATTTCCGATATCATGTCACCAATATTTTTCATACATTACGTACACGGTGTGACTATAATACTGAGGTATATCGCGCCAATTTTAGAAAATTGCTTGATCAACCATACCGCAATCATGCGTTTAAGTGATTTGTTCCATAGATTGCCGCTTCCGTTAAAACAAAAATAAACATTATTATATAATTTTAAATCACGAAGTTTCGAAAGTCCGAGGTTAACTATGAAGAATGTCAATTTGACTTTAGACACTCGGCGCGTTGGTCATGTTTGAATACTAGGTTATAAGTATCCCGCTGTTTTTGCCTGGACCTGAAAACCCAATATACTGTATAAAAAAAAGCTTTATCGCGGTTGTAAACTTGGCTAGTGAATTCTCGGGATGAGCTTATTAGATGTTCAAATTATTGTTGGTGCGGGTTGATATCGATATGTACTTCAAAATTGACGACAATACAGTAATTCATATTTCAGACATACGGTTAGAGTGGCCTGATTTCCAATCCAAGAGAGGATCGGATTTCGAGTACAGAAGTAAGTCAATCTAAATCTGACCAAATAACGTTTAAATGCACAATAACTCCATACAAAAACTTACACGAATTTTGCATATCAAACGTGTTACATATTGTAGAATTTTTTTTTTTGCATACCAACATGTCCCTGTAAATGCAACATACATAACAAACTAAAATTACCAGGATTAAATTTTTCTAGTTGCAAGAACGAGCGAAAATGTTCGAATAATACTCAAACAAGATAATTTATGCAACGAAATGTCAAACATAATACTAAAATCTCGCCGTATGTACATTTTCCCGGCGATCGCAAGACGGTCTTATTACATCCTAAGAAAGGATGTGTCAATCATAATCAAAAGTTACCCCAAATAACCAACGCGAGACCAATCTTATTACGGTATTAAGAGCGTGAAAACAACACACGTCAGCCAGATAAACTTGTTGCGCGCAATAGGATATATTCAAAATAGCTTACAAGACAAAATCTTTTTCTGACGTACGCCGAATATAGTGATATAACATAGGGTAATATACGAAACAAAAATGACCATAAATACAAAGATCGAATTAGTTACACTTACATTAAAATAAACCACACATATGGCAGCAACGGGCTCATTTCAACACAAATATAATAGCTGTATGTGTATAATGTGCAAATGGTTTTCAGTAGCAATCGATGTCTCACCGCAAATGGTAACGATAACATTATTAAATCGATACTATCTGTTATTGCCAATTGAATTTTTAAATGTATCGTGTCAGGTTTTTGAATATCTTTATATTTTACATACATAAGCCATGGTAGATATATACATGTCCAAATCACCATCGAGGCAGAACCCTCGAAGTAGTCTAGATTTACACCCGCCTTGAGGTGGAAATATGCATGTATGTAAACAAGTCTTTTTGTAACCAAAAATCATGATCTCCTATTTTGAAAACGACGTTAAATGTACTCATTTGCGAGGTTATTTCTTTTCATAGTTGTAGTTACGGTATATTTACAACCTGCGGTAGACTTTACTGTCAGATACAGGATATGAATGTATTAGTTGTTGCAACATAACACTAAGTTAAGTGCGTACTTATTTCATCATGGTTCAGTGGATTAAATATGAAACTTTGAAACGTTATCTGTTAAATATGGTAACGCCCTTATTCAGTCAGCACCATTACATTTCGGCAAATCAGATTTTTGGTTGGGGTAGCATAATAATTTAGCAATTTTTGGGGTACATATTTAGCCCCTGACTGTTGTGGATATCCTATTTTATTTTGCTCACTAGATAGGTTAATTTGTAGCCGTATTGTGGCACTTGATACTGCTGGCTTTCCAGGAGCAAATTGACGTAATTTGTGGCCGCACTGTTCCTGCTTAGTTTCATAATCTTTCTGAGAGACTTGCCTGCTGTTAGCGCCTTATCGGCGGGAATATTATACATACATTTCAAGTTAATCTTCCACGCGATAACATCTGACGTGCAAGGCACTTGTTCGATAATCCCCACGTTTTCAAATCGTCTGCGGTTCGTCGTTGACCTCATTTGGGCTCTTTCTGTCGCCATAAACCTGCATGAAACCCAATTCCGCTAAATAGCCGATATTTATTTTTACCATACTGTCGCTAAAAACCGTTGTGATAACCGGACTCTTTCCGGACTACATGTAAGGCCTGCGAAACTAACAAATGCTTTTGGAAATGGCGCGTTCTATTGTCTTATCATATCAATTGTAAACAGAACGAAGAAGATAACAAAGCTAGTAACGGTATCGCACAGCGAGCGCATTATTAGAGGGATAAAATTACATGCGCCCTCAGTACGATTAAATCGCTGCATGACCTGAGGTTTACCAAGCATAGCATGTCAGTCGTAGGACTAAACGCGCACCTGAAAAGTCCAGTTTTAAATCCTACCTTTACTGTTGCACGCTTATCATGTGAACTAGTAACCTGAGCGCTGACCGCGACCTTAAGAAGCGTCCGATAAATAAATAAACATTTTCATTTAAATTGCTATTAAGAGTCGATGATGCGGCATTCATCGAGCAATGATTGAAGGTGGTGATGATATAATGTAAATCTAATCGATCAACAGATATATATCAATTTGTATGCAATTAGGATACGCCACCACAAAAATTTACAGAGAGAATATCACATGGCAAAACAACCATACAACCGTAAATATATACTACTACCGAGAATATATTTAATTGATTTTCCTGTCGGAATGCAATGAGTTTCGGCAAATTTTTGAAAGAGAAATATGGCTTATGCCCAAACGTCCTGATGTGAATACACAACACTAAACTCATGATTATAATGCAGAAAGTGTTCATATTAATACTGTGTAAACATTTTTTTTTCAGACAATCAATCAATTTTATTTTGGTCACTCTGAAAAAAACAAAACAACAACAAACGGACAAACAAAATGCAGTGGACCTGGAGGACGGGCATAAATTAATGAAAAAGGTAAAAACATACAAGTACGTGCCCGTCCACCAAAAACAGTCAAAGGAACGTAATAAACACACGATGTAAAATCGGGCAAAACCTTTTAAATCAATTTTGTATGTGAGAAAGTTGCATGCATAGGCTTGCTACAACAGACTTGTAAAATTAGAACCATCTGCACTCTGCAGACAATATGCTGGCATTGTTTAGCTACTTACGCCAGTCAAATTAATGCAACAATCTATTAAGTATATAATGTTCGTCAGAATAAAAACGTAATGAAGAACATGGCGCATTCGTTTACAGTTTGGATTCAAATTTGTTTCGGACCTCCTGAAGTATGTGCACCAAGATGGCGCAAAACCTGAACTCAGGTTGTGTACCAGGTTAGGGTTCAGGTTATGCAACATCTTGGTGCGCATACATCAGGAGCATCTTTGTTTCTCCTATTCAGCAGTCAGCTATATAATATAGGGAATAGGAAACAGCTATATATGGAATATATTTAATTGCCTTTTTTGTTGATATCCAATGAGTTTCGGCAGATTTCTGAAAAGAGAAGCACGCTTTATGCTCAATTGTCCTGATGTGAATATACAACACTAAACTCATGTTTACATTGCAGAAAATGTTTATATTAAGACTTGTTCCAGACAAGATGCTGGCATCTTTTATCTACTTACGTCTGTCAAATTAATGCAAAAATCCATTAAGTACATAATGTTCGATTATATAAACAGCGTAATGAGGAACATGACGCATTCGTTTACAATTTGGATTCAAATTTGTTCCTCTCATTCAGCTATATAGGGAATAGCTACATATTGGTCACAGAAGTGTTTATCATTCTAAAATGTCATTGATCATATCTGGTTTGTTGGAGGTCAATGAATATTGCAACCACCATACTTGAACACAGATATTCTCGATTTTGTGTTTAATGCGGGAAAAGGAAAATCAATGGGACAAATTAATCACCCATTGTGCCATATCACGGATAAACGCCTGCAGACCAGACAACGTTTAAATGCGCGAATAATATATAGTTGGATTGTATATATAAATTGCAACACAAGATTAATTAGAGCTATATAAAATTACAGGCTATGCCAAAGATATGCGACAGATAAAATTACTGATCGATCAGATATTATCTTCCTGATGATAAAGTACTGAAATATGTTAAACGCTTTTTGATAATAGAATGTGAAATTGTAGTGTACCTTACTTTCACTAAACTTGTCCTGTATTATTCACTATCCATACGAAATTGAAAAAAAATACGCCAGCCATATAACTACTAGTTCCATCCAATGTACTATTCAATTTCTATGTTCTTCATTGATAAAATAATTGAAGAAATAGACAACTATCTATCTACAATCGATACAAATACAAACAACATTGTACAATTTATTTTTATTATAACATTTTCGTAAAACGAAGTGAAATCTAGTCCAAAACAAGAAATAATAAACAATATATACCTGTTATATACACAGAAGAAACGAACTAACAGGGGATTAGGGTTGCTTGAAGAACATCGGTAAATACAGTGAGTGAACGGGGGTCAAGTCGAGTGTTCCAAAATCTATCACAGGGATATGCCCGGCCAAGCATATGCTAAAACGCATTGTACTTCACATATGCTTGGCCGGGCAATGCCCAATAATAAGTTAACATATATGACTTGTGAAATCAGTTCATAAATAAAAAATGTTTTTCTAAAACACCAAGCTCTGTGGTGCAGTGATACTTCGTTCAACTTCAGCACAATATTTCTCTGGTACTCCAGCTTTTCGTAGTTCATTCAATTTCTTCTTTTTGACCTGTATATGTTTTAATAACTTAATTAAATTGAAAATAACTATGCAAAACCTATGGTACTCAAGAAATGAGTAGCATGATGCCTGGAGACTGAGCTTATTAGCAAATATAATATAACAAGAACTCTGACCAATATCAATGTAGACAAACATGTATAGGAGAATTTAGACTGAAATTGTTGTTATGTTGAGGTGATTATCATATGATTTGGTTATTCGTTTTGTCCATCTTCATATGGGCTTAAATATGACAGTTGGCACGTCATGCCAAGTATTAGAAATACGATTGCCATCGCACCTCTGATTACCCTGCATGAGTTTGCAGGTCGAATTCAGTGCATGCAAAAGGTTCGCTGGACTTCGTAGGACGATTTAAGTACCCACTGGTCAGTTACAGGTTTTTCAAACATTAAGTATATGCATCTGAATCAAATAAGTGGCCCAATATGGACTGGTCACCATATTATTATTAATCCGTCTCATCACCCTTTCTCTTCCCTGACATAAAAATAAAAATCTTATCCCATGATATACAACACATGCTAAAAAAAAAAAAATTTGAAAGGTGAACTAGTAACATATGATATTTTACCATATCGAGTCTTGCTCTCCTTTGTCTAGCTTCTTCTTCCATCTTGATGCCTTCCTCAAAGAAACTCTTACGATCCTGAATGCGAGCTTGTTCTTTCTCCCGAATTTGTTTCCTTACTTCATCAGCATGATTCAATCTGGCATCTCTCTTGATTTCTTCTTCATCTTTCTCTATTTCGAGCTGACGTTGTTGCTCTCTATTGATGGCGTCAAATTAAATCAATAACATATCAAATTTGCATAACTGCCAGCTATAGATGTTTAGTAGGATTCTTGTAAAATAGACTGATTCATGTTCTATAAATGATACAATGTGAAGTGATATCCATTACCAAAACCTGACGAAAACACATTGGTTGTTATATATATCAATTTTGATGATAAATCATGCTTGCTGTGAAAGTTTACATAATTGTTGTGTGAATGAAAGATTGAAGTGAGTATCAGAATAGCAGCTATCTTGTTAGTTCAATGTTTTCAGATGCAAAGATGTGGTAGGTAAAGGAGGCTGTGTGCGATTACATGTTCTGCAATTTTCTCTCACATAAACCATATGATAAGGGATGGTGCATCATGATAAGCGTTAGGAATACGCTTGCAATTCGTGAGTTTGAGTCCTATTTAGGGGAATCTTATTATGTGCGATAGGATTGTTTAACTCCTCGTCATCAAAAGTTGGTTCACGACCGCTGGTCGGCTATGACTTACTCCACTACCAAATCCATACATTTGAAAAAAATGACTGGTTAACTATTCCATACCCAATGTGGACTGGTAATCGGCCATCTTATCGGCTTTCATCTCCCCCTGAATAAAATGAGAATCCTATCCTATCCGAATCAAAATAACCATCAGTTAGATTGAAGTTGATAAAGGAAAGCAGTTTCGAATCGTTCATTTCTGATAAATAAATTTAAATTACCTCAAAACTCTTTCGAACTCCATTCTTTCTCTCTGGGCTTGCACAGCCATGAAATGTTCCTTACTTTGAATTTGTTCAGTTCTGGCAACCTTCATAACTGCTTCCATCTTGGATTTCTTCATAGCTTCTTCTTGTTCTTTCTTCCTCCATTCACGTTCAGCTTGTTCCTAAATCCAGAGAAATGGGAATTTCAAATAATGAAGGCAAACTCATACTTTCAATTTCATGTTACATTCCATTTTTCCAACTTTACAGTTGTGAAATTCTTATGATATGATCAAATTTAATTCAATAGTCGTTTCTAACAACAATTTTGGGCGCTCCCGTAGTATGTGCACCAAGATGGCGGACACTGGAATGCAGCATCTGTACCACATTAGGGTTAGGCCAAAATTTTATTCCAATTTTCCTTATTTTAGTTCTATTACAAGTTTGGGGACTAGCCAAATGACTCCCGTTGTACCTGGAATTTTAGCCTAACCCTAACCTGGTACACATACTACGTTCCCGTGTCCGCCATCTTGGTTCACATACTACGGGAGTACCCAATTTTGATCTTCAGCATTCATTTTAACTAAGGAGATGTCGAAACGAGATAGAAGAGACCAAGGTATGTCTAATGATTAAGCCATTTTATTTCCTTTCCTCTCCCCCAGGATTGAGGTGATATCTTCTCCAGCGCACTTGATTTTGAACTTCATTAGTTAGTTGACCACCATGTCCATGTCTATATGTTTGAGTATTGCCCTCTTTTTTTAATAATATCACAATATTATACATCGTTTTATACTATTGTTTGTGTCATTGTTTTTATAAAAACTTTTGTATAATTTTTTTTTAAATTATTGCTAAATTTAATTTTTGAAAACCTTTTTTTATATTTTACCTGATTTCTCTTTGCTCGTAGAGCATCCTGTTCAGCTTGATGATCTCTAGCTCTCTCCTGCAAAGCACGTAGGCGAGCAGTTTCTTTTTCCTTCTCCTTTCGAATACGTTCTTGCTCGGCTTCATATTCAGCTTCTCTTTCCTGCAAAACGAAATATTATGTAATTAATAATATAAATGAACTAAAATTCAGGTCTATGTTCATTCATGTAGATATTTTGTTATGCAAGCAGTAAATGAGCCAAATGTGATACTATGAGCAGGAGGATACAGAAACAAATGCTAGGAATAGTGGTGTTCTAGAATCAGTAATCAGTAGTTTATTTTATCACCACATCGAAAATACACTTTTTACATACAAGATCAGGAAAAAAGATGAAAAGTTGCATTCCGCGGTAAAAGGAGTCGCGATAAACCAGAAGTGGTTATCGAGCAGCGACACCCGTGAAATAAAATAGTCTAGCATTAAATTATACAAAAGTAAAAGTAGAAATGAAAAAATCATTGAATCATGATAAGAGTAAAAATACTAACACAAATAGCATATGAATATATTTGCGAGACCGGATATTTCCGGTATCACTAGAAGAAAACGACTCCGAGCGCCAACATCATCATTTCAAAAAATTAATTTTGTATCAAATGCCCTGTACCTACCGGTGTATCTCGTCAAAATCATGATAATATACACAGCAGATTACATTCAAATAATATTTTTGTATGGACTATTCATATGTGTATCAGTGAAGTTTATTTTCGCCTAATGGTACATATATCAAAAAAATGAACTGATAAATTGAAACTCTTACAAGACAATTAGAATTCATGGCAGGCAAGACTGAATATTACGCGGCTTTACGCCCTGACTTAAGATTGTATTAAAATTTTGCATAATAAAAAATTAAACCATCTGAAAATAGAAAATCATTGAATTTTTGTTTCAGTAGATTTTGAGTAAGACTAACAGGTTTATCTTGGTTACTTACTGCTTTCTGTTTCATGTACTCAATAACTTTCTGTTCAGCAAGATGTTCTTGTTCCGTCCTAATTTCTTTCTGCCTTTGATGTTCTTGATTAATAATATCAATCTCTTGCTGCATTTTAACCTGTTCTTCTCGTTTTCTATCAAGATCTCTGTGTACAAGAAACAAAACATGGCTCAATTTCAATTCAACATTTTGCACATCATGCAATGTGCTATGACAATGAGTAAATTTATTTTGAACTCTGCCACGGCATAAAAATTGCAATACACAAGACAAAACATCGCTGATTATCATGTCCAGGTTCGCAGCTTTAAATCTGATGATGCATAAATATATGTGAGAAGAATGTTGCATATTCCGTTTTTGAAGAGTGACTCACAAAATCGCTAGGTATTCATGGCTTCTCCACCATCCATTGATAGCATATAAAAGAATTATATTGCTAATTATTCCCTAGTTACAAATGAGATGGTAACCATACAATATTGACATAAAAATAATGTAATATTGTGATGTATCATCATCATTGCACTTTTTGAAGAGATTAAATCTAAAATAGTTCAGTAACATATTCTATGTGTTTCACAAAAACAATATGCATACAAACTATATTATCTCAACACCAATGCACTGTGATAAAATAACTGTAAAATAATAGTAATGCAACCCCTTACTTAAGATCTTCCATTTGCAATTTTTCAAGATATTTTAACATTTGGAAAGATTCCTGATCTTTCTTTTCTTGTTCTAACAATCTATCTTGTGCATTTTGTTCAATCTGTTTCATGATCTGGACTGCTCCACTAAAAATAATATGTTCAATAAAATATTAACTTTATGTATTTAACTTTATTACTGCATTGAACAATTGGGTTTTATGAAAGATCTGAAATATATAATTGAATGCAAAATTGGTGCTGGCTCAATTTTGCTACGAGTTCGAATTCTATGTAGGGGATAATCAAGTGCAAGAACAAGATTAGCAGTCATAGGTGGGTTCATGTAAGCGCTGGTAGATTACAGCTTCCATCACCATTCTACCATCAAGTAGATGCATCTGAAATAAATGACTGGTTAACTCATCCCATAACGATATCAGCCCTTAACCAGACGAGAGGCCACTGTTCGCAATATAATTCAGCTGACTTATTTACGTTTCTCTCACTTCAAATAAATGTTAAAATCTTATCCTAGTTATGCTAAAAACTTCTTACGCATATCGTTGTTGTTTTCTGAGTTCGTTTATTTTTTCTTGAGTTTTGATTCCATTTATTCTATCAATTTCCATCATTGTATCCAGCCTGATCTCTTCATCACCAAGTTCTTGTTTAATTTGTGATTTTTCGAGAATCTGTGCATCTCGGATGGCGTGACATTTTGCATTCAATATCAGCTGTTTTATTTTAAATCACAGTGTAATTATGATGTCAGACAACAGAAAAGTAGATTATGGACACATTGCCGGAACAAACATGCTACTACCCAGGGTGTAAAAAATTGAGTAGTTTGAGACTAAGTACCTGACCATGACAAAAATAAAAACAAAATTCAAGTCATTTGCAACCTATTCTAGAAAGAATATCAGTGTCCTCCATTACTGAAACTTTGAATACAATCATACACAATCAGAAGTTCAAATTTTTAAGTGTTAAATAAATTCCATCCATTTGTGTGAGAGTAATTAAAAAATTTATGGTTCTGTTTTTTGGATTACCCTATATCTACATATACAATGCCAAAACTTGAGTGGTTGTCTCGTACATCCGGATGGCATTGCTAAGAGATTGCCATTCATAAGCAAATTAGAAACACGATAAATATGATATAAATATCGCTGTAAACAAAGCCAAATTAATGCTATATACATGGTATTAAACAGAAATTTAAAAACAAAAGTTTACATAACTTGAAATTCCAATTAACTTCTGATTCATTATAAAACAATCCTTGTACAAACCTCATTTAAATGTTTGACTTCATCTTCCTGCTCCAGCCTTTGTGCATTTGCTTTTTCCAATAAATATTCAGCCTTTTCTTTTGCCTCTTCTTCTAAATCATTTAGTTTTTCATTCTGCTTTCTCATCATTTCACGTTGTTTCATTTCTTCTTTTCGTTGCTGGGAAGCTTCCTGTTAGAAAAATTTTATTGAAGTTTCAGTGAAAATCAGTGCAAAGTCTTAGCTAAGCCATGTCACCTAAAAACACCTAAAATTTTAGTCTTCCAAAAATTTAACTTTCTACATTCTCCTTTCGCACAGCTCTCATAGATGCAAGAGCGATTGTACGAAAAACAAAAGTGAAAATTTACAAGAACATTTTTTTCTGGTGGAGTGCAACCAAATAATCGGCGATCCAGATTCAGAAGTGTGTGTACCAATATGGAGGTAACAAATTTTGTTCGCCTATTTTACATCAAGTTGTGTGAAAGGGACTGAAACCTATGGGCAGGGGGTATATTCACTTGGCTAACACAGACAGTCCCCGAACTTGTAATAGAACTAAAATAAGGTAAGTCAGAATAAAGTTATGGCCTAACCCTAACCTGGTACACACACTACGGGAGTACCAAATAATCAGCTAGAAATCTAATGATGATTGCTTCAAATCACAACTAAGACAAGAAACACAACTCCATTCCAATTTACCATTGCTTCTTCCTTTTCTCTCTTTGTCATTTCATAATGAGCCTGGATTTCTTCTTTAGTCCTGACACGAGCAGCTCGTCTCACTCTTTCATAATTACTTGGTTTCAAAACAATTGTTAATCCAGATGGATCAGAACTTGGTACACTAAAAATAGCAAATAAAGATATAAATATGTACAAATAAGTAAATGGGAAAACAATAAATATTGAATTCATATTGCCATATTGGGAACAGAAATTCATTCAATAAATCGTAAGATTTTTTAAGAAGGATACTTTTAAAAAACGAGCTTGCGAATTTGGTATAAAAGTTAAATACTACCTTTACAAAAATCCACAGTTAATTAAGAACCCAGACCAGACATACATTCATATACTTGCAATAATTAACGACAGCAATTTAGTTTTACTGAAAGTTGATAAGAGTGTGAAACAAGGATATTTAATTGAAGAAACCCTTGGCCTTTGAACATAGGCATATTGCACAAAGGTAACTTTTGTATAACAATGAATGAATAAATGACTTTTATTTAGGACATTATGACTTACACAACATTTCTAATTAAATCTTTGGTTATGACTTGAACTATTTCTGGCTTTCTGGTTCTTGATCGCAGACCATTGTTTCGAAGTCCATTCCTGGCATGTGGTGATGTTTCAAATAGTTGAGTCTGTTCTTTTGTCTGGTGAGGTTTTGGCTAAATTTAATGTAGATTAGTAAAGCAAAGGCCTTCAACACTTTAGGAGCCAGAGCAGTATTTAAAAAAATCATATGTGACACAAATAATTTAACAGGCTCTAAAAACCAAACATACTTCTTCAATTAAGTAATGAATATTCTGCTTGTCTGATATAAGATAACTCATAACCAGATAATTATTAATTTAACTTAATGTTATCCATATCTTAACAGTTTTATTATTCAAGTCAATTTTGATTCGCCTATTAGTAATGTAATAATGAAAGTAATATGAACAAAAACATAGAGTAAATTAGGCTGGATCCAATTGGTCCTAATAAACAACTTAGATAAGTTACGCTGTAATGAGTGAACACAGTAATATTGTAACGTTAATAGTAGACCGGAATAGTCTCTTTCATTATGGATAACTGACATAGGCTAGTATACCTTGCTGGGGCTGCCAAATAGAGATTCGTCAACACTAGATTGTTTAGATTTAGTTCGATATCTTTTTGAATACCTCGATCCTGTGCTTCCGTTGGACGATGCCACCGATACAACACGACTGGCAGGCTAGAAAACAAAGAACCAATATTAAAATGTTAATAAAAACGCTAAATACAATCTTATTATAACAACTGACCATTTTGAAATTGATAAAAATCAATCGATTGATATACTTTCAGCCGCAAAACAGGATACAATCAAACCCGTCAAAGAGAAGCTCACAATAAAAAATGAAGCAATGACGACTTTGTGTCGCTTAGCAACATAAAATTTGTTTTGCTCTCTACTGGCCCTAGTGATAGTGTGTATTAAACGAGGTGATTCGCTCATTCTCGCGGTTTTGCATGTTATTTGTCAGTAGTTTTAGTAGTGTTTCCCAAAATTGGTTATCAATTAAAATAATTTAACTATCATTGTGTTCTCCGATGAGTTTTAGTTTGGTTGTAATATCCAAATATTAGTCCCGAAAAATTTACGATAAACTAGGTTAAAATTAGTTATCAGTACTTGTAAGCGACACGTGGTTAAATGTTTTAATAAAAAAGATAGTTTTGAACATGTAAACCAGTTTGTGGGCGCAAACTCCCCAAAACACTGTCAGAAAACGTATTCAATTTTTTACTATAGTAAAGTATGAGAGATTTCTCGGGGATCGGGGAAATGTCCATAGTTTTCTTTTCTTAAAAATTATCGGCTTTCCTATGCTTTGGAATAAAAAATGATAACTTATCCCTAATTATATTAAAAATAAATAAGTCAAATAATAAGTTAGATATCTGCGGTTTTAAAGGTAAAAAACAAGAGAGCGATGCTCAAATATATATATGGGCGCGAAAGCCCAAAAAAAAATACCGTGCTTCCCCGAAAAAAGGACAGTGTCTTATTCCAATTTTTTTCGAAAAATAAAACTAGGGCTTATTTTCAGGGGATGTCTTTTCTTTTCATTTATCAAAAACAAAATTACAAAGTAGAGGATTACGAGATTTTAAAATATAAAAGATATGAAAACCGATATCCATTCACCTAAAAAAGCACGTTTTCCTTTCTCACACGTTTTAGATCAGTGCTCTCCAACCTTTTTGTTATTGCGGAACCCCTGATATAATTTTTCGTTTTTATGGAACCCCAATTAACAAAATTGAATAAAGAACACGAAATACTCGTAACACGAAATATTTGTAATTCAAATATTTCTATTTCAACAAAGAAACAGAAAATAGGTAACAAGCGTAAAATTCAATGACAAGGTTGTGCTTGAATTTCTTTTGCAATCTTCTTGAATCGTGGCTCCACGGCGCTCAATGCAATTCTCATACTCATGTCTACACTCTTAAAACAATTTCTTTTTTCTGTTTTTAATAGTTGTTAAAGCAGAAAATGCTGATTCACACAAATAGGTATTGGGAAATTGACAAGGAAGTTTTGATGCTTCTTTTGCAATTGCTGTAATCTCCTTGTTGAGAGAAATCTAAAAATATGCCTTTCCATGTTTTTTGAAGGTATTAAAAAGTCGGGTTTCACACTATTTTTACTATATTCCAACAAAAGCTGAACAACATGTAACTACGGTGCGACAATGGCGTTCTTTTCTTGTTATTTACATAACAATGACTAAAGTGACGCAACAACCGAAAATATTTCAGTTTTGTCTATTTATTGCACTGTGACTAAACCTCCTATTTAACGAACTGGCCTACTTGTAGTTTGAATAAGACACGGCGGTCTAAGAATATTTTCAATGACGCATCAACATGCTGAAGCAAGAAATGATTTCCCCTGAAAAGAAAACAAAAAACGCGGAACCCCTAAGGGCCTAAGGAACCCTATAAATTCACGGAACCCCACTGCATGCATGTATTGCGGAACCCTAGGGTTCCGCGGAACCCCTGTTGAAGAGCACTGTTTTAGATTGATAAATTTGCGCTATTGACTGGGTCTTACTTTAAGGGGAGGGCTTGTATTAAAATCATTCTTGAAATTCAAGCAAGGTCTTATTTTCAATGTATGGCCTATTTTTCGGGGAAACACGGTAGTACGCGTATATAACATCAGTCCTTTACGGTACTGGTACAGTAGCTTTCCCATTTTTAACTGACCTCACAATCACAACGAATGCGAACGCGAAACCGCCACAAAGTGCTCAAATTTTAATAAAAAATAGGAATCCCACAGACCCCACAGATTTCTTAACTGGATAGTAATAGCCTTCTAACGACCACAACAATCCTTCACCACTGAAAATTTCAGAGCAATTGGTCCAGTAGTTAAAGAGAAAGGTGTTTTTCTTTACAACAACAGGAAGAAAAATACCAAGAACATAATGAGGAAACGATCCATGGGTCCACTTCATTTTTAAAAATAAAGAATCACGATACGCAATGTCTTGACTTTGCATGAACTCCACTAACGTTGTTGTCAAAGTTCTGGGAGAATATGGCATGAAATTGTTTAATTTGCTTTTTAATGATTACTCGCTGAACTACAGGATATTCGTTGATTAATATTTTACTTTGACCTCACTATTGATGTCGGAGTGACCTAATTTTTATTTCTCTCAATTGGGAACAAACTCAATAATTGGTATATATTTATATTTTTTTATTATCATCATATTATATTATATTCACAGGTGTCCGACTTGTCACACGTGTCCCCTTTTTCCCACTTGTCCAAACCGCCCCAGGGTGAAAATTGGCGTTTAGGTGAACTATATCTGATTAAACTATTCTTATTACTATTTATAAAAAAATATACCTGAATTGAATTTTTATTTAATTTGAATGGGATACATGCATTAGAAATGTACCGACAGATACCGCTTTTTCAAAAAGTCGATATTGCCTATATTCCGATAATACCTAATTTTCTCTTGATTGTAGAATCGAAGCTAACCGTTTAAACTTTAAAGGGTGCTCCTGAAGTATGCGCATAACCTGAACCCTAACCTAGTACACAACCTGAGTTCAGGTTGTGCGCCATCTTGGTGCGCATACTTCATGAAGTCCATTTAAAGTACTTGAATCAATTACACCGTAAATTGCTTCGCAACCTAATACGTACGCAGAGTTGCGCCTCAACACCTTTATTTTCAACAAATTACGGTAGTTTCTGCAGACGTTCTGTTGCGCACAGGCGCTAGGAATCTCGGTGGTTGATCTGCGTAATCTAGAAAAGTGTGGTTGTAGGTAAGTATATTTGGGACAAATGTGGCAAGCGGGGTACTGCGAAAAGTGGCACAATTGGGACACTACATTTTTAAGACACCCCTTTATGCACATACTATCGCTTTTCTTGTCATAGTTGATATATGCTCGCCGCAACGTTGCAGAAATATACGCGTTAATGTGCAGCAAGACCCTCGAAATCAAACTAAGGTAGAAATTGCAAAATTCTCCGGCGGAGAATAATTCCTTGTAGTCTACTATTTGTTTACTTGTTTTAAGAGTTAATGGGTATGAAACACCACTTTATAGCCCAGTTGACAGAAACGTATCAACAAATCGATTTTATTTCTAAACTTTAACTCACATCCTTTGCCACTCTATTCAAAATAGAAACCCATACTCGTACCGCCTGAATCAGGAAAATGTATGGTTTTCAGAAGACAGAAATAATTCCTCATTGAACTGCAGTATATTTCATTTAGAAAAGGTAAACAGAAAAAGCCATGATGAACAGAAAATAAGTACAATGAAATGAAAAAAAACTAAAAATTCTATTTTGTAAAAGATAGTGACTACGAAGTAGTCAATAAAATTACAAAAAAGTAGGTATAAGAAATTTATTGTGGAAAACGTGTCGTTTAGGAATGAGTCCATCGCAAAAAATATAACAAAATGCTGAATAATTTCAGTCCCATCAGGAAGTTTTATGTACCGTATTTGGCAGTATTAGGATTAATATTTTGGACACTGGTAATCTGAGAGGCCAATACCGAAGACAACAAGAAAAAAAACACTATTAAGTTGTATCAATTCTACATTACAATAAGAAGACATTGCAATTGAAAATTTATTGCTACATTAGACAGTGGTGCATGGAAGTGATAACTTTTTTCACGTCAATAGAATAGCATTTGTATTTGTTCAGTCTCAGTTTCCGTTGGTTAATGCATTCGAAATAAAATATTCAATGCACAAAATATAAATATATTTGTTGCTTCCAATGCTTGAAATTTCAGGTGAATTTCTTCATATCACCTACGTCACCACCAACTCGCACAGAAAAAGCGCTGTTTACTTTATGAAATGACTACTTATGCACCATATATACATGTTTTACATCAGGGGTGTGCAACATGTTTTGTGAGCGGGCCATTTTGCCAACTTCGGACATCTGGCTGGGCCACACAAGTTTAGTTTTTCAATGTACAGAACGAATTTATTATTACGTCACAATATGTGATAAAGCAGCGTTATAGAAGCCTGCAGGAACGAAATTAGGGACATCTAGCTAGAAAAGTGAATGCATCCATTGCTTAGCCTTACATTAATAAATTCGACGGGCAAAACAGCGAAAGATTCAAGGCAGCGGCAAGAGCAAAAAATCAGTATGTATTTTACCCATGTTCTGAAATAAACTTTCGGATTAGGATTTTATGCTTGATGAGTAAAAATCGGTAATCCCGAAGTATGTGAACCAAGATGGCGGACATCGTAATGTAGTAAGTGTACCAGGTTAGGGTTAGGCCATAATTTCAGGTACAAATACTACGGGAGTCTCTTGGCTCCCCGAACTCGTAATAGAACTAAAATAAGGAAAATTGGGAAAAAATTATGGCCTAATAATCTGGTACAGACAATACGTTCTGGTGTCCGCTATCTTGGTTCACACACTTCGTGAGTAACTAAAAATCTGCGAGTTTACAAGGGCCACACTGAATGGTATGGCGGCCGCTTGTTACTCACACCTGGTTTACATCTTTCTAATGTTCCCATTCAAGGCATAATAGCCTATCCAACCTTTTTTAGATTGATACGAACAAAAAATACATTTATCTGTTTTCAAAGTTTCTGTTGCATTCTCAGTTATAAGTAATATCATTATATATTGATTCATCAGCAACATGCTGTTTTTGATTCTTAATAAAATAAAAATAATAATTAAAACGATTCACTTGAATAATTCCATGCATGTTTAACAATGATCATGATGACATCACAATGCCTATTATACGAATTTTAAAATTAAATAATATTGCTGTCAAAAGAAAATCACATGACACAAATCAATTGTCTCAATAGAACGTTGAAAAAAAAAGTAATTCAGAAATAATAATGCTGAATAAAATATTTTCCATATACACGCAGATATGACTAACTTAAATTTAACATCACAAAGTATTACCAGTTCAATTTTTGTTTTGAATGTTGCCAGTCATAAAAATGCTGTAATATATAATGGTAGGACTGTGTGAAAAATGAAAAACTATGCTCTATATTGGAATTTTCAATATTACTTTCTTATAGAAGATGACATGATACATTAATAGTCTGCAATAACATTTCAAAAAGCTGATAAATTTTACTAAAATTCAAAGGTTTATTCTTTGTTCAGTTGCTAGTGATAAATTAAGCTTGAAACATAGTTGGAACAAAGAGCTATTGGCAGAAAGCGTTCATTTTGTTAAGCTCAAGAAATGAATTTAAAAAAAAAATCTAAATAGAAAAAAAAATCATAAAATTTAAAAACATGTAAAAATACAATACTGCCCAACTTTAAAAAATACATCAAATCAGACTAAAGTTCCTTGTTGTGAACTTAAATTATAAGAGCCCTCTCTTTGTTCTGGCCACAAAAGGTCATCTGCTGAAGCAGTTCTACGTGGAGGTTCATGAGCCAATCTCGGATCACCGGTGGTTGGTACCATGCCCTGATGTCCCATATGATGGTAATGATGATGGTGTTGTTGAGAACTGAGAGGCGCAACTTGATATTGCTGCTGAACTTGACCTAAACCTCCCGGCTGTTTCCAAGTTTCTGACATTGACCTGGTTGTTATAAGAAAAGTATTTATTAATTTAATACTACACTGTGCTTTATTAGTTAATAAAAATGATTCACATACCTAAATGTTTTTAGAATGAATATTACATACTATGTACAAGGAGTTTATGAAGTTTCACTACAATTTTTTTTCATGGAGTCGGTGCTCAATATATCCCAACTGGATTCGTTTTATATTAATCAGTGTTTATTTAAATTTTTTTACTTCATTTAATACACTCGAAGGGACCAACAAACTAGCTATATATATGGTATCAATGAATTCCATTAGCAATTTAAAAATTAAGGACTTCATGAATACCCTGTATTAATGTTGCTTCGCCAGACCCACTAAAACAAGCTCGCTTGAGAATGAAAGTCGATGTGCATCAATATATCATATAGGCTAGACTATTTCCTATATAGCAGTAAACATTATTATATAGCACTTATACGGGCAACATTTTAGTGTAAGTTTCACTTGTGAAAACGATAAGGAATGCTCGATTGTAAAAGAACACCTAAAAATTGACCTACTAAATTCTAACGAAATGATTTACACCACATTTATATTCTAAATAAACCTATAACCTATTTATTTCTACCAAGCATGCCATATACTATATATACTAAAAGGAAGACAGGTCAAATTGTTCCCCAAGTCTAACAATTGTTCAATACCCAGAAAAACACCAACACAGAGACAGATGTAAAGTTTACCTGACGAAACCTCCTTCAACGCAAGCTTGAAAAATAAAAATACTCCACTAATATAAAGTTTTTAAACAAAATTTATCAATGTGGGAGCTGTAGCACAGAATTGTTTGAATAATTTATAATATTATGTTTGATTTGATCAAGCCAAATCTTTTTAAATTTAGAAGCAGATTTCCGATTTCATCTGCAGTCAGATTCACTACTGACATATTAGTAGATAATCAATTCAAGTTTTAAAATTCCCATTCTATGCAGTGTGCAACGTTAGGTCATTAGCTACTATTTTCACTTCCTTATGTGTTAAAGTTTGATACAAAAATAAATAACTTTCCATTTTCCAAGTCCAGATGTGTAATAAATATAGGATTGTAATTGTACGAGTGCATCACATAAGAAGATATCCAAGTTGCCTGGACAAAGAAAAGTACTGCAGAAGAACACCAAAATTGACTCAAACTTTGAAAGAAGATCCACGACTTGACAAGTGTGTACATGAGGTGAGAGTTTCAAAATAAAAAGATCACCAAGGATGAGCATTGTCACTCATAATGAAGAGTGTAGATATAGTAAAGCAGACGAATATCAGTATATGAATGCTTTCACAATTGTTGAACAAAAGTACCGGTCTTCTAAACAAAGAGTAGAGAAACTACACCAAAATAGGATCGAAGGACAAAAACAGCAAAGACAAAATGACAATATCAGAAGAAATATAGAACGAGTTTGGCCCCATAAGGGGCAGAATTATGTTTGTCATTCCTCCATGATTAAGACAAAGAAAGATAGTTCTCTGATAAAAGTGGCAAAACAATCTTCACAGAAATGTTGATGATTGTCACCCTTGCCAATTCAGGCATTTATGTACCTTCTGTGTGTATTTTTACGTTTGAGATTCACCGATGCAGTTTTGCATCTGGTTGCCGTCTGATAAATGGATAATGGTGGTTTTGATGCTCCAACCACCATTTCACGACATTGTGATGGCGTGGGAGTTGTTGCACGAGAGGACTGTGATATAGCTTCTGTGAACGACCTCCTACAAATTCAATGCCATAAGTAATGAAATCAAAATTACCATTTCCACTGTTTTCAGCCAGCTTTGTAATAACAAAACTCTAATAAATATCAGAAAAAGGGGGCTCCCGAAGTATGCGAACCAAGATGGCGGACATCGGAATGTAATATGTGTACTAGGTTAGGGTTAGGCCATAATTTTAGGTATAAATACTACGCGAGGCTCTTGGCTAGTCTTCGAACTGATAATAGGACTATAATAAGGAAAATTGGAAAAAAATTATCGCCTAACCCTAACCTGTTACCCATGTTACGTTCCGATGTCCGCCATCTTGGTTCGCATACTTCGGGAGCACCAGAAAAAGTTTCCAAATTCAGTACAACACGCTTAAAGCTTAACATAGTTAGTTAGCCAATAGCCACAAAACTTGTTAAAACTTAAAAATACATGTTTATGAGGACTAAATGTAGGTAATCATATTGCATAGTGAGAAACCAACTTTCTAAATGCACAAGATGAATGATAATTTATATCCGTATATTTGGAATAAGATGTTTTGACATTCATACATACCATAACTTTCAAAAGCAACTATGTGGAAGAGAGCACTTGAATTTTCAAGAAAAAAAAACCTGTTAAATACATGGAATGAAAAATGTATCAGCATAAAATATTTAACCTTTTATATTTCAGATCTTGTATTCCATACAGAGCATTGTACATATCATTTCTTTGGACCGAAATGCTGTATGAACTATCATTCTGACTTCTCATGGTTTTAGCTTGAGAAGAGCTTACAGTCGATTGAGATGGTGCTGATCCACTTGTACTACCAGATCGCTCAATTTTCTTTGCTGATCTGGGGGTTCGCGGCAAGGTACCTGATTGGCCGATCTGATATTGTTGTCGTCTGGAAGCATTTTGCTGTTTAACATCTTTCACTGCTTGAGGTGGGCGTGACGGAGTGTTATTACCACGAGGGGCAGCAGGAGGTCGGACTTTCGATGAACTACCAGATACAGATTCATTATACATTCCTGTTGTTTTTTTGTTAGGAGTAGAAAGTGCCATTTTTGTTCCGTTACCAGATCGAGTGCCACCTGGTCTGCTACGGATTGGTGTGGACAAAGTTCTTTGAAACATCGGGGTAAAATTGGTCTTGTGTGAATTGTTTTGAGATTTTGATTCATTTCTTAAATCTTTAACTGGATAACATACTCCGTCATCATTTAATGCCACAGGTTGGCTCGATCTGCCAGTGCTTGAATCTCTGTCATTTCTAGTTTTACTTCTTGATCTTGGAGTTTTTGTTTCACCTTGCACTGAATTTTGCATTGGTGTCGGATCATCCATTGATTTTGGTAATGGACTCAAAAAGTCTCCTGTAGCTCTTCTTTCTCTAGTCGATGAGCGCAGATTAAAATTTGGCGGAGACGAAGTTTGATCAGGTTCAAGATTATTTTTCAGACTATATTTATCCAAATTCTTTTGTGAATCTGCAAGAGCTTTCTGTGCAACGCGTGCAGCTTCAATAGCAAGTGCTTGTAGTACGTCAGTATTAGATTGGGAGCTAATATCAGAAGCAGCACTGGGTGATAGTGGACTGTTGTTGGATTCTGGCTGGCTGAGTGAAGTTTTCAGTTTCTGTTTCACAGGGGTTTTAAAAAAGAATGGATTTTCATCATCCTTGTTTTTCCTATCCAAGGTTTTCAATTTATCGGGCGTACTTGGAGTGCTTTTCGTAACTGTAAAAACGCTAACTTTGTGACCATCTGGACTTGTTCTAGTGGCCTGAACAACAAGTGCCGTATCTTCAGAACTAGGAATAGGTTTTGTGGATTGGTATTCTGTTCCGGTTGTTTCTTCAATATCTTTCCCTTTGCTAAAGTACAATTATGTAGGCATGTAACAAAACATTTCATTATCGTTGTTATTTGGAGCAAATCTGTCACCATGTTAGGAATGTGTGTGTGTAATGAAAATCAAGCTTCCAGGCAAGAAATAACAAGATTAAGTCAAGACAAATAAAGAAGACCGTATTCTCAATGTAGATATTCAAAAGTTTTGATGTTAGATTTTTTGGAACTTGGGCAAATAATGACATATGCCTGATTTTACTTTTCGGACATTCATAAGTTCAATAATCGACTCGAGGATATTTAACGATTATAAATATCTAAAAATCCTTTCCTAAAATATTATAATTTGATAAAATAACTGAAACTTTTACTTTAGGATTGGCATAAATCATCATCCGTCTACAAAAAAGCCAAGAGCATTAATCATAATGAATGGTAATTGAGAATTCTGGAAAAAGATTGTTAGATTACAAACATTTTCTCCAGAAGAAGTAAGACATTCATCAAGAAGAAGGGAAAGTAGCTTGAAGTTCTGGAGAATGAAGCCAAAGAATGATTCCACCAAACCCCATGATACATGGAAAATAAGTATGTCATGCTGAAGTTGTGGGTAGCAACGTAACTACACAAAAGGCAAGATGGTAGACCATGCCATTCCAAAAGAAGGCAACGTCAGAAGATAAAGATCCCTATCATGCGAACGAAATATCAGAAAGGTTTAGGCAATATGAAAACCAGAAGATTATTTGTATCTGTCAATAGAAGCGAGTATGGATGTTAAAAAGATTACCAAGGACAACACCGTTCTTTTGTCAATCTTGACAAAAACGTCTTGTGAATATAGAAACAAGGCTTTTGTAATGACTTTTCAAGGAAGAACTATAAAAAGCAGTTCTTTTCAACGCTACTCCATTTTATAGCCTATACACTTTAATCAGTGTATGAATGAGAGAATTTTGAAGTTTTCATCATTACACTTCAATACAATAAATCTGCCCTCAACCTGTGATTATCAAAATATGGCCCAAAGCGTTGATACCTTCTGAAGTAAGGAAATTTTTCCACTTAATAATATCCCGGAAACATTATAAGATCTTAGAAAGAAAGCCTCCTCCTATTTATTTACATACTGGTTTTGTCAATCTCACATTTTTTATATAATTTTTCAAAACATGAATACTTTTTTCTCACGTTAGTATACATGAAATCTTTGCAGATTTTATCTTATGCAAGGTTTTGAGTTTTTAGTTTTTTTTATTTGAATAAGATATAGATTTTTATATCATGCAATTTTTTAAAATGAAAGTTTGGCAACAAGTTTAGTCAGTGAAAAGTGTTAACCCATTACACACCTAAAAGATATTATTTATCAATGTAGTTAATATGTTAATAGTCAATGATAAAACACCAAAAAGTTATATAGAATTAAAACAGAAAGATTTTCATATATTGCAAATAGTGGTTAAATATAAAACCTATTAATAATTATTCAGGTCTATCAACATATCCAATAGATTAGGATTCTGCTTTAATATGCAGCAGTTTAGTTTTAGATTTTAACATCATGAAAAAAGAATTTTGTTGCCGAGTTGAATTTTCAAGATGTATAAATTTGATTTTTTTTGAGAATTAACAAAAAAAAATGTGGTGATATGGTTTCCATGACACATATTATGACAAAACAAAATATTTTGCAGCAATATATAAAGAACCACTATTTGGCAGAAAATATACATCGAAAATTAAAATTCAATATTCAATTTATTAGTATTAAAAGTGACTTACATTTGCTGTTGTTGTTGTCGATAACCAGTTTGTTGTGAAATTCGATGCGATGACTTGGCTTGTTGAGACATAGTCGCTGTAAATCCAGAAGCTAATTTTCTTGCATCCGTCATGTTGGCTGCATTTCCTGTCGCTGGGAAATTATGTGAGAGAGATGTGACAGGTTGTGTGACAGACATGAAATTTGTGCTGTGTTGTGTCGGATTTTGACGTCGCGTAGTGCGATCTATATAACCACCAGTGAGGTGAGAATTATAGTCATCCGCAATGTATTCACCCACTGGATGGGAGTATGTACGAGGCAAGTTTTCAGGGGAGCTATTAAAATTGGCAGTGGTAGGGTAGAAATCGTTAGGATCTCCGGTAGTATAGGAATAAGTACGTTGAAGATCAGCCAAAGTATAAGTCGTTTGGGGACGTTTTGGTGAGCCCTCTTTTGAGACATATTTACGGGGTAATGTTGCTGAAAGGTATCCTCGTTCGAAAGGATTAGAGCCCGGATAATCAGGATAATTTGTTTGCTGTGATCGAATTTGTCTTGAAGTTGCGAAATTATTAACAGGTGCGGAATATTTTCTTAGTTGGTTAGATCTGTGATCTGTTGTAATTAATTTCAAGAGACAGTAGTACAATTGACAATGACATGCAATAATGTGTGACATTTTGTGATTTTCCGCAAAATGTGGAAGAGTTTTTTAATTAAAATGAAGTGTGACATGAAGAAGGTTGCAAGACAAGAAACAAAGAGAAAGAAATGAACACATAACATATTTAAGATTGATTATTTTTTGCAAATATGTTATGCGTAACACAGCAATAGATGTAAGTCATAAATTCAATCTTTCCTTAAATTTCAGAATCATTATGAAGGAGAGTGTGAGACAGAATTTGGATGTCAAACAGTTTAGTTTAATTAAAAATAGAACGATCAATTAGAGTGATTTTATAACAGCTAGTCAAAATAAGTTGAACAATTGACTATCCCTTCACAAATATAAAGATCCTAATTCGAAATCATAAAAAATACAATCTATTTTTTTGAAAAAATAGAAATATTATCAAAATTTTCAGTCTGATTATTTTACAACTTACATCTATATGCAAACATGCATGCTTGATCATCGATAATCAATCAATACATTAGCACATTATAATATAATTGTATATGGATAAAAAATGAATAGCAAAATGCAATTTTTTGAGATTCATATCTCAGAAAAATGATTCTTTTTCTATCTAAGTGCATTCATCTATATAACAATATATGAGCAATTGTTTCAGGCAACTTGATTGATTATCTTATTTATGGTTAGTGAAAAAAGATGAATTTCGATAATCCATCATATTATTATAGTTATATCACTAATTAAATAAAATAGCTTTTAACACATGATATAGTTTTTGGTACATATAACAGACATCTTGTTGCCAATTTTTAAAAAAATTTGAGAATTAAGCAAGTTAGTTAATACAGGATAAGATTTATTATATAATGAAATGGGGTATCCTATAGATGAAATAAAAAAAGTAGATGGGTATCTCAAGACAGTTGGAAACCATTTATTGATATATTAACAAGTTTTATTATATTCTGGAAAAATGAGTTAATTGAGAAGAAAAATCGACAAATCAAAATATTATTTTTATGAGATCTACCTCAAATTAAGATTGTTACAAAATTATTCATAGTGCATATATGCTGAACATTTTGATCAATTTAAATATTTTATCATTCCAGTGTTATGTTATCAAACATGCCGACATTAACTTGTTAGTACATGTACAACAAGGACAAACAAATATACCACTGTTTGAGACATACAAACATTGCCATACATACAGACAGACATGCAACAATTAGGATGAAATATTCCGCCAGTACTAGGGAATAAAGTGTGTTTGTTTCATAGACGTTTACCCTCAGAAATTAACATTTCGGTTGTGACAATGCCAGAATTCAATATTATTTAGTGTCACCACCATAACCTAAGACAAACATGTCTCTAAACACAATGTATGAGTAGACCATACAGAATAACATTTTACTATGGAATTATGAAGACTATGGACTAGGCTTAACCAATGAACATATGATTTTTACATACGAGATTAGATATAAATGTAAGAATGAAGAAATGAGAATACACCGATTATTTCTTACCATTAAAAGATATGAATCCATTTTTATCGATATAACCTTTATGAATAGTATTTTGAGAATATTCGGAAGCCGTATCTAGAGATAATGAAAGAGACAATGAATAGATGCTAGAACATAAAAATTAACAAATTACATTGAATATGAATACAACCCAAAGGATGCAAGATACAAAACACTGTAAATGAAATCCTATGGAATTAATTTTTTTCTAGTTTGACGTGGGAATCAAATTTTTTAAACTTCAAATCAATTGCAATTCCCAATACAGAATATTAGAAAATCAAATAATTCTGACACAAATACCTTCAAATTACAACAGCAATTCAAACCTAATTATTGTCTTGAAACTGTATAAAGAGCACAAGTAACAGAAAAACAAGGTAACATCCAAATTTTTTATGTAACATTCTACTATGAACTCACCCATTGGCTTGTTGAGATTCCTTTGACCAAGAACATTTTGTTGCTGTGATGACAATGGTGGTGGTTGTTTGTGTGCAAAAATATTCACGCCCGATGCTTGTTCTGATTTTCCTGGTGAAGACGGTTGTTGCGTACTTCGCTTCATGGTTTGTACATTTTGTTTGTATCCTTCCCATGTTTTTGCTGTTGGATCAGCATTCGCAGGCTAGATTGAATACAAGTTTAATTAAATAAAATGGAAGAGTAAAGCTAAACAGGCAATCCCACATAATCTGGCCTTCTCACAATCTTCTAGTTGAATTTTACTGGAGATAAGCCAAGTTTGAAGACATAAAATATACAGTGTTCATAAATGCTAGATAAATTCTGAATAAATTCTAAATTACAATTCCAATTTAGTTACAAAGTCAGTGCTCTATATATATTTATCAAGTTTGTTCTATTTTAATTAGTGTTTATTCAAGTTTTATTAATTCAATTGATACATCTGTATGGGCCAATAAAGTATGTGGTATTAATAAATTTTTCTCCAATTATACTAATTTCAGGAATTTAGGAACTATTTACTCTATTTTTCTCATTCCTTGCTTCAAGTGTGCACGAAAAGACAAGACCTCAAATTGTCATTTGTATTTTTATGTGAAAAATAAATTGATAAAATAGTAAGAAAACGGCCTTGTTTTTGTGATTGAGTCTAGTTGATTTTACAGCATGATAAAGATATGCCGGCATTTACCTTGGAATCTTTTTCTTTCATCATTTCTGCTCTAATTTTTGCTTGTAATTTCCTATCCATTTTGTTTCTCATTGTATTGGTACTAGACGTTGATGGAGTTCGTCTTGGAACCCAATTATGAGCTATATGTTGCTGTAGTAACTCCATAATATCCTAAAATTATAAAATGAAATCACACGTTTCACAGGGTGTCGTCTATATCTATATAGATGTAGTGAAGGGCTCATTTCTGGAATTTATTCCGAATATTCTACTAAATTTTTCTACTTTCGGTGATTAAATTGGTTGGCCAATTCCTGACAGAGTAGATTCCATTCATACCAAAATAAGAGCTACTTTGAATATCAGTGGCTGATTTTTTGGAGCCCTTCTCAGAGTGAAGTTGTGGTGAAAGCCTTAAATCAGGGGTGTGCAACTGGTAATACAGGAGTGCCACATTCAAATAACCTTTAGCACCTTTATTTAAGCAAATAAAAAAGCACCTTTATTTAACATAAGCTTTAAAGTAGTGAGCACAAAAATTTTGCTTATTAATCTTATGACATGCGTTGTTTGTTTCGCACATGTTAGCTGTTAGGGCATCGTGACATATTGGGATTGCTCGCATGTACTAGATTAAATTAAATTAAAAACTGGTTCTGCGGGTCGCACAGATCAAAATTGTCAAGTCTCCGCAGGCCGCACAATTTTTCCTTGTGGGCCGCATATTGCACTTCCCTGCCTTAAATAATAGAGCGCCAAATTCCACTTCGTTACAAAGCACACTGTAGGCCCAGTCTCGAGCATAATGAAAACATTGCGATTTCTAAGAAAAAAACATTCAATAATGGAAAAATCATAAAAAAAATAGTATACCTCTTTTTTAGACTTGGCAGGTAAACTCTCAGCAACAGATGCTCTGCTTCCATAATCATCTAATGAAGGTACCCAGCCCATTCCCTGAATTTCTTGGAATGCTTCATTGTTGAATTTATCACGATCCATGACGCTCATGTTCTGGAAAATATAATAAATTGTTTACTTCAAACTTCAAAATAGATTAATTGTGCATTGAATAAAATAAGTGAAAATTTAGAAAATAGGAAATAAGTTGGGTAATAATATCTTTCATGTGTAAAAGTGTTAATAAGCATATATTCTTTTGTGATAAAAGTAAATATCTGATTAGAAATTGAAATATGGAAAATTGGTAAAAAACTAACATATATGATTAAAAAAAATGACAAGTCTTCAAAATCGTGAAAATAAGAATTAGATAAAATGTCTTCAAAATCAATTGATTACGTAGTAGATTCATCAAAATACTGAAACTTCAGAACAAAGTCATATTGCCTCATTGATAATTAAATGAATTTAAAAACAATATTTGCAGAACTTCATGATTTTGTGTCCATCATTCACAGCTACAGTTGTTAAATATGATTTTGGTATTCCAGCCAGTGTTAGACGGAATCAAGTCACATTTAACAAAAACAAAGTGACGCCAGCCAATCACTTGGAATGACTTGGACACAACATTAAGTAACCACCGGTGAAACTTAACTCAATGATTGGCTTGACTATGGGACTTGGAGGAACCATGACTATACTTGATTCAGAGTTTAGGGACTTCTACTCAACAATGGTACTAGCAAAATTGAAGGGTTATAACAGATAGAAGGATGAATGCAAAATTTGAAAAACTTTCAATTGAAAAATTACAGAGGAAAAGATGCCTTTTGAGCTGGTTTTCCAATCAAAGTTTGAAAATATTGTTATCAAGGTATTTCAATAAAAATTTAGGAGATTGAAAAAGTGAAAAATATATGATTTTTTCATTTTCTCAAAGCATTTTTATTAAGTTTCATCCTTTCAAATTTAAGTCCCCGAAAGACTTTATCGCTAACATTATTTGGGGTTTCCAACTATATCCAATGAATATTTTAAACCACAAACATACCGGCAGTAGATTCCCAACTTGATTAGTTGCATCTAAACGTTGATATGTTGTTGTTCTGCTATACTGAGATCCTTGATATCGTGGATATTGATGGTCTTGGGCTCCATAGAATTTATTGGAATGTTCCGGTTCCACACTAAAATTTTTCATTGTGTCAGGGTTCAACTCTGTATCTGTTGAGTGTCCTCGATCTAAAATACTGTCAAGACTATTTCCTCTTGGTATATTATGATGTGCTAACAATGATGTGCCTTGTGGAGTTTCAGAACGGTTCGGCTGATCTCGTAATTTCGTATTGTAAGCACCACTACGACTCTGCGATAGTTGATAAATCTGTCCAAAGTTTGGTTTATTATTACTGTTATTTGCACTAACTGTGCCTGCTGATTTAGCAGTTACATTTGACCAACTTTGTTTTTGTGAGACTGAGCTATAAGGCACCTCGGTAGTTTGTTCTTCCGAACTGGGATTATTTTGTATGGCAGTGGTTTGATTGTTTTGAGCATTGGCAAGTTGACCTTGACTTCTACTCAAATATTGTTTGCATATATTTAAATTTGTTTCAAATGTCGGCGGAGGAAGATTATTAGCGCTTTGACTAGATGATAACCCACATGAGTTATTATCACTTGCAGATATATCGTCATTGGAATCAAAATTTTCATCGCGAACAGAATCTTTTGTTAGAGTATCATTTTCATAATGAGTCTTTGATCTCGTTAATGTTCGATGGTTATCTCTCCTTGAAACTGGTTTTTGGATATTGCTCCCGGATTCAGTGAAACTGGAACTGCGTTTTCGTACATGTGATGCTTCGTTCTGTTGGACCGAGACTTCTTGTAATGGAGCTTGCGTTACTGCTCGAGGTCTTGACATAAAATATGGAACGAACTTGGGAACGTGTCCGCTACTTGGTAAAGCAGCTGGATTGCTTTGAGTTGATAACTCTGATAATGATGAATCACTGATCTGTAATAAAAGATAGAAAAATGTAAAAAGAGGATGAAAGAAATTCAGTTAATATCAAATTCAAAATTCATACTATTTGTGTATTTAAAATGGATTTTTTGACAATGGAAATTATGTATGCCAAACTTTTCATCTTTTTTAGTTTTTTCAACCTATTTCAAATTTAACTTGAATAATGTAATAATTACAAATTAACCATATCAAACCATTTATATGTCTTAGTAATATGGTTTTTAAAAATACTCTACTATTTAGGTCTATATATCCTTAAACTCTCGACGTCACGAGGCAATATCATTTTTAGATATAATTCCACGCAGCAAGCAACTTGTGAATAAGTAAATGCAGTTCAAACCACCTATGTCAAGTAGTGGTGATATAGATATATCTGTCCGAAGTTGAGTTTATTATTAGTTATTTGCACTTGGGTTTACTGTAACTGCTGATGTAGTAGTTACATTTGACCAACTTTGTTTTGGCGAGACTGAATATAAATTATTAGTAAAAAAATAGCTCAGTATTAGGAGCATACATATAATAATTTAGTTTTCAATGTTTAGCTGCTAAATTTTTCGAAGCAACAAGGGAAGGGATTCAGTAAAGTGCTCCACAACAAGCAAGTACATACCAAGAAAATGAATACAGAACAAACAAATTATAACAAAAAAGTAGTATTTTAAATCCAACATACATCTCTCCTTATTGAATTAGCACCAAGTCTCTTTCTTGCAAGTTCTTCTTCATAATATAACTGAGCTCTGCTGTCCGTACCATGTCCTGAATCAGTGAGACTCGTCCTACTATCTTTGCCGTCATCTGGCACAGTGTCCTGGATAATTTCCAATACTGGATTGATCGTTCCCATTCGATGTGAAGGTTCTGCAGCAGAACGCTGTTTCTCACGTAAACTGACTTTGTGGGCACGAGCGGATTCTGTTGCCCTCGCTATCCTCATTGCATTAGCATTCTAAAAGATGAAAAATACAAAGAATTTAAAAAAAAAAGTATGGTTTGGCTACAACTTTAAAATGAAAGCATAAGAAATAATTTGAATTTGGTGATCACCGTGTTAAAATTCACTATTCACCAATTGTTAAAAAATGTTGCATTTACAGTTAATGGTAGGCTCTTCATTTTGAACCAAACCAACCTATGAAGGCCAAAACATTTATGTTTAAGTTGACCGATTAGCATATATCATTCTTAAATACATTTAGCAAGTGCTATAATACCAATTTACCATGTGCAATAAATAAAGTAGACCCTGATTATATATGTTGAAACCAAATTTAGCATATGTTACACAATTTTCCTGAATTATACTAAATATAGCAAAATAATTTTAAATGCCAGATTATTCCTGATGGGAAAGGGTAATTTCTATCCACATCTAGTTATAATATACCACATACCTCTCCATTTGCTAATATTTTTCTTCTACTTGGACTGTGAGATAAATTATGTTCACTACTCTTTCTACTTCCATTTGATTCCAGGCTGTCAAGAGAAGATACTTTCCAATCAGCATGATGTCTGAAAAGGACAAAAACATACATCAGAAAAATTCATGAAAGCTCTCGGATTTTAGTTTCATCATGAGGTCTTGTTACAATTTTAATTTTGTTATGAAGCTGATTCTCAATATATCTTAACCTGGTTTGTTTTATTTTATTCAGAGTGTATTAAAGTTTCTTTACTGAATTCAATACACCTGTTTAAAGCAGGAGCCAAAAAAACATATAGGATATCGATAAATTTCTTTCACAATTTGAGAATTTAAGACTTCAAGAACACATTGCATATAAAGAGATGATTATTAAAAATTAGTCGATATAAAATTACTATTTATTACATTTTTCTATTTTAGCAAAATTAACTTTGTTGAATTTTACATACAAAAACTTGGTGTACACATCATTTTCTGCATCAAAATCAACAAAACACAACCCACGAATTCCTTAGCAACTTATATGAAAATGAAGAAAATTTATTTAACACTTAAACTTCTGTTTGTGTATGATTCTACCAAAACATTTCAGTAATCCAGGACCCTTTGCACAAAGGTTATGTTCTATCTAGAATCGGTTCCAAATGACCTGGGTTCTGTTTTTTTGGTCATCGTATACTTAAGATCAGCCACCAGCAATGACAAAAACCTACCTAGGGTGTTCCCATTTTGTTTGCACCCAATCTCTACTTCGCGTTTGATAGGGTGGTGTATCAGTCCCAGATGAAGCAGTAGATCTATTTGATGTGGGTGATGGTAACACTGGGTATGAATGATTAGAAATCATGTGTTGTGATTTATTGCCTTTGACCTTCGGTGATTCCAGCCAAGCAACTTTAGACCTTGTTGGAGGCGGTGTTTTGGATCTTAAAATAAGATGTTAGTGAGATAGAGAAACGGTATTTTCGAAACATGCTGAAACTAAGCGCATAATCAAATCTCCAAATGTCAGTAAAATTGTTTAAAACAGACGTTTTATGAGGCTTTAAACTTCAATATGCCTAAAGTTATATACAGGCACTTAGTTATGGAGAGATAGAACTACTCTTATCGAATTACATTGTATTCAAAAACTTACACCCTGGGTAAGAATAATTATATGCTGCAGCGTGACAGCTTATTCGTTATGCCTGTAAGCCTCACTAGGCCATGTTTCCACCATCTAACAATGCTCATGTGAGGCTCAATATAACAAAGCAGAAATATTGATTTTGGGACATCTAACTCATAGAATAATTGATTTAGGGCCATCCTAACTTATAAAGTAGGTAGTAGCTGTCTGCAAAATATACCTAAAAATAATTGGTTTTAAATCTGGTAGTTAGTTAGTCGCACCTTAAAAAATAAAGATGTTTAATTAATTTTCAAAACAAGCAATAAAAACCAACCTCTGGATATTCAAATCATCCATATCAACATCAGCAGAACTTGTGTCTGGATGTAAAGAAAGCGCAGGAGTGCTGTGAGTTGATAATGCTTCTGCACCACTGCTAATAGAAGCTCCATCCTCTAATAATATACCTGAAAAAGAATAGTTCACAATATATTTAACCGTCTAACGCTTTTCAAAATAACTTTAGGGATTGCCCCATTTTAACATTTTGAAGAACGATCATTTTAAGCATAATTCATTGTATATTGGGTATATCAATTTGTAGGCAATATATGCTATATATTCCATTCTGTATATTAAAGTGTTTAGTTCTGGCTGGTAGGTAGTCACCAAAAATTCCAAAAGCACGCCCATTTGACGCATAAAATCAACCAACCAATGCCAAATTTTATTGGATTTTGACTCGTGTACCACATTCCGCTTTGTTTACTTTATTGTGACTAATGTATATTTTATGTCTGATATAAATCCTACTACATGTAAAATAGTGAGGTTAAAAGTCAACAAGCTAGAAGAATTATTTGATTTATAAATCACTACTATGGCAGCAATTCATAAAACAATATGGGAACAACATTTAAAAAATGATGGGAACACAAAAATGAGAGTACAATTTTAGTTTATCCTATAACTACATCATAAAACTAATATAAAAATGAAAGTAGACTTGTGCTTATGTCATGATTTCATTACATGAGAGATAAAGTTAGCTATAAGCCCAAAGTAACTTATTCAAGGATGGCCTAATACTATTCCGAATACATCGTATCAATTAATATTCTAAACTCGTTGATATTCAACATATGAGCCCACAGAAATCTATGTAAATTTAAGTTTGGAATTTATTCATGCAGGAAAGATATATATAATCAATGTCCGATGGGTTCTCTATTTTTACATAAAGTTTTCAAAGTAAAATTAAGGCATTTGGTCCTAGTTGGATGGACATAAATATAATTAATTTTGATCGATTCAAAACTTTGATCGGTTTTTAGACGATTACATATCAAGCATCAGAAACAATTCAAATACAAAATTCTCTAGCATATAAACAGTGTACAAATGAAGTTACGATTTATATAATTCTCCTTTATTACACAATAACACATCATTACATGCAAAGAAAAGTACTTGATCAGCATTATTACTGTTTATTATCAAACAAAAGATTCAGCTGTGTTTAACTTGAGTTCAATCAACAGAAACTAGCAATTACACTAGGAGTTAACAACAGGCAATAGCCTCAAGGCTAATTTCGAAAATCATGATTAGTATATTGGATAATTAAAAAGTGTAAATATAAAGGAAAAAATATCTCACTTAACAGAGAAATTTATAAAAATTATTCTAGTACAGCAAAAATTGTTATGAAACTTTTTCTTCCATAAGAATATATTATTCACATTCACACCAAATTTTTCTAATAATTTTGTAATCATGTTTATAAAAAAATGATAAAGACATGAATATGATACATGTGATTTTTAATTTAATACGATTGCCAGGCAACAGTAATTTTAAGAAGTTGATCTTCTAACTTGGGGCTACTCAACTGGCGGACCGCGGTCCGAATCCGACCCTTTCGAGTATTCGATTCGGACCGCACATAATTCTTTATTTCGGATCATTAGCCCCACATTTGAAGTTTTCTGTTATAAAGTGACTTTTATAGTTTTGAATATATATGAAAAGAACTATATCACCATAATAAACAATCTTGATCAGGTAATAATAACTAACAGGGCCAGGAAGTGCGCGTTTAAGGATGCTAAAAAATAAATTCTGGAAAGACCGGACCCAAATAATTTTGGTGTTTTGTATGTGGATATTTGGTAAAAATATTTGAGTAGCCCTGTTCTCACTCAACCTGGGCAATAATGATCCAAATAGCCTATTGGAAACAAACTGTGTTTGTGAAGTCTTATCATAATTAAAAACATATCTCACCATCAGACAGTGAACTTCGTTCTGATTTTTCATCAATGCTACATTCCTTCATTGCAGCCAATATCTCAGTGTCACTAGTAGTGATAAATGTTGAATGTCGCAATGCAGGATCTTTTCCTTGTTTTGTACGAAGTTCATCAATTCGATTTTCCATATCCTAAAAAATTGATTTTGGTAAAAATAAAAGAACTTTGAACTTGCGATGTATAAGCAAACTCCAGTAAAAGGCCAGTTCACTTGAATTAAATTCAAAATTATACATAAATTATCAAAATGCTATTTCAAAAGGAAAATAATAACACTTTTTATAAATAAAAAAGCATTTCTTACTTGACCAAGGTTATCATTCTATTTAATGCATTGAACGTAAACATAACAAAGCAAAAATATTAAGCGAACATTTGATTTTAAAAAATTTACGATTTTAAAAGAAAAGTTGCCTTATGGATAAACCCCTCATTATTACATAAATTACATATTCAAAACCCATATTCATCAAAAAATTTTGATAAAAAATACATAGACTAGCAACCTGCAACTTTTTAAGAGATTTCTGATACGACTGCAATCTATTTCTCCTAATTTTTCCATGTGATGATGGATCATATGCAAGTTTGTACGCTGCATTCGTTATTTGATTAAGAAGTTCATAATCGCTTTCTAGTTGTTGGAGTTGATCAGTGACAGACTGATCAAAATGATTCCCTTTGTTCGTATGTTGCCGAAGCTGAACTGGAAATTTTGTTTCTATTTTCTTCCGTATAACTGGTTTCTCCTCATCCATAGTCATATATCTGATGTAATCGATAGGTAGCTTTTCTGTGATATGCTGAAAATAGGAAAGAAGTTAGTCTTTGAATTATATGGAAGAATGAAATCTGAAACGCCATCTTCTAAGAAGCGGCCAGGGGCCTCGTGGTCAAACGATAATCTTAACTACGATGGCAAAGCAGGTTAAAATCTTAAGATTCAAATCTCATGCCCATCACCACCCAGGATGTAATCAATTGGGTAGGCAATGCTGAACTGTCAAGATTCCTCCTAAAAACAGTAACTTCTTACATATGGCGTGTGGAACCTCATTTGTGGCAAAAGGCATGAAAATATGCCGACAACGTCATATAAAAAAATCAACAACTTGGTTAAATCTAATACTTCTGTCAGACTAAATCCCCCTTTTTACGCAAAAAGCCAAGTTGTGATGATATTAAATTAAAAATGCTGATATTCTAAGTTATTCAATCATTATAGTGATTCTGACAATCTTCATAAATTGTTTTAGACATCAGTGATAGAAAGTAACAAAAATTGAACAAAAATAATTTTTGCATTTCTTAGCAAATAACTGCACCAAAGTTCATTCTAAACAAATCACCTATATTATTTTCATGCTGTGGTTGAACATTATTTCCTTAAAAATAATCTGTAGAATCCCTGGACTTTCATAATTTTTCGAACAAACATAAAAAATGTCTTCAGCAAATATTAAAAACTTACAAATTCCTCTAAACAAACGGATTTCAACTCTTGAACTTTCTCGAACAATCTATCTTCCAAATCCAATTTTCTTTGCTTTAGATCAGAGACCATTTTTTTTTCTAATTCTAATATTTCTGGAGATTGTTGTTGCTTGTGTTGATGAGAATGAGAATGATGTACTCTGCCATTGCCATGTGATGACACTGTAAAAGGAATTTAAGATACATAAAAAATGAATTCAGACATAAGAAACGATTACAGAAACTGAAAAGAATGTAAGTTATATTTCAAAATTATAAGTTTTATTATGAGTGAAATAAGAAGAGGTCGTCAGACTCGTCACATTTGAATAACGTATTATAAAATGCTATCACTACTATTTATTAAGATTGCTTCATTTATATTTGATACTAACAAAACAATATATAAGGCCTAATGGCAACAGAACTCGCTTGTATGATATTCTGCAACTTCTATCTTAAATTTATTTTGTACACTGTAACTTGTACAATTAAACAACTATATTAATAGATTTTTTCAAATAACATTCGTGGATGCATTAGAAATTTTTTTTTATCAGACCTATTATCTTTTTTCAAACTGATGCCATTGTGAACCATATTACAAAGTATTCAAAACAATTCCAAACATCACAATCTAAGCCAATAATGCTATGCAAAAATTTTTTTTTCTTAAATCCTCCAGAGAAAGGTTAGACTTAATCGATTCATGATAATTTAATGGGATAAAACCATCAAAACTTTCAAAGTAATTTAAGTTTGCATTTTGATTCAATTTCAAAAATCCTATTTGACGAATCGAATCGATTTATTTAACCTCAGCTTGAAAAGTTCTGCATCAGACAACAAACATTATAAAATATTAACGACTTCTGCTTATGCAACTTTGTGCTGCAACCAGATATACTATGCTTGAATATAGGGACACAAAGGCTCAACTGCAACTATAAGTAAAGCTTTTCTTCCATTTATAACCACAGAAATTTATGATAAATTGTTCCATTGAGTAAACAAACAATATAGCAATAATCCAGAGTTGCTTTGGGTTAAAAACAGACCGTACAAATAAAAATGGATGGAATTTAAAGGTGACGAGATAAAACGAATAGCATATCCACTTTTAAATCTGTATAAAGTCATTTTTTTTTATTCCTGTCAACAGAAACCCCAACTGCTGAAACTATGTAGCAATGTAGGCTATATCAGTATCGCAGTTCGCAGATACTATGGTAAAATGAAAATATAAGATTTTAAAAGGACTTCGTGAATGCAATTTTTAGGTTATTTTCCAATAATACCAAACACATGATAATTTTGTTTAATACTGACCATAGATGCTCACATCAGGAGTCAATTTCGAATTATCAATATTGCCAAGTAGTGGGCAATTATAGTGAATACTTATATAACTCAGATACTTCAATAACATATCTTATTTGAGCAGCTATCAGTTTGTATTTGTCTGCTTAAACTACCATTATTATTAGGTTGAAACTGCATGCACTTAAGCGTGCAATTACTTATCATGAAAATGCCGCAGTTGAGTGAACATTTGAGTGATCGTCTGTTGTTATACACTGCCTTACCTTTCTTATACGACTTTACTTCAGCATATTTATTGTTGTGGTTCTTTTTTGGCATTTTATCGTCTGTTTCAGCAGGTGGAACGACAAAACTGTTGGAATTTTTATCCAGTGCGTTTCGAATATTTGTTGCGTTTGTTCTGTTGGTCTGAAACTTACTCTGTTGAATTAAGAAATAATGATTTACCAATGAATCTTCAAATGACAAGTATTTACCCTTAATAAGTACAAAACAAAACTCATGATTAATATATGAAAGATGTTACGTCATAAAATTTTCAATATTGTTGCTAGGTAACAGAATTGACCAGTAAATCCTCAGCATATTGGCCTAAATACGTTATTATATAAAGTTAATGAATATCCTGAATCTGAGTGTTTGCTGGGAAAAAAATCCAAATAGGATATGCCAAGCATAACATATGATTTTTTACAGCTTTGCAGTCCAAATTTGTTGCTATCTAGTAGCCTTCATATAAAACACTGGCGAGTGCTGACCATAAAACAACCACCATGGATGGGCCTAACACCTTTCACAACATCTCTTCTGAAACTTACCTATTTTGTGTCAAGTATTGAACGAACTTTAATTCAAACAAAAGATTTGGACAATTTTCGGCGCTCAAAGATGTAGTACCAAAAACGATTATTTTTTTGGGGTGGCAGAAAATGACTGAACTAAAGTATATAACAATCTAAAAGTAGTTACCTTTGAAGATTGTTTTCTATCCCAATAAAATTGATGTTGGGCGATTGCCATTATCCATATGGACTTGATGAGTTGAGGAGATCCATACCATGTGTGTGTTATTGGTTGTTGTCGATTATTTCCACTTTTCTTTGACTTATCAGACGAATTTGTAAATCCAGAACTATGAGAACGTTTATGCCCAGAACAAACTTCAACAGAAAATTTTTTCTCTCGAAAATAAAGATTTTCCAAATTACGCCACTGAAATACCTGAAAAAGGTATAAAAAATCTACAAATTTGTCATCTGCAATTCAAAAAAAGTGAATGTCTATTAACATAACAAAGGATACCATAGGATGCTATAGTAATATATTATATAACTCCGCTTTATAATCAGAGTAATCAATAAATACATTTGGTTTATTACTGGGCAGCTAGGCTTTTTATTTAACATTTAGCCATTACCAGTTCCATATTCACATCCCCCAGGCATAAGAAAGTACAGTACTTGAGTACTGCACTCAATAAAGTACTTATAGGAAAAGATTAGATATTGTTATTTCCTCAAGTATTTCCTGTATAACGCTGACTATGTGCAGGACCAACAACAGTAAGGAATAATAGGATAGTTTATGTAGAGGACAGTTTGGTATTCCAAATTTTTTTTCTGCAAATTATATGCCCTAAACTAGTATCGTTCCAGTATGTAACAGAATCTAGCTATAGATACCACATTGCCATTACAAATTGAACAATATCACTGACAAATTCTAACTTTTTATACAGTTTCTAATATCCATTTTTTTAATTAGCTCTATACAACATTCTTCCTACCAATACTTTCCTTTTTCGGTAAAAGAGCTGCATAACTTTGTATTTCCTGTTTTTAATTTTCTCATTCCTTGAAAGATAAACAAAAAGTACGCCTCACGCTACCATTTATTAACTAATCACAACAAATCCTAACGTTAAAAGCGAGATAAGTACCAGTATAGGCTAACATATCCCAAAAGTAAACACACTAATATCTGTACTGTTTACCCCACTAGTTTCAGCTCTTCATATGTAATATCAGTGCGCCGAGTATGGATCACAAATAAAACAAGCAAACCTGGCCCGATCGACGACTGATCAATGACAAAAAAAGCCAGACTATCTACAAGTTGAAATTAGTACCATATTACCCAACATAAAACATAGAAAAATGCGCCAAAACCGTTGGTCGATGCAGAACAACGTCGACGTTAATGGAAACGTATTCAAAACATAACCCCAGGCACATTACCAAATATTTTAAAAGCAATAATGCCGACTGATTTAAAAGATTGAACAAGAACAGACAGACGCATTACATAATTGGTCACAATAAGAAGAAAATATGGAAAATATTTTAATGATAAAATTCTTATTCCGAGATGGAAATTTTCATGATTTTCGTAACCGTAAATAGAATAAATTTGCCAGTTAACGGTTGGCCAATGACGCGGAACTACCCGGCTACGTTGTAATGAAAAATACTTGAACAAAATTCATACATATTCTTTACAACACACAGGTCATTCAAGGAGATCTACACCCGAGTGAAAAACAATCTTCCACAAGTGATGGATGATTGGTCATATTGTGACGTCTTCGTCAGGTGACTACACTCGGATGGAATACTTGGTTTGCGAAAACAAATTACTGACAAAATTCGCCTCCGCGGAACATCATCCTACAAAATAGTTTCATAGTTGACAGAAATTCCATACAGTAATGACGTAATCCGATGGTATAAGAACATAGTCAGACGAGCTTTGATTTATACAGAATACTGCATATCGCGTGGCATTGAGTTACGTTATATCCCCATCCTACGCTTAATTGAAAGATTTGATGACGTTATCCACTTTAGTAACTGATACAGAATACGATAGAAACAATGTTGTTTGCTTATTTAAATTCCACTTCAGAGTACTCGGTCGCGTTCCAGTTATAAACGTATCCAATGGTGGCTTCCGAATAGTGAAACTAAACACCTCCCAATTAGTAAAAAATGTAAATTAAGTGGAATACATCAGTCACATGATTGACCAGTGTTCTGCCAATCTTGACAAAAGTATTAATAGTCTAATGTTGAATTCCGAATTGGCCATCGCTATCATCTGATATCTATGTTAAGACTGACTATATAAAATGAACTATAAAAATACAGGTACAAAAATTCACATTTGAAACACAAGTAAATGTTTGGCAAGTGATAGCAACTCAACAATTTCTAGAATCTCTCAAAACACTAACCCACTCACACACACTAACCTGCAGGTATGTCGAGGGAAAACGGAATATATACGATGGAATTTCGCTATCTAAACAGCGAGTTACAAAACAACCTTCGACTATTCGAGCCACTAAATAAGCGAGCTATCATTAGCTTAACTAAAGAGAACTTCGCCAATATCAATTTGTTTCGCCTGGGGCTATATTTGCACTTTTCTGTGCATAGGATCGTGCATAAAGAAATGCGTGTGCAGAGTAATAAGTGGTGCGACAGAGGATTAGTTCAACCAAATTGCCTGCTGAACGGATTATTTCTCCCAGCTCAATAAAAATAATAAATAAACCGTAAACTGAAAGTATGCTACCGCTCCGCTGCCTTAAGTTTGCTTCACGAAATGGCGATAAAGCGATGATCATACATGGGCGTACATAAACAGTAAGGGGGAACTTGCACCTATGATTACCGTACGTTGGACCTTTGAACCTATTACAAACATTGTCATCTGCGAGATATATTCGGCGGTATTATCGGGAATATAAACTCGGAAGATGAAATAATGTCATCTAGATTGTCACGTTTCGCATGCCCTCGTTAGTAACATGGTACTTCATATTCTGCTCCTTAGTCCTTACAAAATGCATTTTTGTAATTGGTAATCACCAAACCAAGTGCAACGGGTGAAAAATAACAAGCCTTAGGGTCGCTATATCATAAAATCCGATGCTCTTTTCGTTTCTGTCAGATATGCATATGTCACTGACCCAACAACACAATAAAAGCTACCAGCGCTCTCATTCAACTTCTCTCTGATTAGCGTCAAATCCACATACATTAATCCGCATCCGATTGGCTTCATCCTAATAGTATTCCTGCTGTGAAATAGGTCATCTTAATTGTATTATTTCATGCCGTATTCAATAAGTATAAACCCTTGGAACAAAACAATAGGCATTACTTTTACCTTAGGCCGAGTACGGCCCGACGATAGCGCGAGCGAGCAAAATACTCCCATTGCGTGGTCCAGTACCGATAATGACACAGCGATCGACAAATGTATTACTAAGTGTGTTATGTATTGTAATCAATGCGAAATGATAATGGCTATCACGAACTTGAAAAACGTTGTATATTGAACACGGACAGTTGTCGATAAGCAATTAATGGAAACCTTAATAATACATAACAATGATGCCTGTCTTTTAACTATTTACTTTTGGTTGTATCTAAAGCGAAATTGTCGAGATTAAAAATGTGCTACCGCGTACCTCACTTTGATACGAAGCTTACACATTTCAGTAAATTATAACAAAATGAAGCCTGTCCATCAATATTCTATAGAACTTAAAGACCACTGATCAGTTCTAATGGATTTAACAAAAATATCTAGACAGTACCAAACTAAACTAAATGCAATCGTTTTTAAAATCCGAACGTTTATGAATACGCAATACATATTCTTCCAACTTGAAATACTTTCCCTTTATTACTAGCGCAAACCAATTGTTAGTTTCAAAGTGAACAAGCGCTTACTTCGTACACGATGTCCAGCTATTATGTCCTATTATTATCCATTTCAATCATATGTTATAGCAAATAAATTACCGAAGTAACGTAAGTACAAGATTAAAAAAATCGAGTAAAAATAGTTGATATTTTGCAGTACACAAGACTATTTATTGATCAGAATAGAAACATTAAAATCTTATTTTATCAATGTTCAATCGAGGTCCACAGAAAACCACAATTTAAAAATTGCCTGATTTAAGTAATACCACTTATTCGAGGATTAGCAGTCTGATTTGTAAAACAATCCAATGTATTTTACCGCACTTTATCAGTGAAATTTTGAACAAAGGAGGATACAGCAAGTAGTAATCATCTCGGGAATGTAAAATATCCGTCGAAGTCGTTGTTCGTAACTACAATATAGTCGAGTATTTACGAAAAGACTATCCTTATTGTAAATCATTATTGTCCACTGTGAACAAGGCTTGGTCAAGAATAACTTCTGTAATGCTAAAATTAAAGTAATATACCAGAAGCATGGTTATTTTTAATTTTCTGTAAGAAATGCGCTTGGCTATACGAAGATAAATCGAACAAACCTTTTCAATGTGCATAAGGGCCGTTCGAATAAGTCGTGATACTTTGAGACTAAAGTCGAAATTGTTATCGGGCGACTGACCGAATCCATATCTAATTGCACAACTGCTTTAAAACGTTTATTCGTTCGTATTTGTAAATCCAAAGTTATGAATTGTAAACGACTGTGTAAACGAAAAAGACGAGACGAGGCGTGGTCGACATTCCACTAAGATTACAGCGTATAATATTGCTGACGTTGCCTGATATTAGAGTTTATAAGACTGTCATAATAAAGTACAAGTATTCAGACGGATCGCCAGCTTATGAGTCGAAGCAGAAATCGAATACTAAAATGACGATATGTCGTTTGTGGTCCTTGAAAGTTGAACGCACCTCAAAATTGGGAGGAAGTCACTGGAGCATTTTAAATAAATAAGAAAAAACGGCGAGATACCAGATTAGATATGTTTAGATCTGAATATGCTGGTACATCATATAATTACGTATGCAGTTAATTTCGTTTTCGAATAAGATTAGTGGTTTATTTATTGACAAAATCACAAAGATGTTGAATTTCAAACCGTAAAATCATGGTTCGCTATAAAAAAGAAAAAATTCTAAAAACGGCGATTTCATTTTTTATCTCAATGATAAAAGATCATTTACATTTAGCTATTACTGTGAGCAAGTTCACCACACTAAAAGTTCAAGTACCTACAGCTCACCGACTATACATCACGTAACATAACTTCCTTTGCGTATGTTTACCTTTAATACGTCCTAACTATCAACTTCCACTTAGGCTACAAATACCGGTACAATATTCCTCACAAAAGTAATTCTCAATGTCGACATAAGTGTCTCTGCGTGACTTTCCAAATTAAACATCAAGTGACCTACCTAGCATTCGCGTGAGAAATTAATAGAACTAATCAATAGCAGAAATCGACCGGCAGCAAGGACAATCGTAAGCCAGGAGTGAAAGCCGAGACTTGACACAACATTTCCCGTTGCGGTGTAAAGATAAGAATATCAGGTAACAAGCAATTCTCGAGCATTTCCTACGTCTGAAAATTCGACCGCAAAATATTTAAAGTCACGACAAATGTGAATAGACGAAAATTTCAGTAAATTTATTTTGATTAGTCCCGTGACGTTGTGAACATTTCTCAAACTCAAAATTTGATGTGAATATTTCTCAAACTCGAAATTTGAAATAAATAAGTATAAAGTAATACTGATCAAAATAAAACAAACCGGGTTAGGATATATTGAGAACTGACTTCAAAACAAAATTGAATTTTATGAACACCCGGTACACATAGCAATGTACTTTAAGGGAGACCATTGGATCATAACCTCTTTCTCGACCACTAAAACAATATTATGACGTTCTACTTTAACAGTTTAATTTTGTTTGTTCCGTTTTTACGCCCACCACTTCGTCGATATTCCAAATAATACATTTTCTTGTAGTGTATTTTGGCCAATCACTAGATAGTAGATATATAAACTTTGCATTCTGTTTTAACAATCGTGAATTTCCCTGAAAATCTACACAGAGCTCAATGTTCACACAACCCTTGCAGCCACAAAAACCGATGTCATTACAACATGAATAATGCATAATTAACCGAAGGTCAGAGTTTATGCGAAGTCGTCAACTGTACTAGAATACATTGAATGTGTAAAACAGTTAAAACACCAAACCTAACGAGTAAGAACAATGATAAAGCATGCAATGATGAGTTTTCGAAGCCAAGTTATACTTTAGTAACAACTGAACAGCTAGCTCTGCCAATATCAGGGGAAATCGAGAAATTCAACGTTTACATTTAACTGTCGTTTTTTGATAAAATAATTGTGATTTTCGACTGCATTGTCAAGAACGAAAGTAATTATCGAGTAGTCAAAGTAAACACGTGGAGGGAAATAGAAAATTTAGCGCTCAAATTTCAAACCTCTGCAACATAGTATCATATTCTGTATAAGGATAGTTTTATTTATACAAAAGTTCAGCATATTTTACCCTAATATATATACGAAAGAATGGTTACTGATTGGCAAACTCAGTCCTTATCAACTGACAAATGACAATCATTCCCTATTAAATCAAAAATATTCAAACTATTCAAATTAACAATGAATTCGTTTATTTAAAAACAATTGATCAAATTGGTTGAATTTAATTTCCATTTAAACCTTTTATTATACTGAAATTGACATCAACCCTAACACAATTTGACAGGGATATAGTTTAGATATTTTTAGTTATTAATACACAGCTAATGACGAATTCTGTAACAACATAAATCTCTTCACAGGCCTACTACAGTCAATACCTCAATCTGGAAAACCATATTTTAAAACAAAACAAGCTACCACAAACTACGCTATTTCGACTTCACACTGCTGCTTCAAGTGTCTCTCTATATTTAACTGACAATTGATGTAAGATATGCCTTTGTCTGTAAACTATCTAACGCGGTATTAAACTCCGTGAATTAGGTGTATGAATTGTTCATTCGTTCTCGAGTTTAGAGATAAAGAAAAGTATATATGAACCCCACAAAAGCACCAAGCGTGTGCCATGAAAGACGACCTATATTTAGTATAAATGTACGAATGAGAGTCCGATATGCTCCACTGGTGCGAGTCAACACTTCCCTTCGCTTGAGCAAACAATGATTGCTTAACCTGGAGTGTGCCCATATCTTTAATATTAAAGTAGGCTGCAGTGGGTAAAACATAAGGAGCCCTGTATATTACCAAACACAATGTAATGCGAAAATACAATCATTATCCAACGGATTTATAATTTTTGAAATCACATTTACACAGCCGCCGTTGAGACGACTTGAAATCAAGCGATTTAAAATGAACGAATGAAATTTATGCATTCGCATGAGACGGAATGTCCGATGGTGGACTATGAAAGCATATCCCAGAAATAGAAGCCGTGCAGAGCCATTTCTTGTGGTTTGGTATTCATGACATTACATAATGTTAGAGCTCTACTTCACGAAATGTACCCCTTGCCATGGCAAATTCGCATTCGCTTTGTTGAGTACCGAAAGGGTTAAACAGAGTATCGTGTTACTTGGACGACCGAGTAGTTATGTTTGATAAAGAGCATCGAGCAGAGCCGCCTATCTCTACGAAAGAAGTAAGGTGTGTTTTGTATACCTTCAGTAAGCCAGGTGAAACATTATTCAATAGCATGAGACCCTACTTGTTAAAAACAACAACAATTCAATAATGTGTTATGTAAGGCCAATGATGACTAGTGGGGAATGGAAGCGCTCTTGTTTGCGGCTAGCTAAGTGCTAATGGATAAAATGGACAACTTCCGATACTGCCGCTCATAGGAAATATGTCAAAATATGGATATATATTATCCATAATCCATCACAGTATATTTAGGGGTTAGAAAACATTACTCCAGACTTATAAAAACTCTAGAAGTGACGATATTCATCCAGAAATTACTCATTTTCACTACGGCGGCGAATAGGTCGCTTAAGCATATTTCAACTCTGGACCATGCTCGGCACAGAATAGTTTTTGATTCAATTTTACATTTAGTTCTATAAGGCCCGGAGAAAACTAAAAAATTGAGGCTGATAATCGATTTCACGTTGTGGGGTTATGGCGACACTCTTCATTTCTGATAGAAACTCAATAGAAACGTGGCAATAGCGGTCCCTGAACTAACCTCTGCCTCCGCTGTCTTTTAGAGGTAAAGTACACTGAAATTGAATGCCGGATAGGTAGTCTTGTTCACATACACATATCACATACAACTATACCGATACCGAGTGAAACTACAATGGATATCATGAAGATATATCATGTCTGAAGAAGACTGATCGTAAATACGAGAATCATGTCAAAAATTTTACCCCGCCATTACCAAACGCTATCAAAACTGGAATCAGTAATTCTCTAATGCAGTGTTTTTCAACCTTTTTCGAGCCAAGGCACACTTTTTTCAGTGAGAAAATCCCGCGGCACACCACCAGCTGAAAATATGGCGAAAATACCTAATATTCACAATATAAGTGTTATATTGTAGATATAAGATATTTAACATTGAAGAAAGATGTTGAATTGGACATCTTGAATGGTAATCAAATAAAAACAAAGACAAAAAAAATCGCCACCTGATGCTGCCACGGTCTGATATAGAACAGTACCACACGATTACTCTGCCGGACGCTACACCGCATAGACGCACAACTTGGAGAAATTCCCACGGCACCCCTGACAATATTTAACGGCACACCGGTGTGCCGCGGCACCCCGGTTGAAAAACACTGCTCTAATGGAGTCGAGCCTGAATTTCTTAACTGCGAAAACTTAGATGAACCCGATGACTGAAAATAATTAAATTGTACTAGTCAGAGAGAATAATATGTGACAAATATTAAATTGATGCCAAAAGCACACATTAAAAAATTTAGTATCCTTTTAACTACGATATACATGTAATTCAATTCGCAATGATGAACGGTAATCACAAACTGTTTAGCTTGTCATAGATACAAATCATGCAAACACAACGAAAAAGAATTCCAACAGTTAAAATTACAGTCGAATTCTGGTTGATTGTAAATTTTTGAATTGAGTCTAACTACACAGGGAAGTGACGCAGTTATATTTATGCTAAGCCTGCATTGTAAATTGTTTGATCATATGGATTTTATTTGTCCGCCCACTTTCCGTTAAGCTCGCAATGTTATTAGTTCTATAGCATGTACGTCACAATGCATCTTCCACTTTGATTTCAAAAATATTCAAAATAAAATAACGGTATAATGTGCATGATATCACAGGTGACCTTGATATTTAAAATGATATTTGGAATATTTTTAGGTACATTTTGGATTCCACAGAAAGAATCCAATGACAATTGTTTCAAACTCATACCTCATAAATACACCGTATATACACACATTCATATACTTACGGTATGCGGATTGATTGTGTCGGTGTAGTTGTATTGATAAATTCCCTTGTTGCTTATTCCCAACCACCATGTTAACCTTGTTTTGTCCTGAAAAATAAAGACAGTGATTATGCATATACAAAACCGCAAATTTGTTATTGTCAATCGGAATGTGAAACTTTCATCAATGAATCGCAAATAATAGCCGATAAAGATTACAAGTCGCTTGGATATATTGGTCTCCGCAAACGTGTACCAGTTTAACACATCAATAGCGTTCGGCAATAAAATGCCACTGCTTGGAATAAAACATTTCTCATATCATATTGTACAAAATCCTCAGATTTTAGCGCTTCTATTGAGTATAAACATTGCCTTATCATTTATCATAAAACATCTAATCCAGGCCCAACACCTCATTTTCTCAATTATTTGGGTGGGCAATGCCGGAGCGGAAAAATTCCGGTCCTTTCAAACAATAGTGCCTTGTGCCGAGCCTAGTTCGATGTGAAAGACATATAAAACATGTCATATAAAAAAATAACATTCGAATTTCGACTAATATGTTGTCTGCAAATATAGCTAAAATATATGTATACAGAGAGAGAGAAAGGGAAAATATAGTGGGACGTGAAATGTCCTGCAATCGCGACGGCGACGTGTTATTATTATCTGATATGATTTAAAATCAACTTTGAATAATATATTTTGAATTGAGGAATTTTGTGAAAATGTTACCCGGCGAGTTTACGTCGTTACAATAATTTACAACATATCGAATGACCCTGAAATTCGTGGTCAAATTACCGCATAGTTGAAATTTAATGATGAACAAATCGTGGATAAATATAATTGATTGATATGGCAGTTGTCTAACACCGCATATTCAACAATTGTTTCAAATAACGTGCATCGTTAATGACAATGCAACTGACAAACACAATGCCGAGCGCATTTCATCATTAAATTCCCCTTCCGAAAAGCAATACGCTCCTTGCCACAGTCATTCAATGTTACGTAATCAGTGAAACAATGGGAGGGAAGAATCACAAATTTCGAGCGAAGTAATGTCATGATTGAATAGACATGAAGACAAAATTCAATTCTGATCTACCCTGTACCATACGCTCGTATGGCGTCAATCAGAGATTACTTTTTGATACAATCAGTATGTAGTAGTGTTACAAATTTATCAAATATTTTGTATTTTTTCTGTGGGGAAAAACCGTGAAATACTGATTGGCGTTGCACAAATTGTCCTTCTTGAGGTCTTTGCTATTTAGCATATTTTAACCAGTTTGCCAACATATATTTTTGTATTGTCCTTTAGTTTCAGAGAGAGAGATTTCGTTTCCGCGATAACATTCTTTTTCCAACCTCATCGATTTCTTTAATTAACCCAACTACTAAGTAGATAGACTCTCCTCATGTAGATTAAAGCATTATATTAATTGACTCAACAAAATAACTCTCATAGCATTCAAGTTAGACGAGGCATACAAAGGATTACTGCCATTCCCTAAATAATTTAATAGTGGCTTTTCAGATTCACTGAGGATTTTTTAAATACTAGAACAAAATTGAAGTATAGTGATGATCGGATGTCGGGCGTATGCGAGATTTCATTCCCAAGCAATGTCACTTAGTTGATTTGTTCCAGTCTATGATCGAACACATACAAGGCCATACCAGCGACAGAAACCAACAATTCCACTTAGTCCAAAATGTTTGAGGTAGGTTCACCCATTTGGGTATGAATTTTTCCATACCTAGTTCCTGATCAAATGTGCACTGTCAAAAATTCTCTACAAATGGCAAACAATTTTAAAAAAATTCATAATTTGAAAGGATTGAATTTTATTATTCGGGATGATATGGCAGATTGGTTATACCCAAAAAAGTACATTTATCCGTTCATGCCCATTACTTCACAAACTGCTGAAAGATAATGAATATATTTAACTCCATGCACCAACCGAATCCCATAGATAACCGATGGTCTAAGATTAGTAAGGTTTGTAAATACCTACTTTCTATACAGTGCAATGGCAAATTTATAATCTACTACAAGAAGATATATATGGAACTAAACTTTTCCGAGAGTCAAATATATATGTAATTGAGGGCAGGTTATAAATAATTTAAAACCTATTGAACCATTAACTCCACATTTGAATCTTCAGTTTCGGCCAATGGCTGAGGGAAAATGACATTAATTAGTGAAAATATTCAAACCCAGTCAAGCATGTACTATAGGAAAGATCGCGGACAAAAGCATGAATAATCCTTAGATTTTAGTTGATAGCACCAATATTATTAATCAGGGAACCTATGGTTAGTGGTTACTATAGTCTCATTTCTGTATAAAGTAAATTTACCAACTTTCCATGGTTATTATTATTAAGTTATACAATACATGAAGAAGAAGCCATAATTTAAAAATGGGATTTCGATCACAGACAATACTCTGTGATTGGAATGGGCGACATCAGGAAGGACAATGAGTGATGTGATGACAAGTTCACCGGCGCTTTCCAGGATACTCCAATCATAAAGCGAAAGCAATAATTATATCTTCAATCGTTTCAAAAAGGCAATAGGTGATCTATTATGATTAGCAATAAGTTTTAAAGAATACTAATAAATCAAATTTTGATGCATGATGAATTAATTTGGACAAAACAGAAACAAAAATAAAATCTGATCCATTGTGTGATTATGAATATTTTGGGATCACAAACAAGCAATACAGATTATGTGAAATAGGGCATGAGCCGTAGATTGCCCACGACTTATCCATAAACCATGCTTGACGAGTATCAGTTACTGAGTAGATAAAGCACATCAATAATGCAAGGTCGATCAAAACATAGACAACATCATAACCACCTACTCATTATGTAGTCAAAGGTGCCTAGGCAACCGCCAAAACAAACAACTGTCATTCCCCATGAAATGATTAATGAAGATTAAATATGGAAAAAATGAAAATAAAATCAGAAGAATAAGTTAAGATATATTGAGGTTTGCAAATTGTTTCTATATTCATCCTTTGGGAGAGTTGAGCTTATGATATATGATGGGTAACAGTCTCCTAAACATTTTGTTTCCAAATTCCTCATTTATCATTCATTAATACAAAGTTCGTTGGTGTATTACAAGCATAAACTAGAAAAACTGGTTGTGAAGCTTGAGCATGTTATTGTAAATCTATAGCAGCGGTTTTCCGACCTTTTTCTCAAGCAACCCAGGAATGATAAATGGCATGCAGTTCTTTTATGACCACAAAATTAAATTACTAATACAAAACAATCATTTTTACATAACCTTTATTTAAAGTTGCACTAATGCGCATAGCACAATAGATTTCCTGAAATTGTAAAGTCATGATACCTCCCGCATAGCGGCATATATACAATTATTATTAAGCAATGGTTTCATATTAATACAAAACAATAAAAATTTATGATATCGATAAATTTTATGTTTGTATCAAAAAAAAAACAAGCGTCCCAATAGGATTTTCACAAGGTCAAACTTTGGTTTCAACCTGACACATTGAAAACACTGGTCTCTAGGATACGGGTTTGTTTAGAGCAGTGGTTCCAAACTGCGGCCCGTGTAACGATTTAATATGGCCCGCCGAATTCAATTAATTATACGTACCAGTATTAGGATTACATACAGGGCCCCACCCTTGCGAGCGGTTACCTCTCCCCGCCTGCGACTATCCTTCCGCTCCTAATTATGGTCCCAGGCAATGTCCCTCTTAATTTTTTGTAGTATGTGTGCGCAGAAATTTTGGTGTGTGCGCAATTTTTTGGAAATGACTAATATTTGTGCAAAAACCAATGAAGAAATTTTGGCGTTCTAACCGGGTAATGAGTGGGCCAACAACAAACTTTCTCAACCTGCCAACCGAGAACATTATTACATTACATCGAAATACGTCTGTGCGCAGTAAATCTATGCGTGTGCGCAGCCTCTGAAAGCTGTGTGCGCGCGCACACGCGCACACTTTAGAGGGAACACTGGTCCCAGGTCAATCAACTTTGGGAACCACTGGTTTAGAGTCTTGTATTGTAATTACTAAGACAAGATACAACTACTAGAAATAACAACAGCTAATGCAACTCAGCTTTGCTCTACGAACAAAACTCAGACATATTGATCCAACATTCAGTCTATGGCATTTGTTCCCCTCATAAGACACTAAGCCTAGCAGTCAATTTCAATTAATTTCAACTACCGGTACTTACTTTTACTTTGAAGAAGTGAACTCCATAGTTGGCAAGTTTTTCAGCTTTACACATGTATCTAAATACAGTACAAAGTTAAGTGGTTTACAACCAATATAATAGTAGTATCAATCTATGTACTTTCTTTTAAATCATACTTACAATAAAATAGCTTGACCTCTGGAGATTCCGCAAAAACTTTTATACCAAGAAATAACTTGGTCTTCACTGAAAGAAAAAAAATTGCAAACTGTAAGATAAACTTAACTAACCAATCCCATCGTATGCCATATGAAAAAGCTGTCTTCTTGATTTTCCCCTTCAAGGGATAAATATGGCAACCATATCCTATTCCACCTATAATTAATAGTGTCTATAAATACAAATAGGCTGTTTTTTAAAATTGTCATATTGGTTTTTGTTTTTAATAATGAAGTGAACATATAAGCACCTAGCATTGTAACTACATTACAAAGCCATACCAGTATTCTATAGAAGGAAGTTCCAAAATTACGGATCTTGGAAGGCATGAGAGATTCTTGTAGTTTGCACAGGCAGTTTCCTCACTGAAACAAAAACACAGAAACTCCCAACATTAATAGCATTATATGAGGTCAAGAAAGATATAATTACATCTAAACTTGAAACTAGAAAGTAAACAGAAAATTTATACAATAAACACTTCAAGCTAGGAAAAGGATAATCATGAGTGACAACATATCTCAAATGTAAAGAATTTACTCCAACAGACTCATGTTCCATAAAGATTCGGCCAGGCACTTTTGTATTGATCAGTGGCAACATCTAGTGGTGAAAATCGATTTAGCCTTTTATGGTGTCAATTCAATTCAGGGCAGTAGAGAGTTTGGCATATTCTAACGGGAGTCAGAGTTCTATTTTCAGACTCTTTGAAGTGGGAAAACGAAATTGTGGATTCCTCAGAGTCGAGGGTATGAACAGCAGACTTCTAATATCTATAAACGACAATATTTTTGACAAAAACTCAGAAAGTATCGAATTTACAAGCGATCTTAAAAGGTATGCATACGCTAAGGCTTTTTGTTTTTTACAATCAGGAATCGACAGCTCAAATCAAAATTTTTCAAAGCTAGGAGTAATAATTTCCTCAGCCTGAGGTCGGGAGTCTAAATTGATCTTAAATTTTATCCGATTCAACTCTCTAATTGATATAGTTACTGAAATCACAGGGATGTCATATCTTAAATAACATTTCGAAGCCAAAAGTACTCAAACAAGCCCAGAGAATAAAAATACCTGATGAAATCCCCATAGAATGCCTGAAAAATATAAAAAAAAATTGCTTGAATACATAGCAAACAATACATATAATTTAGACCACTATCACTTTGTTACCAATTATTAAAAGAAGACAATATTTCCAGATTCCAGGTTACCAATCCTCATTGTATTATGTATGAAAGAATTTGACTATGTGACAATTTCTTTACGGAAAATTCAAAATCATCGAAATGGATTGAATAATTCGAACTATATTTAAATCAAAGTTCAATATTTTAAATATAACAAACAGTGAAAATATTTTAGTTTTATTACCTGCATTGCGAGGGCAGCGAGTTCCAATGACAAATCACAAGGAACATAAATTTCTCCCTGTATATAAAAAAAAAAAAATTAACAAAAATTCAACTACAAATGTAAAAATTAATGGGATATTCGAATACATTTAAATTTATTATGGTCAGTGTGTTTAATATTTTATTTTAGAATGTTTTCCAAAGAGTTTTCCTTTGAAATTGCATATCAGGCAAGCATATCTAGGCATAAATTCTTCGCAGTTGTTGAATTAAAAGGAAAATCATTCAAATGATGACATATTTGGAATGTGCAGAGCAGACATTGAAAACCAGGAAGATATCTCAGACCTATCGGGACAAGGTAAATTTCAAGAGTAAAAAGTACAGTTTTAAGTCTCGACTTGAAGTGAAATACTCCTTTGCTTGATAACTCATTCTTTTATACAAATATATATATTGCAATTATTAACTGAACAATGAAACAAACAACAAAAGTTTGGATGACACCACATACTTCAGTATAACCGTCGGTTATCAACGTATGTCAATTTGTCTGAAAGAGATTTTTACTCTTATCAGTGGGAACCATCTACTAGGTAAATACAATGTCTGAGTCATAGGTCTGATTCCTGTTCAAAACCAATTTGAACTAGTTTGATGTAAACGCTAAATAATCTTCAAGTGAAAATCTCAGTTTTATACATACAGAAATATTTCAGAGCAGTAGCCACTTATGCCACACTACTGTCCTTACTAGCTATGGAAGATAAATGAGAATGTCTTCTGCAAATGGACAATTACTCTCAATAAATAAATTGAAATTAAGCCTGCTTTGAACACCAATTATTCATAAATTTCAAACTTCTTCATCAGAGTATAATCATGTTAGATGAAACAACAGAGATAGTTGTTGATTGATGGTAATACCATCACGTACCGGTATGTCTGATATTAGGATGCTGATTATAAAATAAATTTGTTAGCCCTTTTCTCAGCAAAAATCATGATTTTATTGATTAAAATATTTAACACGCTGAATCTTCATTATTTATTCATATTCATGGTCATTAATTTGGCATGTACCATGATTTAAACGCATTTGGTTCGATTTAAAATATTCCTTACAATATTAAATTACAACAGAACATAGAACACTGACAGAAATTGATTTGCATAGAATTTTTGCTGGTCATAAGAAACAAAGCTGTTCTGTTGTTAGCAGTAAGGAGAATTTGCTTTTATAAGATTTTTAAAAATGTCATAATTGACACATAAAAGTTAAAACCACTGGCCTAAAAAACGTTGGAACCTGAATATTAATCAATGTATGGAAGTTTATTATCATTCAATAGATAATTATTGGCTGGATAATACAACAGTGAAATAATGAATACCTTGTATATTTGATTTTGAGCGTATAAAAAGATGAGTTCCACAGTGGATGCATGTTTATGCACAGTGACAGAATCTTCGTAAAATCTAAATAAAAAGAGACTCGGCAATATGTGAAATTGTTCATAAGTGACAAATATTTCATTGATTTGACAAATATTTCATTGATATAAAAACAAAGGGCAGCATTATTATACAGTACAATTCAATTCGATTTCCAATTGATAAGAAATAATCAAAAATTCCATAGAAAAAAAACTGATTATAAACGATGATTTCAATCAATGAATTGTAAACTTCAGGATTACCGTACTCCTATTATCTTTGATATCTGCTTGAAATTGAAATTAAAAATATTGGATTGTCTCTATAGTCACCATCTAAGCAAAGATCACTGCAGCAATATAAGTTCAATAATAAAATTTGCTAACTAGGGAATCTTACTGCTCACATGACTACCGGTAATTACTATTTGCAGAGACAAGATTTTTCCACTGCTAGTCAGATGTCTGTTTCAGATATTCTAGATCTCTATACATTTTAAATTTTTTTTAATAATTTTGGTAAATACTTACAATTTAAACACTTCAAACTGAAATGAATTGCAAAGCATAATAATAGTATATTAAATTATCTAGACACCCACATTTCTAATTATTCACAAATAACCAACAATGCACTACTGTTTTTGTATTTTGCAAAATCCCCTTTTCAAGCAATAAATATTAATCAATAAAGCAAGTAAACATTTTGAGCATTTTCTCATCTATCAAATATATCACAGCCCCATTCTAACATCTTGTTGTTTACAACAATTTCTCAATGTCAAAACTAACACAAAATAGAAATCATATGAAAATCAATCATAAAGCCCACGAAATAGCAAAATCAACACACTTTGAAGATTTGTTGACGTAAGCACATTTTTAAATAAATAATTCATTTATTATCAGAACCATTCACAAAATCCTTTTGAAAGACACAAATAAATCAGAATTTAGATTTTCTCATACACCATATACCAGCGAAATTCTTATGTTTTTTATATCACACTCACTCACTCTTTAAGCTTCGAACAAGGCTCTACACAAGAGGCCACTGATATCTAATGAATGTTATGTGAGGCGCTACTCATCTTTGCAGTTAATAAGCATTGCCTACCCAATTTATTACAATGATGGGTAAGGTGAGCATGGGAGTTGAAACAAGATATGATATCTCCGTTCTCCGATGGCAAAACATGTAATTCAAACGCTTTATCCGCTAAGCTAACATATACTTACTTAACAGAAAAAGTGAATTCAAGAGGAAAATTAGTAGATTTCATTTCAATGTCATGATCAAGCACCTTCTTATCACCTTGCAACCAGGCATAATGATCACTGTTGAAGAAAAAATATTACTTGAAAATAATACAAAGCACATCTTAAAGGAATCGATATAAACAGTATGCTAATTAACAGAATAATGAGCAATAAATTGTAATTTGAGGAAATTCTTACAAAAATGTTTCAAAAAATTATACAGAAAAGGCTTCTATATAAAAAAATGAAGGCAAGGCAAATTTAGGCATATTTTATTTAATTGCGTTTAATTATGTGTTTCCAGTGGAATATTAAAGATAGAGAGAGTAGCTACAATGCCATGCAAGTTTTAATCTCAGATGTATACTATGATTAGAAGTGAAACATAGAGTCACTTTTACAAGGCCATAGCACAACCCACAACCATTCTTGTATGATGTCAGATGTTTGCCATGTCACAGTTAGCAAATTGAAATTGAATATAAGTTAAAAAAGTACCAAAGCTATATTAAAATTCCATTTCTTATTAAGATTAACCATAACAAGTTAAAGATGGGTTATCAACTTTCACTGAATTCCAAAATCTTATAAAATAACTTTATAATTGTAGAAAAGAACCAAATAATATTGCAATTTCAAATATTGAAAAAACAATTGATGGTGATGATAAAATGTATAGCGTTGCTTGACATAATTATATTATCACTGGCTGTTATTTCTCAAATTGTGTCAGCTTGCCAAGTCCAATATCTTCACAAAAGAATAACAAAAACATTTCGTTGGAACCGCTAACAGATAAAATATACAGTATATCGAAGTGATAAAAACCATACTCGGAATATAGGAATATCCAGACCAGTAAATTATGTTCAACTGATACAAAAATAAAACAGATTGTTTTCAAAAAAAATTTGAAATCTAAAAAATATAAATTTGATAAGATGTTTTACGCAGATTTTTCATTTAATTTAGAGACATTTTTCTATTCCCGGTGTGTTTCACTTGTTTTTGTTCGAAAAGAAGATAAAGAGAGATTAAGACAAGTCCTACCAAAATGATGTACCATAAATCCTTGCATATGAGCCGACCCCCTAAAAACGACCCTAAAACGGTGACTTTATAAAAATTCTCATAGAAGAGTTGTAGCTGTTGGAATTGAAATTAGCATAGTATCATTTCGTTTGAGTATTATCAGAGTTACATGCATATAAGATGACCTTAGTTTGGCAACTTTTTTATTGGGTTTTAAACTCAGCTTATGTATGCGAGAATATACGATAATTTAATATAATACACCAGATTTTCTAACCTACCCTGTTGTTTTATATTTGAGTCCAAAATAATCTTCCTCTGTTAGTTCGAGTTCCGAAACAACAATGTCCCATAGATCTTTACCAAGTTGCTTAGGCTGAATAATAATAGAATAGAAAATTACATATTACTGAACAATCACATTCAAAAAATAAGATAGAAAAACAGAGGAATATATTCGATTTGTTTTCTAATTTTATCTTGGATTGTCTTTTTCCCTGAATTGTCTAGGCTTGAAAATGTAGTGACATTATGCTATTTATGCCATTTTATTTTGGGCGCTCCAGAAGTGTATGTACCAATATGGAGGTAACTAATTTTGTTCGCCTACATTACATCAAGTTGTAAATAGGGACTGAAACCTATGGGCAGGGGGTATATTCACTTGGCTAACACAGACAGTCCCCGAACTTGTAATAGAACTAAAATAAGGAAAATCGAAATAAAATTATGGCATAACTCTAACTTGGTACATATACTACAGGAGTATCTTTTGTACCAGCTCTCCAGAAATACATACAACAAAGTGCTCTCGGTCCCATTTTAGTAAAGTTTCAATAACATCAGCTCACACCATTTACTTACTAGTTACTCATATTGATAGCGATCTGTCCACTAAATTTCTGACTGAAATCATGTTACAAAAGTGGGTTGTATATAAATGGCAAGCGATATTGTGACATGAGATATAAAGTGAAAATAAAGAGAATATGCTGATGATGGTTCATCAATTTGAATAAGAGTGAGATTGTGTCAACATCTCAACAATTCTATTCGAACTATAATTGTAGGTGCCTAGTGTACTTTACTGGAATACATCCAAACATCAGTGTTAGTTGCATTATTAAATAAGTTTTATTTATTGAAGATAAAATTACAAAAAATGTCTTAAATTGTACGCAAGATCACAAAGCCATTTGATTACGGTATTGCCAAAAGTACAATGGTAAATATCAAAATTAATAAACCTGATTTCTGAAATTGAAAGTTTCATCAAAGATGTTGATACTTAAAACATTCAATTCTTAATACCTAATACTTTAAATTAAGGTAGATGTGCCTCGGGCCAAAATTGGACTTCGGTCAGTCAGCACAGGTCAAATGAGTCCAAGAAAATCATTATTATTGAAACTTGGATATTTAATTGAGACATTACATTCTATTGTAATATTTTAAACTTTTTTTTATATCATTTTATCATGACTAAGATTCTAGTCAAGCTGTCAAATACTTGTGCAAATAATTATATATCGAAATTGGTACTCCCGTAGTATGTGTACCAGGTTAGGGTTAGGCCATAATTTTATTCCACTTTTCCTTATTTTAGTTCTAATATGAGTTCGGGGACTGTTTGTGATAGCCATAGGCCCATAGCTCATAGGCTTCCGCCCCTTTACACAACTCGATGTAAAATAGGCTAACAAAATTAGTTACCTCTATATTAGTACATATACTTCTGGAGTGCCTCATAATTAGCTATGCATGGCATGCACAAGTTATAACAATGTGGCCCAATTCAAACTATTAAAGACTAGTGACAGATTACAAAAATCAATAAAATTGTCCTAATTTCTAAATATTTTAATCCTGTCATATTGGATGGTTCCTATTTAAATATTGATTTAAATACTAATACAGCCACCAAGACTAGATTTGTATATTGTGTAACCTTAAATCTGAGAACAGAATTATGGCATTCCAACATATTTGATCTGGCAATCACAGATTTCAGTAAGTTACGGACTTTTTTTTTCACAAAATAATTTACTGGTACAGAAAAAAGGGAAGCAAAAGTGTTGAGCATAATATAATTTCACCATATTTCAATCGCCATAACAAACAATGTTGATGAAGCCCTAATTGTAGTGTTCTTCTAAATCCAATTATGTTGGAGATCAAATTGCAAAACTTGCAAAACATAGATTCTTCAATATCACACTTAACACTCTTATTCCAAAGTGAATACATATTTAACAAAAACAATACTATGATATATGCCTACTTACATTCACTGACAGGTCCAGCTTTGAGTGATTTGGCAAATAGATGATACAACTTCTTCGTTCCATTATGCTGCAAAACAAAAATAAAATCATCTTAAGCACTAATGAAATATTGCTTTACATGCAAAATAGTAATACAAAACAATAATATATTCAAATTACGGTAAATGAATTTCTCATTTAGTGAATTTTAACTTTCAAGTGGTTTAAATATCTAGTAATAAAACTGTATTTCCTTGTTTTGAAAATGAAAAACCATTCCAAAAGTTATTTTACATTAACATTAATTTAATACTTCACAAGTACCTAGGGCTAGGCCTATGCAAGATATTATAAATATGATATTCACTTTTACCATTTTCAATGCAACAATTGAGACTTAATGATGTGGAAATGACCACACAAAAACAACCATTTACTACATTAAATTTAGCAGAAAATATACACTTCATTTTGGACAAATTATATTGGCATTTAAAGCTAAATTCATAAATATCATAATATAACAGGTATAACAAGTGCAACAATGATGATCATAATTAATGATCAGAATTTTTATTTATATTCCTCAGTATGCATATTTAAAGAGTTTACACAAATTTATGTAAAACAAAATCACATAAAAAGTCACCATACATCCCTATTGCATTGGCCTATTAGTCTGATAATTTCTTTTTCAAGATAATTTTAACTTGCAAACAAACTTAGAAGTGAATTCTTTCTTGAAAACAATAACAATTCTTTTTTCTCTTTGTCAATTATTCTAGCAGTAATTGCAGAGGCACGTGAACAAGGACAAACGGCGGTCCGACTATACAAACAATGAGACCAAGAAATGTTTTGTAACTAGAGACAGAGGTATCATGTTACATTAGAAAAATCCTATCCTGATTCATATTAATATTCAACTTAAATATTATGTAAAATGTCATATCAACAGTTACTATATTGCAATATCGAAATTTTGATGCATTTTATATTCTACACCTTACAAAACCAAACCTCCATATCAAGGTATAATATATATAACTCATGGTATAATTATATATTCTAACTGGTAGCATACAGGTTTCCTGAACTGGGGTCTGCGAACCCCTATGGGTCCACAATGACAGCATGGGGGGTCCACAACGATATGAAAAGAGTCTGATCGATCTATAATGATTGATTTAAAGCCATTGCAATTTTTTGGTTTGAGCGGTGCGGACAAATATCAACTGCTGTCAGAAAATGCAATTATAATTTTATTGCCTTTAGAAACGACCTACATGTGTGAGGCAGCATTATCAGCTCTTACCAATATGACGACAAAATACAGGCCAAGACATGACATTGAGTCCGGCCTACGAGTTTGCCTGTCCAAAGTGCTTTGAGAATTAATTGTGCAGTGGAAATCAACCTCATCCATCACATTATTGTCGGTTGTGTTGTAAGGATACGGGTCAGTCAAAACTAAGATTCACAAACACTGGCTTATTGCTTACTTTTGTACTTTTGACGATGATATAGAGCAGTGGTTCTCAACCTTTTATGGCTCGTGGCCCCCTTCCGGTGGCTTTTTGCGGTCGTGGCCCCCCTTTTCGCCATTCCAAAAAAACTAGACATTTTCGATTGTATTATGTTTTTACGACCTATTATGGAATGGAAAAACAAACCACAGAGAAAAGGTCCAAGCTTTTTAGTATACAATCAATAGGAATCTTGCGCTTCGTACTGTCTGACGAGGTTTCTTATACTAGGCACCATTAGGCACAGTCTTTAGAAATACAATTAAAAATTAGCAAACTAAAATTACAATAAATAATCAATACAAACCTTCTAGTATGTTTTCAAATGAGGCAAATGTTTCTGCTGTATTCATAATAAGATTGGTTCTTTACAATAGGAATATTTACGGCTGGTTGAAAGACAGTGGTGAATTAAAAAAATCAGCCTTGCTCCTTTATGAATAATTGTTCAGCCCATTTATTTCCACATTCACATTAAATTGAATGAAACAATAATTATCAATAATAATAAATAACCTTGAAGATGAAAAATAATAAAATATTTTAAATAAAATTAAAACAATCGATTAATGTTTGTAGTTCTGTAGCTGCCTCCACATATTGAATTTTTTTTTATAATGATTGCCCCTGTCAAGGCAACCTTAGCTACATATTTATAGTACAAAAGGTCAATGTGAACTACAAATTACTCTCTAATACCAGAATACAGTAATAAAAGTTTTAAACAACCATTTCAACAGATAAACGATACTAAAAATTGCAGAGTTAAAATTATGTGTCAGTGTTTCTTCTCAAAATAGTACGATTCTACCTCAACCTTAGAAATGACAGCATCAACACTTAGACTCAGAAAGGGAAAATGAAAAAATTTTGTATTCACAGATTAATTCAAAAATAAATTACCGTAACAGAAGAATTAGGCTTTACAGCCTCTAGCATTTCAGTATTCAGAATACCTGAATACAGGAATAGGTACCAGTATTCTGGTATTGGGTCTGGTATAGTTTAGTACCACATCCACTTCTAGTTGGCCTGGCTCAACAATTTTTGCATATGTCAATCCTAACCCCCACATGACTACGTCACCGAAAAATTACGTCATTCCGACGTCACGGTGGCGTAATAAGGCTCACCGAAATATGCAGATGGTCGTCCAAAACGTGCAGACGATAACCCGAAATTGAGCAAGCTATTTCTCTCGTTTTCTCGTCGCAACGATGACGATAGGAGAGAGATCGCCGGCTTTAGCAAGTTCTTATCAGCGGCGCAGAAGCCATTTCGGGCGATCGTAATTATACTTTGGCAATCCCTGTAGTGACGTAATTTTTGGATGGCATAGTCAGGTGAGGGTTAGGAATAACATATGCAAAAATCGTTATGCTACGCCCACTGGAAGTACTTGTGGTACTAAACTATACTAGACCCCTGGTACCGGTATTCTATGCTCAGATAGGATAGGATTTACATATTTATTCCGGGGAGAGGAAAGCCGATAAGACGGCTTATCCATATGGCGAACCACGGCCTCTCGTCCGGTTACCATTCCAAGTCGGGTACCGGATTGGGATTAGTTTTTACTGTATTGTTTGTTTTCGGAAGCATGGACTTGGTGGTGGAGGAAGCCGTAACCGACCAGCAGTTACGTGAACCACCCAACGACGGCGAGGAGTCCAGCAATCCTCTCGCACATAACCATCCCTTCATGGGATTCGAACCTGCGAACCCACGCAGAGTAATTAGAGGTGCGGTGGCGAGCGTATTCCTAACGCCAAGCCAGTGGAGCCACACCGCCCCGCCAAGATGTTACGGTACCTACCGTAGTTCAATACGGTACCGTATGCTGATACGGCAGTATGCTGGTATGGGAACTCCTGAACTTCTAGACTCTGATTAAACATGATAAATATGCTATCCTGATATTACTGTATGGTGATGTATTCCTTCCTGAATTGACCAATACTATAACTTTGTCGTTGGTTAGCTATCGATATATGACAAATCGTCATTCACTCCACCACACGCATTTAAAAACGTCATTTAGAAAACGACTGCTGCCGAATACGTTCGCCGGTTCTCCACATTTTGTTATGGGGGAGCAGACGCACAGTCAACAAACAAACTTACCATGATGAAAATACCATGAGCGTGACGGACAGCAATCGTGAATTTCGCTTACACAAAAGTTATTCCGCATAATCGCGCTTCATTGGTTACGGTTGAAAATGATTACCGATGTCGTTGAGTCCAGGGATGGCCATTTCCGAATACTAAACTATTCCGAATACATTCTAAAATAATGTTTTCGAATCTGGAATTCCGAATACATTCTAAAATCGAAAATAACACATTTTTGTTTAGTTTATTAAAACCCAGTAAATTAGGAAATAAGCTTCAATAAAAATATCAGAATAAAGCCACAAACCAACAATATATGTACACAAGATAATTGATAGTTTATAGCTATCAATAAAAAATAATAGCAACTTGTGACAAAGTCAGTTTATTAAAATTATTCACTTTGTACAAATGACCATATGAAAAGATAGCCAAGGAGTTGTCTGACGCTTTCTATCATTGGTACCATGATATTATGATAATAGTCAAGTCTGTTGACAAAAATACTACTTGTATTCAGATAATTGTGTATATTTTCTGAGAGTAATAAAATTTATTGGCAATACAGGCAACTGAAACAAGCAACAATAATCGAAAATCCATTATGCCTTTAAAAATTCGAATATTTAAGCATAGAGTATTCTACTACCTACCAGTATATTTGTATATTAATTTATGTGAACCATATTGTTATTATGTGTAACATATTGTTGTGTTTGAAATTAGAAATAAATTAGTAGAGGATAAATGACCACCACTGCCAGCCGCGCATCCAGGATTTTCGAAATCGGAAACTCCCATTGCCGCCTGCAACACCCACCGCGATTCCGCGATCGTTAAAAGAGCCGTCTTTTCGGCGTATAATGATCATCCTATTACGTAAAATATTCAATCCATGACAACTACGAGTTTCTAAAATATCTTTATATATTAATTTAATGTGTCCAACGTAACTCGCGGTTGCTTCTTCTTACGTCAAAAAAAAACACATTACTATTCCGTCCACGGCGATCTGTGACCTAAAAGTACGAGATAAACTGCCTGATGTATTTAATTTTAATACGTATTTTTGCAATCTTGCCAACTCGTTATCGCCGTTAGAAAAATCTCCAATAATGATATAAAATCCTGTTGAGTGTAGTAGAGTATAATTCATTTCATACAATGAATATAAATATAAAGTTTAGCAGTAAATTGAAAATAGGTATTCATCGTCTCGATTATGCCACCTGTTAAGAGAGTCGACTTTTACAACAAATAATATAACAATATATTTTTCTGTTGTGCAAAGTGATGAATTCGTGACCGATACGGGCATATTTAAAATGTCTTGCTTCATTATTAATTTAATTGTCTTCAATTTAATCTGCGGTTGCGTCGACAAAATAAAATACTCACCACTCTTATATACCATTGCAATCCGCGGTCATAAAAATAAAAACGTGTGGTAAACTGCCCGATTAAATAATGTTTTGATCCGTGTAATGTTTTGCGAATTCGGCAAATATTTAGATGTACTTGTTAGCAGTGTCTCCGCTCAATCGAAATGCTGCCACTCTGATTATTTTTAGATAAAACCGTTCGAAAAATCCGTAAATCTTCTGTAACATCTCGGAGTGAAATTTATTTCATCAAAATAAAATTGATTAAATATACTTTGAAAATATTCGACGGCAATTTAAAGTAATGGATAATCAGGCAAATCCGCCCTCAATTCGTGACGATATGTTTCTAAACGCCGACCAAACATGATGTGTGCCAGAGGCACACGAAATTCTGCGATTTTCACTGCCTAGAAAAGCGTTTTTCAAATTTTCGCGGGCCTCAATAAAACTTATATTGTTTACGATTTTATTATTAGTATTTTAAATTGCCGCTTTTCAATCAAAAAGTTGCGTTGTCTTTAGAAACTCGCCGCCGATGAACGTATTTACCAGATTCACAATTCCGTGCGAGTACAAAATAAAATAATTGTCTTCGTTACGTGGAACAAATTTGTCGAAAATTTTCGTTTTAAAGAAAGTAACACAAACGTAAAGGCGTTTACGGCCTCAAAATAACACGTTACGCTGATGAGTGATGAAAACAATCACGCGCAAGTTTCTATCGAGAATGTTTTCATTCAACGGAAACGTTTTGAGGGCGCCGTCGAAAATGTGTGACGTCACACAAATATCCGATATTCTTATGAACGCTAATTCCGATATTCGAATGACGAGATATTCGAATACATTCGAATACTTTATTCGAATTGGCCATCCCTGGTTGAGTCATTTAGGTATAACTCAGAATGACTCACACTCTTGTCTGCGAATGACGTTTGTGAGAATGAATTCGTTTTATGGTTCATTATAAAATTATGATCAAATCGATCGCTGTCATATGCATTCATTTGACCGCAGAGAATCTCGAAAGTAAAATCACGACGTCATGAAGCACTGAGTTCCTCATCTTTACTAATACATAAATGACATGCCTAGATGTCTAGGGTCTCGACTCCTCTGAGTCGATGATGTTATGACACTGATCTTCTTCTCTTTGGGAAAAAATTTTGAACAGCTCTTCACAGTTGCAAACAAGCAATTGACCAATTTTCATTATATAAATTATCTCTCAATGCCAATAAGACCATATGTATTATTCCATCCAAGCAGACATAAAATTGCAAGTTGCCCAAAACCTTTTTTGCCCAATGGTAAAGAAATTGAAAGATTGAGTGGAATGAAATTCTTAGGAGTTGTCTTTGATGAAAATCTCTCTCGGAAATCACAAATTAGGCATGTTATTAGTAAAACAAAACAATCATTTCAAAATTGCAGAGTATTTGTAATAATTTTTTAGGAATTGTTTTTGGTAAAATACGATGTGGAAGTGTAGAGTGTGTAGTCCAGTGGTTCCCAACCTTCCTACCCTAGCGGACCGGTAAAATTAAATTAAATATACTCGCGGACCAGTAAAAAATGAAATGGCCGGAACAGAAAGAATACCATATATTTGCGTAATATAATAATAATAACTTTATTTTGATTTCCCCCAAAAAACATGCACAGAACAAATAATGAACAAAACATAAACAAACAGAATAACGTGAAAACAGGAAAAACCTTTAGTAAGGTTTAAAACACGTAGAAATACACGTGCCTGTTCCCGAACGTGTTATCGTTCGGGCGTCTGACTTCTGTAACAAACAAACTGCAGGTGCGGTGGGTTCAAATTTATAACTGTTTACGTCGAAACATATATGATTGGGCTCTGTTTATCGTTTCGGATTTGTTTACACGAGCGGCTTCAAAGTGAACCAATAATTTAATTGACGTAAACAACTGCGAATTAGTTTGTTAGATAAAAACAGTGTCAGAATAAGTAATAAATATATATATCTAAATGTCTTTTAGTGGAATTCCTCATT